CTTCCCTCTTTCTCTCTTTCTCTATTTATCGCCTAGTAACACAAATCATCCGTTCATCGACCTTGGGGCCATACATACCTTTTCATACCAATGCCTCACAAACCTTGCACGCCACTCCCCCTCTCCAGTGTCTAACATTTTCGTCCAGAAAAAACAAAAGCGACAGTCACTTTCGGCATCCACCTCACACCCGTCAATAACAAACCGTTGCGTGATGGTGGCTTTCATTTTGGTGACGGCCCGCGTAGCCTCCACGTTGATATCGGTGGTAACCCCATGACACCGATGCATGATGAAGGCGCCCTTGTCCATCCCGGCCTGGGACTTACTGATGAAATCGAGGTGGTGCGTCCGGCCCGTCCATGTTGTGTAGATGTATGCGTCGGGATGGAAGATGGATTTTAGGTTTTCCCATTCGCATGCATCGCTAGAAGTTCGTCAGAACTGATGGCCGGATCAGGATTCAGGTCAAATCAGGAAATGCGTAACGTGTTATACAATGCGATACGATGTTATTGTTTTGTGCATATGTGCATGCATACGTACCGATAAAGAGGCCATCCTTCAGCCAGTTCGCGCAGTTTATATCTTTCCAGAGCGAGGCTGTCGGGTCCGTTGTTGCGGATCGCTTTGTCTGGTCGAGATCCGGGTGGGAGAGAATGGAGATCGACCATATCGACTGCTGAGTGTGGACTTCTAGTATACAATAAAATTTATATTGCTCGGGCTAACGTATGTATCTAGGAAACTGCAATATATAAAAGTATTTCGATCCTACTGGTACTGGTCCTGGAGTAGGGATCGGATACTGCACCAACTCCCGCTTCTCCATTCCCCGGACTCGGAGGTTTTATCCACGCCGGCATTTTACCCCGGCATTGGCAGGCCATTTGTGGGGCAACTACTGTACCACAACTTGAAGTAAGCTGCACCATCGTCCCTGAGAGTACTAATCCCGGGGAATTGAAGAGAGGGTATTTTAATGTATAACTCTGATGCCGGACGCTCGACCTTCTAATACAGCATACAGTGCCAAAGATCGTATTGGCATCAGCGTAGAACAATGTACGGAATTCCAAACAAGAAGCTCAAGATATGAATTATTCCATGACCCCAGATTCAAAATCCCGGCCTAACTTCAGTGGCAGAACATCGGCTACCTATTCTGGATTCCGATTCAAAAGCACATCCATCCAGGTCCAGTAAGGTCGTAGTAGCTTACTGCTCAATGTCCAAGTACCGACAGCTACGGTAGCATCCATCACAGATCCACCCCTATCGTCTTTGCCTCTTTCAACCCCCAAAACCTCTCACTCAACCGCCTGGCACCCTCATCACCCACAACCGGCGCAACCTGATCGATAAATTTATCCTCCAACTGCCGATCAGTCATTGGCATCTCGAGACTTCCAACCGCATGGACGACATGTTTTGTCAGTATCTTCCCACCATCACCCTCGAATTCAACCACAATCTCAGCCTCATCAGCATCAAGACTCGAGTCCACGACAGCCTCGATCTTGTTTCTCACCCTCACCACCTTTTCGCTCGTGACCACCTCGTCCTCATATAGCGCGGGGCCGGCCTTGCCAAAGACCAATCCGACCGCAGCACCGTGATAAACGCTGAATTTTGCCTGTAGACCGTCTTGGGGTGTCTGTTTGCCCGTCAACTCTAGAACTAAAGGGTGAACGCGGCAACGGACGGTTTTGATATTCTCGATACTGTTAGTGTCGACATTGGAACTGAAGTCCAATTCATGATGGATCTGGATACAGCCGTCAATAATAGGGTGGACGACGATCCCGCAGGGAAATGGTTTGAATGCGTTCTTGGAGATTTCCCATGTTTGGCCTAGTGTGTTGATTTGGTGGTCGAGCTTAGTAGTGGTGCTGTCGTCGTTCTCCTCCTGGTCGTCGGCTTCGCCGCCGACAACAACTCTCGCCCAACCTCGCTTGGCTTCCAGTGCCCGCATGGAGCTGGTGTATCCGTGCTCTGCAAGAATGGCGGCCATCAGTCCGTTCTGTGCAGCCCGGCCCACGTGGAACGATTTGGTGTCAGATCCAAACATCTCGCGGAGGCCGGTGACTTGGGTCGCGGCGATGCCGATGGCGTGTGCCATTTGAGTGGCGGTCAGGCCGATGAGTTTGCCTACGGCCACGGCGGCACCGATTGATCCAGTGGTGCTGGTGATGTGCCTGGAGAAGAAGAGGAATAATGTCAGAAGGAGAAGAGAGAGGCTTTGCAGCTAAATCACTTGACTTCAAGCGCAGTGCAGTGCAGAATGTCTGGCTGCTATGGTCCGGGAAGTGATATGGTATGTATGCAAAACGAACGGCAGGTCACGGCTCGATCCGGTCCTTGGCCACAATGCCTTCATGCTCTTGGGAACAAATGTTCTAGCCTATCTCGGTGCTTGAAATCGACCGGTCTGACCCAGGTCTGCAGAGCTGAGATCGAGGCCAAGTGGTGCCAGAACGAATTCTAGTTCACCGCAGCCCATTTGTATTTCAGAATCCCTTCGGAGCCTTGTCGGGCCGAACCCACCTTTGAGCACAAGAGGACCTTAACAAGAACCCTTATGCCCCGGGTAATGTAATATGTAGGGAAAGACAAGACAAGACAGTCGAAGACAAGACAACAAGTCAGGTCGAGAACAATATTGCCCGATAGAAACCAAATAAGATCAACAGTTTCTCTTACTCACCATCCAAGGTCATAATGTTTCGGCCAAACCGCCAAACCGACTTTACATTCCGCCTCGATACCCACTACCAAAGCAAGGATAAACTGCTCTCCAGTGACTGGCCGTTCCGGGCCCACAGCATCAGCCTGGGCAAGCAATGCGCTCGCCACCGGTCCCGTTGGATGGATGATGGTTTCCAGATGTGTGTCGTCGTAATCGTGCACATGGGATGCGATGCCGTTGATCAGGGCGGCATGGGATGCATCTGCGCGCACGCTTTCGTCAGAGCCCAATATGCGCGATGTAGGACGACCGAAGAACTGTGACAAAGCGTTCCGCGCTGTGGTGGTTGTGCGATGGTTGGAGCCCCCGATTGCACAGCCAGCCCAGTTGTAGAAACTCCGGACAGCGGCGTCAATGACGGAGCTTGGGAGGTCGGAGTATTGTAGGTAGACGGCCCAGGACGCCAGACGCTCTGTTGCCATTGTAGAGCACGACCTGTTTTTGTCGTGACAATATCAATATCAAGATCAAGGTCAAGATCAAGATTCACCTTTGCCTCACGGAACAGCGCGATCTGTTGGACTGGGCCGCGGAACTGATAAGTCGAGAGTGGACGAGGCGTAGAACATATGGTATATGCAAAAGACAGTGGTCACCACGCCTGGTTGTCTGGTGACTGCTTGATTTGGCTGGGGATGAACGCCAGTCAGGACACGTAAAGCGTGCGTTACGGCGGCCTGGGTACGAAGTCGAAATGGTGTCTACTGGTGCACCCGGCGTCGAGGATACAGATGAATAAAAGCGACGAGGCCATGTCTGCGTGGGTGATTGCTATGGTTAGCGAGAATAAAACGAACAACCGGTACCAGGAATCTGTCCGGCGGGGAGCACTCGGGTTGTTCTGTATGGAGAAGATAAAGCGTCTCTCCCCTCACGTCAGAACCAAAACAACTCCGACGTCGCAAGAAGCTCGGGCGATAGCCACACGGTTGCCGGTCGTCTCCAACAAGATCAACGTGGAGTTGCTATCCACAAGCAGGAGTCTAAGGTACCCGACGGGGAAGTGCAGAGGACGGACGTGGTATTTTAGCCTTACAGCTCGACAGTCGCTGCAATTTCGTATGTTGAAAGTGGAATATACCGTGTCTCCCGTATGCAACTAGAGACTAAGTACTATCTCATAGTTATATCCAATATTTTCCAGGCCCTGTGAACATTAATCGGGAGCATGAAAAGACCAACCAGCCAGAGTCAGGGCATCTGGTACTTTCATGACAGCTGTGAGTCAAGGCTTGAGAATGGCAGCCGCAACCTCCACAGCTCTGGCAGACTTCTGCACCCAAGTGTTGGCCAGCGTATAGTTTCCGGCATCGACAGCCTCTGTGATACCAGGCCAGGTCGTGGGGGCATACCCGGTATCCACGCCCGGTGCAAAGACGACGTGCTTGTAAAACTCCCTCGTGGGCAGACCCCCCTGAGACACAAAGCCACGACTGAAATCCCTGAATCTAGCGTTGACGAGACTGATTTCTTCCTCGGTCGACGCGGAGCTGAGCGTTGCGGTAAATGCTGCAGCAGAGGCGTTGAAGGTCGCTATGGCTGACTCTAATGAGGACAGGTCGACTGTTGCATTCGCGGCCGCAATGTCTTTGGCAAGGTTTTCAAGATACAGGGTCATCTGAACACCATAGTTTTCCACGTTGAAAGGCACAATTGCATCGTTGGCCAGATGATAAGTCAGCAAAGTCAGATACTGGCCCATGACTTTGTGGGTGTTGAAGCCCGGGTCGCCGAATGTGCTCATCCAGTGGAAATCATCATAGTTGGAGTGATAATGGTAGACCGGATCCGTCGGGCCTCCGCCAGAACCCATGTCAATTGAACTGATGCCGTTGTGCACGAACGACGTATAGTCGCTTCCAGAGCCCAGAACGCCAACCTCACCTTTGGTCAAACCGTACCAGACATCATAAAGTGAGAAATTGTTGTACCCTCGATATGGATAGACAACTTTCTTCATTACGGTCGTGGCAATCTCATGGAGCTCAGGTGTTCCAGATAACCACGGGTTGGGGCCAGAGACGGCGACGTCGATGTTGAGATAGGCGACCGCAGCCTTGCTTAGCCACGGAATATATTCCTCCACCCACTCAGTAGACCCAACCAGGCCATATTCTTCAGCATCCCAAGAGCACAAGACGATTGTCCTTCTCGGCTTCCACCCGGTCTTGAGCAGTGCTCCGAACGCTTTGGCAAGCTCGACCATGATGGCCGATCCTGAATTTGGGTCAGCAGCGCCGCCAACGATCCATGCATCGCGATGGTTGCCGACAACAATCACTTCGTCTTCGCTAGTCCCATTGATTATCCCAACGGCGTCCCAGATCCAGGTGATTTCATCTCTCATAACGTTGGACAAGGAGATGGTCGTGCCTGGAGCCGGGCCGGTGGAATAAGTTGCATTCAGTTTGCCCACCCAGTTTGTACGGTTCACGGTTTCTCCGTTTGGACCGTGTCCGTCAAGAGCTTGCAGTAAAGGTTGAGCATCCTTCCAAGAGATCGGAAGCGATGGTATGCGTGGTGTTACAGGTGAAGTGTCTGCGCGAGGCGAATCAAACCGTGACGGGTAACCCGGGGTGGTCGGGTCGCCCGGGTATGTTGACAAGAACTGGACACTGCCGCGTTGGACTGAGGTTGGATTTCTCGCCGGTCCATGAGGATAAGCAGCGTAGCCGTTGGCCTCGGTCACATTACCATCATCGGCCGTGTCTGTAAAAATGACGCAGCCAATCATGCCATGCTCCTGGGCGTTCTTGACCTTGAGCCCGCGGAAAGGCCCGCCATAGCGAGCCAAGGCGATTTTGCCTTCAAGGGAGACACCCAAGGCTTTGACCCGCTCAAAGTCAACCTGCTGGCCCCGACCCACGTAGACGTACTCGGCTTCTGCATCCCCTGTGAATGAGTAGCCATGAAAAGTGGGAACACTGTTGGGATAAGTTGTCACATCATCCTCGGCCAAAGCCTCTTCCCGCAATGAGGCAGTCCATGTGGACCCATTGGCAAAGGTTGCAGACAAGGAGTGCGACACGGGATAGTTGAGGTACACGTCTTGGAGTTTATCAGCTGGAGATAGTTGTCAAAAGGTTTTGCACCTACAGTATGAGGCCAAACCTGCGGACAAGCCAAAATCATCCCAGCGATCGGCTGTCCACTGGGCCATGGTCTGGTTACTACCCGCAACGTGATAGCCATGGGTGTAATAGTAAGACCAGGTAGCGATCGAAGCGTTGTCGATCGAATTGGTCAGGATTGCCTCGTTCTGGTCGAGGACTGGTGGGAACACTGCTTCTTCGCGTTTCGATAGAGCTTCATGAGGGTTGAAGATGTGGGAATGTAACATCTCACGCTGGCAAGCAGCAGCACAGGAGGCCTGGTAGGCCAGCAGGCACAGGCAGTAGCTTGGCTTCATGACGATAGTGACTGGTCAAGTTGAAGCAGATACGATGTGTATACACCGCGTCCCGGGAGGTTGGGATATGCCCTTGATATACTTCTCCATCCTAAATCACCAGGCGATCGCGCTGCAGAGCTCTCTTAGCCGTACTGAGCTGCCTCTTGAGATATTGGCTTCAATGCCAAGAAGCCAACTGATGCATACACGGGGTCACAAGGAACTCTCGACATATCTGCAGGCACTATAGGCCGGACGTTGTAACCTCAGATGAGGAGTTGAGATGGTCAAGCACGACATTTGCTGCTGGTTCTCGAGGATGCCGATGGAGCGTGTCTTGGACTGCGTCACAGAACGGAAGCGAGTGGTATAGGCAATTCCAGCACAATCGGCTCTTCTCCATCTGGAGATGGGATTGGTAGTTGTTATCTCGAGCTGGGGTCGGTAGTTGTAGGGAAGCAACCAACAACTTGACCGATGTCATTTGTATCCCCGGAATCTCGGAGTTAAGTTTCCCCAGACTCCTGGATAAGCAACTTGAACACCTTATCTCCACGTGATGCAGCCTTGGCGCCTCCGCGTTCTCTTCCCGTTCGACGCGTCTGACACGAGTTCAGGAGACGTCGCTTGAAGTTCAGCAGCTTCAGAGTGGAAAAGGGATCAGTCCAGTCAGCAGTGACCACATTTTCTTCAATAACCACCGCACCACTAATTTGGTCTTCGATACATCCACCTCTTCACTTCATCACTTCATCACTCAGGCCCTCTGTGCAAGAAGCATAAGCCATCAGTCAGCCGGCGCGATAATCAAACCATACACAACCCAACTGAAACACAACTTCAAGTGTTATTTCGATCGCAGCGAACACAGCCGACTAAAACACCAGTCGTCGGTTCGACAGACACAACATCCATCACCACCTACCACTTGGTGCTTGCAAGTCCAGCACGAGAGTTCTGCTGCAACATCTTTGGAGTTCCCATAAGACCCAACTTAAAATGGTTCGTTCTACCATCACTGACAATCTCCTCGCCTCGAATCGTTCTTTCTCCCGACGGGCTATCACCATCAGTCAACATCTTATCTAACAACACGTCTTGCATTCCTTTTCAGGCCCAAACACCAGCCCAAAGACGCGCCAACGAGAAGCACGCCAAGACCGTTGAAAAGCGCATGGGCAAGCCCGAAACCGCTTACAAGAAGAAAGAGACCAAGAAGTCTCCTGTCGGCATCGCCGCTGTCGGTACGTACAACTAGTTTCTCTTGCTCTCAACCAATTACGAGCACGAGCACACTGGCACGCACCTACGGTTATCTATCCATAAATCGCTCCATGTGGCAACAGTTCCAGTTCCTGTCCCTTTGCCCTCGGCCTCGGTCGTTTCTGGTGCTATCCAAGTCTCTGCTCGCTCATCGTCCTGCGTCTTGCCTCGGAGCAAGGCAAGGCTTTCAGCCATCTTGTTTTGTCACCTTGTCCAAGTCCTTCTCTGTGCTCTTGTCATTTTTCTTCAGCTCTTGCACCAATATCCTCAGAGTCACTCAACACAACTCTTTCCCACCTCTCAATATTCCTTCCCAATGGTCATATTTGCCCCAATACCGCGCACGACCTTAATTTATCCTTCACCCTGCCTGTCCATGTTGCCGCCTCTTTTACGACTCTTTCAACATTGAACACCTCCAGCAAATCAATATCCTCGTCGTTATTATCCTTTTCATTCTCGTTCAATTTCAACCACATTTCAACCACATTGATATCTGTTTGACCTCCAACTAACTCATATTCTCCCCTCCAGCCCTCCTCATCTTCGTCGTCATCGCACCTCTCCTCATCGAACAACTCCGTCTAATCCCCGCCGTGTGGACGTTCATCATGGATCTACTGGCCCGGATCGGCTTGGTGTCAAAATAAATAGAAAATAAAAACCCGGTGTTCAGCTCGATTCGCTTCGACGCCACTGAGCTTCCTAGTACTTATTCGCTACTTGCTACTTGCTCGTCTGATATAGCCTCAAGTCAACTGATGAGACTACCACCATCCATCACTAGTAGGAGTGCCAGTCAAACCTGATCACCTCCCAGTGAGTCACGAAACACCCATGGAGTAGAGACCCACCAACCACACCACATTCCTGCACAGTCAAACCTTGACCACTCCGTACAAGTATAAGCATAATGCCTACTTCGCCTCCCTTCGCTTCCCTTCACTTCACTTTGCTCCGTAGGTCAACCACACCATTCCCATACCCATATCCATATCGATGCTTATCATCAATAAGGAATACCATTAGTCAACAGCTGAAACTCATCATAAACCTTGGTCGTAACATTCGCCGCACTCTTCTTGATACAAGCCAGCATAAACTCCGCAGCCTCACGATCGCTCCTATCAAGGACAAACCTGTTCTTGAAATTCCGCATCGTCTCCGGCTTGAAGCAAGGCAGTCCCGAATCCAACATCAGCTCGACAATATGCGACAATTTATCACAATATTGCCTGGACGCCAAAAAGGCCTTGATAGTCAATTCCTCGAACCAGCGATACGGCTGACTGGTCGCTGGATCATCACCGCCCATGACGGCAATCATTTCCGGCGTGAGTTTGAACGGTGCACGTTCAAATTTAACACCACCAGGGGCAATGTCGAAACAAAACCCAAAGTCGATATGTAGAATATGTCCCTTGTCATCGACCATGATGTTTCCGTTGTGGCGGTCTTTGAACTGTAATAGATAGCTAATCACAGAATACGCCGCCATGGATTTGACGAATTCGCTCCGCGCTTCTTGATAGCGCACCGAATGCTCGCCGCCGTATTTTGTCACAAAGTAATCGTGCAGTCCGTTCACGGCCTCGCGGCCCAACATGTCGCGGCTGATCGAGTTGGGTAGAACGTCAATAACACCACACCCTGGTGCTGTTGCTGTGACTCGGTAGGGAAACACGTAGACGTCCAAGCCGACAGAGTTAAAAATGCCTCGGAATGCAGCGATCATTTGCAGCGCTAGTACGTCTTGACGGCAGTCGTCGCCGACTTTGAAGATGGCGCTCTGCCATACTTCGTAGGTATCGGAGTTTGAGTCGTTGAGTTGTTGATTATCTGATGAGTTGTCGATGCTGGTGTTCTTTCGGCTGTGGCCTCGTTGAAGTTGAGGCCGCGAAGGTGTGTGCGTTGCCGACGTGGCCTGTGGCCCGCCTGATTTCCCTACTGCTTCGACTATACCGTTCATTTCTTCTCCGGAGACATCTCGCTTTTTGCGGATCCGAAACGTCGCCATATAAGGTGCCTTTGCGTGCGATTGCAGTGGTTTCCCGGATTTGCGATCAATGCCCACCACAATCCCGTCCGGGTTACTGGGCAGATAGACGCCGACTTCCACTTTGATTTTGCGTAACTCCTCTTCAATCTTGGCTTTCTTTTCCGGCTTGCTTTTCTTGATGTACGGTTTGAGCTTTCCTGAAATATCGGTGACTTCGGAAAAGAACTCAAACTCGCGCTCGTAAAAGTCTCTGTCGGCGCCCGAGAAACTAGAGATCAGACTGTCCATGACCTTGTCGAGTGTCGGCTTGATCGGGTCTGGTTCTTGAGAGTCTTCGTCCTTGTACGCGTTGGCCTTCATGTTCCAGATGATTTGGTGCGCAAACAATTGCGAGAATTTGCCCGTCTCGATAATGTACCGCTCCACATAGCCCAATGTGTCATATCGTAGAGCCTGCACGATCTGAGGCACATAGAAGAACGTGACATCGACCGAATGACTTTCAAGTGCCCGCATCGCATATTGAATAATAAACGGATGGTTGCCGAAGGCCGGCAAAAAGTATGTCACTGCCTGCATCGGATTGACTGGACTCCAATATAGCAGATACTTCAACTGAAATGACAGGTCTGACGCCAGGGACTCGCCGAGCAACAAGTCAATTGCATTGGGCTCGTGCAGTGCTTTTTCGGGAAAGTTGGTCAACAGAAACCGCACCTGACGCCGTAGTTGCTCGTTGGGAAATCGGGTCAAGAGCTGTATAGCCAGAGATGGATTCTCAAACCACGCTGCACGGGCATACCCAACTATCTGGGTATCAGAGTGACTCTGATGATGATGATGTCCGAAATGATGGTGGCCTTCATGTGCAAGAGGGTTCAGCCACACATTAAGACGGGAGATCTCGTTGGCAAGAAGTGCCTCCAGAAGATCGTGCTTTTGTAGGGAAGAATCTCTCCCCGTAGCCGAACTGCCTGAACTGAAATTTCTCGTGTTCTGTAGGAGGCCAATGACATCGTGCATGACCTGTATTTCCGCCTTGATTTGAAGGCGATTGCCCCCGAACGACCACGCAGGCGGCTTTGAGAACCAATGGAGGCCGGCCGAAAGAACCAAATCCTTCAATCTCCACATTGACAGCTTGTTGAGACATGTGCTGAACTGCAGGACTCGAAGGGCTGCACAGACAACTTGAAACTGCATCTCTCGGAGCAGAGGATGGCCTTCGATGTGAACGATTCCGCGCAAGGTGCGTTCAAGCATCCGTATAAACGTGCGCTGGGTATTGGCACTTCCAAGCCGAATGGCGTTGAAGTGGCTTTCGAAAAACTGCATCAGTCTGAAATGGGGCGAGATCGTGTTATGCGCGGCCTGGGCTTGTCTTTGGAGCGCTGCCCGATCGGACGGCGCAAACTCCTCCTTGACATAAAATGGGTCGGGGTGCCGGAACCTGGGGCTGAAGATACCTTGCTTTCGATCAATCGTTCGCTCCCAAGCTTGCACGATCTCCGTTAATATCCTGGGTTCCATTCTAGGGTTCTCATGGATTACGCCCAACCATAGTGAGATACCGAATTTGACAGACTCCTTGCTGAAAACGTCGCAGGGAATGTGCACCAAGTGGTACACAATGGCAGTTTGCGACTTCTTGCTCTGGCATAGAAGAGCCGCTGCACTGCGAAGAAGCTCCTTGACTTCAGACATCTGCACGGACAATTGTTGTCGTATGCGTTTATGGAGATCAATAAGAGAGTCCAGCAACATCGACGCGGCGTCAGGGGATGACCGAGTGAAGGACGACCTCCTTCCAGTGGCGTTGTCCAAGTGAGCGATCGCTCGCTGGTGCTCCGGGATGCCTGTGAATCGATACTCTTGACGAGTCGTATACTGTGCCATAAAATCGGAAGCCATGTTGATGTTGGCGGATTCACCTCTCCTGTCGAGGGCATTTAGTCGGTGGTCCATGGCTGGGATGACAGAGCCAATCTCCAGAGCAAACGACCTGCCGAGCGAGACCCGTCCATAGGATCCCGTATCATCAAACTCGGAGAGGTACGTCTGCAAAAGACCCTTCAGGTCCAGCGAGGCCACATTCATAACCGTCATAAGCCACCGTCTGGCATCGCTGTGAAGGTTGTTCAATGTATGTTTGCGGAAGGCGTAATCATCGGACAATTCAATCGTGACCTTGCCTCGAGTAGACGTAAGCGTCGAGCGCCACTCATACTCCTCCACTTCTGCATCGAGACAACTCGACCACATCAGAGACAACAATTCCAACAGGGCAAAGAGTGCCGATTTCTGACATAATGCCGAAGGCGCCAATGCGACGAGATGACTGGCCGCTATTCTAGCAATCTCCTGCATCTTGCTACTCCGATGACAGCACCCACAGAAGATCCGAGCCATCTGTCGCGAGACATATGGAGCGCTGAATTCTGCCTCTCGGGCCGCCACCACTTTCTGGGTATATCTTTTGACGATTTCGTTCGCGACGGAGCTCAAGCACGAACCCATATGACTTGTCTGCGTGGTCGGGTCCTGGAAATACTCAAGAATCTCGGCACAACTGCCAGAGGTCGCGCGTAGACTTTCCACCAGGAAGACGGCATTGAGAAAGACCACTTTCTGGTAGCTAAGCTGCCGTATGTCCGATTCTCTGTCAGGGATGACTGCTATAAGGTTTTTCCTTTGCTCAGCGGTGTGTTGCGGACTCATTCCTCTTCTTAGGACCGTGTTCAGTTCGACATCCGCCTCTAGGAGTTCCGCACGGGCCTCATCCACAAGAGGTAGAGAATTCATGGCAAGCAGTCGGAGCTCATGATAGAATTGTTGACCAATGCGTGATTGCAGCGTGATGCCATGCACGGCAATGTTATACCAGACATCCCGGACCATGCCCAATATATCGGCATCTTCTGGGGATGTCGCCTCGAGAGTCAAAGCCGGCTTCCGAGATGCCAGGATCGAAAGAGGCCTCAGAAGCGGTGCGATCTCCTTGGCCGCCTGTTCCACTTCTGCTGACTGCTTGAACTCGCCTTCAACGACATCACCTTTGCTGAGGATCCGTTCCAACAGTTGCACTGTGTAGATCTTGAACAGGGGCGACCGGCTGTCCAAGTTGAGGGCCAGGTATTCCTCCGCCTTGCGGACGGCATCAAAGATAACGGTGTTTCCATGGAGAATAGCCTCCTCGTGTAGGCGAGCATACAGTCGCAATAGAGCCTTCAGCTCGTTATCTTTGCCATGCACCGCGAGTTTAGCCGCCTCCTCGATGATACGAGCGTCGACCAAGAGACTAATCCTGCCGACTTTCTGTAGCATCATCGTCTGCACAAGCGTCATGATCTTGCTGTCCTTGCTATCCGTGGCTATGACCACGATAGCATGTGCGACATTACCGCACACGAGCGAGGTCTCTTCTTCGCCGCTCAAAGAAAGTGAAATGACGCTCCCCGTGCGCAACTTGGCCGTGGATGACAGAGACCCATGATGGCCATTGATATCCGAAAGACCAAATGGGTGATGCACCTTTTCCGCCCCCGTCTGAGAGCTGAGGACATTGCCGAGTGAGTAAATGGTCGTAATCACAGCATCCTGAGAGAGCATCCTTAAGATATGCGACAGGCTGTGTGCCGCCATTGTCACTGCCGATGGGCTGGAGGTACCCTGGACGATAAACCTCAATAAAATGCGAGCAAAATTGGATACGGCCTCGGGCATATGTTGAGCCACGACCGCCAGACTCTTCAATACCACGTCTGCTAACTCAACATCGGCCATTTGCACTTGATTGGTGATGGCATCTTCCAGCCACCCAAAAAGGTCTTCCGGGTCCGCGAGGTCGTCATCCAACACCATGCAATGGAGGAAAGCTTCCAGTGCGTAGGCCTTGACGGAAAACGCGAGCCGCTGTTGCCAGGCGGAACTCAGTTGCAGATAATCCGACCCATCCTCCAGCGTACTTATCTGATCAGTGATGATGTTGACCAGATACTCGACCATATCCTCGGTCACGTTTTCCTCACGGGCGCTTTTCATGTGTGTTCCAGCGATGTACTGATCGAGAAGATCCCCACATTGCACGGTGCGTTCGTCACAGATCATCCGGGCTGTACACGCAAGAACCAATTTCATGAACCCCTTCTGCAACATCATTGCCCCAACAGGAATCCCCTGCGCGGCAAACCGTCTGAGATAACTCTTCCATTCCCTGCTGCCGGGCTCGGAAGATGCGGAGTGTCGAATGGCGGACGAAGCTGTCTCGACCGCGACCAGGAAATCCCCCGAAAGAGCGTTCTTCAAAGTCCTGATCAACTCCACCCGTTCGTAGGACGACCAGAAATTCTCATGTGAGGCCGCGGCGTCTAAGAACCCCATCAAGGACACGACGATCGCAGCGGTTTCCTGGGCTTCCTTCTCATTATCTTCGTCCTGGTCTCCAAGTCCGACGGACGCGACTGCTGCCGCGGACTGTGTCCAGTTTTGTAGGTATGACTTGATGCTGTACGCAATACCCTCCTTGAGCGTAGGGAAGCGGAGTCCAAGCAGGAGCAGGGCTTTCGTCAGTTGAAACGTGAGCGCCGTCCATGGCGCGGGCCTGATCTCGTGGATGAAAGGGGACGGGATGAACAGTTGCGAATGTGCTTCGGGAAGGTAGGCGGACAATTGGTCGGCGAGCCGTTCGGCACGAGAGAGGTCATGTAGTTCCTGGGCACTTGCGCAGAGGGCGAGCAAGATATCAAGCTCCCGATGGGTCATCCGCGTCCGAGACGTAGGGGTAATGGCTCGAAGAACGCCATCGAGCACGCCGTTTCTTTGTGACTTGGCCGGAGTAATAGACGATGTCAAACGTCGAAAATCTGCTTCGCTCGTGTGCGACCGTTGAGCTGACAAGATCGCGAGTCTGGAGAAAGCCTGCCGGCGCAGGCTCCCATGTGAACTGAGTACCTATGTCAGTAACGTCGTTTGCGACGGAGGTCGTGGGAAAGCATACACATCCATCTCGTTCTGATCAAGATGCGTGCTCACGCAGCACGGCAGGCTGTCATGAGTATGTGCACCGAAGAAGAGCGGCTTGAAGACGGACTTCTCATACTCTCATCATTTCTGTATCTCAACTCCACGCCGGCCAATGGATGCGGTTCTCGGAGGACGTGTCAATAATGAAGTTGGTGGCAGGCAGCGGAGAATTGATGGGCGCCCGGACCGGTGCTCGCTTAGGCCCGGAACGGCGGCGACACTTGAGCCGAACTGCAATGAGGACATACATTTGGATATCCAACATCGTACCTATACATGTCAGGTGCCTGTTCAATTTGCCTACAGTGGCTACCTCGTTAAGAGGGACTATGTATTATACATCCCCTTATTTGATGTTGCTATAGATGGTCCAGAGGACACAAATGCATACCGTAGCGAACATACAATTCCTCACTTCATGCTCGTGCCGTTCCGATCGTGGAGGGTAATGCACCCAGTTACTGTACGCATACAGCAGAATATTATATATAAATATATAGAATGACTTTTGTGCTGCCTTTCCTGCCGTGCCGTATCCTAAGCAAAAAGCAAGACACAGGGTTCCAAATGAGCACGGGGACATGCCGAATCCTCGATGACGAAGCAAATCCCAGGAAAAGACGGACAACATCACCGGCCAAGGCGACTATGGTCCATCAGATGATATGAACAGACCGGGACACAGCGAACGAGGCCGCAGTATCATGCTTGCACAATTGTTCCCCTGTCGCTGATCATTTGTCGTCTTTCGATTTCTCCTCCGGCAAATACCTCGACGAAACATCATCGCCAAAAAGTTGCATATCGCCCTTGCCGCCCATATGCATGAACTCCTCCGTTTGCCTATGAGCAGCAGGATGTTCCTCCTTGCTGCCATTTGCTTCTTTCTTGTTGTTGTTGTTCTTCTCCGCGCCATCCACCTTCTCTTGACCATCACCATCAGTCACCCGGACATTCTTTCCAGAAGGGTTCTTCTCCCAGATCTGGACATGAACAGGCGACGCCGGAGGTCGCGGTTGGCCAGGGACTTGCTCTCTAGGCAGGTCCAGCACTTTGCTGACTCTGACATCGTTGATGTTGGCCAACAACGTTCGCTCACGTTGAACCTTGCGCCTAGAAAAGTCCAGTTGGCCCATTGCTCCAGTCAAACCGTCGGTAGAATCGGCCGGGTTGATGTGACCGAGATTCCTCGTCCAGGGATGTTCGAGGCATTGGTCAATTGTGATTCGCTTCTCGACGTCCACCGTCAACATGCGGTCGATCAGATCTAAGGCAGGGTCGCCAATGTGATCCCAGTATGGTGACGGGTAGTCGAACCGGCCCATTTTGATCTGTTGTGCAAGAGTGTACGGATTCTCGCGCGAGTAGAGTTCGTCGGAAAACGGCGGGAAGCCGCATAAGCAAATGTACAGCACCACTCCAAGCGACCAGACGTCGACCGCCTTGGTGTATTTCCGATGACGGGTGTTCTCCAATATCTCAGGAGCGACATCTAGACAACATTAGATTCTGGATTCTCCAAAACAAGGACCGGGTTCACTCACAGCTTGGTGTTCCGCACAGCGTAGTCGTGAAAGACTCCTCACCAATGATCTTGGCCAGACCAAAATCCGCCAATTTGACCGACAAGTTCTTGTCTATGAGAAGAATATTCTCCGGCTTGATGTCACGGTGAACAATGCCACGTTCATGGAGGTACTTGGTGCCCTGGAACAGCTGAATAAAGATTTTCCGGGTCTCTTCTTCCGTCAGTTTCTGTTTGCTCACGATGAGATTGAATAGTTCGCCCTCAGGAGCAAGCTCCAAGATTAGGTAGACGCCATCCGGCTCGTCAAAGGTCTCTTTCAAGCACAAGATATTCGGATGGCTGACGCTCATCAGCACGGCAATCTCCTGTTGTAATCCTTCAGATTGTGACCGCTGAGACTCTCCCATTCGACGCTCGAACTTCTTGACCGCGTACTTGAAGCCCGTGGATCTCTCGACACACAGGTAGACCGTGGCAAAATGTCCCTTGCCCAACTGTTGCAGGATCCGGTACCGGGAATTGAAGGCACTCGAGTCGCGGCTCTTGGGGTATCGGAATACAAAGCGGGCTTCGTCCAAGATTGTGATTTCATCTCCATCCTCCAATTCTCTTCGCTTGTTGCGGCCAACCAAAGCCTCGTTGACGAAGGTGCCATTGCTGGACAGATCCTCCAGGACAGCCACGGTATCACCATTGCGTGTTTCGTTGAAGATCAGACAATGCCGGTTCGATACAGTTGGAATGTCAATAATCATGTCACATTCTGGGTGTCGTCCGATAAGGTACCCGCCGGCCGGGAAAGCTGTCGGTGCCTGCTCCTTTGTATGCTCATATTTGTCTTCTGCCTCCAGGAGCTCGGTCTTGCCCCTTTTCTTGGTCTTGACCGTCTCCCTGCTTATTTCGAGGGGCTTCTCGGGCGCAGGGCAGAACGCCCTCCTTTTCATGGTCAAGCGATGACCCACCGACCCCGTGGGAAAGAGATATCCCCATGTTCCGTCGTCGTCATCCAAATCGGGCTCTATATCTCGCGGGGGGAACACGAATTGCGACAGCGGCTGTGTGTCTTGTGGAGGAGATGAGAGCGTGTTCAAGTTGGGTTGGGGAGACGATACGGGAGTAACATGGCGAATCTGACTCGGGCGGCCCTCTGGTGGAGTTGCTGTCGCTTCTTTGACCGGTTCTGTAGCGGTGGATGCGTTATGGGTCAAGGGCGAAGGCAGATACGACTGCTTCACCGGCGTGTGCTGCCCATCGTTCTTCTGAGCTTGTGAGGAGATCCTTGACGATCGGCGAGGTTTCTTTATGTCCTGGTCCTCGCCTGTGCTATGCTGGATAGAGCTCAGTATCAGAACTCACAGATGGACGTCCACGCTTGTCTTACCCGGTTCCGCTTTAAACTGCTCTTCTCCTTCTTGGGACCCATGGAGCCCGCGCGAGCTTCTGCAAGACAGCTGACCTTGCTTTACAGTCGTCACAATGGCGGTCGGCGCTCGCTTTTCGGCGAGAGGTATTTGAGCAATCTCAGGGACCAGCAGATGTGAAAGACTCCAGGGCGTATGCCACCGAGCTTAGATGCGATGAGTAGGTAGTGTTTGCTGTCGCAGCAGCAGCAATTGCAGAGAGACGACGACTAGAGTGAACTATGGAGAGGAAATGCGGGATGGGAAGGTAGACTTGAGGGTCTCGTATATGGCTCATGCGCACCACTGGGAACACGCGGAGGGCCCGTCACACTGGCATTGGCCTCAGCCGACCAGTCCCATTGGACTCGGGGAGCGATCACATGATCTCAGCCTTGTTGGGGCCGGAGCAGCCTCCCGCTCCTCACACAGCCTTGTCATTAAGTAAAGTACCATCAACTCTGCGCCGTTCAAGTTGTACCGGAGAAGCCAGTCTCATACGGTCTATGAACACGTCCAGTGGGAAGTCTGTCCTTTTTGTCCCGGACACCCCAGGAGCCAATGCTCCTGTACATGCTTCTAGGATGCTTACCTTCAAGTGTTGAGACCACTCACATTGACAAGCACAGTAACTCCCATTTTATTTTATCTCATTCCCACTACATGGCACATCAAAGTGAAAGATAGGGGCATAGAACTTTGAAACCCGTCTAGTCTTTGGTTTAATCTCTCAAACTCCAACGCTGAACGCACGCTATATGTAGATAACACGATCAAAAGGACCGGTGACCGACCGACCCACCGAGCGCATCGATCAACCAGGCCGCATGAAGATCTCATCCAGGCCTTTGAGATCCGAGAAAGCCGCCTTCTTCGCCTGGATGTTCCGGCCCCGAAGCAAATGCCGGCCATTCTTCAAGCTCACATTGAGTTTCGCTGCCGCACCCTGTGCGCTTGACTTCTGTCCTTTCACCGCCTCCTCGTCTCCCAACTTCGGGGTTTTGTCTCCACTCGCAACCGAAGAACCTCTGCGCTTCCGCTTCCGCCCTGATACCTCACTAGGTTCAACCTCACTTCCAGACGCCGAAGAGACAGGCTCATCGGGCGCTTGCGCGAGCGGAGATCTATGCATATTTACCGGGGGAGCGGCAGAGCCCGTATTGGTTTCCGTGTGTTTTCTGTCTTTTTCCCCGGCGGCGGACTTTTTAGCAGCCTTTTTCAGCGCCTTTTCTTCCCGCCGTCTGGCCTTTTCTTCCTTGCGTCGTCTCTTTTCTTCTTTCTTCTTCTGCTTCTCGGTCAACTCTGTACTGCTCTCCTGGCCTTCCTTTTCGGTGTCCTTCTTGGCATCCTTCTGGGTATCCTTCTCGGCCTTGTCGGCCTTTTCAGCCTTCTTTGTCTCTGTCGTCTTTAATTGCATCTTCTCCTCCTCCCGATCACCCACAAGAACTCCTCCGCGGACGAAAACCATCCCACCCCATTTCCCTTTAGCATACATAGCCAGCTTTCGATCCTCGACCTTCTTCTCCTGCTCTTTGAGTTCCGTCTCACTTTTCCCATTGAGTCTGCCCAGCAGGCCCTGGAAGGCATCCAAGCCCGTCCGCTGCGCCTCGACATCATTGCTCTTCTTTTTGGCCCCGAGCCCCAAATTGTCGTCTTTGAAAAGTACGCCGACACGAGCGGCTGCCAGTCTATCGGTGTCGTTGAGGCCGACGTGAACGCTTTCGCGGTTGCCGAGAGATTGGCCTTCTTTCCAGCCGTGCTTGGCCATCAGGCGTTGGCCGAAGGAGGTGGACGATTGCGACCATGATAGATTTCGTGGGTCGTGCGAAATCTTTAAGCGCCTATACAAACAAAAATGTCAGCACCGCGAGATGAGGAAGCTTTTAGACCAAAGCTAGCTGATTGTGCAGGATACAGCCGGCAGTAGAAGGAGAGCAGATACAACATCGGGCATCCCAACAGAAATCTGCTACCAGACTAGAAGAGCACATACTTCCTTGGTTCTGCGAGTCCCATCTTGACTCTGGGTAATGCGCAACGGGGCGCACGGTGTTATACAGTGGTTCAGCAACCCCTAGGCATAGGAGACCCCCGCAATGACACGAGTGGAAGAGCAACGAGGCAGATAATGTGGTGTTGGGGAGAATGGCGGTACGCAAAGCTGAGGCAGGGCCACTTGAGCGGCAGGAAAAAAGGAAAAGATGGAGGCGGAGTGATCTTATCTTATCGGCCGCATTGACAGCCCACAACCCGTCCCGTGACTTCGTGTTTCTTTCGAGTTGTTCTCTAACTTCAAGCGCGCGTCGAGAGCCGCGCGTACTGTGCTATGTGTATAAGGTAGTACTTCGACGCTTATTGCCATCGATTTCACCCAGTATTAATTTGCCCCCAGTATGGGACCAACCAAGCCATCAAACGCCACCATCCTTTGCGCCTTCGCTGTGAAGCAAGCTGAAGTGTTCTTTTTCAGCGGTGTACGGCCAAAACAATGACCCATGCTCTAATAAGCATACAAAACAGGTCCTTGAACAGAAATCCCTCGTGTACTGATAGAAGTGTCCCCAATGTGTATGTTTTTTTCTCCGCTTTCCTGCGGCTCTCGCCAAAATCTTCCAACATGTCATCCAATCGGGGTAGTGGAATTGTTGTTCTTGTAGACCCCTCCGTGAACCCTGATGCTGATACCGACTGCAATTCCAACCATGGCCCCGACAATGACCACAGCAATTACGACCTTGACCAACAGTCTCTGGCGTGGAGGCAGCCGAGCCAGCCATCCGCAGCCTCTAGGCTTGGGTTTGGTCATGCACCGTTGCTTTTTGCGAGCCCAGAAACCAAGTTTGAGCGTTGCTTTCTGTTGTGCATCTCTTTTTTCCTGAGTTATGCTCGGGGACAGGTCTGAAGCGCTCGCCTCGACGTCGTGGACTGCGACTTGAGGTGCATTCTTTTCCATATCGAAGGAAGGCCGCGGCGAATCGTGCTTATAGAGGTAGAAAGGAGAGGTAATGTTGGCTGTGGTGCATGGGTCGAACTCGGACTTTGGACTCGATGTGGGCGGCTGTTGCTCGGTGAGCTCGGTGGATTCAACAACGGTCTGCATGGCTGTGGTCTATAGAAGGGGGTTGCAGATATGAAATAAGGGTGTGTGCAGACAAAATGGGTACGTGTTTCTCGTGGGATCAAAGCAGTGCTGATGAGCTCTGCGGTTGCCAGTGGGCAGTAGTTGGCAAGTTAAGAGTCCATGATTCAGAAGAATCAGACTAGAATAATGAGTCGAATCGGTTTGATGAACTTGACAGGACGAATGTCGTATGCTGTGACTTGACTGCAATGATCCTGGATAACACCCAACGAGGAACAGCTGAACTGATCAAGTTGGGCAGGAGCAATGGACGACAGTCCCACGAAGGCTCCTGGACGCTAGCCAAGGGGAAGCCCAGCAGACGTCGTTTCACGAGCGGGAACAGACAGGCTTCCGTATCAAGTCGAGTCAGTTCTAATAGTCGAAGAACCTGGAGTTGGCGGAGCCCTGAAGGTGCAACACCTACTAGTAGTATAAGTCGGTCTGCAGAGAGCGTCGGTCACCGACAGAGGCAGTAGTAGTACTGAACAATTCCGCAGCTGATAAGCAAATAACGTCGACAGAAGGCGCCAGCGACGTAAGTGCACTCGATGAACTTGAAACCCGACTTGGACTTGGCTTCAACGTGACTTAATACTGCAGTTGTTGCAAGACAATTGAGTGATGGTGGCGTGTAGGGACCACTGGCACTACTGGCTCTGGCAGTCCGCATCACCGACCTAACTTGGCCATCATGAAGCTACTAGACCCAGCCGCAACTGGCGCAGCAGTCCACGTAGTACTGTCACTGACTGGGTCTATCCTATCAATATGGAGTGAAAATGACTGGCGCTGGATCAACGAGATACGAAAATGCAATTAAACTCAGACCCAGACCCAAGGCGGACATGAACTGGGGTTGTGGTTCCGCCGCCGAGCGCCCGACCGGGGGAAGCTGAAAAAGTGACAGCTACAGATTCACTGACTTTACACGCCATTGCTGTTGGCAAAAATGGATCATCTGCTGGGGTGTGAATTCGTATCCCTTTGTCGTGATTTGCAAAGGACTGATGGAGGGCCCTGAAACAAGGTCCGTCATTTGTTCATGTTGTCTACACTACTGATGGGACTACTGATTTGCTAGTAAGGTTATCCGCCTCAAACAGACCTAGGTACACTCACTTACAACTGCCCAGTGTATATGGTGGATGTAAGTTGTACTGTGCTGTCCAATACTGGCCAGTTTTGAGGCCGGGTACTTGAAGCGAGATGATAAACCTAAGACCCCGGCTGTGGCCGTGCCTGAACAAGTCTTGAGATGTCGCCCTGGTCTGGGCCTCGTGCCTGATCCACCAAGAAGTGGAGAGCCAGATTATTAGTTCCTTGGTACTGTAGCATAGTATCGCTGAATTCCTTGCTTGCGTTTTCCACTACTGAGGTTCCTGCAGGTGGCTTTTCTCCGGATTGGGATGTCGTCTTCTCACTCCATTCTCGTTTTCGTTTTCTTCGCCGCTTCTTATGCGGGTGCAGTTTATGGTCTGAACCAGACTCTCAAACATCCTACAGTACCTTCCTCCCTAGATATTAGCCAGATCTTGGGACTGGGTCAAGCTGCCGACGATGCGGGTGACCATGCCCTGCCTCGTCGAGGAGAGAAGTACTGTAGTCAAGCATTAATTCGAATATATTATTGGAGCTGCTAGTTTGTTGCGCACAACTGGAATCGCTATATGGCTGAACAAATTCTAAAGACCAAATTAAATAACAACACGACTCAGGCAAGACCTTGCACCTGCCTACCTATCTTTCTCTGAAAAAGTCCTCCCGCACAATTTGACTTTTGTCGCACATGCTCCGGAAAATGCCATTCGCCTCAAAGAGATTAATGGGGGTGTCGAGTTCCGCAATGCGCCCTTGGTCCATCACGCAGATCCGATCATAGTTGATAATGGTCTTCAGACGGTGAGCGATACATAGTAACGTCTTGCCCGAAAATGCCGTCCGCATCGTCCGTTGGATCTTCTCATCCGTCTCGAAGTCGACCGACGACGTGGCCTCGTCGCAGACAATGATCTGCGAATTTCGAACCAGTGCACGCGCCAATGCCATCAGCTGTCTCTGGCCGAGGGAGAAGTTCAAGCCTTCTTCCTCGACTGGGCTATCCAACTGGATCCGACTTTGGCTGGCCGGGGCGTTAACATTGGATGACGAGGTCGCGGCGGTTTCGGTGGTCTGCGGTCGAGTTTCTTTCTCCGTAGGTGTAGAAGGCATTTCTTCGCCAACGAGATCGGCTTTCCGCAGAGCTGCCCACAGCTCCAGGTCCGAATGCTCGTTGAAGGGATCAAGATTCGATCGAATCGTCCCCCGGAACAAGGTAGGGTCCTGGGGAATAATGGCCAGTCGCGACCGCAAGTCATAAAGTCCGACCGTCGCAATGTCGATTCCGTCAATCTTGATCTGGCCGCTCGACAACTCCGTCAACCGGAAGAGCGCAGACATGATGGACGACTTGCCGGCTCCTGTGCGCCCAACAATGCCGATTTTTTCTCCGCCAGCAATCTGGAAATCCAAGCCCTTCAGCACAAGCGGGAGTTCTGGCCGATAGCGCATCTCCACTTTGTCGAACGTGATGGCGCCCTTGTCGGGCCACGAGTCAGGCACATCTCGAAGCTTCAGTGGCGCTTCTTGTTCCAATTGGGTACCGTAGTAATGTATTCTTTCTGTGGCGTTCATGTTGTTTTCCACCTCGGCCAGCTGTCGCACCGTGAACTGGATCATCTGGACAATGGCCAGAATATATGACAGCACCAGACCAGCTATGCTAGGGTTGACGTTGAACCGATCCGTCACCACCAAGATACCTGTCACAAAAACGAGAATGTTGCCAATGGCGTCGAGACGCGTCGAAAGCCATCGTTGATTGGCGAAGGTCAAGAAATACGCCGAGTCCATCTCATCCATCGCGTTTCGCACTCGGGACACAAAATATTTCTGGAGGCCATACGCACGAATCGATGCCACCCCACTGATCGATTCGGAAAACCGTGCAAAGACGTTGGATCGGAGCACGGCTTCGTGTCTTTTGATCTCGCGGGCCGACGATCGGTAGTAGCTTGAAGCAAACAGGAACAGGATAAACAGCGGACCAAGAGCCACGGCGAAGTAGTGGAAATAGGCAATGATCAGGGCAAAGACCGAAGTGATCATGGCCAGAGTCAGGAAATACATCCTCATGGCATCGGTCAAACTGTTGTCCATCGAATCCACGTCCTTGGAGAATCGGTTCGTGATTCGACCCAGCGGGGTGGTGTCGAAGAAAGACATCGGCGCCCGTAGGACCCGGGTCATGGCCCTTTGCAGCATGACCCTACTGGCATTGGTGCCGCTCGTCGACAGGATGGTAGAAAAGGTGAACAAGAGCAGGGCCTGAGAAAGGCCTAGACCTGCATATGCTCCAATGTATGCGCCTTCGGAGAACCCGAACTTGTCGCTAACCCACCAACTCAGCCACAAGCTCGTAGCGATGTTGGAGCCTTGTGACAGAATGAGCGCAACGAAGATCAGAGGCCAGAGTATGGGAGACCCTGATGCAGCAAAGTAGGCCTTCCAGACTGTCCAACTGACGGATTTAACAGCGCGTTCCTCTTGTTGCATCAGCGCCGCGGGTTTCCCTTTCTTGATCTTCTTCTCAGGCTTCTCCTCGGTTTCCTCGGCCTCTTCTGCCTTGACCAGTGCCGAACTATCTTCTTGAGCAGTCGTGGCCATGAGCTTCTGGAAATCCACACTTTGCTGCATCAGGTTGTCGTACGTATCAATTGCTTGGATATGACCATCTTCCATCCAGATGATGCGATCGCACCTTGAGAGGACATGAAGCTGATGGGTGGCGAGAATCCGGCACTTATTCTTCATCAGACCACAGATTGCTTTGTCCATAATATGACGGCCAACGTGGGCATCGACCGCCGAGAGTGGATCATCCATCAGGATAATGTCGGCATCGAAGTAGATCGCACGAGCGATGTTCAACCGTTGCTTCTGGCCACCCGATAGGGTAATGCCTCGTTCGCCGATTTCGGTTTGGTCACCAGCTGGAAGGATCTCAAGGTCGGGCGCTAGAGCGCAGGCATCGATAACATCCCGATACCACTTGGATTTGTAGCGTTTGCCAAACAGGATGTTGTCCTTCAGTGTCGCGTTCTGGATCCAAGCGTACTGAGGGCAGAAGGCACGAGTGGATGCCATCTTAACCTTGCCGCTCGTTTTTCGCATGTCGCCGGCCAAGGCGGCCAGTAACGATGTTTTGCCCGACCCCACGGTTCCGATGACGGCTATCAGTTCATTCCTGCCCACCGTAAAATCTATATCGTGGAGTTTGAAGGGTTCGGCCTGGGTGGTTTCGCTTGAGCCATCCTCTGTCGACTCTCTTGGGGCCTGTTTGTTCTTTTTGGCCGTCTTGTCGGCTTTCTTCTGCGCCTTCTTCTTCTGTTTCTCGGCTTTCTTTGCAGCCATAAGCTCACCCTTGGTTTGAAACGCGCCAGTCTTCTCCTTATCTTGTGTGGCAGAACGTTCCCAGGTGAAGGACGCATGTTGGACTTCGACTGCATCCTCCATGTTTTCATCCCAGATCACTTCGTCCTTCTGTTCTTCGCTCAGCAGGAACTCCTGGATACGATGAAGCGCAGTTTGTGCGTCCGTCACTTGGCCCAGTACCAATGGCAGCAAATTAAGCGGCATCCGTAGAGAGTTGAACAGTGCAAGCGAGGAAAAGACTCGAGCAGGAGACAAACCGTGATCGGATAGTGAATAGGTGATGAAAGCTAGCATGGATGCGAACACTGGCATCGACATGGCCACGGCATTGATCGCATTTCGGATAGACAAGAGGATTTGCACAGATCGGATTTCTCGCTTGCGAAGTTCTTTCAGGCGGTCCAGGAAACTAGTCTCCCATCCGAAGAATTTGACGAATCTCACAGAGCCCAAGATTTCCTGGGTCAGGGTCACACGTTGGTCAGTGATCTTGTTGATCCGTTTCCTCCTCGCGAAGAGCGACTTGATAGCCTTAGTTAGAAGGGGTAGCATTATCATGAGCAGTGCATATCCCGCCAAGGCACTGTAGCCCAGGTTGACGATAAGCACAACCAAAACAACAATGACTTGCAAGGGTGATGTCCATATAATGTGGAACATACCCGAGGCTTGGTCCACCCGGTAAGTGTCGACGCTCATCAAGTTGACGATTTTGCCGTTATTCCACCCGGTGCCATCCCCCGCGACACCGACGGCCTTGTCCGGTGTGACATTGGGCCCACCTTTGGGGTGCAGTTTTCTTGATATGGAGCGTGCAAGAAATGGTCTTTTCTTGGACTTTTCGCTTTGCCTCCCATCATCAGCCTCTGAAATTCCGTTTGAGGTCTGCTCGTCGTCGAGCGCCTTGCCACCAGCTTTGGCTCTTCCCGAAATCACAAGTGACTTTTCAAATATGGCGTTGATTAACACTGCCCTGGCCTCTCCTCCAACAACCATGCCACGGTACAGAAAATGGTTGGTAGACACGGACTGACAGATCTGCATGAACGTGATGCCAATGACAAGACCAACGCCATGGCCAATATTAGGGGCTTTGCTGCCAGTCTTGTCCGCAATCCATGCGTCAGTAGCGAATTGAATAAGATATCTGGTCGTAAACGGCGAAAAGACTTGAAGCATGGCAGAAAACAAAGCACAAGTCCCTCCAAGCAAGAACTCCCCTCGAAAAGTGTCAAACAGTGCCCACACCAGAGGATTGCGTTCTCCTCGAGCCACTCGACGCTTGAAAGAAGGCATCAGCTTGTCCATCATGGTGGCTGAACTTCGATCGGGGTTCACGAGCCATATATCATTCAGCTCAATCGGCCGCTTGTAGCCAGTGGTCATCAACGGGTTCATCCATTGAAAAGTCAACAGGCTGAGAAACCCGGCAGTATATTCCCGGCTCACTCCCCGCTCCTCTGGTATTGGCGGAGGAGGACCACGCCGCAGAGGGTTCAACCTGCGATACCATGGTGCCTTCTCTTGCGCATATGGTTGGGGATGAACAGCGGTGCTCGCTTCAGTGGCCGAGGTTGCGGTAGACTCGATCTTGCGCAGCCGTGTGCTTTCCTCGCTGCTGCTTCTGTCCAACCCTCCATTCTCCTTGGGCACTTCTAGATATTGCCTGGGCTCATCTTTCTCCGCCAGTTCGGCTTCTTCAACGCGGTCCTGTGTCAAAGCACGGTTGAGATCGTTGTGCTCGTCGCCATCTTCTGGTCGGGCCATGGCGCCCTTACTCTCGATGCTATTGAGGCGAGGGCGAGGGAGTGGATGCGGCCAGTCCAGTCAACCAGCACATTGCCGACGGATAGAACGAAGGAGAGGGGGAATATGTATTACGGTGAGGACTGAAAGAAACCGTTGACGGGAAACCGCTGCGGCCGGTGACTGGAGGCGGCCAGGATCAGGCGCAAACGCCTCCCCAGTGTTGTCGTAATGGAAGTTGAATTGGACTTTCGGCAATACGGCATAAAAGCGAGGTGGGTTCGTGCTTAAACGGGGGCAACAGACAAGCTCAGCCAGTGGAGGCTCCCGTCTTCACAGATGTTTGCCATTCGATTGGGCCGGAATGCAACTGAACTCTGTAGGAGGCGGCCATTTTGTCCACTCTCCAGCTTTCATCGCGTACAACTTGAATGTACAGGACGGTATACCCGAGAGCGGTTTGCAGCATTCCTCGGTTTCTCTTTGGCGTTCCAGTCTCACTACTTACGAAACTCCATTATTTGTTACGCTGCTGGCTACCTAGTTCGTGCTTTTGTGGGCTGTGGAGTCCATTTACCGCAAAAGGGTTTGTGTTTGTAAGCGAGTCCTGCGCTTTCACTTCAAGGTTTCTGATTGTACAACTTTAACAAATGATACACAAACCATGTGGCTGCCTTGCCGTTGTAAGACTCTCGAGGCGGACATTATTTTTACTCTCCACGTCAGCCTCTAGTCCGAACAGTATTATTAATCCATCACCTTCTTCCCTGCCGTGGTGGACGGCTAGAAATTCCTCGTGATCATGTCCTGATTGAGATAGGACTATGTGAGTGTTCGTGGGTCCGGTTTCTCGGTCCATGAGCGAGAGGCGTCAAGGCTGCGGACTGCTCTCCCAGTTCGGGCCCGAGATACTCTGTCCACCCGCCTACTCAGCAGAATGTCAAACTATCGGGCTCCGACAAATGCTGCCTGCCGGGCTGGTGCTGCTGACGGGAGTTAGCTGCTACCTAGGTAGGGAGGCGCATGGTGGAGGTGACACTGTTACTGCAATATGGTTTGCAAACTCCTCTCGGTCGATGAGTCATCCTCGGTCGAAACCATCAATGCGTGCGTCCCAGGAGGATGGGTGGAGTACAACCCCGGACGCTAGAGGGCAAGGACCGGAATTCTCGTGGCCTGGCACGTTTTGACCAGATCACGGCTATGTGGTCCCGATCTCTGTGTTGCATGGCAGTTACTTGTGTGACACTGCAGAGAAATAGGTTTATTTTCTAGCGGAGGGAACTCGTCGGAAACACTGGCACTCCGATAGCCGGGAGTAGATACAACAGTAGTATTGATGGAATATTGCTGGCCGTGAGTAAAACTCCAAGTGTCCTTTCACACACATCAAAAATCTGTGCTGGCAGCGATGTCCTTCAGGAGGTCCGCTGTTCTCCTTAGCTCATTCACCTGCTCGTTCACTCTCCTCCAGCAATCAGGTCCGAGGATGACTCGCAAAAGGCCTGTCTGCTTGATGAGGGATCCAGCATCTCCCTCCCCGGTCACAGCGTTAAACATCACCCTAGCGGCCTTGGATGGGTCGCCCGCTGCCAGCCCTGGTAATCGCTGGATTTGATCGAGTCGCTGACCAACTGGATGAGGACCTGCATATTCTTCCGATGGCTGAATGTACTTGGCCACATCTGTGAGCGCAAAGCCTGTCCGAAACGCACCTGGCTCCACGATAAGCACCCTTATCCCGAAAGGTGCAACTTCAGAACTGCAGGCCTGGGAGGCTGCTTCAAGAGCCGCCTTACTGGCCGCATAAATGCTGCAGCCCAGACTGGGACAAAGCCCTTGTGTACTTGAAACATTCAATATCACACCTGACCTGCGTTTCCTCATTTCTGGCAACACAGCCTTCATCAACCGCAAAGGTCCCAAGAAATTGGTGCGCATTTGTGCAACAACCTCTTCATCCGGAATGTCCTCTAGCGCACCAAGGACACAGTAACCAGCATTATTCACCAACACATCGATCCTGCCAAACAGGGACTCTGCCTGTTGAATTGTTGCTTTTATTTCCTGCTCACTCTTGGTCGTATCAAGGGTCAGCCATTTGCCACCAAGACCCTCGACTTCGGTGGCCAGTCCTGGTGTTTTCGAGGGGTTTCGGGACGTCGCAACGACAATATGACCCTTGGAAAGAGCATATCGGACCAGTGCCAGGCCGAGACCACTGCTGCAGCCTGTAATCAACCAGACTAACGTGCGCGAGTTGCCTGTTCCCATGTTCGTCGCTGCCGCTGCTGCTGTAGGCATGGCCATCTTGTCGGTTGCACCAGAGATATATCGGAACCAATGCTTGTAGAACAGGTAGACACAGCTCGCAGATTGAGCGAAGACATCAGCTGCGAAGCCCCCTCAATGGGTGTGCGGAGTTATGGTTCGGATTTTGTGTTTACTGTCTCATATATCCGGCGAAACGTGCGGGTAGCTGGTTGCCTGATTATAAGCCCATCTATTCAGCCGTTGAAAGCCAGCGTTAGTAGTGTCGAAAGCCCAGCTGCGTGAAGTGTTGATCGCCCAACGTAGAGGATATCTCTAGTATCAAGTTGCATATCGAGCAAGGTAGATGGCGAGCCGCCGAGGTCGACAGGTGCCTGCTACGATCTTCTCAATCGGAGCCTGATGGATCCTGCTATTTTGCTGTCTTGTTGGTAAGACAACAACCATGACATTGAGACCATTGAGATAGCAGAGGAAGAGTAACAGCCAATAATGCTCGTAATGCTTCTGTTGCCAGCAGGATGTGTCACTCGACATCTGAATGTGACGCGATCGGAACGGGCAGTCGCACCAACAAGTGACAAAACAACAACTGAAAAGCTACGGCATACCAACCTCTTCACATCTTTGATGCAGCCTCAGGCTCATTGCACTTACCATGTACCGCCAGGTCAAGATACCTGGTCCGCTGTGCCAGCGGTCTGACAGCACGCGAGCTGATGGATCAAGTTGGCAGACATCTGGCTGACAAGGCCGCGACATCCCGGCAAGCTGCCAACAGGGTAACGCAAAACAAATGGTACCAACATACTGCACCACTTCTCATCATCATAGTTGAATTTGTTCGCAGTTCAAGTTGAGCGTCCGGCTGCTGGGCTTCTTATTGAAGTCAGCGAAAACATATCGGAAAATGCCTCGGAACGTGACCGGCCTTGGCAAGGAAAGGGATTATTTAGGTCGACGCTGATTGGCTGGGTTGTTGAGAGCATCATAGAACGCCACAGCACTGCGTTCCAGTTCTGCTCAATTCAATCGCTCCTCCTCCAGACTTCCTAGCTTTCCGTTGATAGTCACTCTCCGCTCCATCCTCGATCCAGTCGACACGGGCTCTGAAGCCAAACATTACTGAGTTGCTATCGCTGAGATCCCCGTAATGGCGGCCCTACGTACTGCCTCGCGCCTGGTTGCGCCCAGCCGATCCGTCTTGCGACCTTCGTTCGCTGCCAGATCATATGCCACGGTGACCGAGAACTCATCGTACGACACCTCAGCGAGTCGGCCGCCGGTCCCCCCATCAAAGACGAGCACAGTCGAGGAGCCCAAGAAGGACAAAGATGCGAGGATTAAGACATTCCACATCTACCGCTGGAACCCAGACGAGCCGACCTCGAAGCCGCGCATGCAGACGTATACATTGGACTTGAACAAAACGGGACCCATGGTGTTGGATGCTTTGATCAGAATCAAGAACGAGGTTGACCCGACTTTGACCTTCCGCCGGAGCTGTCGAGAGGGTATCTGTGGGAGCTGCGCCATGAACATTGACGGAGTGAACACTTTGGCCTGCCTCTGTGAGCTAAGAATCCGCGGCGCCCCGGAAGACGGTTTTACTAACACTCGACACAGGCAGAATTCCCACCGACACTGGAAAGGAATCACGAATCTATCCGTTGCCGCATACCTATGTCGTCAAAGACCTTGTGCCAGATTTGACGCATTTCTACAAGCAATACAAGTCCATCAAGCCATTCCTACAAAGGGACACCAAGTCGCCAGATGTGAGTTTGCTTGACTGCGACTGATTTACACGCAGGCATTAACAGCGTTTAGGGCAAGGAATTCAGGCAATCCCCGGCCGACCGTAAGAAGCTGGACGGTCTCTACGAATGTATCTTGTGCGCATGCTGCTCGACCTCCTGCCCATCATACTGGTGGAACAGCGACCAGTACCTGGGCCCGGCAATTCTTCTCCAATCATACCGTTGGCTCGCAGACTCCCGAGACGAGCGCAAGGCTGAGCGCAAAGAAGCTCTCGACAACAGCATGAGCTTGTACCGATGCCACACCATTCTCAACTGCTCTCGAACATGCCCTAAGGGCCTCAACCCGGCCAAGGCGATCGCTGAGATCAAGAAGAGTCTGTCTTTCGCATGAGTTGCGTGGCACTAGGAGAGGAGAGGACCCGGAAAGTTCAATTTGAGGATCATGAGGCGTTCTTTCGGCATGTTTGATCAGTAGCGGTCGCAGCCTTGTATATAAAATGCAGTGCTTCGATATTTACGATTGTATCTGAACCCATCGGCCTGGACACGATGTTGAATGTGCGTGGCCGTAACAATGTATACAATACATCTCCTGATGCAATCGCAACCACCTATATCAAGAAGATGCCCAATCGCATTGGTGTGATTGGCGCTTTGGGTCGTCTCCAAGACTGGCCGTGGAGCTGCGGAGGCACAACACTGACTCGTGGAGTCGAAGCGTTTCTCGGCCAGTTTTGCCTGCGCCAATTCGTCCATCGCTTCGGTCGAATTGTCCGAGATCTTATCTCCCGGGAACCCGACCAGGATACACAAGGTACACAACAATCGCGCCATTTCGCTACCACATCACGACTTCGGCTACAGCGTAACCACTGGCTGAGTCCATATACATACAGGTATGGACAACCCAAGCCTTGTTCTTTCGAGTCTGCAGCAATGGCTTGACAACAGGAGCTTCCTGCCTCGCCGGCGGCCTTGCCCTGATGAATATGTACCCATCACATCGCCCGCCAGGCAAGCCCAATCAGTCAACGATGCTCCCTTCGACTTGTCCCTTCTGTCGGTAACTGCAGCGCATGCAGATAAAGAGTCCGACACTGTTCTCTACCTCGGATATGGCTCCAACCTGAGCGCAGAGACGTTCCGAGGAAAAAGAAACATCAGGCCGTTATCGCAGGTCAATGTTGTTGTCCCCGCATTGTCCTTGTCGTTCGATCTACCGGGGATTCCTTACTCGGAACCATGCTTTGCGAATGTGAGATACCGGGATGTCTCTTCGGTAGAATATGGCGACAATCAGTTCCGAGAGCAGGACTATCACAAGGATCGCTGGCATAAAGGTCTGGTCGGAGTGGTGTATGAAGTCACGAAAGAAGATTTTGCACACATCATCGCTACAGAAGGAGGAGGTTCAGGATACCAAGACGTGCTGGTGGACTGTTATGCTCTGACGGGAGGTCCAACCGAAGATGTCCCCCTGAAGCCTAGCGGTCACTCATTCAAGGCCCATACATTGTTCGCCCCTTCAGGGGCGTCGAGACCAGACCCTTCTTACGCTCAACCCAGTCCTAGGTACCTGAAGTTGATCACCGATGGTGCCACTGAGCATGGGCTACCGCTCGAGTATCAGGCTTTTTTGCACCAGATCCGCGCCTATCGTTTAACCACAATACAGCAGAGGCTTGGTGCCTTCATATTTTTGTCGGTGTGGTCCCCCTTCTTTCTGTTCCTATTTGGAGGCGCTGCCATCTTTCTTCGGCCTGACGGGCGGTATCCGAAATGGTTGACTACATTTCTACGGGCGATGTCCACTGCTGTCTGGGCGAGTTATGATAATTTCTTCAAGCCGATGTTCGGGGATGGAGAAAGGACTATTGAGGATAATGAAGATCTTGAGCAAGACGATCTGATAACCGAAAAATTGCCATTGCTGGAAGAGCAGCATAAATATGGTGCTGTGGATGTGGTGGAAAGGATAGTCTGAGGCAGAATTTATACCTGAGCTTTGGCAGATCCGTGAACATTTGGGGCACTCCGAGTCCTGTTCAGTTTTGGATTGATCCTTTTCAGTGTTGATCTCCGATCCCTGTCGAATGGTGTTTTCAATGGTGGACTGGCATCCAAGCTGATGCTGAGGCTGCCACTGCCACTGCCCGTGCAGTGTCGCTCCTGTTGGCCTTGGCGGCTTCCTGCATCGCATCCCCCATTTCTGAGCCCAACCCCCCAGCTTTGTTACCCTTTGTCTTGCTTTTGAAGCCTTGTACACATAACACAGTCCTAATGGTTGCTCCCTCCTCCACTACGGCGTCGCCTGTCAAGGCCACTCTCAAGCGAAGGGCGCCAAAAGAGCCAGCTACTTCCAACAAGCCGTCACACGAGTCCGCTAGGAATGGGTCGAACTCGAGCGAATATGATTTACCACCGGATGATAAGGAGCTGTCCGGTTCCAGAAAGAGAGCGAAGACGGAAGACACGAAACCATCCGTCAAGAAGCCACTTCGCAATGATACAACAAGCAAGAACAAAACCACCGGCAAAAGAGCCCCCGTGCAGAAGGTGGCCCCCAAGAAGAGGTCAACTGCGGTTATTGTGCAAACATCTACCAAAAACGACGAGGCAACGGCAGCGTCGATCCGGACGAGACGCACTACGAAGCGGCCGAAGTATGTGGAAGACTCCAGCGACAGCGAGGACGAGACCTCACATAACCCTTCGCCAAAGGAGACAGCCTGGAATGGGAGAAGATCAGATGCTATGCCTCAGGAGCTGGCCGATGGTTCTTATCCACTGAGCAAGGAAGCTCTGGAAAATGTGCTTCAAGTCTCGCAAGTTGACTTTGAATCATATCTCGAGGATTTTGTGCCGACTTCAGCCTTGAATCCACAAAATAACTGTATCGAAACACCTGTTGCCGCCGACACCATCACTACCCCGAAACGTTCGCCGATGCGCCCTAGCGAAGGACCCATTCCTCCCGTCAGCGAGAAATTGGTTCGAAAGACAGCAATTGTGCATTTCGACCCACAGGGCCCTAAAAATCAAGCTGTGCCGCCGCGACCTACTGTGGAAGATGAGCCTGAGAGCCATTCCCTAGTAGATGAAAATGGGCAGACTCACGATGTGGCGGGTGAGGAGTCATTCCGTTCTGTTGGCCTCGAATGTTCTGCAGACGATGGACCTGGTCAGGGTGAAGATGGCGTTAATAAAGATGATCAGTTTTCTGTCATCGAGACTGGACACGGGCTTATAACTGCACTTGGCACAAGTCCCGAGAACTCAACTCGGGACAGTAGTGTTCTTGAGGATGGATCCGAGCACATTGAGACTGACGAAAGCGACGATCCTGTCGATGGTCCGGGTGTGCTACACAAGCCGGAGCACCCCATCCAAGATGTGCCTATCGCTGTGGGACTGCGCTCGCCACCTCATAAGGGCGAGTCTATTACGGATCGTGAGGCATCTCCAAAGGTTATAATGCGGACTGTGCCTACGCGACGATCCATTTGGCTCAGCCCTGCCTTGGACGAAGAGCATACCGTGTCTGAGAACGTCATCATTTCTGGGAGGGTCCCAACCAGTTTTGCTCTGGAAACAGAACCCCGCCGAGGTAAAACTCGCGACAGAGACGCCGAGCTTCGACAAATAGCCCTGGTGGGGTTAGAAACGATGAAATCAACGTCCGTCTCGGGGGTTGCAGCAACAGCAGTGGACCAAACAACCGACCCGAATCCACCTACTAGGACCTCTAAGACCTCTCGAACCTCCCTCTGGGCTTCCGAAATGGTACCTATGGGACCTCCACCGCCACGAAGCATTCCACATGGGTCTACAATCCATACGCGCTTGACTGATACCACCACCACGATTGCTTCAAAGAGGTTTCAGCTGGCCGCTGAAGAAACAGTTACGAAGCCGCGGAAGCCAGCAGTGCCGCCACCAGTGCGCGTCAAAAGGGCTGTTCCAAGTAATCCAGTCATGGAGGAGCCTGCTGTGCAACCCGAGGCGGATATACCTCCAGCAACGCCCCTGTCGTTCTGTACCCGGTTGGAAATGAAAGCACCTGCGCTTCATGACAGCGTACCGGATGTTGATGCCTGCATGTCAACCAAGGAGAAGGTCTCAGCGCAGCAACTGGAAGACGGAAGTTTAACCCTGGTCGATGATCACCCGACTACGGGACAACGTACAGCGCTGTGGGCGAGAAGAGCAGGAAGAGAACGCCCCGAGCCCACTGACGATGCGTCTTCTGTTGCATCACCCCCACGGCGACGCAGAAACTTCCCACTCGAGGAGAAGGAGAAGTCGAAGCAGGTTCACGCTCGCGATTCTCAGCATGGGCTTTTGGACTCGATTCTACAGATAACCAACGTGCGAGTTCAAGGATATAATCTATGTCTTTGTTGCTGACTGATCTTCAGGATGTGCTATTTCGATTGGCGGAGGAAGAGGACGCCGTCAAAGCAAAAGTCAAGGAACTTTATCGTGGCGGAGACGACATTATCCAGACTCTGACGGACAGTTGGAACGAGCGACTAGGACACGAACATCAAAACCTCTCTGGTTGCCTCAGCGGAGAAAAGAAGATGCTAACAACAGCTATGCAAGTGGTCGAGGAGCAGGATGCGGGGCAGTGGAAAAGCATACTTTGCAACCCGCAAGTTTCAAGAAATACGGCCGACAAGAGGGGTGGTCTAATCGGGCGAATTGAGGCTCTGAGGAAGAACCGCCAGTAAAATGTGTTAAGATTGGGGTTTCTAATTTTGCAAGGGCTTCAGAAATAGTGGGCAATGGTTACGACAAGATCTCAATATCGGTTGCGCTGTCACTAGGTGTATACAAATACCACTACTCGGTAAGCTCAGACAAGTCAGTTACTAGCACTTCATCATGAGTTGCTCCGTGTACACTGTCATGCTTTTATTTACCATTTTCTCTTTTCTAGAACACGGGGCCTGTCCCACTTTTCTCATCGGTTGGTGCTGGATTGCCGGTTGGGGACCCGGGGAACGTTCATTCGTCTTTTTTCCTATTGGATTGCCTTGGTCCCTGGTTTCACGAGTCCTGGGACACTCATCAGAAATGATTTCCAGTCGGTGCCCGTGCCAGACACGAGTCCGGAAGATCGACCTTGACCATTGTGGCGTGACCTCTGTCGTCCACCAGCAAGGCGTAATTTTTCTCAATCAGCGACCAATCCTGGACCTTGTAAGTGGTCGGCTCGCTGGCGACAATGACATGTTTGCCATGTTCTGAGACCTGTTTTGTGGCATTTGGGTTTTCGGCCGCGCCCGAGGGCAGGTCGGGATACTTGCGGTTCAAGGTGACGCCGGCCCGGGTGGACCAGTACAGCGAGGGCGGTTGTTCGACGGCATGGTTCCGCAGGCGCACGGCGACCATTTGCCGGCCGTCGGTGCAGCAGACATTGAGGGACGAGGCCTGTACGTTCTGCGGGCCACCGAGAACTTTTTGTTGTAGTGCAATGATGGCTTTGAATGCGGACACAAGGGCGTCGAGCATTTCGGTCGTGGTGTATTGATGTTGCCAGCTGGAATCATCTTGGGAATTTGCTGATGATGTTGTTGATGATGATGCTGATGATTTGGTCAAATAAGTCATATACAAAGCAGCAAGATGCTCCGAGTCCGTGGTTCCATGGACATTTTCATAGGCCGGTTTCTCCATCAAATCGAGCAGTGGTCTCCGAATGTCTCCGAAATGCGCAACAAGACCATTGTGCATGAGGGTGTGTCGACCAAACACGAACGGGTGGTTGTTGATCGTGGCCACGGTGGCGGGATTGCCTGTTGCCGCGCGGATGTGTGCAAATAGTGCGGTCGTCGCCGTGTTGGCGCACATGCTGTGGAAGTTGGCGTCGTTGTTGGGCGGTTGGCTGTGCTTGTAGAGCGCTGGTCGGGTGCCGTTGACGGGCTTCACGAAATCCGATCGGGTTCCTGTGTACCATGCCATGCCGAACCCGTCGACGTTGAACAGGCGGTTGCGGAGCGTGATTTCTTGCGGGGTCGTCTCTTGGCCTGGAATGTGGGATATCAGGCGGGGGAGGTAGTGCTCGTGCACTTGTTTGGAAAGGGCGTGGTCCTGGAAGGGCCTGGATTAGCTCTTGGGTTTGGGAAACAGAAACAGTGTCGATAGGGTAGGGTAAGTGGTCAGTGCCAGGGGTTAGAAGTTAGGCTTTTGTCGGCAATATTGTACATAGGTAGGTATGGAGTAGTGGAAAGGAGCGGCTCTGAATCCAGATGCTTTCTGCTACTACCCACCGGTGTAATGAGCACATCTTCAAGGAGACACTCCTCGTCCGGGGAGAGGTATGCGAACCAGCGACACATGGTGCATTAGCGGTTATGGTCTGAATCACGGTGAAAGGTCGAATTGTTGCTTGCAAAGTCGACGTAGGAGGGGGCAATATGGTCAAATTCTCAGACTGATTGTTTTCTTTCGAGTTGGATAACTTGCTCAATCGGTGTCGAATACTGCTAGGTGAACTTGAACTTGGATGATGAATGAAGGTTTAGCAAAGTTGAGAACAAGGAAGTTGGAAATCTGTCTCGAGGCCCACAACGTCTGTCTGTTCATTGACGTCGTTGTATGATACTAGTGCAGTGGTGCTGGTACTCCTGACGATTCAAGTTCATGGGACTGTCACCACTAAGGTTGGCTACCACCTTCCCGCCACCACCAGGATCCCGCCATAGCGCGTAGCACGCGCCCCTACTACCCACCTATTAACAAAACCTTCGTATTCCTCTACCAATTGACCTTCTACCACGTCGTCGTTATAGATCCTGCTAGCCAGGCTCTCGTTGCACTCGATTCTAGTGTCGTAAAGACTGTACGATAGGCGGCGCTCTACGCAGGCGCCTCAAGATCAACTGTACGCGACCGCGCCAACGGCGCGAGACCTAAAGGACAAGAAGAGGTCTCGCACGCAAAACTTACGCGGCAATAGAAAGATGTTCTAGCTATATATATTCGAGACCTACAGTTACAATATACGCCAGTTAATCGTACGCAACTAGCGCGCGTTACGCAGGATCTCGCGCGCCAAAGGCACCCCTTCGTCAGGCTCGGTATACACTAGGTCTCTCGCTTTATTAAGCGACGACCTAAGTTAAGTTATACGCGCAATAGAGCGCTCGACGCCAGCAGGATCTAGGCTACTATTCCTTATTAACTAGACGGCTAGTTTACGTATCTTTCTAAAGTCGTACGACGCTTCCAGATCCTACTAAAGAATATCTAGAATATGGACGAGATAGGCTTTTAAATAAGCCACTTATAGAAGGAGTCTATAGTCTTTGATCGACGTACGGGGCCATCTCTCTTAATTGCGAGTAGTTCTATAGGCTAGGTCTCGGTCCTAGAGTATATCTCCGCCGCGGACGACGCTATAAAGCCCTTAGTTATTTACCGTAGTAGGCTACTAAATTAACCGCTTAACTACTAGTTTCCATTATCGCCTAAGTGCCCTAATTAGCGTTAGGGCTTTATAGAGAGAGGCTAGACGACGAATAAGTACGCTCTCGAGTGGCTAAAAGAGATATTTATTCCTAAGAGTCGCCGAGGGCGTTATTAAGACGACGCCTCGTACTAGCGACTCCTTATTCTAGATAGCTACGGAAGTTACGTAATAGGCGAGTTTATCTATCTCTACCTCGTAAACCAGATTACGCTCGTTTATCTACTACCTTATACGTCGTATCTCTATTAGCCGTACGATTTAGGCCTATTTAGTCGCCTTAAGACTTACTACGCTCAAAACCTTAAGGAATTCATTCTAGTAGGCGAGTCTTAAGTCTCACGCGCCCAGTTCAACGTTCTCTATTATCGTACGCGTCAATAGGGCTTTACTAGGCAATATATCTCTACAGGCTAGCGTAGAAGTAGCCTCTAGCCGATCGCACCTAACAGAGTACTCAACAAACTAGAGGTTATAGCCTATAGATAGGCTAGACTAACTACCCCGGAGCGTTCTGAGCCTCAAGACGTGCGTACGCTTAGGACGCCAATAGATATCGCCTCGCTAACGACTCTAAACGCGTCTATCAGTCATAAACTGACTCGCTCTCTACGTAAAGCCCAGCGTCTATTCATACGCGGCTTTATCGCAGTCGATTCTAGGGCTAGAGTGCTTTAGACTAAGTTACTAGCCGTACGTAAGCGCGTACGAGAAGATGAAGAAGAGGCTAGCAATAAACGCCTTCGCAAGCAGGATAAGAAGCGCTCCTAGGACGTCGTCGACGTCTTTAAGGCTAGAGGGCACTCACAGGAGGAAAGCGAGTTATTCTGCGCTATCCTGCCAGATAGAGAGACGATCTACGCGATGCTAGAGTAGCTAGATTCATAGTTATTCTCTATACAAAATCGCAGACTCGGCATCAACTTGTTCGTTGCGTAGTGCGTACAAACGCGCGCGGCATAGTAGGATTTCACTAGTGGCGGGATCCTGGTGGTGGCGGGAAGGTGGTAGCCAACCTTACTAGTAAGAGGCGAACGTGGTGGACCAGTGGGGCATCGTTCCGGGGTGCTTAATGCTTAGCATCCCTTGCAGGAGCATCGCCAGCCAACTCTAACCCGCCAAGCTTCGGCTAAGGTTAAGCATGATTGTTTCCAGCCTGGTGGCACCCTCGGGGTTCATCTCAACTCCCAGTTCCTGTTGCACCACAGGCACCGAATCCAGGAGCACGCCGTGATACGATTCTCGACTGAATATCATTGAATTTCGGAGAATTAGATACCATGTACGGCTTCGCCCGGCTGACGAGACATAAGGCTATGTCGTCATCCTCGAATCGCTCTTAATTCGAGGCGTTGGTTTCTCAAGTGTTTCTCATGGTATCAAGAGATACGCAACCATCGGTCAGCGTTCTCGACGTCCTTCTTCTTCCGGAGTAGAGGAGACTTCCTTTACCAGTTGACCGGTATGATACACTGCCTACGAGGCAAGAATCTAGGTATGTTTGAGATTGCTTCCTACTAGTCGCCAACAACTCTTCAAGCGAGGTGTCAGAACATCACTTTTGGTACAAGCTGCCAATAAACAAAGCACCACAATCATTCCTCTCCACCTCCTTGGATTCTGGCGTGATTTGGCCGGTGGCCGCCTTGACAATCGCCTCCGCAATAGGCTCAGGCGGCTCGATCTTCCCTTCCTTAGCCCAAGTATTGAACCTCTCGCGTTCCTCAGGCCGCATGATATGGTCATATTCGCCATTGAAGATCTTGTCGACCATCGGGGACTTTGTGACCAGTGGCAGCACGCCGTATACGTCCAGGCCGGGCTCTTCGTGCGCCAGCAAATGAATGAAGCGCGTCAATGCGGCCTTGGAGGTACAATATCCAGTCCAGCCGCGGTACAGGACGCTGGAGTCCACGCCGCTGGTCACAATGATGACAGTGGGCTTCCGCTCGCCCCAGGCAGACAGGTGCGGCAGTGAGCGCTGGACCAGATCGAACACGGAGAAGAAATTGATCTCGAAGATCTTTTTAATCTCGGCAAGAGGGACATCCCTGATTGTCTGGACTGGAAGCATGGTTCCCACACAGCTTATCAGGTGCGTCATGGTGCCATAGTTGGATATCGTCTCTTTGACGGCTTTGGCCACGATGTCTGCCTGTGAGAAGAATTAGTTTCGTCTAAAGGTGGTGTAGGATATCGCCATCCTAAGCCCCGGGGGGGGGGGGGGGGAACTCACATCGCAAACGTCACCGTAGACGGTGTTTAGACATCCTTTGCCGTATTGCTCTTCCAACGCGGTGAGCTCGGCTGTGGGAAACAATGTCAACACCTGGACCCGAATTCCTGGATGCTTCTGCAAAAGTTGGGACAGAACACTGAGACCAATGCCACTTCCAGCACCGGTGAGGAGGATGGTAGGGGATGGTTGTGTTGCAGTCATTTTCTGAAGTCTTATTCTGTTCAGCTGGGGTGTGAACTGCCTTCAAGGTCGACTTGAGCGGTCGGTGAGTGCATGAGGCTCCCTGGGCCATAAGCTGTATTTACATGGCACTGTTCCTGGGGTGGAAGTGGTGCGCTTTCCACGATGGGGCGCGCATCGCCGTATCCAGACGGCCTTGAGCGACGTTCGTGTGGGGACAATGGCGCCCTCGCCCATCTCAACATCCACGCGACAAAAGACCACGCGGGGTTTAGTTTATATTCGTTCCATTACATGGGGCCCGGGCTCTTAGTAGTAGACATGGAACTGCTCGCTGTCCGTCCCTAGGGTCGTCGCTACGATCACAAAACGTGTCGTTGGCGGGACGGACTTCGGCTTGATTTCTGTACTTTTCCTGTCAGCCATCGTTAAATTCGTACATGCGCTCTGTGTTCGGTAATGTCTGGATAAGTAAGCCATGATCAGCAGCTCGCCCAGAGGCCAGGAGATGTTAGCCTGAATACTGTCTACGTTGGGCACTCGTATGGTTGTACTACTGGTATATAACCTCGAAGCTCGTTTATTTTTCTAAAGCCGAGGGAATCGTTTATCGGGTCGAGGTTGCTTAAACAACTTAGCGTCCAATTGTCGCCCGTCGTATTGGCTAGGTTTGGGCTGCTAGACGCCGACTATCCAGCAAGGGGAATAACCCCAGTTCCGCCGTCGGAATTGCCGATAAGGACAGGAAGCTGCTAGACGAGCCTCAATTGATATATCGGAACATCCAGGTCCACTGTGGTATATCCTCCTCTGATTGTTCCAACTTTTTTTCGACTCTCAAACTGTATATATACGCTCGTCAATTGGTCGAGTCCGCCCAGACACAAGTCCAAAATGTCCAATTTGAAGCAGGCCGTTTCGACCGACAAGGCACCCAAGTCATTGCCTAACATCTTGAACCAAGCCATTGTTGCCAATGGCTTAGTCTTTTGTTCCGGTCAGCTCCCCGTGGATCCAACGACGAAGAAATTGGTGGAAGGTGATATCCAGGCTCGTACGGTTCGTCAACCCGGTCGGGAGTCTCCATGGAACAGTAATTAACCACAGCCACAGCACCAATGCATCCGAAACCTGGGAGCGGTTCTCGAAGCTGCCGGGTCAGGCCTGGACAAGGTTGTCGAAGTCAACGTCTTCCTAGCAGACATGAAAGACTTTGTCAAGATGAACGAAGTCTACGCACAGTACTGGGGAGACGTAAAGCCAGCCAGAACGTGAGCCATGATCTTCATGTGTGATTCCCCCTGCAGTAGCTGATCATCAACAGGTGCGTGGCCGTCAAGACTCTGCCTTCCAACACCGACGTCGAGATCAAGTGTGTCGGCGTGGTCGCGAAGCAGTCCAAATTATGATTCGGCTCTAGCGAGTCGGCATGGAAGGTGTGCTTTTACATGGCTGTTGATTATCCCGCTTGGGATTCAGTGAGGTGTCCTGCAATCAGCTTGAGACGAAGAACAACAGCTCTCCCGGGACAGGTGCACCACTGGTTACTCAAACGCATGTCAGACCCTGACCATTTGCCTGTTCAGCTTCGGTGCAAGATCACCGTTGCTAGGCATGTAAAGGAGTACAGGACCCCCAAGACAGGAGTCGTTGGACCCAATATGTCAGTGTGGACAAGCAGTGCCAGAACTAAATTCTCCCATATTATTACACATCTGCCGTCCGGGAGATACACGCAGCAGGGGCTGTCTTTCGTAGACTCGGAGTCAGGGTATCCTGCTCCTTGAATCCCATATGATCGACACCCGCACCAGAGCCCCTGGCATTTATAGGTAGCGCATGGCCAGGACGAGGCAGACTTTCCCGCCATCAGCGACGAGAGCATATAAGAATAATGAACTAGCAGGGAGAGGAGCCCCTGATGAAACGGTGTAGAATACTATCAAGCCACGGTAACCATCTAGATGACTAACTACCTGAATAGATGCGGAGTGGCCCGAGGCGGCCTGGGGAGGCCGTGTATTGCACACTGCACGCGCGTAACGGCGCGCCAAGAGTGTAAATACCGTGACGGGGCCTGTACCACGAGCGCAGATCAGATGGACAAGCGGTCCTTTAGGGCATGAATTTCCAGCGTCAGTACCACTGCAGTTCTCTGGGGTCTCGCCGTGTTTGAGCATCCTCCTTGCATACTGCAGGGCTTCGTTTTGGATATTTTGTCACTCGGCTCTATAATGTTTGCTCGGCCCTGTCGGTGGTCTTGTTGACCTTGCGCCTGCAATCCCGCACCCTCGTCCGCTACCAGGTTGACACTCGGAGTCGGCTGGTCCGATTCCCTTTGAGATGTCCTTCTCAGTACCCCAGAATGTCCCTGAATTTACGAGTACCCAGCGATCATATGAAGACACCTACTGGCGGCACAAGCAAAGTAATGGCCATACTAAAGAGGGAACCTTGGGAGGAGTTGCTTCCAAAATCCACGACATTTTTGGAGAGCACCGCGGCCAGGATCTGCCAATGTACAAGGACAAGCCAAACTTCCCGTCGAGGCGGAGACGAGGAATGTTAGACCGCAAGAGAATTATGGGGGTGGTTGGATTTGTGACAATACTTTCTTTCTGGTGGTTGGGTTGGTTGCCTTGGAGTTCCAGGACGGTGTACGATGCGGCCGCACATCAACATACCTTCTTCGACCAGGGAGACTGGTCCGACCAAAGGGAGGCTGTCAAAAAGGTCTTTCAGACGACATGGGCGGGCTACGAGAAATATGCCTGGGGAATGGACGAGTATCACCCGCTGAGCAGGAAGGGGAAGAACATGGTCCAAGGAGGAATGGGTTGGATCATCGTCGACGCCCTCGATACGGCTATGATGATGAACCTGACTTCCGAGGTGGCAAAAGCAAGAGAGTGGATATCCACATCGCTTTCATATAACGCAGATCACGACGTGAACACCTTCGAGACGACGATTCGAATGCTCGGTGGATTGCTATCCGCTTATTACATTTCAACAAACTTCCCGCACCTGGCGCCTCAACGTGACGATGATATAAATCAACCTGGAGAAGACCTTTATATTGAAAAGGCTACGGACCTGGCGGATCGTCTGCTTGGGGCTTACGATTCCCCTTCGGGCATCCCTTATGCCTCCATAAACCTCAATACTTCCCGGGGCATTATCTCTCATCTCGATGGTGGGGCATCCTCTACTGCTGAGGCAGCCACTTTGCAGCTCGAGATGAAGTACCTTTCAAAGATCACAGGCGAGCCAGTTTACTGGCAGCAGGCAGAAAAGGTCATGGAGGCCATCGACGCACAACACCCGCAAGATGGGCTGGTTCCCATATTTATCTATCCCTCCACAGGTCAATTTCGGGGCGAGAACATCAGACTCGGCTCTCGGGGCGACAGCTATTACGAATATCTGATCAAGCAGTACCTCCAAACGGGCGGTGTGGAGAATGTGTATCTGGACATGTGGGAAGAGGCATTGGCAGGTGTCAAGAAGCATCTCGTTACTTATTCCAAACATGCGTCTCTGACCATCCTGGCGGAAAGGCAGAACGGTCTCAGCATGCCCCTGACGCCTAAAATGGATCATCTCGTGTGCTTCATGCCGGGTACGATAGCGCTGGCCGTCACCGAAGGACAGTCGGTTCAAGAAGCCAAAGCCAGATTGGGAGACAAATGGACAAAAAAACATGACGAGGATCTAAAGCTCGCAGAAGAGTTGATGAAGACCTGCTGGGGCATGTATAAGGTCACGCCGACCGGCCTGGCCCCTGAAATTTCTTACTTCCGCACTGATACGCCGCCACGACAGTGGCAGGGGCATGTTGACCCGGACTGGTCGCCTCCTCAATCGAGTCCTCTTTCCGATGACCCTGATGCTGACTGGAGATTGGACTACGACATTCACTCCAACGACGTGCATAACCTCCAGCGCCCAGAGACTGTCGAGTCGCTGTTCTACATGTATCGGATCACCAAGGATCCCAAATATCGACAGTGGGGCTGGGAAATGTTCGAAGCATTCCGTGAACACACCAAGGTCGTCGATGAAGTCACGGGCGAGGTCTACGCCTACACTTCCTTGTACACCGTGATGGAAAATCCCGTTAAAAATCGCAAGAAGCGTGATAATATGGAGAGCTTCTGGTTGGCCGAAACGTTAAAATACTTCTACCTGCTTTTCTCCGACGACGACTTCTTCCCATTGGACAAGGTTGTGTACAATACTGAAGCACATCCGTTGCCCAAGTTCGACATAAGCGGAAGTAAAGTGTTCAAGACTGGCTGGCAAAGGGGCAAGGACGCACCCCGCCCAGCAACCCCTGGTGACAATCGCATACGAAAGGGTGCTACTAGGGAGAATGAGGCCATCAGGGTAGGAGATGGCGTTCGCTTTGATGATACCGGCAAGCGTGTGGAAATAGAAGTCGCACGCGTCGGGGAAGTACAAGCACCCGTTGCACAAGCGCCTGTCCATGACCATGACGATACCGTTGAACATGGCCACATCGAAGAGAGTGGTAAAGGAATACCAGCCGCAGAACATTCAAACCTGGAAAATTTGAAAGAAGGGCTTGCAAAATAAGCCGGGGTCGAAGATGCCTCATCAAGAGATGGAAGCGGCACTCGCTCTCGTCTCCGCAACAATGTTGGCCATTGTTGCTTTCTTGTCATGCTGTTGGATATGCACTGTAAAAGTGATTTTTGGATGGTTGCGGGCCCTGGGCCACTTTGATATGTATGACAAAGCAGGCAAATGGTGCAAACAGTTGCATACCTCAACGGGGTATCAAGGGGCAGGCATTTTCAAGTGAACGAGGGCCGGTCGTATTGCCAACAGGATATTGCATACCAAATGCCGATGCCAATGCCAATGCCAATGCCAATGCCATCAGTTGCATATTGTTTCCCGTGGTCGCTCGAGGCTTGTTTTTCGCTTGGCTAGCCAGCCCGAGCGTGAAACAGCTGCTTGTTCGAGCGGCAAGTTGCTGCAGCATCCTGATCCATCAACGCACTAAGGTAGCGCGATCCGCCGCAGTGTTGATGCGAGAAAGTCGTAAATCATTCCGACAAAGCCTAGTCGACAACAGCACGTCGAGGTGTGTCCGCCTTCCAAGGCACCTGCGGAGCAGAGTGCTGGTAATAAGAAATGCTTCAACGTGTCGGCCAATGGCTACCAAAAGGCTAGCAGAAGGCTTGCCCTTCGACACTCCTCGTTCAGCTCAGGGCAACGGTTGAGCCAGCTATCCAGTCGTAAATCGCTCTGTACTGTAACAAGAGGCTCGGTTTTGAGACTCGTACCCCAGAAGCAGGAGATGACTCGAGGTATAGATGCAAATCGTGTTCTCGTCATGCATAATAGGTGCCACATTCAGAACTTGGGACCTCTCCTCCGCCCAGTGTATTTCGAATCCGATTTCACAACCTTGCCCTTATTCCTCATTTTCTCCTTCTTCTTCATTATCCACTGCTTGCTACCCTTGACATCGTCACCCTTTCTCCTGCCTTTTTGCATTGCTTCTCTCAGTTTCCGCCCATCCTCAATATCAACGCCCTCCATCTTTGACACTGTGCCAGTGATATCGCCGCCGCCGACGCTCAAGACCAAATACGTCTTTTGGTTTTTAGTCCCGCCATCGTCCTCGAGGATACCTGCGCCGAACCCGGCTCTCACAGCAGCCTGACTGATCATGGTGCGCTGCTGTTCGTTTTTCGGATAGAACTGACAGACGGCTCTTGCGCCTCTGCGCAGTGAGGCATATAACCCGTCAAAAAACCGACGCAGCCGTCCCTCGGGGCTGACACCGCTCGTCTCGGCGTTGCACAACCACTGGATCGCACTGATGCTGATCGCGGCGTCGAAGGTACCGGCCCTAAAGGGGATTCCTTGGCCCATGTCTGCCAGGAATAGATCGCCCTCGACGGATTCCCGCTGTAGTGCAATATCTAACATGCTGGGCGATATGTCCATCCCTACCCATATGTGGCCGTCTTCTGAAAGTATTTCGCCGGATAAACCTGATCCGCAGCCGATGTCGAGAATGAATGATGGTTCTTGGAGGTCGAGGAGTTCTAACGCCCGGTTTGTCATGGATGCTTGGATTGCTTGAATTCGTGAGGATGTGGTGTATTTCGCGGACTCGGTGTCATTGTAGTATAGGTCTGGGGGGAGGAGGTCTTCTGGACGGGACATGTTGAGAGAGGGTCTGGGTTGGATGTGCTAGGTATCCTTTGAAAACGCCGGCTCCAAAGCACCGCAAAAGAAAGATTCAATAACAATAATGACAGGGCATTTGCATAGAAGTTTGCCGTAGACAACAAATACAGCGTAGCTACATCGCTGCGCGTGAAAAGAAAAGTCTCGGAGTTAGTGATTGAATTTTTGTGGGGAACATTTTGCTGTTTCCACTGCTGTGCCAGTGAGCGACAAGGCTGGCGAATGGGGCGTGTGGGAAATGATAGCACAGCCTCGTGCGCAGCATCCACCTCTCCGGGTTCATCTCGGTCTACAGACACGACCCCCTCCTCACCGCTGTGATCATTATCATCGCCTGTGCTTTCTCTCCTGCTGGAACTGTTCCCGTGCCATCTGCCCTGGTCCTGTCCTCAACAAAAGGCGATACCTATTCAGACCTTATGCCATTGCATCTGGCAGAAACGAACTCGCAGCAGCGACCTCTTCGGAGGCCGCAGACCGCATGTCCCACCTTGACGTCCTCCTCGTACAGCATCAGCAGCAACAACAACAACAACAGCAACAGCATCACTTAAATGGCCACAGCGGTTTTATTCTCGCAGTCTTCTGCATTGTTTCCGCGTTTGTGATATGGCCTGTACGCATCCCTATCCCAACAGCACTAGGACGGTTGATAGTGTCTTGTCTGAGGCGGACCCGCATCATCCCTGCTTCGTCATATCATGAATTGTCCCATTTGCAACCACTCCATTTTTCGCTTTCGCTCAAGACTGCACCGGTGATTGGAGTCATACTGTTACTGGCTACGACCACCATCCACGGCAGCACCATTAGACTTGGTATCGTGGGCGACGAAACCATCAAGCCATACGATGTGCTTGTCTTGTTCATTTCGCTGGTACAGTTGCATCCTGATAACAACAATACAAAGACTCTCACGCACAGCGCAAAGACTAACTAGTGTTTTTAACAGGCTTACATTTCAATTGCGCTCGATGGAACGGGTGCCCTGGAGGCTGTTGCACTCTGGGTTTCGAAGCGTGGAGGAAGCTCCGGTCGACTATTGTTCACGTATCTCTATTCCTTTTTCCTGCTTACAGCGTGCATTGTCGGGAATGATCCTTTGATCCTCTCCGGAACTCCGGTGAGCGTGTTCCAGCCAAGATTCAACTTGGATACACTAACGTTGTTGTCCAGTTTCTGGGATATCTCACCCACCACGCCAGGTTGGAGCCGGAAGCATGGATTTTCAGTGAATTCATGGCTGCCAACACGGCCTCGGCTGTACTGGTGTCTTCCAACCCTACGAATATCCTCATTGCAGGAAGTTTCTCGCTGAACTTTCTGACCGGATTCACCAAATGGACAATACTGCCGTCAATAATTCCAGCGATCCTGACGTATCCGATTCTGATGGTCATGTTTTGGAAGAAGATCCCCAAAACGCTGACTCCACTCACCGACAATCCGTGGTTGAAGCTGCGCGACCGTCCTGGCGCAATTGCATTGAGTATATTGATGTTGGTCACTGTGGCTGTGTTGGTCGGCACGAGCTTTGTCCCTGATCAAGCAGTTGAAGTCTGGATGGTGACGGCTCCAGCAGGTGTGCTGGCTTTCCTGTTCAACGTCGGTCGAGACTGGTGGGATCTGAAAGATCAGCGCCACGACCAAGTGGCAGATACGACGGCCGGGAATCACCTGGCTACCGACCACGGGGTCGAATCTGCAGAAAAAGAAGCAGAAAGGAGCAGTAGTTCGGCCGACCCGGACCCCATACCATCGGCGGACGCAGGACCCTCGCCCTCATTAGGGCCGCATGAGAAACCTACTGAACATGAACCGACTACTCTCGTGTCCTTGGTCAAGAGACTGGCGCGCCGGTTTCCGGGAACCACTCGAACAATCCTCCGACTTCCTATCCCGCTCCTACCATTTGCAATGTGCGAGTTCATTCTCGTCCGTGGCCTACAGCAGCGAGGCTGGATTGAAGTGTTTGCCAGGGGATTCGCCAATGCATGCACCACTCCCGCAAAGGCGGTCTTCTTCATGGGGTTTATCAGTGCGGCGTTTCTCTGTCCCTTGGCAGGAACCAATATCGGCGCCACCATCATTCTGGTCGAGATCATGCGACATCCTGCTTTTGCCCAGTCGGCTGCTGTTGTTGCTGATCGACGGGTCTTGTTGGCCGCGATATACGCCGTTGCCATGGGCAGCAATATCGGAGCATTTAGTTACACGTTTGCAGGCAGTCTGGCGGGGCTGCTGTGGCGGGACCTTCTGGCTGACAAGGCTATCAAAGTCAGCCAGCTCAAGTTCGCCCTGATTAATGCCCTGCCTTTGCTCATGCAGATCACCGTGTCGTCCGCTATCGTCCTCGGGGAAGTTTACTGGTTTGCTTGAGCGGGAATGAAACGGCGGGATCATCATGACTGGAGTGATTTTGTAAGCGTTCATAGCATGACTTTTCCATGATTGACTGATGCTATTCCGTCGGCCCGGGCTTTTATGACATGGGCCTTAAAACACGAGGAATTCGTCGAGAATTCGATATTCATTCAATGCTCTCTGTTTCCTCTTCTGCCTGTTGGACATTGCGACGGACAAGATCCAAGAATTGATGAGTTGATCAACCTCTCGAAATAGTAGTTCCGAAACGCTCCACTGCACGTTGTGTTTAGGGGGAGTACCTTACTGTATCCAGTATTGTACTTGAGGAGTCACGGTGGTCACGGTCCGAGCCCTTGAACTTCCGCCGTCTAGGTACATACGGTACATACGGCGGTCTCCTGAGTACTAATAGCTCCGAAAAGGGGGCCATGGGGCCACCACCAGCCGCCGGAACAAAGACCTTTTTTATTCTTCCGAGGATATGGCGGTCTCCTGAGTACGAATATACGACAGCCTACAGAGTCCAAGCCGGTGGTCTTGCGGCTTGTATTCACTTGCTTTTCTTCACACGGTCACTGTTATCCTTATCATTTGGCATAACCACTGCATATCAGCACCATGACACATTGGATAAAATGCAGAAATTGTTTACAAAAAAGAATGGGAGTGTTCGCTCCAATGTGTACGCAAGAATCAAAACTCATGCGAAGTCAAGGACTGAATAAAGGAGCTTGCCACCAAGGAACAAACCTCCATATTATGTATTCTTGTCGCCAACGGAGATTTGTCGTTCTCGAGTCACAAAGTCAGAACATATCTACCAGGTAGACTGTATATACACTGGCAGGACAATTGTGGTAGACCTGACATCGTGGGTCAGCCAGCGCCTTTCACCTTCAAGTTACATCGGCTGCGGAAACTTGAACTTGACAAAGTGGTCTTTTTAATCCGGGGAACGTGCGCAACGTTCTCGACTCTCCTACCTACTACTAGTAACGTCAACATGCGGACCAGACAAGACCTCACCCAAACACCCCGTCTTACCTCCGTCGACTAAATCGTACAGCATCTGCGTTCTGCGGCGCACGGCGGCAACAATGTACATCCTCCCCGTCCTAGGCTACATCGGCCTAATCCTAGGCTTCGGGTTCCTCACTCTATCCATCGCATCGGGCCTCTACTACCTATCCGAACTGGTCGAAGAGCACTCAGTCTTCAGCGCGAAACTGCTGCGCCGGCTCATCTACGCCGTGGTCGCTATCCAAATTCTCCTATGGCTCGTCGACGGCTTCCCCTGGCACCTGGTACTATTCGGAGTCGCGAGCCACTTTGTCTACGCCATCAACCTGCGGCATTTCCCTACCGTTAAACTGTCCGATCCTTTCTTCCTGCTGAGTTGCGCGCTGGTCATCTTAAACCATTGGCTGTGGTTCCGCCATTTCAGTGAACCTACCGTGCCTGGAGGATACAGAGGCGCTCCTCCTAGCAGTCGACGGGACTGGTACTCGGCGCCGCCGGTCTACGATCAGCCAACGTTCACGGAGATCGCGTCGTACTTTGGCATTTGTGTTTGGTTGGTGCCGTTTGCCTTGTTTGTCAGTCTGAGCGCGGGCGAAAATGTCCTTCCGAGCATGGGTTCCGAATATGCCACGGGCGAAAGAGATGGCGTGGGATTGAACAGACGGAAAAACACGGGTATGGCGAAGGCTGCTTTGGGCGGTGTAAAGGATTGGTTGAATGAGACGGGCGCTGTGTTGGGGTTGTGGCAGGCTGATAATGTGCGGAATCTGAGGGCTCTCGATTGAGTTACGACGGGGGCTATACTAGGGAAAACAGATGCTCAATGAACACCGAAAGAGCCATGCGGCACGCAATGCATCGGTCGATGAGATCGCCGCATTGTCTACCTCCTGGTGACGAAACGGCTTTGGCGCAGCACTTACAGTATTCGAAGACGATCAACTATTCTATCACATACATTGCGATATAGCCAACTTTTGGTGCAATCCCAGCAGCACAGGCATCGACTTTTTGCTTGTGTCAACTCAAGGGCTGGACGGAACAACCGATCACTTCAAGAGATCTGCAATCCTGCTATGCGAGACTTGCTGCGTCCCATCTCGTGGGTGTGGTTTGTCGCAAAGGATGCAGTGCTCACAGCTGAAGCAATCGGGCACGAGTTCTGGGAAAGCAGCTACACTCCGCATCCAAGATCATCTCCACAGGATCTTGCAGACGTCCAAGGCGCGAGCAAACACGCAGTTCTCCTCAGCCAACAAGTCAGTGTCCGTGCTCTCGGCAAACTCGCCGCCAACCTGTCGATATTTGCTAGCCGCCATTGCGGTCAATGCGGAGCGCAAAACGCAGAACGGCTGGGGTTTGGTGCCTCTCGGAACCGGGACCCTGGCCAGCAATGGGCGAGAATAGTGTGTCCCTGTCGGCTCATTGGGTTCGCCACTTGGACAATTGGTAGCAGCGGAGTTTGACTGATACCTCCGGCATCAGTTTTACTGACATTAGTCACCCGCGGTGCTCATGATCGGTGATACACTATCTCAATGTTCAGGAGAACAACATGTTTTTTCTCCGAGAATGAACCTTTGGGGATCCGTCCAAATGCGCAGGGGACATCAACGAAGTGCATCATAGCAGGTTCAGGCACGGCGAGGGCACCATTGGGACGACATAGTGTCATTGAGCGAACGGCGGTGCGAGCTTTGGGCAAAGTTAAGGAGACATCACCCTGGAGGTCTACTTCAAACTGGGGGCCGTGCTACAGTAGCAACAGTAGCAACAACCCCCCGAACCATCTCGAATGATATGACAAAATGAGTACCTGAGATAGTAGTAGTTTGGTGATGTATTTGCTGAAAGAATAGTATGAGGTTGTTCACCTGTAATGCGTGTGGAATCGCAACAGCCAGGCCGAGGGCGCTGGTTTCGACCTGGCTTTTTGGAATCAGTGTAGAGTCACCCGGATCCTGCTCTGACGAACTTGAACTCGGAGATAGATATCAACGGCAGTACTGTATAACGCCGGTCTCAACATTGGGACCCGGGAGCCTGGCTCTGTAGAAGGCATACGGTGTCCGTGTACTTTGGTAGTTGTGCTCCTGACTCATCGGCTATCGCGGCCGCCCTGCATATGAGGAGCCACTCATCAAGAATGATCAAGCGACCCAATTGACTGTTCTCATCCTCGGAAGATCCGAAGGAGTGGTCTTTTATTTCCACTCGTGGAGAGGAGAGGGATAAGGAGGACGGCCGAAGCGAACATGTGTCAACGTCAACCGAACCGCGGCGCGACCACCACTGGCACCACTGGTAACGGCAACAAATGATGTAAACTCCGTGCGGGTTTGATGATTGACGGGCCCCTGACTGAGCACTCGATAAATGTACATATATCTGCCGCCATATCTACCTGCAGTAGGTACCCAAGGTAGCAAAGGGACAACAGCATCGAGTTGACCATATTGATTGTTAAGTTAGCGGTGCTCATTTCTGGAAGAAAGACCAGCGAACATCGACGCTGCTGTCCTTGGATATTCGGTGTGCTTGGACTTTGTCACTCATATACAGTACAGCCTCAAATCCCAAATCTCAGACTCAGCCATCAAGTATCTCGTACAAAGTACCGTCCAAACCGTCCCAAAAATGCCCCGCGTCTTCCTCATCACCGGCACATCGACCGGATTCGGATACTACTACGCCCAAGAGGTCCTCGACCGAGGGGACATTGTCGTCGCAACGGCGCGAGACCCATCGAAACTGACCTTTGCCAACGCCACCGAAACCAACTTTTTAGCCGTCCGACTCGACGTGACCGACAAATCGAGCATCGACTCTGCCTTCGAGTCCGCATTGACCAAATTCGGCCGCATCGACGTCGTGGTCAACAACGCCGGATATGGCCTCGCGGGCTGTTTCGAAGAATACACCGACTCTCAAATCCGACAACAGATGGAAATCAATTTCTTCGGCTTGCTCGACGTGACGCGCAAAGCGATGCAAGTCATGCGCGATCGCCAGACTCCCTCGGGTGGGTTGATCCAACAGGTCACCAGTATTGGCGGGCAAAGGGGTGTGCCGTTGTTCAGTGTCTATTGTGCGAGTAAATGGGCTGTGGAGGGGTTTACGGAGGCTCTGAGTCATGAGGTGAAGCCGGAATGGGGGATCAAGTTTACGTTGATTGAGCCTGGTGGGTTTAGGTATGAGACATCCCTTTCCTCCGAATGCAGACTATACCGGCAACAGCTCCATCAGTATCAGTATCAGGATACCAGGGTACTAACAACAGACTCAAACAGAACCGACTGGGCTGGTCGAAGCATGGTCTTTGCGGATCGGCATCCGGCGTATGATCGTAAGTTTGATATACCCAACTCCTACCTTTTCTTTTCTTTTCCGAGAAGGATTCTCTATCTCTATTTCATACTCTTACTGATCACCTTTTAGATATCGACGCCCGTGAACGGATGGGCAAACGACACGGCACACAAGCCGGGGACCCAGTCAAAGGCGCGCGCGCCATGTATGAGCTGGCCGTGATGGAGAACCCGCCGCTGCGCGTGGTCATTGGCACCGACGCCTACGCTGCTATCATGAATAAATTGGAGCAGTATGAGCAGAATTATAAGCAGTTCGAGGCGTTGAGTAATAGCACTGATGTCGATTCGGATCAACAATGATGGGGTGAAAAGAAACGAGAATTAAATGTGTGCAGACACATATTGCGTGACAAGAAACGATGAACAGAACTAAGTGAAGAAAAGAACGAGTACAAGAACGAGAATGAGAATCGAGAATAAGAGACTGTACTTCATCATATCGTTATACACATATTTTGTTACGCGATGCAAACAATATGAGCTAACTTGTTCAATATTCCATTCTACTCTTACAATCTTAAATCGTGACTGTTCAACTAATCTCTGTCAAGCCTCATGCGGTTTTCTTCACAATCACATAATGTTACATATACACAGGACGAATGCCATCGTCTTTCCTTTCGCTTCTCGTCAACTTCAGATTCCTTTTCTCGACGACGTTTGTGCTCCTCTCCCTTGTCTCAATCTCGTTAATGGGACAGCACCCCGTCGTTCATTTCTGTTCTTCTAACATTGCATGGTGTGAGTCATTCTCACTCCGAGAACAGCTGAACTGTTCGGCAACAATCCGAGCACCACTTCAGAGTAGCTAGAGCCAATGCTTTTCCGTGACCCTTAACACTTTCTCATTTCCCAGTTTCCACTGCCATTCTGTTCATGTTCTCTCTGGTAGCGGTGTGAGTTTCTCGATGTTGGTGACAACGGCAACCGTTTCAGATCCTCTGCTGCTGTTGTGCTTGTGTTGCCATTGCCAATTGATGCTTGAGAGAAGTTATCTCGTCTTGCATCGCATTCATGCGCTGCTCGAGGGTCGTGACATATGCCCAAAGTCGGTCATCCTTGTTAGTGAACATTGGATTCGATGCCTCTCCACTGCCATGCGCAGAATGTCCATGACTAGACAAGCTATTGCTGTGAGACGACAATGGACCACTCCCACTCATGTGTGTTGGTGGCCCACTAGGCTGAGTTGGCGGGTGGGCTGGGCCGCCTTGACTGGGCAAAGTATATCTTGCATCAGGTGGATTCAAAACATTTGGTGGTGGCAACTGCGGACCTCCTGAACTTAAACTCAACGACGATGATGTACCACTTGCCCGACCGTATGATGACTGTTGGTAGTGTGACACGCTGGGGGATCGGTTTCGGTTCAGGCTATTCTCACTCGGGGCCGGTCCCGAACCTCTCTGTGTCTGGCCAGGTGAAAGTGGCTTAGGGCTTTCGGTAAGCGGATTCTGAGCGAACACAGTGCTTCCTGGCCCTGAAGGCCTGGAGTTTGACGAGGAATTGGACATTTGCGGCATAGGCAGAGGTCCAGGCGGCGCAGCAGTCACAGGAGCAACGTTACCGGCGCCTGCGGCGGTTGAGCTATAGCCTGCCCGGGGCGGAAAAAATCCTCCGGATATTCCACCAGGAGGGCGCCCTTGAATAGGAGGATAGGTGCTGGGAATGCGAGACGTATGATCAGGATCACCTGGCGTGTCATCCCCCGAAGGAGCCTGACGGCGTATTGCTGGTCTCTGCTCGTTCCCTTCCTCGTCCTCCAGTGCGTCGGGTTCATTGTACATGACCCCTTCCATCGATTCGTCTCCCTCGGCATCATCGTCTCCAGCAAAGCTCCCCATGCTGGTTCGGCGACCGGGACATCCACCAGGGCCTTTGTTATGACGGGCTAAGGCGTCGCCGCGCGCAAAACCCCGACCACATTTGGGACAAATATGGGGTCTTTCACCGGTGTGCAACTTGGTGTGGCGCTTGAGATCATGTAACCGTCGGAACCTAAGATCACAAGTGGAGCAGACGTAGGGTTTCTCTTGGCTATGTGTTAACAGATGGCTCTTGAGATTGTGATGACGAGTAAACTCGGTGGCACAATAGGGGCATCTGTGCTTTTTGCTGGAGGGAGATCTTGTACCTTGTCGGGTCCCGGATCCAGGCAGGCTCATACCTCGTCTCGCGCCATCGTTTAGTGGTGTTTGCAACAAGGGTGTCGGGTAAGAGAATGCCTTGGAGCCTTCAGGTTCGCCAGGTGAAATCGAGCCTCCTTCAGTAGCTTGACTGATTTTACGGGCGGTCTCATCTAGGGGTAGCGGACTTCCAACTGTGGTTGTGATTCCTGAAGCTGCAGGTATGCTCTCGATCGTGCCAACACTGGATAGACTGGTAGGACTCGTCTGAGCGGCATGGGTTTCGCCGATTGAAGTCTCTCCCGCTGTGCTAGCAACAGATTGTTGAATGTTCTCCGCCACCACAGCTAGGGGTTCACTAACAGTGGTTGCTGGATCCGAGGCCGGATCCGACTGTAGAGCTTTGCTCATCGCATTTTGGTTGGTGCCCATCAGAGCCTGAAGGGCTTGTTGCTTTGGGTTGGGACTGGTTCCTGTGGATGGTTGTGAAATTTCGCCTGCTTTTTCCTGTTCTTCAGCAAAAGCAATAGCAGCTGTCATTGACGGTGCATCAAGCCTCGGCCTCTTCTCTGGTCTTGACGACGCCTCAAAGTCGTCCGTCGCGTCGGCCCTATGTTTAGAAGCGGTTTTCAACGGACTGACTGGTTTGACAAACGTGGGCGAGGCAGAGGCTGGATCCCGTGGCGAGATATGCGGATCTGCACTGGGTTCGGCCATAAACGAGTCGATGTTTTGGGATCAATGGGCTGACCTGCCAGGCTTTTCGTTAGCGAGACGTGCAGAGCGAAGTGTATCCTGTGCCAGGAAACTGAGTTTGAAATGAAGTGACAAAAACCACAACACACTGACAACGCATGAGAGACATACCTTCTGGGTGGGCATATGTCGGTGATGTAAAGGTCAAACTGACTTAAAATGCGCGACGCCAATGGTTGTCCAGACTTCCTTCGAGACGTTCCAACACGGATGTAGAGTACCAAACGGTTGCCACGCGCAAAACTCAATGCGTTGTATTCCTATCTCTTATTGCTGTCGAGGTCAACAGTGCGGCGCATGGTATGCCTCAGCGCGGCTTGCGCAGTACGTTCAAGATCGGTCTGCAGCGATTTATGTTGCGAATGAGGCGCGAGTCGCAAGCAAAATCCTTGTGGAGTAGCTTGGGGGTTGGACAGTCTCGAGTAACTTTTTTCCGCACAGGTCGATGGGTGTCAATGTCAATGAGCGAGGTTTCGGTGTGTTCTAGAGGGCGATTTACTGCTGAATTCGAGGTCCTGAGCAATCGAAGCCAAAGCAGGGTAACGATGACGATGAGGGGACTCGTGGTGGGGATGTTCGACAAAGTTGCGCACACAACGAATGCGGTAATCCAGTGTTTGCCGGCGTCTGTCCCTGGAGAATGATCCTCACTTTGGTCACAGATGGGATGAATAGTCGAGTAAGTGTAAAGTGAAAGACCTGGAGGGATAATGGTAGCGACAAGCAGGTTGAAGCAGAAACCGGCCAGCCAGCCAGCCAGCCAGCGGGTAGTCTGGCTGAAGCGAGTAAGGTTGAATGGTCGAGTCGAGGAAGGATTAGACGGGGACCCCCGTTGAAAATGACGCCGGTCTGGCTGGGCGTCCAATGAGTTTTGCTGCGTGTGAGGAACGAGAGCGGGAGGAGCAGGTTTAGGGTGGCGGCTGAGTCGCGGGTATCAGCCACAGTCGCGAGCAGCCCAAGGAGGATACGATTATTATTGCGGGTGGAGGTTTTGGTAAAAGGTGGAAAGGCTTGAAGCGACCGACTTTCTTGAGCGAAGACTCGGAGGGTGAGAGACCGGGCGGGCGCGCGCAGAGTGGAATGGATGGAATTTGAGTTGATCCAAATCGGTGGTGACGGTTGACGGGTGACGCTGAGGGCTATCAAAATGTTTTCTCTCGCGCGAATAGCACGAGCGTCACTTCTCTTCCTCTCTTGTCCGTCTCTTCGCACGCGGCCTATGGTAGCCGGATCATGGACTATAGTCTGCAGATCAAACAATCTTCAGCCGGCCGCTGATCGAGTCGTCGAGGAAGTAGTTCGAAGAGGGGAAAGAGAACGAGAGACTCAGAGTCCCAATAGGCGTATGTGTGTTGGATCTCGAGACTGTGGCAGGCACAGACTCGGAGAGCGAGACAAGGAAGAAACGCCTCAATCCGCTACAACGTCTAGGGCCAGGACCTGATGGAGTCAACCCAGTGCCAGTGGCGCCGGATGATGTCGAGCCACCGTGAGCCACTTGGGCACGACCACTAGCACCTGTCTGGAGGTTGTACCGTGTACAGGGGTTCTGTGACGCGGTCGTTCGTTGGCTGCGAGGGCCACAGCTTGGGAATCGGTAGTGGAGTGGTAATGCGCAGTAGGCGAAAGAGGATTTACCGAGTGGTGAGGATGAGATGAATCACTACTGAAAAAGCTGAGCTTTGTGGCACACAGCTCAAGAGCAAAATGCTGTTGGGGAGATGGACCAACGATGACGGAGGATCAGACTGATGATGTCGAGAGGAAGGCAACAGGCTGAACAGGTGTGCCAGTGCCTGTGTGTTCCTGGGCGCAGTGGCAGTGGCTGCGATGCTGGTGGATGACGGCGATGGATGACCGGGTAAAGTACTGGACGGGAAGAGTAGCAGCGGTGTGGCAGTGCTGCGGGCAACTTGACACATTGTTTGGGGCATGCCTTAGGTGCCTATCTGGTACCTAAGGGCCCCTAGAGGTATCTTTTAGGGACGTCTGCCTTGCTAAAGGTATGTCCATTAGTAGCGACGATTATGAAGTCTATTTCGCGACTATTATCGATCGACCATCATTGTTCATCCCATTCTAGACGACAACGCGTGGACCTGGGACAGCTATTTTGCAGAATCTATAGAGCGATAGCAGCGCCTCGTACGTAGGAGGTGCTGGTAGGTCAAGGTACGTTGTACCAGATATTATTTCTGCAGGCCTGAGCCTCAGTATCCCCAACATCTCTGCCTGAAGCTCACCTGGGTAAGGCTTTAGGACTACGCAGGCCTAACAGCAGCTACACGGGCACCTAAGGTGCGGTGCCAGGTGGCTGCGGGTACCTAGGTAGCTACCCACGTTGCCAGGACGCGGTGCGATGTCACCGCAGGCAGGGTTCCTGATGCCAATCGTCATCCCTCAATTCCCTGCACAGGCCCCTCCTACCGTCATTGCTGCTACAACAGCCTCTAGTCGTACTGTACTTTATTATGCTTTGCAGGTCCCTACTGCATTATGATATTGAACGGGTTCTCTGGGGTTGGGAAAGAGCTGATACTGCTTCATGAGATACAAATATCCACACTCATCACACTGATTCTCTTACCTCAAGGGCACCGTGTCAGAACTACTACTATCGAGGCATTGCTTCATCCCTGCTAGCACTGTGCAGTTTGATCTCTGCAATTTCGTCACTCGGCATCCTCCGTGGTCGCCCGTCCGAAGTATCCTGGTCGCTATGGAACTGCAGGGCCTGTCGGTTCATCGGTGGCTGGTAACCTGCCTCTACCCGCTTTCCCGTCCCTAGCTCTTGCTACACACATTTTGTCCGTTGCAGCGTCGACACAGACATTCCCACAGCTTCGACCGTTGAGGAATAGCAGCTTTGGCCGTGTCTTTTTCTCCGCCATAGGTCAGTGCGAACCACCCAAATAGTCGCTGCTCGTCCAATTTCGGTCATGTCGACCTGGCGTGGCGTCCACCGAGCTCAACCGTCTCTCCACTCCAAGCCTCATAGGTCTTCAAGTGCCGGTACGAGAGCTTCCACCAGCTGGCCATTTCCCCGGTTATTGTAGGCGTGTGGCTGATCCTTCGCTCTCCAATCAGGGTTCCTGACGTACACAGGTCTCACAGATCTCCCGATCTCTCTCGTCTGTTTCCTGATTACCGTTCGTCCTGGTATTGTGTACTTCCGTCCTTATTCGACAGTGTCGTTCGTGGCTGAGCTGCTCCTTCAGCTCCAGTCGCAGGCCTCGCTCGTACCATGGCTGGGGTTCTGCATCGCTTCTCCTGCAAACAAGAGCAGGGAACACCCACGGACAATACGGTGGTAGAAACCTGCATTCAGCCTCTCACGTGCGGCTGAGGGAATGAGACATTCTCACTAGCCGTGAGACATATGCTGGTGAAACAGTGCTTCAACTCGCCGCAGCAGCGTCCGTGGTGGCCCATGCCATCGGCAGACCTCACAATGCAGATTTTCCCTTTCAAATTTGACTACCTACCTAGGTAGTAGGTGCCGGACGGATGGCGCTGTCATGCTCCTGGTCCGCCCAGTGAAGCATCCGTTGGCACCCTTGCCAACACTCGGCCATCTAAGGTGTTTATTGGTCACCTCTCGAACAGGCCTCATCCTTGGATGGTCCGCCTGAAGGTTTCTCGACCGGCGGGTTCGTATGCGCCTTTCCCCACACAAGCTGGCTACGCTGCTATGCTCCTCACATCAAACGGAAAAGTGTTCCATACCAAAATTTGGGATAAGAAGACGACATGATTGCTTCAGCAGTTTTGCGGCAAGCAGGTACGTACTTTATGCTGTATCAACATGTCCTAACTCTACAGACAAAAGAGAATCTTGAAATTCTCGAAACATGCGTATAAACAAGTTACCCAAACCGGCATTTGTTCCGACGCTTTAGACTGGTCAGGACTCGATATACTTTCGTAGTATACTTTGGCACCTCTGGCATATACCGGAAATTCATTACCGCCTGGAGTGGATTATGGCCCTGGCGGCACCGGCGTGGAAGTGTTGCGCTGTTTAGCCGCTTCCAACGCCTTCTTGATCCGCTCTTGATGTTCCGGATCCTCTCCGATCCGGTCAATGAGTTCCTGAATCAATGCGCTTGCCTCTGAAGGTACCTTGGTGACACTGCTGATCCGAGCCTCCATCTCCTCAGCTAGTTTGGCGTCTTCCTTGGCCTTCTCCAGCTCGAGGTTGTGGTAAGTCTCTTTGTCGGCATTGGCAACTCGGGCTTCTGCTACCGACACCGCGTAGTCTGCATCATTGAGGAGCGTCTCAGCCTCGTTTGATAAGGCTAGAAGCTTGCGCGAATCGGCGGCCACTGTATCCACGACCGTTTGCGCCGATGACAATGTGTCCCGGGCACCATCGGCTCCATACATTTGGTCTTTGGCAGTCGGGCTAGCGGAGAGAATCGCCTTCTTGAGCTGCTGGATCTTAGCCAGCATGTCATCGATATAGGTTTGATTGTCACCGAGTCCACGGACGGTAGCCCGATCGAAGGCGTCCATCAACCTGTTAGCTCTGGTATCTTTCCCGCGGGCTTCGTGCAGAACCTGAGTTTTTTCGGCCACCGCATAGTCGCTTTCCACTCTCTTGACGCCCGCCGTGTCGCCATTCGTGTAGAGAACTGTTAGTTCCAGGTGCTTGCGCCGCCTTTCACGCTCCACGTGGGCTTCGGCGACCTTTCGATACCGGACCTCAATCTTCTCAAAGAGCACGAGCAGACAGCGCATGACTTCTGCCATGGGCGGCTTTTCTTTATTGCTCTTGAGGTATCCACTGGCCGCTACGCTCTCGAGGTCGAGAAGGTCGATGGCCAGAGTATATGTGGTCGTCAACTCAGCTATCTCTTTCTCCAGTCGCTCCGTCACTGGCGCAAAGACTTGGGCAGTGAAAGATTCCAATTCTTCCTTGTTTTCCTGGTAGCGTCTCTCCGCCTCGGCGAGCTTAAACTCGGTCTCGAGGTCTCCGATATCCGCGTAGCCGATCTCGTTGTCGTTGAAGAGCGCGTCAATATGCGCCTCAGACTCTTCCTGGCGACTACGGCGTTCGGCTTCTTGTTGCTTCCGGACTTCTCTATTTGTACGATCCCATTCGACCACCTTGTCACGGATGAACCCAAATTGGTCCGGAACATTGTCAATCTTGGCCTTGATGGTCTTTACTTTCGGGTGGCCAAGCGCGCTGTCCAAGCTAGTCTGGTCCTTTTGAGTGGGCAGGAGAGCCCGAAGAGCCGTTATGGCCTGGGTCAAGGGATCGACAGCCATGACTGGGGCACTGTTGGTCGGCGTCCCTACTCTTATGGCCAGCGGCGGTTCGGATTTGGACACGCTCTCCGAAGAACCCCGTGTTCGACCTAGGCCAGGTCGAAACATATCTGGCACTCCAGCTACTGAGGCAGGCCTCTGCTGGCGGACTGCCATGCTTTGTTGTCTGATCAATCCGATAAAGGCTTCCTCATGTTCCTTTCTGCCAATCGCCGAGGCCGGTCTTGCTGGCGCGGACATTGCCTCTTGAGCCATCAACCTGCCCGAGTCGGCCGCTGAGTGGCGTAATGACGAATATGCCTGATCCGCCGGTTGTTGTGATTTCGGGATCTCTTCTTGCACCGCCGCATTGTACCGGAACGGAGTATATACGGGCCGTGGAGGCTCAAACTTGATAGGAGCAACAGACTCCCTGGCTTGAGGAAAGATATTCTGCTGCTGTGCTGACGATCTGTGTTGTCCTGCTTGGCTCGATGGTCTGTCCTCAGGTGACTCAGGCACTACGAGAATGGGTGCATTCGAACCCGGAGAAGGTGGAGGGTTCAGAGTGGCATAGTCTCCAGTAACCATTGGAGCATCCGCACCAGGAGATGACACAGATCCCATGCGAGGGGAGTCGCGATGGCTTTGGTTATTAGGGACTGCTTCGTGACCCCAAGGAGTTCCAGTAGTGGCTGTCGTTACGGTCGCAGTTTGGACATGGTCTGTGGAGCTCCTCGACGTTCTGTTCCTGTGCAGCATCGGCCGGCCTCCCGGACTGTACGCTTCTTCTTCATCGTCTCCGTCAGCGGTAGCTATAGGTCCACTATCGGCCGTCGTCCGTCCAGGGTCGTTAACTGCTGTGGTGATGGATGGTCTCTGGACAGGAGATTTGAATTGATTCGGCTGTGCCGACGCAGATTCTGGCTGTTCTGCCGAGCCAGCATCTGAGCTCGGTGGCTGTCGTGCCGGCTCGTCCTTGGATGGCATTTCGAGGGAAGGGGCTCCTTGAGTTTCAGCCGAAACTGGATCAGACGCTTTCTGTGCCTGTTGTGTGATTTCCTCCGCCAGATTTAACGGCACCGCAGCAACAGCATTAGGCAAGATTTCCTGAATCTCCGCCAAACTAGCGGCCTTCTTGACTTCCTTTGGCTGCTCCTTCTCCTTGTTCAGTTCGACTCCATAGAGCAAGCTTCTGAGCCTGAGCTCCTTTGTGGCGAAGGAGTGGAAGATGTCGAATTTCTCCTGGTCCGTTTCGGCGGCCGACTCCTTTCTCAGCATGGCAGCGTATCGATTCAAGGACGCCTTGAATTCCGGTTCAAGGTCGGCATAGGGATCCACTACTCTCACGCTAGTAGCAGGGCTAGGTTCGGAAGATGGGGACACGACTCGTGCCCCGGAAGCGCGAGAGCCGGAGCGACTGCTGACGTCTTCACGAACGGTCGACTGTTGGGCTGCTTGCAAAGGAGTCTGCTGAGACACAAGGCTGACGTTGTCATGATCTCCACTACCGCTCTCCTTCGGCATGGCACCACCACTGATCTGAACGGAAGGGGACGATGGCCTTCTGTTTTTGTGTGACGGAGCTGTTTCCACGGGAGCAGCATCGGGCGGATGAGAATGGGGATAAGGGGCAGGCGGTGGCTCACTTCTGCGCGGTGATACGGGACTAGGAACACCAATCTCAGCAGCCTGAGGAGGAGTCGCAGGGCCAGACTCATTCGGAGTGATGTTTTGTGTGATATTTGACTGGATTGACGATACACGATCATGACGTGAATGGGAATGGGCAAGCCGTTCAACAGGACGTAGAGCGGGACTTTCGGGTGTGTCTTGGTCTGGCAAAGAAGGTGCGCTGGGTTCATAGTGCTCCCAATCGGACGGGCCACCAGATCCAAGAGCCTGAGCGTGACCAGGCGGGCCTGGTCGGGTATCCGTTTTTGGGGTCTGATAGTCGTGTGTGTTTGTATTCTGATCCGCCCTCGCCGCTGTAGATGTAGATGTGTGTTCCAGTCCTTGTCCCTGTCTGCCCCAAAGGCCAGTGGTCGACTCTACAGGCGACACTAACGGGCCATCTACCGTGGCCGAAAACTGCTGCGGAGGCGGTGCGGTCGGGGGATATGCTGGGTGCGTAAACGGTGGTACCGGTGGTTGCGGCTCCGTTCCCCAGAGTCCAGGTGCAGGTCCAGCACCAGCAGCGAACGGTGGGGGTGGATCATAGTGATGCGAAGTCGGCCGATGCGAATATTCGGGCCCGGATACACTAGTATTATGGGGGTGGTGGTGTTGATGTTGGGCTTCTATCTGCGCCTGATATTCCGCGGGTCGAGGCGGAGGCGGAGGCGGCGGAGGAGGGCCGGGGGCCGGAGTTTGAGGATGTGGATTGTATCCATGGTGTGTCTGATACGGATCGCTCCATGAAGTCGGGTAATGCTGCGACGGTTGTGGTTGTGGTTGTGGTTGCGATGAGTAGTTGTTGTTCAAGTTGTGGTTGTGGCTGTGGTGGTCATGTTCGGGTTGTTGCGGACCTGGACTCGCTGGCCCAGGACCGGCAGCACTCGACGGCCGCGGAGGCAGAGGTGGTTTCTGGTTCGATGGGTCTTGATAGAATAGAGGAGGAGGTGGTTGTACTGCTGGGTGGTTATATCGTACTCCCCATGCTGAAGTGTCGTACTGCCCTTGCGCCAGTGGTGGTGCCGGTACTGGTACCGATGGACCAAATAGATTCGGGGTGGTATGGTTGTATGGCGGAGACACGGGCGATTGAGGAGGTTGCGAGAATCTGGGATCGGCCCATCCTGATCTTCGAGGAGGACCTGAAGCTGGTGCTGGTGCTGGGGCATTCCAAGGAGGTTGAGGAGGCCCGGGTGTCTGTTGTGGGAAATTGTAGGGTTGGTTGGGATTGGGATTGTATGGGTTCATTCTGAGGTGAGGTTCCGGCTGCCAGCGCCGTACATGGTCCGCCGCGGTGACAATTGATGTCTTTCGTGGGATATTATATAGGTCGATGAGATATAATGGGTCGCGACATGGTAGGCCGCTGCGCAGGTGACCGGCGAACAATTGAACTTCCAGTTGGAGTTGAGCGACTGGTAGAGGTAGATACCTACATGTACTATAGTACTTTTACACATGCGATGCGCCCCGCGAGCTACTTGAAGCTCAGCCTCAGCCTTGGCCTCCGAGTTCCGCCAGCGTCCACTTACTACAGTTGTACTGGCAGATTGTCATGCCAGCCTTACAGTACCACCCACCTTACAGTACATTAGGTATTGTACCTACATAGGTACTTGCCAGTAGTACTGCAGTGGGCCAAAACTCTAGGTAACGTTCAACACTACCTGGCGCACAGCCTTGACATCCGCTAACTTTTACCTAAGCAACGAATCTACAGGAGTGCTGTTGCTGTCTCTGCATTCGCCGACATAAATTCTGAGATCATTAAAACGAGCTTCTTCTAAATGCAATGGATTGTGGTTCTTTTTTGAACGGTTCAAGTCGTGATCCTAATCTAAATCTACTGCTACACTTAACCGCTGAGGTCAAGAACGACGCGGCCTTGTAGTTTGCCCTGTTCCATCCTCTCAAACACCTCGGTCAATTTATCCATTGGTTGGACTTCGATATGTGTCTTAACAACACCCCTGTGTGGTAATGTTAGTATTTCACAATGTTCGGGTTCACAAGGAAAAGGAGGGACCAAACTTACCGAGCTGCCATGGCCAGAGTATCGATAGCATCCTTTCTGTTCCCGACCGCACTACCGACAATTCGGAGCTCCTGTGTGAGAATGGCGCCAGGGTTCGCGCTTGCAATGGCCACGGGAGCACCCTCAGGCACACCAACACAGACCAAGGTGCCTCTAAACTTGAGGAACCTCAATCCCTGGGCGTAGGCAACATTGCTAGCCGTGCAAACCACGACGGCGGAAGCACCAAAGCCGCCAGTTGCAGCCTTGACGTCGTCAACGAGTCTGTTGGTGCCCGTGTCATCCCGGCTGTATTTGGACAGATCGAAAAACACCTCGGCCCCGCAATCCCTGGACAACTTTTCCTTCTCGCCCATGTCGATTCCGATCATTCGGAAGCCCATTCCTCTTGACCCGATCTGCAGAGCAAGATGGCCCAACCCGCCTCCTGAACCCGGAATCACCACCCAGTCGCCTGGCTTCGCGCCACTCTTGGCCAGGGCGCTGAAGACAGTAACACCCCCGCACATCATGGGCGCCGCGATGTCGCTGGGAAGACCCTCCGGGACTGGTGTCACATAGTGGGCTGGGGCGAGAGCGTACTGTTGAAACGTTCCTGGAGTGTAGTATCCCGAGATCTTGGCCGAGGTGCAGTTGGCATCGGCGCCCTCCAAGCAAGGGATACAGTTCCCGCATGCTGAGGCTATCCATTTGATTCCGACCCGGTCTCCAATTTTCAGTCCCGAGCCTTCAGTACCCGGTCCCAGTGCTGCAACTTTGCCCACACCCTCATGACCACCAACTTGATTCTTCGGTGTCGGGAAGGGGAGAGTAGACCAGGCGTTGGTCATGACTCCATAGTCACTGTGGCACACTTTGTGTCATTCGATTAGTCCAATCACTCGAAGTAGGATGTTCGACATGACAAAAGCCAGAGAATTGGAGATGGAGTTCGACCACGCCAAACTGCTTCTTACCTCCTGAATGCGTTAGGTTGACGAGGACTTCACCGACGCCAGGCTTGGGCGTTTCGATCTCTTCGATTTTGGCTGAGAGTTTTCCGGGATTGTCGTACACAAGAGCCTTGTGGCGGGAGGGCAAGGGCACTGCGACCGAAGCCATGTTTAATATGATAAGTCTAGTTCAAGGATATAGGCACCGTTGAGGCAGTCGTTATAGCGTTGTCTGAGCAAGCAATGATGCTCTATTGGGCAAGGGGCGGCTCTGGCAGCGTGATGGAGATGAAGTGAAGAAGACAATAGAGGGCAAATTCTAGAATGGGACTGTGACTGTACGTCCGCGTGTCAGGGCATATGTTGTTACATATATGCTTCCCGGAATGCCTCGAGAGAGGGGTAGGCGAGCTCGTTCCGGGTGGAATACTATACCGTCCCACGCGTCGACTCTACCTACTCGGTATCCCGTCACTGTGCCTCCCCTTGGCTGCTGAGTGGACTCGCTGGAAATGGCGACCCAATGCGCATGAAGCCGGTCGAGCCTATACTGGAACAAGAAGGAGACCTGCTAGATCCTCTGCCGGGACCAACGCTGAGTGGGCTGGAAAGAATAGAACTGACCCAGCCATGTTGACTGTTGCAGTGTTGTAGCCTCGGTCCGTTGGATGCTTTGCAAGGTGAAATTGGGGTCGCTTGCGCTGGACGCAGGCAAAAGTTGGGGTGTTTTCTACCCCGCGAGCAGCAGGCAGCTGAGCGACCCCGGAGCGGAATCAGGCCGGTTAACGGTCGTCACGTGAGCAGTACCACATCGTTAGAACGACTACTTTGTAGGAACTTGAACCTGACGACAACATGCGGCTTGGAATCCGTGGAGTCACCTGGACTTTGAGCATACAGCGATTAGAGGCAGGAAGTATGAACGAAGATGAGATTGATATATTAAATCGACAGCCGACGTAACTGGTATGCTCGAGGGCATGCTGTTCAGATCCAGATTTGAAAGCAGCCCGAGGTACGATTCTGTTTCATATAGTCATAGCCATGGTTCATATTAGCCGGCCAGACACACGCGTCAGGAATAATGGAGACCGTGAAATGTCGGCGGACAAGCCCGATGTCCAGACAAGAAGATGACAGCCATTCCAAGAAAAGGCTGGTCGTTCCAATAAATGGGTCGACCAGACACCCAACCAGATTTCCCCGCCGACGACGATCGATAAGTCGCCTTGAAGGTCCATATCAACTTTGCATCACCACAACTTCGCCATGAAGATGTGATCGAGGTACAGCGGCCACTCATGCCGATGCTGTCTCCGATGGTGGAACTGGCACATGGCGGAAACTGTGCTCAGGAATTCAGCTGTCCAAGTTGATAACATTCCTGAACCTTGTCTGATAACTGTAAGGTGCACTTCTGGCCCGCAGCATGGCGTCAATGGTTTGCAGCCTCTGTCGCATGCTTCTCGCAGCCAGTGTCCTTGGCGAGACTTCATTGAGCGTCTCCAGCGCCTCAAGCATGAAATCAGGCGCGCCTGGTATTGGCTCCTGGATCAGTTCATGATAGAGACTCGACCAAGTCCCTCCCGGCATTCGGGCAGAGGTTGGACTGCGCGGACTGCGTGAGCCTCCCCGTATCTCAGCAGCATCATCGTGAGTTCTGCATACTCTTGCCAGAACATCTACCAAAACATCAGCAGTGTGTGCATGACCTTCGGTTCTGAACTTCAGGTCGGTGACGGTTGCTGCCGCCAACTTATGGAACCTCTGGCAGATCTGGGAAGGCGTATGTGTCGTCGCTGCCCTTGTATCGCGACCGTGAGTGGTGCCGAGCACCTGATATTCTTCGAACAGGTGGTCGAACAGCCTTCGAAGCTTTTCTGCAAACAGCCTGGCTCGGGGATTCGGCGGCTGCCATCGATTCAACGTCTCCCAGGACAAAGGATCATGAGATCCCCACTGCATGGCTGTGCCCGTAAGATCTCCTTGACGGGTCCATTCAGACTGTGCCCTTCCAGCTTGCTCCTCGTCTATTCGTGCAAACACATCGTTCCTAAACTCCGCCGGAAGCGTTGTTCTGTCGAAAGAAGAGATGATATCCCTGACATGGTGTTTCCGCTGCTCAAGAGTGGTAGCTTGAAACCGCATATCTTCGGGTAAGTTCAATTTTGAGAACTGCTCAGTTGGCGTGGACATCTTCTCCAAACGAATGCCTCCCAATTTTCGGATTCACCAATGTATAAGAACAAACTTAGCTCGGTACTGCATGCTCACTGCGGGCCGAGCCATGAAATATAAAGACCTCAAGGCCATCAAGTCTAGTCTCGACGGTAGCGGTGCGACCGACATGTTGACGAGGCAGATTCTTCCATTGAAGCTCCACACAGACGTACCACAAGCCTGAAGACCGACCAAGATGCAACATTTCCATGTTTCCGGACCGAAGAACGGTAGAAGCCGAATGTCGGTCGCTCTTAGCATGACATGGTTCCTTCAGCTTGCTGGAAGCGGGCCGCCTTCACTCTTTCTGTATATGTGCGCTCGTACACATCAAGTAACGAGCAGGCGGTCCAGGAGATTTCGTAACATTGCAGTCCAGAAGAAGTGCCCAGTAGGCTTGGGGGCCGGATCGATATAGCGAGCCATATCACGTGACGAGGTCTCGTATCCGCCCGGCGGCTGCAGTTAGCCATATCATTGGATGAGGTCCGACGTGCTGCTATGGCTGAGTCGAAATCACCGCTCGTATAGGCGACCAGGGCGGTTGAAGCTGGGTCAAGTTCTGGTCGCAGGCAATATTGTCATTCCGCGGCTGCTAGATGGGTGACGGGATTTCGTCTTGCATGACCCGCCCTCAGTCGGTATGGGGCAGTCATACCTGCGTTGGCGACTGTCAATCCCGGCAGCAAGGCGGACTGAGGCACGTAGATATAGCAGATGCAGGGGCATTTGGTCAAGTGACGACTCAACAGAAGGAGTCGGGCTCACGACCAGCTGTCCTGAGGTCACCATCTTTTTCACACTTGTGCGCCGTAAGCTCATTGCCCGCTTTCCACACATTCAGACCGTCGTAAGTTTTTGTCAATTTCGCTTCGTCCAGCCGCATACGGCAGCGACCCTGCTCCCTGACGAGTGGCTTAGTGTTTTGCTGCATTGGGGCCACAGCTAGTAGGAGTTTAGTAAAATATGCTAGCTCCGGCTCCGTCTCCGGCAGCAGGGCAGTTAGCTGGCGGCCTCGAAAGCGCGACATTCGAGCATCGACACCGGTTAGGTCGCCGTAGTTGAAGGGTTCAGATATGATTCTTCGACCCTAGACGACCTGGAAACCGGTTCTCACTTTTGGTGGATGAGATCTTGGCACCATAACACCTGGAAGACCTACTGAGTTCTATCGCATAAAGATCGAACCCATGTCGGCTGTGACTCCTGGTTTGGTCGAAGCAGATTTCCAGCGAATTCACGTCCGCGGACAGACCATTGGTGTTTGCAGCCGAGGTGGAGGAGACGATATCTGAGCCCAAGCGGTTACACCGCTGTGGGCACGCTGCACCGCTCAACTCTTCTCAATGGTGATAGCCAGGACAAGCACAAACATGCAAAAGATGACCTGGAGGAAATTAGTAAAGGGCTCGGAGAGTCCCCAGGAGGGCCAGTCACTGACCAAAGTTGTGAGCGTCCCGATACACTTGATCTCCCAACCACCAGCTAAGGCATACCCTCGGGCCATCTCCTTCTGACATCTGAGGAATCTCAAAGCACCCAGAGCGGTGATGACTATTGCAGTTCCGTGGCATACGCAGGACAGCGGTATACTGATGACGAAAAACCCTATGATGGGACTAGGGGCAAGGCTATGCTGAAGCCGCATTACCTGAGCAGTAACGACACCCAGGACAGCGAAAGCCTGACTCGTGCGAAGATAGCCTAGGAATGTTCTTTCATTTGCTATGACTTGAAGTTAGCTACCACTGAAGCACGAACCGAACGTGATTGTGCCCAACTCAACCACATATTCAGTCGTCACACAGTCCTTACCTAGGTGGTCGCGGCACTTGGCATGCGGCACAGCCATCCCGACGTGTCTCCTCCACCATCGTGTCAGTTTGTTTCTACCCTTGTTTGTGCTTGTAGTAGACAATGCCGGAAATGGTCGGCAGAGGTTCGGGTCGAGGTTCAAGGCTTCCTCTTGGGAAGCATTCGCAAGCATACGCTGGGCGCAAGGCAGAGAACCGCGGCCCGGTTCAACTTCTGTCATGTTCACCGTCGTCAATGGATGTGCTATGAGCACGTATCCGCCAGACTATTGAGGTGATAGAGATGGTGACGACCCTGGCCTAGCTACCTAGGTACGTAGGTTTACCGAGGTGCTAGAACGCGTTGAGCTCCAATGAGATAGAGCGGGAGCATAACTGATTGATGGTCACACATTGGTCTCTTGTAAGTAGAGTGCATTGAATGAGCAGATATCGACCACATGATGGCCCTCAAAGCACGGTTCTCGGGGTTTGGCGGGCTCTGGAGATGTGGCATCGATCGAGGTGAAATTGAACGCACTAAGGGATCAGACTCGGGGACTGGGATTATTGGTAGGACTAGTGCTGAAGAGGTATAGTCTTCAAAGGGAAACGCTCCGATTCGTTTCGGTAGAGGGCCAATCAGCCGTTGTTATGCTACTACCCCAATCGAATGGTCGCCGGGTAATAGAGTACTAATGTGCTAGTAGCATGAAGCCCGGAATTTGAAGTGTGTTGCTCCCTTTTGGTACCGTTTTTACCTACTCGTACCTAAGATGGGTATTGTAGTAGCAGATTCTCTCAGCTTCCAACTTCCCAGATTCCAAGCCTGGTTTCCAGCCACCTTGCCAGCTTTCTTACCACAGATACCTGGTATCTTATATAGATGTACCGGCACAGACAGACACCTCGAGTCGTACATTGTATAGTCCGTGCAATACCCGTAGGCATGGTGCCATATATTTGGCAGGCAACCAACAGCCCAAAGTTCCCCCAGTACTAGTGGCTCGGAGATTTGAAGCCTCCCAGCCTCCTCTCGCAGAGCTGCAGTTCCGGCTGCACCTCATCGTTCCGCTCTTCGATCTCACCTACACCTTGTTTGTCTTTACCGAATATACGGCTTCAACCCCTTGAAACTGCGATTGTCAATATCCCTTCCTGGCGAGGCCGCTTTGCTCGTCCACAATCGATCAGCATTGTATAACCCCGCGTTGGAGCCCGCGCCAGCTTTAATGTGGTATCGCAGACACGGGAACTAGTTGGCAGCCAGCACGGACAGCGGATCGCCCTGCGCTCAAACGTCTATTCCTCACTGCGTGACCCGGAGACAATATGCTTGGAGGTCTGCTCTTCTCCTTCTGGAGAATCCTGGAGATCGTTACTCTGATCCCCGTCATTGGCATGCTGGTGAGTGACCACGCTTCCTCGCGCAGGTCCATCTTTGTTGCAGCACTAACATTTGCGTCAGGCATGGTTTGTCGATGGCTTCAATAATAACAACCAGCTCACGCCCTCCTTCATTCTCGTCCTTTTCATCGTGTCGATCCTAGCCTGTGCATGGGCGCTTGCAACGTTGATTCGCCTCGGTTCTACCCGTCGCTCCGCTCTTTTCGTGGCCTTCGTCGACCTCTGCTTTGTCGGTGCTTTCATCGCAGCCGACTATTACCTTCGAGGCATCAGGAACGCCAATTGTGCCACCTTCAGCACTGGATCTATCTACGTTGACCTTGGTCCTTTTGGATACTTCGGACGGAATGCTGGTTCAAAATGGGCGATCAATCTCGACAAGAATTGTGCCATGCTGAAGGCATCCTGGGCTTTTGGCATCATGAACACGGTCTTCTTCTTCTTCACATTCATCCTGGCTCTGTTCCTACACCGCCATGAGAAGACAGTTGTGGTAAAGGAGGTTCGACGGTCGCGACACAGCAGCCGGAGGGGTCATTCCCGTTCAGGGTCGAGGAGAAGCAGCAGCCATCGACGCTACTATGTCTGATTTATCCAGAACCGGCCGTTATGGCGGACGCAGACAATCTGAACACACCATAATCATTGGGATCCTCCTGGTTGGGTTAACGAATTTCCTTGGATTTTAGCTTACAGTATCGGTTCATGTGATCTGTGTTGGTCGGTGTATATCGTCTCAGAGAAAGTCGGTGTGTCTGGTCAGCTGCAGGACTTCACCTTGATGGACTTTTGACCCGGTATATCCGATCCTGGACCTGGTCTATTGCTTTGTTCAGCACTACTGTGATTATCTGTGTTGTTGGTTTAAAGTCGATTATTGACGACCTAATGATTTATGACCGTAGATCTGAACGTCTGACAAGTATCAAAGCAACCAGTTCCAGTGCAGTCGCCCACTCATTTGTGCACATGCAATGTGTTCGATACTGCACGCGGCGAGCATCGTAGAGGCCAGGGTGGTCTGAAGACGCAGGGTACAGGTTAGGCTCAGCCTCGTTCAGCCGCGCGCGCCTATGACGTCAACGCATATGCCAAAGCACAACGAAGCGATTCGAGGTTTACATGGTCAACAAGTCTTCCTAGTAGTCGTAGGAGTGATGTAGTGCGGTCAAACTTATGGGACCGGAGAAAACAGCTGAAGGTCAGAAGTCTTCCGCTCTGCTGCGTACCGTGCTCCAAGAACACATCTTGCCTGGACGCCAGCTCGGAGACGATAAGAATAAAGTCCGCCCCAATCACAACTCGAGGATTTCCCGCCTCGGAGGTGGCCGACACTCCATCCTCCACCTTCCACCCTCCGCCACATCGTTTCGATAAAGTAATCGTCCTCGTACATCCTCCATACAATCTCAATAATTAGTTTGGCAGAGACTCGCGCCGAAAGCATTGCCTTCGAATCTTCACCTCTCTCGAGTCTGAAAAGATCAATGGGCATGATAACTAGACCTCGACACCGGCGGTTGGAGGTTTGGCCACCATGATGCCCGCCCATGATCATACTTCACGAGTGACTTTCTCGGTCCCGACAGTGACGATTGACCCGGAAACGGGCTACTTCGTGAACATCGACGAGATTCGAGATGTCGAATATCCTGCTCTTGCGGAGACGACATATCTTGACCATGCCGGAACGACACTATATGCAAAGAGCCTGATCGACTCTTATTCGAGAGAACTGACGAGCAAACTATTCGGAAATCCACATTCTGCATCGGCCTCGTCGCAACTATCGTCGCGACGGATTGATGATGTACGTTTTCAGGCCTTGCGGTTCTTCAATGCGGACCCAGGTGAATTTGACATAGTATTTGTTGCAAACGCCACTGCCGCCATCAAGCTTGTCGGAGATGCACTTCGAGACCATCAGTATGGCTTCAAATACTGGTACCACGGCGAATCCCATACCAGTCTTGTGGGCTTGAGGGAAATCGCATCTCGGGGCAGTTCTTGCTTATCTGATGACGAGATGGTGGAAGACTGGTTGACCAGCCTCGATTGTGCGAGCCCGGCCGCAACAGGGAACGTATCGTTGTTTGCTTACCCGGCCCAATCCAACATGACAGGCCGACGTCTTCCTCTGGAGTGGTGTCGGAGGGTGAACGGACTAAGATCATCATCAGGCCGGCAGATCTTCACCCTCCTTGATGCTGCTGCGCTGGTATCGACAGCTCCGCTGGACTTGTCTGATACTGCAGCTGTTCCTGACTTTGTTGCTGTGAGCTTCTACAAGATCTTTGGGTTTCCAGACGTGGGGGCTTTGGTCGTACGGAAGTCATCCGGGGAGATCTTGCGGCAGCACAGATACTTTGGCGGTGGCACCGTGGACTCGGTGACAATGTTGGGAGCGACATGGTACGCCAAGAGGGAGTCATCCTTACATACTTCTTTGGAGGACGGAACACTGCCCTTCCACAACATCATCGCTCTTCAAACGGCCTTTGACGTCCACAGGCGGCTTTATGGGTCCATGCGTAACATCTCGAGGCACACTGCTTTTCTCGCATCAACGCTACGCAGTCGGCTGCAAAGTCTACAACACGGCAACGGGAGTCAAGTTTGTACCGTATATACTGGCAATTTCTCAACGGATGACTCCCAGGGACCCGTGATTGCATTTAACATGAGAGACAAGAAGGGCAAGTACGTCAGCAACACCGAAGTGGAAAAGCTTGGAGTGGTGAACAGCGTCCAATTCCGAACTGGCGGTCTTTGCAACCCTGGAGGAGTGGCATACCATCTTGGACTTTCTGCGGAACAGATGCGACGGAATCATGCAATGGGCCTACGATGTGGAGGTGAGAATGACCTCATTGATGGTATGCCCACTGGTGCGATCCGAATCAGCCTCGGAGCAATGAGCAACGTGAAGGATGTGGAGACCTTTGTCAATTTCATCCAAGAGTTCCACGTCGACCCGTGTACCTCTTTGGGACCGCCGGTACCCTGCCTGTCTACAAGGTCGAGACCTTCATTTTATGTCGAAAGCCTATCAGTCTTTCCGGTCAAAAGCTGCGCCGCCTACAAGATACCCTCCGATACTCCATGGGAGGTAGGACCACAAGGACTGGCATGGGATCGACAGTGGTGTCTCGTGCACCAAGGAACAAATGTCGGCCTCAGTCAGAAGAAGTTTCCACGAATGGCGCTCCTTCGCCCCGAGATCGATCTGCCGAACCGTGTACTCAGACTCACTTTCGAGTCCGAGTCTGTAGGCAACACTCGACGTCTCGAAATCAGCCTTGACGTGTCCCCTGAGACGACAACATGTATTGGCCCATGTGATGCCACAACCAGAAAAACCTCGACTATCTGCGGTGAGGATGTTATTGTGCGCGTCTATACCTCTGCCGAAGTGTCAGAGTTCTTCACCGAGGCCTTGGGCGTCCCATGCACTTTGGCAAGATATCCCCAGGACGGCTCCGTACGACAAGCAAAACTGCGTGTCCCTCGTTTAAGAGACGCTACTAACATGGTGATCAACTCGGGATTTGCAACAAGCGGAGGCAAATCGATCGCGCTGGCAAACGAAAGTCCTATTCTCCTCATCTCGCGGTCAAGCGTGAACAGTCTCAACGAGCAGATCAAGCTCAACAGCGGCGGGGTTGGTCAAGCGGTTGCTGCCGAATCCTTTCGTGGCAATATCGTCATTGCTGAGGAACTGCGTGACCGGCGGATAGAGACCCCCTATGCCGAGGAGGAATGGACTAGTATCCGCATCGGAAAAGACACTACTGGACGTGATCAGGACACTGTTGTCAATGGCGGGCCCGGTCATGGTCATACATTCGAAATACTTGGTCCTTGCCAGCGATGTCAGATGGTCTGTGTGGACCAGAAAAGTGCTCAGCGAAGACAAGAGCCCTTCAGTACTTTGGCGAAAACTCGCCGGAGAGACGGGAGGGTCTGGTTCGGCATGCACATGTGCTTGTCTTCCTCCAGCACGAAGACACAACCGGCATGGATACAGGTCGGTGATAGAGTAGCGCCAATGATATGATGGTTACCTTACTGTACACAGTACGTTGGCCTCCCCAATTACTACGTCGAAGAAAATCAGTCATCTCGTTCATGTACTATCTATTCATGCCAATTTTGGTTTCTGGCTACACATTTGTCATTTGAGTAGTGTAACACAGAAAGATCCTTGATCCGTGATGAAAAGGAAAGGATATGCCGACGAAGCCAAAAAGTGCCAAGGGTGTAAAGCGGCGTGGGTGTCTGACCGATTTGCACGATGTTGTAACCTCCCTTTGTTCCGTGCCCCGTGACTCGTGTAGTGCCGCCTTTACAGCTTCGACCCCACCACAGTTTAGCTAAAAGGATCCCATCCCCTCGTCACCTCGTCCATCCATCATCCTACCTTTTACTTTTTCTTTCTCCTTGCCATTATGCTTCCTCTCATGCTTCGCCCACGAGCATTTCGACCTCGAAAATGCAATGCTCCAGCTCCGGCTGAAGCACGTCTACCTACATCCGCCTTCGCCTCGCGACGGCAGACCGATTGAGACCCAACCGGAGGGGTCTGGTTGCGGCCAAGCTACCTCTTTACCTGTCTTCGGCGTTATCGCGGGTGGCAGAAACCCAGGATGTTACTGCCACACTTTCATCCTTGTGTGATCAGATATCAATGACAGACCAGATACGAAATCAGTCAATAGATTGCTTTGTCAAAGAAAAGAATTCTCTCATTCATCCCATGTTCTTTGCGCTAATGTTTGCTTAATATTCACGTACAACTTCAGAGGTCGTCAATGCGAACCCTCAGCAGCAAACCTCTGCCAGATGCAGCTATGTCGATATCTCGATCAGGAATCAAAAATACCCAAGCAACTCCATTTTGCTCTGAAGTCTCGATTCAATGTCCACGGTTCGCTGTCCAACGGGGGCGGTCTCAGCAGGCTCTTCGCGTCGCCTATGCTACGTCAATAGCACTGTCTGGTTGAAAACGTATCTTTTTGCGCGACTGTGCCTTCAACTCGTCACTGATGAGGTGCGCCTCGCCGTCGGTGAAGCCGATGGTCACCTTGTCTTCGTCGACCATTTGAGCGAGCATCGAATCGAGAAATGCCTTCTGCTCAGCAATGAACATCTTCGTCGCCGCAGTATTGAATCCTCGACGGGCTTTTTTCTGCTCTCGAACTTGTTTGAGATGCGCTCGGACGCGTTCCTCCAACATCTCCAGGCGATATTCAGCATACTGAGAGTAAAGCTCGGAAAGGTCAGAGATGGCGCGGACAGTAGTGAGAACAGTGTCGTCCTTGGTAAATGGAGACTTGGGTCTGAACGAGGTCACCATGGTGATGCGTTCCGATGTACCGAGAGCTCGGAGCGCTTGATGTTCAATGTAGCGTCCCTGAAGGATCACGGCGTGACCCTGTTGAAAATGTAAGTCGCCTTGCAGTGAACTTGCTGACGGATGTACTTACCATGCCTGGTCCTCGGACTTTCATGATCTCACCATCACCCTTGCGCAAAGCCGTCTCACCGCCGATCATGTTGGTACAGTCGCTAAGCATGGTGACACAAACGAACGGGTAGCTGTCAGTGTGCCAATCGACAATGGGCGCGTCATCCTCGTAAGGACATCCGGAGACACCTTCATCCGCCTCACGCTGCACCTTTTCTTGCAAAGCCTGCTTGACAGCCTCTTTCTGCTCCTCAGAAACGGTGGAGAGGTTGATATGCGCAATCTCAAAATCAAGCGCCGGGACAAGCTCGACTCCTGCAATCTTGGACACGATGGAGAGTATCTCTGGGCTGTGCCAGACGTCGTACACAAAAGGAGCGTATCTTTGCTTTGTCAGTCTACTGTTTCCATGCCCAAGCATTTGGAACTTACTCGGGGGCGAAACCTCTCAACTGAGACTGGGCCAAGTTACTGGAGTACTTGCAGTTCTCAAGGACCGGTTTGCTCAAAACTTCCGCTCTCATCTGCTGGACTGCTTCTTCAGTGAAGAGAGGGAATGGCTCTGACACAGCAATTGGAGAAACACCCTTTTTGGCCATACCGATCTCTTCCATGGTCCAGACCCGTTCAGGATGCTTGAAGTTGAGATGCTTTGCTGGGTCAAAAACAACCTGTCTTGGGACGGCGGGAGCCATGCTGAAGGAAGATCTTGATGCTGCTGAATTGGTTCGCTTTCTGCTGACAGCACCACCAAAATCTGATGGTGGGGGAAGGAGAACGTCTGCGGAAGCCATGGTGAAAGGTTGGACACCTAAATATAGTGATCCGAGTTGGGAGGCAGTCGCTGTCACTGAAGACAAGGTAGCTGCAAGGTAAGAGTGATTACAGTGTCACTGGCAGTTGGCAGTGAATGGCAAGAACGAACATGTGCTACCTATGCTTTTGGCTAGGTGATACTCATCGAGGTGAAAGGAAAGTGAAGAGGTCGACAAGCTATATCGAGAACTTATATCATGGCCCCTTTACTGACTTGGGATCGTCAACCATGCACGGTAAGGTCACGGAGTCCTAGCTGACGTTCAATGTCCAAGGTCAGAACAGCCTGCAGCTTGTGATCTGGAAACCATGGATTCACAACCACTCATGCATCTACCACACATCTCCACCAGATATTGATGATGAGGGATGCTGGCAGCAGTGTGCCAGCACAAGCTGCATCCAAGCGTGGCATTCGCTCGGACCATGATGCCTTATCAGCTGCTTTATCACGATCGCCTCCTGGGAATTCTGGTCGGGGCACAATGGTGGGTCCATTATCTTGACAAGCGCCCTTTGACCTGGGGATGGCGGACGGTTGTGGAGTCTATCTGAACAAGCTCTGGGCCTTTTCTTTTGTCATGCATGGAAATTGTTCCTCTGTTTGGACTAAATCAGTGCCAGTGCCGCTTCCGACTCAATGCACTTTACTGGAACATTTGCAGCGGTTTCACATGTGCACAATTATTGCCCACAGGCTGTTACTAACATGAATGCAGCAGCCTGCAACGACTGCTATGGAAAAGGACGGTCGATCAATCAAGTCAGGACCTGGTCACACGCTTCATATTGCAAGAGGGCGAAATATAGGACAATACGGTTATATGTCAGAATCGGGTATTGCAACCGCCGACTACTTTGGCAGCACATATTTGTCGGTGCATGCATTCAAGCATCAAGGGACATTATGCAACATGCAGCCATCGAGAAGTCTCGCTTCTGGAACATGTGGACAACCCCGCTGAGCAGCAGTTGTGTATGGATCTATTGACCGAAACAGGTATCGTGCCGGAAAGTCCAGAAACCTTGCGCAGAGACATGGTTGGTTAATGACACTGTGATTATGGCCGTGATTGTTTCCAGGAGCTATCTATGGAAGACTTTACTCTGACAGCTGTCCACTTTCGTTGAGCAATCTGGGCCGACTTGAGACTGTTATCATTCCCCATGCAGATTCTCGAGCTATTCAGCGGCGAGCGGCGGGAGTTGCCACGTCAGTGCTGGTGATGTTTAGGTTGGGCCCCAATTGAGGGGAGAAGAGGTATATCTGAAAGTGGGTAGCCCGCACCGGCAGGACGAACCTTGTCGCTCGCCATCTGATCGTGTCATATGTGGAAGAACTGGGGAGGCGGTCTGGACAAGCGCAGTCCCGGACAAGGCTCTGGAGCCACCATTACGAGTCGGCGCAATCAATCCTACAAAGACTCGGTAGAGCGAGCTTCTAGTCTTGCTGTTCCCAGCCAAAAAGGGTGCAGCACGGTTTGCATGGTGGCAAAGGAGCAGCTGTCTTCACCAGGTCGAGGTATCGGGCCGACATATCTGTTGCTGCTAGTAGTTCTGTAGTGTTTCATAGAGTGTGGAGGGGCACTGGCAGCATCAGGAGTGGGAAGTCGGGAATCGTTATCGATTAGATAAGATTGAGCCGCCTGCAACGGGCGCTATTCCCGGAACGTGCAAAGAAGGTTAGCCGCATGAGTGTTCGGCCGCGGCCCTGCAGGTGAATCTGCAACTGCGTCCACGCCAGAAAGACATGCAATACGTCTAAATACAACGACATGTCAACTTCGGCGCAGGCAGACCAGCAGGCTGGTCCTGCTGGAAAGGATGACACCTGGGAGAAGTCGAAGGAGACCTTTGAAAAGTACTGCTATCCTTCTCCTACTATACGTCCAAACATGTACTGATGTCGGGTAACTCGCAGAAAGCGCAGCTCGGAATACTACGATCCTTGTCAAGATTTTGCGAACAGAAGTATAAAATGCATGCACAGGAACAACGGTGATCGGGAAATGTGCCAGGATTATTTCCAGTGCGTCTGACTCGAGGCGCGCCATCAGATCCATTTCCAGGGGCCGGATGTGGTGGTCACCCGCGTTCCCTGCCTCGAACCTCGAGCAAGTGGCTGACAAGCAGGTTGCGAACAGAGCCTACCGAGATTGCAAAAAAGAATGGGTACACTTGACATTCACTCATCGCGCGCTCGACCTTGCTTACACGTTTACAGATGGCCAGACGTAAAGCGGAACGGAAATCATGGTTCGGTTGACCCACGCAATCGATCGCAGCCCTTGACGTCTTGCGGCCAGTCCAAAGGGCTATTATGGCACAAAACGGAGGACAAAAAAATTCCACTCTAGAAAGCATGGCGCGGTGTTGGCTCAGAAAGATTTGATACCTGATACCCTTGCCGGAGGAGTCGCACTCTGTCAACAGCGACCCGGTGCCGCCTGCGCAATGCAGTGTAGAAATAATACCTATGCAAGCTGTCACAGAACATAGCAAAAGACGTCCACTCAAACAAAGAAAGGGACCTAAGTATGCTGTCGGGACGAATGGCACCGTATCCGAGTCTAGCAGTTAATGCGCTGCGACTATTAAGTAGTGTCGAGCAATCAAACCGTGTGCAATGTCATGGCAGATCGTCGACTCCAATTCCCCTCATAGGCCGTTGGCGCACTTTCAACATTCGATCGAGGCACACCCTCGACGATGTCCGATCCGACAGTCAGTGAGCGCCGTATACGCCCGATCCAGGATGCGGTTGCGACTGAAAACTGGAAACAAGCTCTGCAACTATGCGACAAATGGTCAAAAAAGGGGGAGAAGTCGGACAGATTTCTGGTGAGCGCAGTTCGTCGGCCTTGAAGGCTACCCGTGTTCTTACTCCCGTAGGCCCTGAAAGCTTTTGTCCTGGTCAACCAACTCGACAAGAACCAGCATGAGCGAGGCCAAGCCGAAGTTCTCGAGTTGTGCAAGCGAAACCCTCCCGTGACCGACCCAGAAACCATATACCAGCTACAAGAAGCGCTGAAATGCCTGTCATTGGAAGAAGAAGGCCCCAAGCTGTGGGAAAGAGCCGTCACGGCCAAGCAGAATGACAAAGACCTATATATGAGATGGCTCAACCAGGCCATCCTAGACAACAACTGGCTCAGCGCTCAGAAGGTGTGAACATAACTCAAGGTCTACCACTCCAATGCAAGAGACGGGAACTGACATGGGGCCCCATCCGACAGGCCACCATGGGTTTGCGAAAGTCTTTCCCAAGAGACCGAAACTACGAGTTTTGGAACATCCTCATGTGCTTCCTCATACATATGCAGCATGACCTCCCCGAAAAAGACAGAATGCTCTTCGGCACCCTTGCATACCGAATGATTTCAAAAGCAGCCGAGACGGTTCCCACTGCCACTGACCAACAAGTATGTTTGATTCTTACACCCACAAGGATAAAATGCCAATTTCTAATCATCGTGCGTCTAGAAAGAAGGACAAGGACCTGGGAAATCCATTTCCACACCGGAAGAAGTGGCTCTCCTGGTCCAAGTCTTGAATTCAACAGGACACTCGGCAGAGGCGGTCAAGTTGTTGCAGGGGGACTCCGTAGGCATGGAGTCCACCGCAGGCAAGAAAGACCCTCAGCTCGTATTGTCTTTGCTACTCGAATCTATGAAATTGTCCGAGCAATGGGACCAAGCTCGTTCCTGGTCTCACGGCCTTCTTTCTCAGCCAGAGTACCAATCGGACAATCGAATCTGGCACCTTTGGCTGGAGGCACAGTCAAGGCTCTCTCCAGATGGGTATTCTATCCGACCATTATCTGACTAGCAAGTGACTTGCGCTGACCTTCATACCAGACTTGATAAAGAATCCCAGGAGTTGCTCGAGTCGGCGTGCAATGTCCGACCACCAGTGCGAGCCGCGTACATGGCAAAGATGCAGTATTTGCGAAGCCGCGGTGGTGAAAATGACCTCGACGCTCTGTTGCAGACCTGCAAAGAATACGCGCAAGCGTTCTGTCAACAGGCGTTTTGTTTCGACGACCTGAAGGAATCTCTGCGACACCTCGACCAAACCCGCTTCAATGATTTCACCGCCTCATGCCCCGAACAAGGAAACCTGGCACAAGTGTTCAGACTGAAACTTGTCTACAGTTCTTTCTCTACCGACGTTTCACGAAAAGATCTTGTGGATTTTGCGTCGCGTGCGTTGCAGCTCTATCAAAGCTCGCTCTCCGACACCACCGGATCCGGCTGCCCCGAAGCCGTCGTTCTGGCTATATTGGCGCTGTCGAAGCTGGCTGCCGCTACCGGAGAGACACGATATACATTCTTCGCCGTGGTTTTACTTCAGATTGCGCGTGCCAGATTCGAGGACTTTTACCTTTTCAACATCTTGCTTGTGCAACTCCAGGCATATCTTGGTCTGCTATCTTTGGCCATGGACACGTTCACCAGGCTTAGCGTCAAGAACCTGCAATGGGAGACAGTGGGACATTTAATTTTGACAAGGATATCCTCGCTCCATCCCGAGGGCAGTGGACTGGAAGAAAATCACTTTGAACCCCTTGGGGAACTTGGTACCGGTCTTATCATCCTAGAAAATGCGGACAGTGCTCTCGTACGTGGAATTCGAGAAGGCCTCAGGTTCAACAGCTACTCCAACATTCATAACAGCGTGGAAATGCGGGCCGATATCGAGAGAAGCGTCAATCGACTGATCTATGCTATTGAAGAGCGCAGGTTGAGGCGGTTTTTGCAAATGTCAGAGGAGACGGTTTTGCCGACGTCGTCGGGCCCATTAAGTCTCGTGGACAAAAGAGACTTTGCCTTCTTGCCTTCTTACCGTCCGGACGATGCGCAACTTCTTGAGAGGTTTCGATGTGGCCCCCTGCCACATGAGAAATGGATTGCTGTCATGGCTCTCGGTGACAATCTTGCGACTTATCTCAAGGCAGAGCTTCTGTCGCAGACAGCTTTGGCGTCAAAGGCGTTTGAGAACCTTAGTGTGTCTCAGACCAACGTGGAAAGACTCACCAAGGACGGGCTAGAAACAGAGTTAACAACGGCGGAAAAGGCGAGTTTTGAATGCCATCAAATCCTGGCTCGGATAGTCGTGCTGGCGAAAGAAGGCGCAGAACATGAACAACTCACCGAGCTTTTGGAGAAACTGGAGTCCTGGCTGAATGCCAGAATCTTTAAAAGGCGCAACAATCGGGATCGACCATCATCTGGTTCTGGTTCAACGCTGGCGGGCACGGGTATCGAAATTCCAACATGGGAAACCTTGCACACCAGTCTCACGGAGCTCGAGACCTTGCAGATCATAGCCATGGCATTGGCTGTCCTGGCGGCAGCGGCGAACAAGAAGTCCAAATCCAAATCGAAGACATCTGTTGCCGTCGCTCGGGATACTTTGGTCAAGCTTCAACAACTGGTCGTCGACATGGAGGATACGATCCGTCAAGAGGCTAGGGATCTGAAGGACCAGGTGAATGCGCCTGGAGTGCTGGGCAAGTTGGTCGATCTGGGACTGGCTAGAGACGAGGACAGTGAATTGGCCGGATTGGCAGATGTGCTAGACAAGCTCTGCGACGAGGTTACGATGGAGACGATTTGTGGTCGCATCAAGGATAGTTGGGATGATGCCCTGGATGGCGTGTTGGCCGTAAAAGTCAAGTCGTACTTGTAATTGAGCTGGAGAGAGTACAATATACCTAGTAGCGACAACCTACAGCCGGGCAAAAATTCGGTGTTGTAAATATAGGACCAGAAGAGAAGATACAACAGGTATCAAGCAAGGTATGAGCCCGTGTTCTGTTATTGACGTCTCTTCTTCCCAAAGATGAATTTCAGACAAGAGACGCTAGGTTTCTCAATCAGTGCTTGGTCCTAAACAATGTGCAAGACGACTGCCGGTGCGTCACCGATCCTTTTTGATTTTTTCGAGCGCCAGAGACGCTTGCAAGGAGATAGATTGAACAGTGATCAGCCTTCAAGCCATGGTACCTAGCCAATTGGGGAGCACGTCCATACACCATGATACTAGGGCAGTGCATGCTCAATCGTTCTGAGTAGGGATTGTCAACGGTTACTGCTCCTTTCGAGGCCGGTAGCTCGATGATCACGGGGAACAAATGTCGGCCAAAGATATTGTTCAGGCATTATCTTTTAGTCTCCCTCTCAAACAAGACCGGCCACTGCATGCACCAAGTACTAGTAGACCTCTTTGCCTTTGCCTTTGCCACTTCTCCCTAGAAGAAATAAACGCCATTCCATTTTCCATTGATGCCGAATAGCTGAAACAACAATTTGCGGTTTCTGGTCTTCTAGTCTTGCCGGCCCTTCAATAACCGTTTGGTGACCTTGTCTTTCTCGATGATGTAAACATGGGCGCCCCAGCCGGAGAGAGCGTCTCGATCGACGGCGTTGAGGAGAGCTTGAGAGATTGTTTCGAAGAGATCTTCAGGTGACTGGAGCAAACATGCGTTAGCATTGGAGGAAGAAGAGATGTTGGACAAGGAGTGTTGTTCTAACCAGATCAGGTTCCCACAATCCTTCACAAGTTCCAAACAACTGATCGCTCGCTGTGCCGGCGACAATAAAGTCCTTTGCGAAATCAATGCAGCCGATACTGTCGAAGCCGCAAATAAAAGGTTTCCCAGTCGTATGATTGATGCCGGCGAGCACGGGACTGACGAACCATGGCCCAAACCGGCGCTCGTACAAACTGCTCGATACGAGGTTCGCTAGTGTTTGTGGGCTGATGTTGCGCTCCTCGCGCAGTCGGTACATGTTGACTTTATATCGGAATGTGTCGCTGACGGTCTGGACGTCCGTGGCGAGGCCGGTCAAACCAAGGTATACGGACGGGCCGTAGGTGAAGATCTTGGGGAAGTTGTTGGATACAGTCAGCGCTTGCAGACCTAGGCGTAGGTCGCAGGCTATGGCGACGCAGTCTTTGCCCACCATTGCGACGCAGGCGCCGCCATCTGTTTAGAATTCAAGAAGTTCAGGGTTAGAAATGGATCTCCAGAGATGCAATGCAGGAGAGGGAAGACTCGGTCTGGTAGGATAGGACAGCATGGGGGAGGGTAGAGCAGAGCAGGGTACTCAGAAGGTGGGTAGGTAGGATTTATGCGGACGTACTGATGTCGAACGGCGAGCTCTGTCGTCTATGTCAGTATTGATCAAACAACAAGATTAGGGCTGCTGTGGTGGTCTCGTGGATGGGATGGGAATATCTGGACTGAGGTCGAAGAGTAACTCACCATTTTGGAAACGCAGTATGTGTGATCGAGACCACAAGGAGAGTGTCGACAGCAAGCAGAGGACTCAATGCAGCATCGAGGGAAGAGTCTATAAGAGAGGGAGACAATTGATCATGGGTTGGGTAGGTACTGTTGAAGTCGGCGCAATGTAGAGGTGCTGTACTCTTGGAGCGAGTACGTTGGAAGCAGGCATATGCAGCAAACGCGTTCATGGGCCGCAAGTTGCTGCGAGGCGAGGCTGCATTTGGGTGACAGCCAGGATTACTTAAGCAAGGCCTGAGGGGCCGCCATGACGCCGTCAGGCTGCGCCTAAGTAGCACTATTTACCTGCGACCGACCATCACTTTCGCCGCGGCGGAGGAAAGGCATCTGAACAATCTAGCAGACAACCACTGCAGACCTTCTGTACTTCTACTCGTTTCTACCCGCGTTAATTCTTGTTATTCACAACAACGTTCTGTTCAAAGTCACACATCTCAGGTCACTCCCGCGTTCATAAGTGAAGAAGTGGACAGTCCCTAAGAGCACCACCGGGCAGCCTCCGCCTACCTGGGCAAGATGGCGTCGCACGTTGTTGTGATCGACTCAACGGCGCGAAGAACGACCATCAAGACAACTCCAAACAAGACTCTTAGTGAAGTACTCGAAGAAGCTTGCGGCAAACTCGGCTTGAACACTGCGCAGTATGGCTTGAAGTGAGTGTCCGCTGTTATGCCATTCTCCAGTTATCCTCTGTTCGCGACTAACCGTCGTTCTGCAGACACAACAACAAACCAGTCGATCTCTCTAGATCCATACGTCTCTCCGGCTTATCTTCAGGCGCCAAACTCGAACTCGTGCAACTGTCCAAGTCCGCAGGTGTCGTGTCGATAGCCCTCCAACTGCCAGAATCGGAATCAAGAGGTGTACCCAATGCTCGACTTACAGACAAGTTTCCCAGTTCCACTACGCTATGGCTGGTGCTCAGGAAGTTCGAGGCCGGGGTGGCAGGTGGTGATGGCAGCCCTCGAAACTTCACAGCCAGAGGGGTCCCGTCCACTCAAAGTGGCACATCAGGAGCCGGACGATTGTACTATGAACAGCCGGTGTTACAAGTCATGAACAGAGAGTTGGCGTCTTTCACAGATTTGCAAAAGTCATTGGCGCAGCTCGGTTTAAATAGCGGGACGGCATTGTTGAGGTTAAGCTTCAGACCGACTGAAACTCCGCTCGAGGAGGCTATGGCTCAGATCCAGAGCTATTTCGATTCCCTCCAAGGCTCTGAGGCTGCTGTTTCCACGCTTACCCCGACCCAAACTCAGGAACAGCCACAGGCACAAGAAGTCGCGTCGTCTTCAACCAACCCTTTGCCAGCCTCGGACGACAAAATGGTTAACGACAACACAAAAGGCAGCCTCTCACAGTCAGCTTCCCGTCCTCAAAAAGAATCCCACCAGCCTTCCTCTCCTCAACCCGACACTGTATCTCATTCATCGACAGGTCGTCAAGTCTCGGTGTTCAGACCCCCAAGCTCAACCACTCCATCAGCAGCCCGTATCTCACATAACGAAGCTGATTACACGCCGACCGTGGAACATGCACAGATTCACCAGAAACTACTACAAACACAGGGACGGAATCAGCGTTTACCTACGGAAGCCGAGCTGGCGGCTCGGGCCAACGAAGAGGCGGCGAAATGGGCAGCTGTGAAAGAGGTTGAGGTCAAAATTCGGCTTCCTGACCAAAGTGCCGTGAGTGCCAAGTTTGCACCAGAAGACACGGCCGCAGATCTGTACAGTTTTGTCAGAGAGTGCCTGGGCGAGAAGTGGCGAGCGGAACATTTCACGCTTCGAAGTTCGGGGATTCGTGGCAGGAATGAAGTCATCCCTGATGATCCGGCGAAGAAGTTGATCCGGGATTTGCAACTGAAAGGCCGTGTGCTGGTCATCTTCGAATGGGACGATCAGCGAGCTAGTGCCGAGGCACGCAATACGAAAGCCGTGCTGAAGGACGAATTGAGAGCCAAGGCTCAGGATCTTACCATCCCTGATATTCCGACGGTTGACGAGGATAAGGATGATCCTGGAGTCAAGGTGAATGCTGGCAAGAAGGAGTCAACGACCGACCAGGGTGGAGAGGGTGGGAAGAAGCTTCCAAAATGGTTGAAAGGCTTGACGAAGAAATAGTCAGACTTTGTTTGGTCCAGCGAAACTTGCATTCTGTCAGCGGTGGCATCAGGTTTACAGCAGGCCCCATTCGCAACGACGACACCTGAATGATTATGAGCATAGAGGAGATGAGACTTCAATGATCGTGTACAGCTAATAAGGTCCTCTTGTTTTTGTGTCTTGTAGTGTAGCAAGTTGTCTTCTGAGCATGATCAGGAGGACCAGTTCCCTCATCAGGCAGCCTGATACTGCCAAAGGGCCCTGGCACGTGACCACGATGGGAAAAAGTGGGGCCAACGAGGATTCCGCCCACAATGAACTGGAGGAGCGATATTCGTATTTCGCAGCCACGAAACTTGAACTACGACTTAGGAAAACGAAACAACCACGCCTCGCCTTCCTACCTCGATTTACCCATCCGCTCAGATCACATTACCGACAAGATGCCTGCTCAGGTCACAGACATTAAGCAATTCCTCGAGATTGCGCGCAGAAAGGATGCCAAAGGTTCGATAAGCCCGTCCCGTTACCCAGAACCTGCCCCTCGCAAGCATTTCTTTAGTTTGCCAGCACCTCTCGTTCATCCGGATATTTTGGAAAGGAAAGAGAAAGGAACATGCTAGGGAAGAGGAAGTTCAAGAAGCGAGCCGAAGAAAAGGAAAGATACCGAAAGAGGGCGGAAGAGAGGGAGAGACAAAAGAAGAAGAAAAAGCTGTTCTTCTTGCCATTGTCTTTTTGTTTCGCGAATGGGATTGAGGCCTACCTGCATTTACTGGAACCCCCAAGTACAGGATGCTAACCTGGGATTTGTGCAATAGGTGCCCGCTTGAAGAAGTCGGAAAAGTCCAAGGACATCAAGATGAAGATCCGGTGCAAGAGATACGTCTACACTTTGATCCTCAAGGATTCGGACAAGGCCGACAAGATCAAGCAGAGCTTGCCTCCTAGTAAGTTTTGCCCTATGGTCCGCTCTCTAGCCGGAGAAGCCTATTCTTACGTATAGAATACGCATCATGCTAACCTCTATTTTCTTCTGCAGCCATGCCCTTCCAGGAAATCAGCAAGAAGACCAAGAAGCCCAAGAAGGCGTAAATCTAGTCTTTCTTTGAAAAGCATCTGATGTTCGGCGCACGGAACGGGGGTCGCTAAGCTGGCCTGCCATGCTAGACGAGTGACACGAAATGCTGGGCTGGGCATCATGACCACCGCGTTTAGTCTTGGTCCAACCGGGACAACTGAATACGAGCTGGTTTTCAAGCTGAGTGGGCAGGGGTACGGACGGAGATGGTCGAGCAGGGGATGTGGGATAACCATACCCTACAGTGCATTGATCGTGGCTACCTTCCTACTGGTGTACTAGTAGTAATACTAGGAGTCGTACAGCAAAGCAAAACTTGAACCGTCACGTCGAAACACAAAACAAATTCCGTTCTTAAAGTAGTCTCATCTCGTTGTATTTCATTTCATTTCGTCTGGTTAGCCATAAGTACATCTATGGCATTGACCTATTATGGACACAAGTACTTGACTTCCGCATATCCATCTAGAAGCGCACTGGTTCTCGAATCTGGGTCTGAAACAACATTCCGCTGCGCCTCGGCGCGTCCCAGGCGCAACTCGTACTCGCCAAAGTACGACGGCGTGTCACTAGTTTTGCGGAACCCCAAACTTTCAAACAATGCCATGCTGCGATGGTTGGTCTGGCCGATCTTGACGGCGAAATGATCGAAGCGAGTAGGACTAGTTGCACCGTGATTCTGCAATGTCGAGGTTGACTCGCTGTGATCCTTGATGGCCTGCTGGCCAGCTTGAAACTCTGTCAGGATCAACCGCTCATGAAGCATGATATACCTCAGAAATGCGAGCAATGCGGCTCTACCAAGCCCCTTTCCTTGCTCTGTCTTCTCTGCGATCATGAGTTCAAGTTCACCGACGAGTAACAACTGATGCTGATCATCATCCGCGTCATCCTCGACGAGTGAGATGAAGAGGTTGACATCACCGATCATGGATGTGAGGTCAAGCTGTTGTCCGTCACGGGTAGTCCCCACGGAACTGTTGTTTTCAGGGACTGGCCGACAGATGATAAAGGTCAACTTGTCGCCGTCCTCGCGCCAGCTGCGCTGCATGCCATATTCTTCGTCGAGGGTCAATGGTTCTGAGGCTGTGGCTGCCTGGATATCCTAATATGAACATAAGAAACAAAGACACACAAATGTATCATGACGGGGAATCTCATTCGTACTGGGTCTTTCATCCATTCATGATACTTTGGCACATGGTGTGCCGAATATGGTACGAGTGTCACCCGCTTGGTGGAGACGGCTGATCAAAAGTTAGGTGGCCGGCCGATTCAAGCAATTTATATCCAATTCATCTTACCGGTGAACTCATTTATCCGCATATTTCATTCGATCCATATTCTGTTGTCTTCGCTGCCAAAGTATGACAACTTTTTGAGAGTTGAATGAAAGGTGGTACGACAAGGAAAGTTTCCCGAGAGCTCAGCCTTGCCAGCCCCTGCCCACTGCATGGTCTATCACGATCCACTTGGTTGGGCTGGATCATGGACATCAAACTTGAGCACCTGGACTTCCAGCGTTTCCGAACTCAGCAGGATGAGCTCTCCAGTTTCGTGAAATCGTGGAATAGTAATGAGTCGGACGTGTTGACCTTGGGACCCCTCAATCACGTGAGTTTCGAACCGGGGTTGATTCCCTACGAAGAAGACATGCGGACATTCTTCGATAACAAATTGGTCTCGGTCTTGGAACGGGAAGCACCACAAAGTGTCTGGAGCGGTGGGTGCGGCGCAACGCCATCGGAGCATGTTCATCATGACTTCCATCCTGCCGTCCGAACCGGTGCCGTCTGGTCCACCGAGGTCAACGTACCTGAGGATGTCATCCACAGGTTGCCCGCTGTTGCCCATGAACCGCCAGCCGTCGATACCTCCGTCCCATGGATTCGTGACACTGTCCAGCCACGCAGGCTCCTCCTCTTCTTCGGGATGGAGGACGTTTGCAGTTGTGTAAGCTCTCGAGTGTGGGAACATGGCAGGATGGATAGGTTGTTGGGGGAGACTAGCATTGGCAGGGTCTTGTTCGCCCGCCATTATGGTGACCGGGATGCTGGGGAGCAGCTCCGCCAGGAACTGATCAAGGTGTTCGGTAGGCGAGGGATTGTAGGCTGATGCATCATAACCGTACTTCCGGTTCCCGGGCTTCTTGCCATCTTCGACAGCCGTCTGATGATTAGGAAGCAGGTCTGAGGCGACCGAATTTCCAGCAATGATTAAGCGGGAAATCGTGCTGGCTTCGGTCCGGTCTTCCTCGTCCAATGCCTCGCCTAGAAGATATTCGCTCAGAAGCGAGAGCCTGAGTGTGTCCGCCTCTGTTCCAGATATGTTCAGACCACTGACCAGAGCAATTTTCTTTCTCGGCTGTTCGACGTCCATCTTTCCTTCTTCTTTCTCATATCCTTGCCATCTCTTTGGTTGAGGGGGTAGTTCAGGAATGTGTAGGTCAAGAACTTCGAAATCGCCGTTCGCATTTTCGGTCCCGAGCACTGCAACGATAACGCCGGTGACCAGCAGATTATTCTCCAACATTGGACCTGTCAAGCGGAGCCGACCCGATTCATCCTCCAACATGACCTGGGTTTCAATGTCGGCAGAAAAATACGAGTGTCGTGGAGGAGGCCCCGCGATCCAATGCTCTTTGGCTATGTCTTCCAAGATGTTGGGTTTCAACGGCATGTCCATGTATATTGTCCCCACGACCCAGCACAGCTGACCTTGTCGGACATCAAGCACTCTTTCTACCCTCTGGGCCTTCTCGCCTGCAATCTCAAAATCTTCCCAGTCTTCTCCTGCGATCCTCTCCACCACAGGCTTCAGTTTGGCAAGTCGAAGGAAGTACATGTCACCATATTGCTGAACATAGTGTTTGCTGTCGCCTCGGGAAAGTCGGTAGGAGTAAAGTGGATTGTAATCACTCGAAGCCCGGTGCTGCAAGGTGAACTGCTCGTCCTTGTTGTATGGACGGAGGAGGCCCTGTATCGGTGCCATTTGGACGCTGTTGCCAACACAGTGGTACACTGTCTTACTGGAAATTCTGCCACGCGACAAGATGCATGGAGTTGCAGAGAGCTTCCAGCAGACTGTTAGACAATGAGAGGCGTGGGCTGTCTACCTGGTAGATACCCGGATGCTGTGTGCTGCTAATCACAATATTCGATAGTGGTTAGACGCGTCTTTTGGGATGACACGCCGCGCCCGCGAAAGTCGAATCCAGTTGGCGCGTGCCTCATTATTCCTCTTCGAGCCCAACTTGACGCTGTCTCGCCCCAGCGGCCTCTGTCTGGGCGATCACAAAGCGGCGGCATTATAGTGTTCCGCTGTACATTGTATAAAGTCAGGGCAGTTCGTTCTGATCAACCCTGCTCCCTTGTTGTACATAGTATGTGCCACAATGACCCCTTGCCTAAGGGGCAGCGCAATGAGCTTACTGATCCAGAAATGTAGCCTTTTGCCCCCTGAGCATGGCCGCTCAAGGCTAGACCCTTCTTTAAGAGGCTGTGTCTGCTGAAGTTGATTAACGAGTCCCTCCGCTCCCTCCCCAAGCCTTCTGCCTAACCCTATCATCCTACGATTTCGGACGGGCAGACCCCGATCTCAGCTCAGCGCAGTCAGCTCACAATTCTAGTGTCTAACGTGCAGGCAGAGCGATAGAAACTCATATGATGCTTTGGTCCACCAATACACCGAAATTCTGACCACCTGTCTATGCAGTTATACTTGCAGCTCCTACAAACCCATCCTAGATTAGCAGCTGATCAAACTGTACACACCTAGGCTGCTCTGTCAACAAATCTCTGATGGCCATGGACTCAGTGCAGGAGACATCAAAGACATTGCCACATTTACTGCTGGACAAGGACCCTTACACTGATCTTGGAGCAGTTGGGTTGGGCATGACCGGATATATCCTCGGCATCGATGATGATCGGGTGGTGAAGGTAGCCAAAACATATCCCGTGGAAAACTCGGAGGATTTCTTTATGGAACACGTCAATGAAAGCAACCGTGAAGCACTTGTCACAGAGATTGAGATCTACCAGAGGCTGGGACGTCATGAAGGCATCATTCACTGCTTCCAGACAACAAACTTTGGTATCGAGATGGTTTTCGCCAAGCAGGGGGATCTCGAGACATATATCAACAGCAATCCGGAGCCCACAGAACCCTTCAAGATTCATTGGATTCTTTCCCTTATTGATGGTTTATCTTATATCCACTCACGGAAGGTGCTGGTGGATGAAATAGCGTTACGCAATATCCTTGTCGATAACGGCCAACTCAGATTTGCCGACTTTGGCCAATCTTACCTTTTACCTTTGTCAACAAATATGGACACAATCTGCGAAAACGACCTGACCGTCAAGATCGAGATCCTCCATCTTGGTTGGATCATTTATTCGATTGCTTGTTGGAAGGTGCACAAATACTACTTTTTCGGCGAAGATCGGTACATGGAGTGGCCAACATCAGATCAGCTTCCTCCACTGAAGGACCTCTTTTGCGGAGCCATCGTCGAAAATTGCTGGAAAGGCAACTATGTCAACGTGGATGCTCTCAAGCAGCACGCCTGTAGTCTGCTTCTCAGATAAAGTCGTGTGGATAGAGGTTATGTATTACTAGAACCTCATCTTCCCTAATGGCGAAAAGGACCCAATGCCATTCACATAAATGAGGTTCGGCTTCTTACCACAGAGGTGACTTACTAGACCCTGTCAGCGGGTTTGTCCTTTCATCCGTTTTGATCCTGAATGTAGGGCGATTTTAACACATTTATTTGTACTTCGGTAGACTGGACGTTGTGGTACCACCAGATCGGGACCATCTTTCCCGCACGTACCGAGATTAGCGAGCCGAATCGGACAAGAGTTCTTGATGACTTGAATGGAACGGCATAACGCACCGTGGCTGTGGTGCGCCTGATACTGTACAACGTACTGTAGAATATAACTCATCCCATGTCAATTATTTTGCCAACCTCATCTCATCAGCTCCACAGGCTTGACGTCGATTGCTTGTGGGCCTCAAGCCCCGAATGGAGCAAAGAGACAGTACCAAGAGCACCAATTATATGAAGCTTATACTTCTCCATTGAACATTGTATATCTGAAGCATTTGCGCCCCATGCCGGCCAGGTAAGAGAGCGTGGACACGCAAGTATCCCCATATTAGGGTTAAGCGAGGACTTGGATCTGTCAGGCACGCGATCGTTGTCGTTGTGACACTTACCAGACCCTGAGCTGGGGTGTCCGTGGACCCTCGGACCCAGCAGCGGCCAGCCTCGGTTCATCAACGAGAGATCCCGACCCCACACTTTTACTCTCAATGTTGACCGGGGTGGAAGCGCATTTCATATATATCTAGCAAATCATACAAGAACAACACATGGACGCCCTGGATCACTCTAGGACTTTATCGAATTACTGAAAACACTTTTCTTTACATCCACTCTTTGCGTTGCCTACCGTCACGATGTCGTCGTCGTCATCGCCGCCTCCATTAAACACGCCGCTTACCAGGCTCCTGGGAATCAAGTATCCCATAATGCTTGCCGGGATGGCGCGCACCTCAGGCGGTCCCTTGGCCGCGGCGGTGTCGAATGCCGGTGGGATAGGGACCATTGGAGGCCTGGGATATACACCGAAACAATTACAAGAGGTAGGTATACTAACCACAACCACTACAACCGTTTCATAACCACGTCGGACTAACCACCAGCTAGATCATTGACGAACTCAAAGCCAATCTAGTTGACAAATCCCTCCCCTTTGGAGTCGATCTGGCCTTACCTCAGGTCGGCGGGAACGCCAGAAAGACCAACCACGACTACACACACGGCCAACTCGACGAATTGATCGAGGTGACGATCAGAAACAAAGCCAAGATCTTCGTCAGTGCAGTCGGCGTGCCTCCGGCGCGGACGATCAAAAGACTGCACGAGGCAGGCATCCTGGTCATGAACATGGTAGGCGCGCCGAAACATGCAGAAAAGGCCCTGAAAGCAGGAGTGGATATCGTGTGTGCCCAAGGGACAGAAGGCGGCGGGCACACGGGCGACATTGCGAACAGCATTTTGATTCCGGCGGTCGTCGATGTCGCGAGGAAATACAAGAGTCCCCTGACCGGAGAGCCGGCGCTGGTCGTGGCTGCGGGCGGGATCTACGACGGCCGCGGTCTCGCGAGCAGTTTGATGCAAGGCGCCGTCGGTGTCTGGGTGGGCACCCGGTTCGTCGCGGCCGAAGAAAGCGGCGCCAGCAGATTGCACAAGGAGGCCGTTGTGTCGGCCGATTTTACTGATACCATACGCACGCTCGTGGTGTCGGGCAGGCCGCTTCGAGCCAAAATGAACGACTATGTCAAGAAGTGGGAGAGTCAGCCGGAGCGGATTAGAGAGTTGACTGAGAAGGGAATCGTGCCTATGATGTATGATTTGGAACAAGAGGAAGAGGTCGACATGCCTTTCCTCATGGGTCAGGTCGCCGCCATCATTAGAGATATCAAGCCGGCTAAAGATATCGTCGAGGATATGGTTCGTGAGGCTGTCGAGATGATAAAACTGGGTAACTCTTACATAGACGGCCACGGTTCTCGGAGTAAACTCTGAATACCGTAGGACCAAAAGAAATGTGACTGAATGGAAGACTGCATCATCATACATTATGGCGCATGGTTTCGATTGCCAATGTGACCTAGCCTTGCTTGTATAAGGTACAAGTACAAAAGGCAGAGAGCACGGCACAATTGCCAGTCTCCCAAAAGTGCATATCGGTCGACTTGTAACCAATCCATGGGTTTCACGTCCGGGCTATACTCGTACAACTTGCGTGCAGCAATAACAATGCCAGGCTTCGAAAGAACAGCCTCAAGACGGAGCCAATCAATGCTTGACGCCATTAACGACAGCAGCAGCCCGTTGACCGTTGGCCTTGACCATTTCTGGAGGCGGCTCTGGTCCGAATACAGGCTTCGCATTTGCGATTTGTGCCGCCAGCTCCTCTTCTCCTTCATAACTCTCCTCGTCTTCCTCATCTTCGTCCTCATACTCTTCGTCGTACTCACTCTCTGTCCCTTCTTCGTCGACAAGCTCTTGCTGGATCGGGGCCCCACGACCTTGCTCTTGCATGGTCTTGATGATGTTCCGCATTTGTTGTTCTTGCTTTCGAAGTCGTTCCAGATCCTCTTTGTCCCTAGTGCGTTCTTCGGCCATTTCGAGAATGTTTCGATTGGTCTGGTCGTGCTTTCGCGTCAGGGTAAGGTTTTCCTTTTCCAGTCTCTTCGTCTTCTTCGACATCTCCTCCATCTCTTTGCGGAAAGTAAGGAATAGCTCGTTGCTATTGTTGAGAGTATCCTCCACCTGCTGCATTGTGAGCAACAATCTCAGCCATTGTATCGACCAACATATAGTAGATAGGTGTAACGGAAATGGACTAACCTGTTTGAATTTCTCCACGTAGATGTTGAGCTGACTGCGTAGCTCGGCTTCGGTATGGGAAAAGGTCGACACTTGGTTAGTGAGCGTACGACAACGTGCGGCCTCGGCTTCGGCTCGACGCCGTTCCACCTCGTATTTTGCTTGAAGATGGGCAATCTCGGCGTCTTTATGGCGGAGGATGGCCTTAAAATGCATTTCCCGAAGCTCGGCCTGATCGGCCAGGACCTTGCATCGTGTCTTGAATCTGAAAAGATATTAGTACTCGCTTCGAGATGACTCAAAGGCCGCACATACAATTCGTCCAATTCAAGGTGGAGGTTCTCGGAATGCGTCGTAGTCCTGCTGTTCATCACCTCTTGCACATCGTACAGCATCTGATCCAGGCGTTCGTTGATTGTCTCCCGTGCCTGCCTTTCATTTTCCTCCAGTCTCTTGTTCTCATCCTTGAGCTTCTTGTTCTCTTTGGTCAGCTCACGGCACAACTTCTCCAGTTTGTCTTTCATCGTGGCTGTCTTGTTGTGCTCGGACTTGGACTTCTCTTGCTCCTTTTGCAACTGGTCGGCACGTTTCTTATTCTTAGCATAGTCACGCTCCAGCTTCTTCATATCGCCCAATAGCTCTTCATATTTCTTTTGCACCAGGTCAAGACGGCTGAGAGGGCCTTCGACACTGTTGATCAACTCATTCAGGTCACGAGTGGCCTTCTTCACTTCACGGTCGACTTCAGCTTGTTGTGTCTTTTCTCCGGCTTTTTCTTGCTCCAGTTGAGACAAGCGTGCCTGGACTAATTTGGCGTTCTCTTCTGCACTGAGTTGTTTGTCCTTCTTGGCCTTCCCTTTCTTTACTGTCGGCGCAGGCGGAGGCAAATCGTGCATGTCGGCATTCGGGGTGCTCGCCGCTTGCGACGTAGGGCTTTGCGCGCTTGTAGCCATGTCGCTGACTCTGATGACAAACTGTGCTTATCTTCCGAAATATCTCTCAGCAGCGGTCCCCGTACGTGAAACTGGTGAGCGAGGTTTTCCTTGGCGACATCGACACTGAATACAAGTAACAACGGACGCGGCGGCGCAAGGTTGTACCCAATGCTGCTCTAGTGAGGCGTAGCTCCAGGCCAGGCACGATGTCTAGGAGGAGGAGTTGTATAAGCTGTGTGTCCTGTCTTAGACTTCGCGGGTGTATGAGGTATTAGAGTCAAAGACCTTGTCAGAGAGCGGAAATCGATGTGGAGGATGCGCAGATCTGAGACCACGGCCAAGCAATTCGTATCAGGCGCAGGAACAGTCCGCAACCAAATATACAGGACCAGTCAAAGTCCAAGCTGCCAGGAGGAAGAGGCGATGTGTCTGCTCAGAGACAGATTACAATGTCAATATTCCTATCAGTGTATTGAGGCAGATAGAATGTCCCCTGATGTGATACTGCGGGTGAGTTCAGTGGGCGACACACGTGACCGGCAAGGCACTTCCACCATACGGCGATGTATAGAAAAGTAGTTTCCTTCTCGCCATCACTAAGAAAATCATTTGTATTTGTAGCAGAGCGACCTCCCTTGACCTTCGAATCCTTCTACGACCTCCGGCGTCCTTGGTCTTGTCAGCCTCTTTGCCGCTTGCGCCAACACACCGATTCGAACAAAAACTGACGGCGCATACAACGATACTGTCATGCTAAGGCATGGCGCTGTCGGTCATGGCCTCGAGCACTGTGCCAGACTGCGCATCCCAAGAGCCCTGCCTTCATCGTTGTCCAGAAGAGGATATGCGTCGGTAACAGACTTGGCCAATTACCCAAATCCCGGAGAGCGCATTCACGGGTTCACATTGAAACAAATAAAACATGTCCCGGAACTTCACCTCACGGCTCTGAAACTGGAGCATGACAAGACAGGCGCTGAGTACCTACACGTGGCCCGAGATGACAAAAACAATGTCTTTGCTATCAACTTCAAGACCAATCCTACTGATCGAACTGGGTTGCCTCACATTCTGGAGCATGTTACACTATGTGGGAGCGAAAAGTATCCCGTTCGGGATCCATTCTTCAAGATGATGCCGAGATCACTGGCAAACTTTATGAACGCATTTACCTCTTCCGACTATACGTCCTATCCATTTGCAACGACGAACTTGCAGGATTTTCGCAATCTATCCTCAGTATACCTTGATGCGACGCTGCACCCTCTGCTTAAACATTCAGATTTCTTGCAGGAAGGATGGCGCCTCGGACCAGAAAATCCTCGAGAGACTCCGACTGAGGACAATGTCAAGTTTAAAGGAGTTGTTTACAATGAGATGAAAGGACAAATGTCGGACGCGAGCTATCTTTTCTATATCAGATTCCGAGAACATCTCGTTCCTTCGTTATACAACTCTGGAGGAGACCCGGAGGTAATGACCGAACTTACACATGAACAGCTGGTCAAGTTCTCACGCAAACACTACCATCCTAGCAACGCAAAGATTTTCTCTTATGGAAGTCTTAGTCTCGCCGAACATCTCCAGCAAGTGGATGAAGCCATCTCCAAATTCGACCGAGGATTTCGTGATTCTGATATCAAGCTGCCGATCGACCTATCAGGCGGGCCTCTGGCTTCCGAAGTTACAGGCCCGGTGGACACGATGCAGCCCCCCGATCGACAGTTCAAATCCTCCATCACGTGGATGGGTGCCCCGTCCTCGGACATTGTGGAAACATTTTGCATCAGCATTATGCTCTCTTTACTGATGAACGGTTACGGCTCGCCTTTATACCAGGGATTAATCGAGTCGGGCTTGGGCACCAATTTCAGTCCGAACTCTGGCTACGATAGCTCTGGTCGGCTGGGAACCTTGTCCATCGGTTTAGACGGCATGAGAGCAGAGGATATCCCTGTGTTAAAGGATCGAATCCAAGCAACTCTACGAGAGAAGGCGCATGAAGCATTCCAGCCTCAGAAGATCGATGGGTACATGCATCAACTAGAGCTGACCTTGAAACATAAAACGGCAAACTTTGGCATGAGCTTATTGGAAAAGTCGATTGCCGGGTGGTTCAACGGCGTTGACCCTATGGATGGTCTTGCTTGGAATGAGATAATTGATGCTTTCAAGCAGCGTGTGGCCGACGACCAATACCTTGAACGGCTGGTTGAGAAGTATTTCCTGAATGACAGGTGTATGCAGTTCACTATGAAGCCGTCGGAGTCGTATGGACAGGAGTTGGAAGAAAGAGAGGAACAACGGAGAAAGAGCAAGTTAGAGGCGGTCAAAAAGAGCGCCAGCTCTCCCGAAGAAGCTCTTTCTCAACTTGGTCGGCAAGAACTCGAGTTGCTGGAGGAACAGGAGAGCTCTCAGTTCAAAAACCTGGATGCATTGCCCACTCTTCGCGTCGACGACATTTCCCGAGAAAAGGAAAGAAAACCGCGGTATCATTCGAAGATCGGCGGTGTGGACTGTTTGTGGCGAGAAACCGAAACCAACGGCATCACCTATTTCCAAGCGAAACACGTGCTTGAAAACCTCCCTGAAGACCTCCGGCTGCTGTTGCCCCTATTCACTGATTCCCTCATGCGACTAGGGACGAAGACAAAGTCTGTGGGAGATCTGGAAGCAGAGATTCTTCTGAAGACTGGCGGCATATCCATCTCTCCATTCGCGGCACCTGAACCGTGGAGTCTCGACAAGTACAACGAAGGCCTCCTAGTTGATGGTTATGCTCTGGACAGAAACGTTCCCGCCATGTTTGAGCTTATTCGGTCTCTTCTGTTGGAAATCGACTTCGCCAATCCCAAGGCTACCGCAGCGATCCAGGAGCTCCTTGAATCCAAAACATCGGGCGCACTGGATTCTGTTGCCGAGAGCGGACATCATTTCGCGATCACCAGTGCATCGGCTGCCCTGACTCGCCGCGGCCAGGTACAGGATCAATTGTCCGGTCTTTCGCAGATAGAATCCACAGCCAGGTTGTTGGACGCTGCTCGTCGCGACCCGCAAAGTCTGCAGGATGTGATTCAGAAGCTCCATGCCATTCGGGAGATAGCCATCAGCAATTCCTCGAGATTATCAATGCGGGTGGTCTGCGAGCCCGGATCGGTCGGGACAAACCGAAACACCATTGAAGCGTTCCTTCACGGCTTGCCCAACCATCAGCCGTGGGATGTTGCAAGATCGAGTAGTACTACTTCTGAGACTGTGCCTGGCTCGTTTCTATCACGAAGGGCATTTTTCGACCTCCCTTTCCAAGTGTCGTACACTGGAACCTGTTTACAAACGGCGCCGTTTTCATCACCGGACAAAGCGCCCCTTCGCGTGCTGGGACAGCTTCTCGTCCACAATTTCCTGCATCCTGAAGTTCGAGAAAAGGGTGGCGCATACGGCGCGTCAGCCAGCGCCAGCCCTGTCAGTGGTCTATTCACAATGTCCTCTTACCGCGACCCCAACCCACGGAATTCTCTAAGCGTCTTCGAGCGCGCCGGCACGTATGCTCGAGACAAGGACTGGAGCAGCAGAGAACTCGAAGAAAGCAAGCTGAGTATCTTCCAAGGCATCGATGCCCCGAGAAGCGTCAACACCGAAGCAAGCAAAGAGTTCCTGTACGGCATCACCGAGGACATGGACCAAGAAATGCGAGAGCGTCTATTGGACGTCACCAAGGAACAGGTTCAACAGGTCGCTCAGAAATACCTCGTCGATCTCCCCACCGAGCTGAAATCAGTGTGTGTGCTTGGAGAAAAGAAGGCTTGGATCGAAAACGATGACGAACCTGAGCCATGGCAGATCAAACACCTGAAGATGTCTGCAGACGCGTGAGCTTTTTGCATCACAAACAAACTCTTCAGGTGTGGTAAGCTTTTTCTGTCTTTTTGATGAAATGTATATTTAATTTCCCCTCCTCGAAAAAAGATACAGCAAGATACCCAACCAGACTTGAAGTGTCTGGTCATAATATTATCACTCTCCTGCAGGCTTCTACTCCTTTCTCCTCTTTGCCTTTTTATACTTCCGTATCAGCGCGACTCGAACAGAACAAAACGACGTCTACGACCGCAATCTGCTCCATGGTCGGAGATCACAAGTCACATTTGGCATTTTTATGTGCCACCGCGCGAGATCAAAAAGAACCCAGATAGTCCCCAGTCCATCTGCCGGCCGGCGCTCCATCGGGCAGCAGACTCTGCCTTTTTCCACTTCATGGAAGGGGTTGATGTTTGCTGCGCGGAGGAACGCCTCTCGGTGGCGGACCGAGGCACTTTCTCGGGTTCATGAGGACACGCCTATTTCAGACCTGTCGTTCTTTGAGAGAAAGGAATGAGCAGACTAGAGGTGTGTCCACATACAGTACAGTTTGGCGGCGGCTGCTGCTAGTAGTACTACTCTTTTCTTTTTCCTCTACCCTCTCACGGCACTGCTAGTGCCTGTACTACTATTTACTCTATTACTACTATTTTCATCCCTCGTCGCGGCTGGGCCGTCAGAGAGTAGACTCTATTCTTGTATGATAATCACTATTGAGGCATAGAGCCACGGATCTCAATGTAAATGTCGATATCGACATCGAAGCTCGAGGTTCGAAATTCTTTTGTAAATATTGCACCATGCATTGGACTGTGCTGGCACATCTCGTGGTAATCTACCTTAAGTCATGCACCATCAGAGTTATATTGTACTACAGTGTAGAATAGAAGTACTAGTACGCATATAAGTTGTCATATAATGGATACAATGTAATGAATCGATCGATGTTAAGCTTCAATTCAATGTCAATCATACATTTCGAGAGAGTGGGAGAGACGAAAAACCCTCCTTAAACCCTCTCCATCCGATTCCCATTTACGCCGAACTTGAACGGGTTGACAAAAGCTGAACTGAGAGCAACAATTGAGCCAGACCTCCTCCCTACGCTGCATGCACGCTTCATGTTCCTATACAGCACCAGCATATCAAACAACTCCCAAAAGAAGTCCCGTCCGCACCCGCACCCGCCTGCGCATCGTCGTCCTTATTACTTTTTTGTACACGCCGGGTCATGGTTGTTTCCCCTAATACATAAGGTATGTGGACCAAGTCCCTTCGTTGGATTAGGCTGTAAAGCTTCAAGAGTGAAGAGAGAATATTTTCTGTGTTCATCCGTAGGTCATCAAGCAAGTCAGTCATTCGTTTCAGCTTCAGCCTTCGATCATCAAAACTCAAGACTCGAAAACTCAAGCAATATTGCCCGCCATTCCCTGGATGAGAAACAAACATGTTAGCAATGCGTCACATTACAGATCCTCAAACAACCATCTGTTTGCTCAAGTTCAACCTACCAGGAAAATCGCCTGCACGGCAAGTTGCAAGCTCCACAAGCCGACCTTCTTGAAGCGTCTCAATCGGGCCTGTTCGTCTTGAACATCGCGGGCAAATGCGTCATAAACCTCGGCGGAAAGATCGTCCATGAGGCCCGAGTCGTAGAGGGTCCAGCTGCCGTCAAAGTCGGACAGACGCTTGACCACGCGACAGTTGATGGGGATGAAAGTGCGGCGGGAGTTTATGTATGCGACGATAGGACGGATCAGCGCGTTATTGATATACGACAAATCGCGGGTGAACAGGGGCACCACGGCGCGCACGTCGTTCAGGTGGATCCGCAAATCCATGACCAGGTATTGCTTGTCTTCGTATCTGTCGCCGGCAGACCTGGCCAAGGCAGCAGGTGCCGAGACGTCGATAACCGGAGATAATGAAGAACCGTCCTCGAGTCCGTCTCCGTTTTCCTCGCGCGGCTGTTCCAGGTGCTTTCTCGACGTCAGAGCAGCTTCCATGCGCTCATAAAAATCAGTCATGACTTTGATGACAGACTCGTCACTGTCGTTGGGGATCATGATGTCGGCCACGATGTCGACATTGCCTTCGTGGATCCAGGACAAGGGACCCGACGCACCGCGATTCAAATGGTCAATGTTCAGCCCATCGATGCGAATTCGTGATTGCTTCTTCCAGGGTTCATCGGAGTCCTGGTCGTTGAGATGTGCGCCGGTGTAGGCGTGCGTCTGGCGGGGGTGGATGGTGAAGAGAGACCGGTCGAATTCGCCAGTCATGTTGTTGGCGCAGAGAAAGTCGTAGAAGAGCCATTGTTTTCGTAACCGAGGGAGTTCTGCATTGTAGATGCTGACGGCAAAAGGCCGAAATCCTTCAGGTTGATACACCGTGACCAGGAGATCCTCGATCTTGAACGAGTCGATCTCGAAATCTCCTGGCTTGTGTTCGTGCCGGTAAGATTTCGGGTCCGCCTCTTCGCCGGTCCAGAAGACATGGGTGCGGTCCACAACGCCTCGGACGTGCTTAACCTCTACGTTTTGCAGCGGCCCCTTGGAGTTCCACCACTTGCTGAACGACAACGTAACATTGACTTCTCCAATCGTTATGTCGAATTGGGTGTAGTTCTGCTCCTCGGGTGGCACTGGGTCTTCCTTAGAGGAGGCTTGAGCAGCTGCCTCAGGCGATCCCTTGGTCATTCTGGAGTGATTCTTCCCAGGCCTTCTGGAAACGAAGACATTTTTGAAGGTGATGACTCCGTCACGCCATTTCGGCACAATTGCCGACTCGAAGACGACATGCAGCCCAGAGGACTTGGTCAGATAATTTCCGATCCAGCCAGCCAAAGTCTCTTGGGCGAACACCGTGTTGATGGCAAGAATCGCAAGCGAGACAAACGTTGTCGTCCCGATAACGATCCAGATAACGTGACCTAGCGCAATCCATGAGATGAAGCCTACTATCTCATCCACATTGAATGGTCGTGTGCTTTTGATCGTCAGCCACTTGAAGCGCACCTTCAACCTGGCCCAGAATCCGGTGGCTGCAGCAAGAAGTTCTTCTTTTGATGGGCGATGAAACTGCGGCATGTGTATCCTGTCATAAAAGTGCTCTTGTTGCGAATGCTGTTGTTGTTCTGATGTCTGCTTTGAGACATTTTCTTGAGAGATTTCTTGCCTGGCTTTATGTTCTTTTGCATCTTGGACGTTGCCAGCTCTCCGATCCACTTCCGTTTCCTTTGCCTGCCTAGCCGTGGAGTGGAAGTTTCTGCAGAGGGACTGAGGGTATTTTTGTATGTGTAGTTGTTTATGAGGTCCATCTGCGACAGTCGCCGGAGCAAAAGTTCCATGGTTTCTTATCCGGTCATAGCTGGCAGCATGGCGGTGCGGCACCGGTGCAAACGTCGTAGTTTTCAGGTGCGCATTTATTGCGTTTTTGACTTTATTCTGCCGACCTTTCTCACGCAGGACTGGCTCATGCAGCTGGAATGCAGGGCCATGATCAGAGACGGAGACGCCGGCCGAAATTGATATCCGCCTTGGTGTATGATATCTGAAGCTCTGGTTGTAGGCAGCCGGAAGGCGTTGTACGACACGAGTCGGCGGAGATGCAAGGATTATGTGCTTTGAGACATCGCGTATGCCTCGGGCAAAGACATCCGTCATGATCAACTATTCATGCTGTTCATTCAAACCATAGGCGTAGGCGTCTATCATGGATCATGATTATCGCGCAGACAGACGGACGTGGATGGGAGCGGAGTTCAAGTTTGAAGGTAGAGTGAATGAACAAGTGATTTGCAGTGAGCGACTTTCACGCATGTGCAAAGAGATGATGCAAGTTCCACACAGCAACTGGAACTGGAACTGGGATTGACTGGACTGTCAGCAGTGGACTGCCATTCGACTGTCGCTGTTTTCGGGCCCAAAGAACTTTTGGCTGGTGATCCACAACTGGACCTCGAACGGCGACTTTATCGAGTGCGGAGAAAAAGATTTCTCTGCGGACTCGGGACTCCCAGCCAACTTCAAGTTGAACCCTGGCCCTGCACATCAGCACGAAGACAGCCAGCAGAATCCCGTGGCAGCAGTCGCCGACGCTCTCGAACGCTTTACTCTGCAACTCTCTTGGTGCTCTCCAGGCCGAATACAAGATTTACGTGTGGAAACCACACCGACGGTCGACTGCCACCGCGACGATGCCTGCCCCTACAGCCCTACAGCGCGCCCCCCAGAGTCTGGCAGACGCTGCCAGTGAGTCTGTAGCAGACCACGACGCTCAGCAACCCAGCACTACTGAGGAGAATCTCGACGTCGAGATCATCACTGCGCCGCAGCCGTCCGAAGCCGATGCGGGTGCGGCCCTCGAAACCACCGGAGACACCGATATGCAAATAGACGAAGAAGGACGGCCACGGTTTGCACCGGCATCCACCACGCAATCAGACTCGCCGTCGGGGGCGGTCCGGATACAATCGCGCAAAGTGCCCATTCCTCCACACCGCATGACGCCGTTGAAGGCCAGCTGGCCGAAAATCTACCCTCCGCTCGTCGAACACTTGAAACTCCAGGTGCGGATGAACATCAAATCGAAAGCAGTGGAACTGCGGACGTCAAAGTTTACCACGGATTCCGGAGCTTTGCAGAAAGGAGAGGATTTTGTCAAGGCATTCACTCTGGGCTTTGACGTCGACGATGCGATCGCGCTTCTGCGGCTGGACGACCTCTACATTGAGACATTTGAAATTAAGGACGTGAAGACATTGCAGGGCGATCATCTGGGCCGTGCCATTGGTCGGATAGCGGGCAAGGATGGAAAAACAAAATTTGCCATTGAGAACACGAGCAAGACGAGAGTGGTGTTGGCGGACAGCAAGATTCATATCCTGGGCGGATTCCAGAATATCCGAATAGCCAGAGAAGCCGTGGTCAGTTTGATTCTGGGTGCGCCGCCGGGCAAGGTCTATGGCAACTTGCGGACCGTCGCGAGTCGGATGAAGGAGAGGTTTTAGAGACAAAAAAACTAGTTATGATTTGCCATGGTGGGTTGGTATGAGGTCAAATTCGACGGGTTCCTCGGCGTTATGGAGTGAGAAAAGACACAGCATTCCAAACCCCGGGATGTGGTTTCGTCGCAGCATTGTACGTTCTCTTACAAAGCACGAGGGAATGTCTCCAAATATTAGATGTAAGGAACTGAAGTTCTTCTGCCAGATTGGCTGCCATACCATGGATGATTCGTTCCATTCGCCGAGCAATGCATACAAGTAAAGTATCCCATCAGTCTCCGACCCATTCAATTCGCCGTATCCTCCCCCAGTTCCACTCTAATCTCTCTTCAACGGCGTGTAAGTTTCCTCAATGCCGTCCTTCGTGATGATCAACATCTGCAGACCATCGCCCACCTCAATATGTCTCTCGGTCGCACTGGTGAAAGCATCCTTGACCAATCCAATCACCACATCCTTGGGCAAGCTCTCAGGCTGCCTCTGCTGCAACTCATGACCAAAGCCCGAGCCCGCAATATATTGATTCTTGTAGTTGACCTGGTTGTCTAAGAAAGGCATGATCAGGCTGGCCGCCGCTCCAGCTGCCCGGCATTGTTCCCGCTCGTAACTGCCCACAGGATCATAGCTGTACAGTGCTCCCTTTCCGTCCTCATCAAGGCCACCGAGAATGGCGTGAACATAATAAGGGAAGAATCGCTTCTGGTAGAGAATGGTTGACAACCGTTGGGCGCACGCCTTGACGCTCATGGGTTTTCCGTGTTGGTACTTGTACATTTTGACAATGGCGTCAAGTCTCTCCTTTAGGGCATTCCCATCTGCTGCAAATCCCACAACTGAAAGGACGATACGGGACGACGAGTCGCCGTCGTCGCCGATCCGGAAGAGCTTCGGTGCGTATCGTGTGTTGATGCTGTAGCCAGATGTAGATCTGGTGTCGCCTGCTAGAATGGCAAAGTCCGCCCCTGTAATCCCCAATGTCGAACCACCGTTATCCGTGTATCTGTGCTTTTGTTAGAGTCGACCGGTGACCAAGATCTTCAAGTTGCCAGACGTACGGGTTGAAGGCATGTTGTCTCGTCCCCGAGCTCTGAGACGGCGCAGAGGCGCTCGAGAAGGAATAACCAGGCTGCTCCGAGGGCATGCCACCATTCTGTAATAAAGACGCCATTTTCTGTGGTCTAGGAAAGGAGGAACAGGTAGAGGAAGACGAGTCGAGACAGAAAATGGAGGCTACGGCTTTACTGTATGTGGTGCATGAACATGGAATCGCAGTCACGTATCACGTATGCAGTGTCGGCCTGCGAGGTCTGGTCTGGCGAAGCATTTCTGCATTTGACGCAATACGGCGCCGGAAATTGACCAGATGGCGCTATTAAACTTTTAACGCTGTATACTGCTGTTGGGTAGCCATTCGGGGTCGAGGCTTGTTCTATATTCCCCTGACACAGACTATCCCATTGACAGCTGTTAATATCTGCGGTGCTCATCATGAGCGCTCTCGTTGTTTATGAAAGTAGCAGCGAGGATGATGAGCCAGTAAAGCCTACAGCGGATTCCGAGGCAGCGCCCGTCGAGCAACCATCTACTCCAGCCCATACAGTCGACGGGCAAAATGGTCAAGCTCCCATACAAGCAGCACAGCAAGATTCGCCCAGAGAGCATCAGGTTCAAGTTGTTGATGGCCCCATGGTAGGGCCTACAATGCCTGATCGGGTTGTGGAAAACGGCCTCGACGGAGAAACCACACCAGCGACTCAGCAATCAACGTCTGAACGCGATGCCGTTCGATTCCTTACACAAGCGTCTCATCCCATGACCTCGATTCCGTCTTCTCCTCCCGGATCGCCAGACCCGGCTCTCAATGCCAAGTTTGCGCGGTTTCTAGAGTTGAAGGCCAAAGGCGTCCACTTCAATGAGGACCTTGCCAGCAAGTCCACCTTTCGAAACCCTAGTTTTCTCTCCACGATGGTGGCGCGAATAGGGCTGGATGAAAGTGATCAGTATAGGACCTCCTTGCCTCCCCAGATTTGGAATCCACTGGCTTTCCCGAGTTGGGCGTACAAAGAAGAACTCCTCCGCAGTCAACACACTATCAGGGAACAGGAGTCAGCTACCAAGAAGAGCCTTTCTGCGGCAGGAAAGCGAACTATCGAGTTCACATCCGGGGGTACGCCCGGCGTCAGCAGCCGGGATTCGACGCCAGGAATGTCAAGTAAACGGAAGCGACATTGACAGGGCGCTCGAAGATCGCATGGAGATTCGTTTCTTGCTGTTGGAAGCATCAACAGCAGCGGGAGGCCCCCGTTTTCAGACCATTGGTCGACCCCAGATGGATGTGTGGCTATCGTCTTGTAACCGCCGTTAAGGGCGGTCTGGTTTAGACGTGATTACATGAATCATGGTGACATCGACTGATTAGTAGGAGATGGGGTACAGGTTAGCCATCATTACCACGAGCCGGGGGCAATCGGAGGTGAGCAGATGATTCGTGCGGGTGCGCAATCAGTGGCTACGGCTATACAGTATGGGGGCGTGAGAAGTTCACTACTGTGTGATATGTGAAGCACACGAGACTCTCAGAAAGCTGCCAGTGTCCATGGTCAAGCCGCGCGCAGGGCCAATGATCTTCGCGCCTGGCAGTGTTCAGCCTCGGGTCCCTGCAGACGAAGCGAAGCGACTGCTAGTACTACTAGTATGCGTGGGAATCTCCTGCGGACGAAAGAGAGGCAGAACCGATATCAAGGCATGCGCAGGGGCAAGGAGAAATCTACGACAGGCTCGTTCACCGCAATGTGTGCCTGTTTTCGCTTCGCTCTCGTATTTGCAGGGTCCAGAAGCTGATCGCGCGAACGCACAAATAACGAACTACAACTGTCAGGGTGGCCCCAGCTTTAGAGACAGGTGCTTGTTAGGCTGGGTACATGGGGGCGAGCGGGCCCCGGGGAACTAATGTTTCAGGCTTGCTTAGAATGTGTGAATTTGGAGGATGCGCATTGATGCGAGTTGACAGTTGGAGTTGGACACCGTGAAAGATGATTCTTACCGGCGGTACCCTGTAGAAACGGACCAAATAAGTCATCTACGAATGCAATATGTGGAACACTATTCAGGCAGAGGAGGCTTGGACGCTCAAGCTCACGAACTTGGTCCCTTGCGAGATAGGGGCGAGCCGAGTCGTTTCGCATCGGTGGCATGCATGGAGGTGTGTTGCAAATGGGCAGGCTATACAGTACCTAATACCTATAGGTGCCTCGCTACGGGACGATCAATGGCGTCTTCTAGGGGAGGCTTGTCTCCTTAAGATCCCTCAAAAATACAACTGTACCTGTATCTCTTGGGCAATGCCCGGAGTCCACTACCACCAGGAGTTCACGGTTGTGGATGCTGGGCGTGGATGTGCCGGCACGAGCGGTTGTGGCCCTTGCTTGCAGTGGCTCTCATACCTTTTATCCACCTCCACGCCGTGCCCAGTGCCCCGTCAAGTGTCCATCCCATCACCTGTCGACCCATTGCCGGTCACCCGTCGCCATTCCTATTCCCATTGCCATTGCAATCACCGTCTCTGTCTCCATCTCCGTCTCTGTCCGCTTCAAAAGTTCTTTTGCATATGCATATCCGTACAATAATATAGGACTACTTGTCTCATCCTCAGAGGGCGACGCCCTGTCCAATGAGCATCCTCACACCGTTGCCTTCTTGCCAGGGCGCTTAGAGACGCCCTTTGAATCGTGCCTTGCTCCCCACGAAACTCGGCAGCGTGTTTCTCTTGTCAGGACGGAGGGCATCCTCGACACCATACTTGTCACACGGTGCCAGTGTGTGGACCCGACGCTTTGCAATTGCACCCAGCTTGCCTGCCAACGGACTCCAGGTGTTCGTCCGTCCTCCTCTATGGTCTGAGCAGGGATCTGTCCTTATGCCGCCGATTCGTCGCCCACGATGTCGCAGGACAGTACGGGCCAGCACTCTCAGACTCGTCAGCACCAACCACCTGCCTCTGTTTCGTCCTCCTCATCGCTGGCCGATGCTTATTCACATGGTGCCGCGCGCAAGCCAGGCTACTCTGTGCTGAGCAATAATCTTATCCCTCGCAATTACTTGAGCTCTCTCACCAGTTCAAAATCGGATCCACAACAGCGTGGGAAACTCGTGCAGAACAATGGTTTTTCTGGGCTGAGGTCGGTATCTGATGGTGGGAAGAGTTCTGGTGCACATCGACAGCAGGGCGAGGCCTCTTTGAATGAGGACGAGGGAAGTGCCACTCGCAACGAGGACACAGGACACGGCGGAGAAGAGCCACAACTGGAACAACGAGGGGGTAGTCCACTATCCGAATCGCCCAAGTCCTACACTTCGTCTTTGGCGAGCGTGCCTCGTCCCACCAATATGCCGCGAACGTCTTCAATCGATTCGGCGATTTCAAGCATTTCCAATGCTTCCCATGTGCAGAAACAGGCCGGTGAAGCCAAAGAGCCCAGCCGAGAGGAAGTACAACATCTCATTGCTACCGCCGGTAGCGCGGAGAATCTGATCCAACACATGCTGAGAGATAAAAACCATGCTGCGGCACAAAACGCACAACTTTGGAAACTTGTCGACAAGCAAAGGGCATTATTGCTGGGCTTGAACAAGGACCTAGAGCGCCTGACGAAGGAGAGGGACCGATACCGGAGGAGGGTCAAAGAGTTGCAAGCACAGCCAACAGCTCGACCAGAATCTCCCAGCCGTGTGGAAGTTAGACAATCGCCTCAGTCCGGCGAGGCTGCCCTCCATGCTTCCGGTGAGGACGAACCTGCTGCTGGCTTGGATACTGTCATGGATGGGCAGGAGACAGTCAGCCAATACCGGGATGACCATTCGGAAAACTCACCTTTGGACCCTGCAATGATGCCCTCACCGTTACATTTGGAGCATCCACCGCGCCTGGAAAGCATCTCGACCCAGTTGGCTCAGCCGAGCTTCTCAGTGACTCAGGCGACCCCGCTCACAGAGAAGCCGCCAAAGACCTCGCAGGCTTCGAGAAAAGCACCACCAAAACCCCTCAATCTACACCAGACAAAGGACACCCTAAGTAGTCCATTCCAGGTCCCAAGCGAGTTTGCTGTGAGCGATGGTGAGGATGATGACGAGGATAGAACCAACCTAGAACGTGGCAGGCGGAAAACTCGAGAAGAAGATGACCGAGACCGAGAAATGCTTGTTTTCCAGGAGCGAGAAGCCAGAAGCCGATCCAAGAAGGACAAGAAAGAGAAAAGCAATAAATCCGAACTGGCAGAGACGGGGCTATCACACAAGTCTCCTGGATCGCGGCCAACTTTGGCATCAACACAAGCCCAGAAAGTGCACGATCATTTGTCACCTTCGTCGTCAGTCTCGCATGGGTCATCGGCACAATTGTCACTCCCTCTGCGTAGTCCTGGTCTTCCTCTGAGCCCGCGTCCATTCGGCAGTAACTCTACAGGAGCTTCATTCCCAATATCTCCTCGCGCTCCAGGATCTAGCTTCCCATTGTCGCCTCGGGCGCCCAAGCAGCCTTTACCTGCACCTACCACGCCAGGTCAGCAAGCTCCCGCGCCAGAAGCCCAGTCAAAGATCAGCCCTGAGCCCCAAACCAAGATAAATACGAAAGCTCCCAGCAGTGACTCGGACGGGAGTAAGATCAATGAGTCTTCTCTCAGCCCAAGCGACCTTCCACCAGTGAATCGAAGTCTCGTCAGTCCTACTTGGCCTGATCTTCTCCTCCCCCCGAATGCTCTTCCTTCGGTTCAGGTGAAGGTGGCATCTTCAAGACTACGACCTTCGAGGAACAGCATACTTGGGCTGAAGCCACAGGAGGAGACCTCGGTCTTCAGCTTGTCGATCTTTGAGCGTGCAACATCATCTGAGCTCTGGCGAGTGCAAAAAGTCTCTACTTCACTTTTGACCCTCGACCAACAGCTCCGAAGCCGTTGCACCGATCTACCCAAGCCGCCTGACCGGAGACTCTTTTCTGGTCACTCTCCAGCCGTGGTTGATGCACGAAGAGCCTCGGTTGAATCATACTTCGAGGGTCTTTTGGATACACCTATGGACGAACAAGCGGCTCTCATAATCTGTCGGTTTTTGTCCTCAGATGTCATGGAACCGCAGTCTCGCGTCCCCGCCAACAGCGGTGATATTAATAATGACAACACACCGGAAGCAGTACAAGGAAGTGGCATTCCCACCAAGTCAGGCTACCTGACGAAGAAAGGCAAGAACTTCGGAGGGTGGAAATCAAGATATTTTGTTCTGGACAGTCCGGAGTTGAGATACTTTGAAGCACCTGGCGGTGCGCATCTCGGCACCATCAAGCTGTTGAACGCACGAATTGGCCGGCAAAGCCAGACCGATTCCACGACACATCCTGAGGTTGATGTCGAAAACCAGTATCGCCACGCTTTCCTCATACTCGAGCCCAAGCGAAAGGATTCCAACAGCCACGTCCGTCATGTTCTGTGTGCTGAGAGCGATGCCGAGCGGGACGAGTGGGTGGAAACCTTGTTACACTACATTGACGAGAGACCTGAAGAATCCAAGTCGCAATACGGTGCTGGAATCCAAACCCCACTTGCGAAGGAGGTCAAAGGCTCTAATAAAGGCGGCGGTGATGGAGAAGCAAAACAAGCTGGAAGCCCGGCCGGCAATGAAGCTAATGGTGACACTCCCTCGCCCTCTGTCGCCTCCGCCAACAACTCAGAAGCTGCTCCAGAGCCAGGAGCGCCAAACAAAACCTTCACAATTTCAGGGCCAATGAATGGGGCAGTCATTTCGGATGCCGGACTTTGGGGCAACAAGCGTGCCGGTCAGGGTAGCAGCAAAGACCGCGAGCAGAAGAAACGCAACATTTTCCACTTCAAGAAACCCTCGAACGAGCACATGGTTCAGAACCAGGCCAATCCACCTAAGCGAACAGAAGCGCTCGCTCATCGAGGCGGCCAAGTGCGACCCGTCTTCGGAATGCAGCTTCAAGAAGCAGTTGAATATTATTCACCTGTTGATGTCGACGTCTTTCTGCCCGCCGTAGTGTACCGCAGCATTGAGTTCCTCCGTGCCAAGCATGCTGCCAATGAAGAAGGGCTGTTTCGTCTCAGTGGCTCGAACATCGTCATCCGACAGCTCAAGGATCGCTTCAACATGGAAGGTGACGTGGATCTACTTGCTGAGGAAGAAGATTATGATGTCCACGCTGTAGCATCTCTTTTCAAAACATACCTCCGCGAACTACCATCCACCCTCTTGACCAGAGAGCTGCACTTGGAGTTTCTCAAAGTGCTGGAACTGGCTGACAGGGCACAAAAAATTACGGCATTCAATTCCCTGGTGCACCAACTGCCGACGGCCAATTTTTCATTGTTGCGAACATTGTCGCAGTACCTCCTAGAAGTCGTGCAGAATGCCGACCGAAACAAAATGAGCGTCAAGAACGTGGGAATCGTCTTCTCGCCCACCCTCAACATTCCGGCACCTGTATTTGCCATGTTCCTCACAGACTTTGGCGCGATATTTGACCAGCCTTACGATGAGACAGCTGTACGCACAACAGAATTAGGAAGAGAGGGTGCCTTGACCCCAGAGGATATTCGATCCCCTCGTCGTCAAATGTTCTCCGATCTGCCGACCCCTCTATACAACCAGAACAGCTTCTCGCAGAATGCAGCGACAACAGCGGCTGTCGCGGGGGATGATGGATCACGCGGTCATGATCTTGATGCCAATCATGATATTGGCTTTGTTCCTATGCAGCCTTCGTATGAGACAAGAAGCTATGTCTCTATCCCGGAGGATGTCTCCGCGCAACCTCGCTATCCACTACAGCCTGCTCCACGGGACCCGAAGTACGACCAAGTCGACCACATGTTGACGACGGATAACGCCGCAAGCACAAAGGCTAAGCGACGTGAGAGTGCTATGTTGTTCATGTGACCCAAAGAATGAGGATATTGAGGCGTACGAATTCACATCCAATAGTTTCTTTTTTTTCCTTTTTTTTCCCTTTTTTTTTCAAATACCCCCATTTCGCAGGCGGCCACGAGGTTTTTGTTTTATTTTTCTTGCAAGCGACACCTGGGCCGATCTAGCCACAGGACTTTCTGCACGATTTGGACCAGACTGGACCTATTATGTCAACAGGATACGAATTTCTTGTTTTGCCGGGAGTCGCCATTGAATGAGATGCACATGGCCAACTAGTTTACAACCCTACCAGCTCCGGCAGAGAGCCCGATGATGATGAACATGCTCGTGGAGAAGGTTATGGAATTCAAGTTCAGCTCTACCGGCAGACACCGGGCATAGTCAGCAGTATCAATGGGCCAATTGTCTGTCCATCCTCTTTACTTACTATCCAAGCGCATATTTCAACCCCCTCTCCGCATGTGAGGCGTTGGTGGTACACGCTAGACGGAACCCCCTTTATCTCCCTACCACTCGTGCTCAATCATGCCCGATACTCGTATTTACTACCGAACTAGGACAGATCGAAAAAAGACACCAGCCAGCCTCCACACCCATCGCTTAATGTTATTAATGGCCAGATCCTGTTGGACGATCCGGGATTAGTTCATTTCCCACATCGACGCAAAAGGCTGAAATTCCTGGTAGCTTCTCCGCTAATAGAAACGTCAGGTCCGGCACTAATTAAGGCGGCACGCGACTGGAAATGGACCTCAGCAAGGAGCATTCTTTCATCCAGTCAGCAGTAGGGTTTGTCGCCTGATTTCGGTAACAAAAATATACCTCCTGTTAGCTTTGCCCCTGGCGGAGAGCCATGGGTCGGCATGCAATTTGTGGGGTGCTCTGGCATTGACGCTTTCGATCTGCGACCATAGTACAATCCCATCCGGTCCGAGTCTTTCACCCTTGCGCCTGAATCAATGTTGGAGTTTCACTGTCGCAGCTGTCATCTCTGGAGCGGCGGCCTGTGCTTGCCATGTCCCACAATGTTGAATGGCGGAGTTGCGGCTGCAGGGGCGAAGGCCTCCAACCTCATCGGACGTCCGTTACTCGATGGTTGCCAGTGACGGCTCAAGTTTAATGGTGGACACAAGCATTGAATCCACTCGCCGAAGAGCACATTGACATACGAACAGTCTTGAAGACACTAAGAATGGCACGCTAAGAATCATGGCGTTCGGTGTGCGACTCTTTAGCGAATGAACCGTGTATAGCCCCATCGCCCTGGACAACAAGCTGTTGATTCAACAAACAGTATTTCTAGCTTCACGGCCCTCACTTTTGCTCCGTCGAAGTCTCCTCCACCTCTTTTGACCACACCCGCGTCACAATCATTCCACATCCCAAGTCTCTTGGAGCTTGCGTCTGGGATCGAAGCCGCTGTGATATCCTCCACCGTGGCCCTTAACGGCACCGCGCCTTTCAAACAAATCTCAACGAGCACAATGGCAATGGGCGCCGCTGAAGAAGAGAAATCTGCCACCAGTCCTGTCGTGGCGACGAAAGAGACGCCAAATGTCACTTCAGCATCACGGCCTCCGTCCACCTCTAGCGGCGAGGGCGAGAAGCCTCTGGCGGCCCCTGCAAATGTTGACCTCGACCGCATTGGCGAGGCCCAGGGCTACGTGCTCGACGAGGCACAACTCAGAAAGCAATACGGCCTCGCCCCCAACGTTCCCCTGAAGAAGTCCAAAAAAGGCGTTGTCTTGATCCCTCAGCCTACCAATGACCCCGAGGATCCGCTGAATTGGCCAGCCTGGAAGAAGGGCCTCATCCTTCTCGTTCTCGCTGTCAATGCCTGCACGGCCGACTACTCGGCAGCCACCGGTGCGAGCGCGCTCATTCCACAGGCTCAAGAATGGCACATCTCCCCTGATGAGGTCAATCACGCGACTGCTGGGTATGTTGCATCGAGGCCTGCTCTGGCCGTGCTTGGAAGCTAACAATCTGATAGCAACACCTTCATGCTGGGAGTTGGCGGTCTGGCAACGGTCTGGCTCAGTGCCTACTTTGGTCGTCTCCCTGTACTGTTCTGGTTCGGTTGTTTGTCCGCGGGGACTGCTGCTTGGTCTGCCGCAGCCCAGAGCTTCGAGTCATACATGGCGTCTCGGATTCTGAACGGCTTCTTTTGTGTAGCAGCCGCCGGCGGTGGTTTGATGTGGATCAAGGATGTCTTCTTCTGGCATGCCCATGCGCAAAAGATCAACATGTGGTCAACCGCGATCATCTTGTCGCCTTTCCTCGGCCCCCAGTTCATGGCAGCCATCATCAGCGTTGACTCTTGGAGGACCGGCATGTGGCTTAACATGGCCATCATCGCATTGGGCCTGCTTCTCACCGTCGTTTTAGGTGACGAGCCCTTCTATCCTCGTCATCTCATGCCGGACCTGAGACCCAAGCGCAAGTCTCGGATCCTGCGGCTGGTTGGCGTCGAACAATACCGCACCAAGTACACGACCAATTCATTCTGGGAGGCAGGTAGCCGCTTGGGCTACACTATCATGAAGTTGCCGGTCTTTTTGACTTGTGTCTTCTACTTTTTTGACTGTGCGGCTCCGCCTCCGTCATTGTGCTGACTCCTTGTGCTGACTCTTTCTAGTTCCATGGACCATTGGAAACAACACCACCATTTCCGTCTTCATTATCCCGGCCTACAACTTTAGCTACCGCAACCTGGCCGCCATCTACACGGCCCCGGTCATCGGAGCTGTTCTCGGACTGGTTGTAGGCCATTTCATGTTCGATTTCATCGGCAAACTCTGGGCAAGGACCCACGGCGGGCTTATCGATCCCGAGAGCAGATTGATCCTGGTCTGGTTGATCCTCCCCTTCAAACTGGTCGGCTACAACCTCATTGGCGCGACTTTGCATCATGCCCCAGCTTGGTCTTGGTGGGTGCTTGCCGTCGGCTGGTGTATGCACAATTTCGCAACCATTGTTACAACCACCGCCGTCAGTGCGTACCTCCTGGATTCCTACCCCGAGGCCAGTGGCGAGTGTGCGGCGTGGCTCAACTTCTCCCGTACCCTGGGTGGTTTCATCGTTGGCTACATCCAAATCAATTGGGCCACCAAAGCCGGCACTCAAACGGAGTACGGCATTCAAAGCGGCATCATGGCGGCAGCATTCCTGTTGCTTGTGTTCTTGCAGTTCTTTGGACACAAACTGAGAAACTCACAAGGCCCGCTCAAGTTTAAGACGTATTGAACATTTCTTATTCTGGGCTCTCTGGAAGACACCTGTTAGCGACATATCGATAGGTGGCTAGTTAGTTGTAATTGTACTCTGCAGCGGTAGCGCGAGCAGTCAGTTATTAATGAACAAGTAGATATTTCAACATGACCTGGTGGTCCTGCCTCCTCAACGAGACTTTTTTTCTCGGGCCATTGCGGCAGCATAGAACGAAGATATGAGGTTACGGACATTACTTATCGAAGATTGAGGACATAGCGAACTCAAAAGGGGACATGGTATCTACATAGTACGGTGCCTGGACAACATACCTGGTGATGGAGGAATGGGGGATTTTCGGGGGCAGCTCGGCGGCATGCACGTGACAGCACGTGAATTGCTCTGCCATGCGCGAATTGTGTCCGAGTCTGCGACGTCATTGCACGCTAGACTGCAAGAGGGATGGCGGGCATCTGGATTATCGCGCATTGATTGGCGATGTCGGCGGAGCTTCTTCACATTATTCCAGTTCCAGTTGCACGTTGCAGAACAAAAGCTCCTTTGCATCTTTTGGTCTCCTTGCTCGGATCGTGGCTTTCAACTGCAGTTTCACCTGGGATTCATCGGCGTAGAAGCTGTTCAAGACTGTCGCGATGTCTCTGTCACGGACAACCCGCAGCGCTCAGGTAAGGGCAAGAGCCCGTTTTGTCCCCACCCTGACCGGCAGGAAACTTACCAGCTCTTCTTCACAGTCGTTGTTTCGTGCTGCCCAGCGAGGAGCGAGCCGACACCCGTCCGCATCGTCTTCTCTCGCCAGAAGTGAGCTTGAAGCCCGATACGATAACTTGCGACTCAGCTAACTGATCCTCCGCAGCCTATGCCACCACCGTCGAATCCGATATTTTCAAGCCGACAAAATATGGAGGAAAATACACTGTGACGTTGATCCCAGGTACGATGGGCCCGAGAATGCCGTGGCATGTCTGGCAACCTGCAATCGCTTACACGAAATCACACTAGGTGACGGTATCGGTGCCGAGGTTGCCGAAGCCGTGAAGACGATTTTCAAGGCCGACAACGTGCCCATTGAGTGGGAGCAGGTGGATGTTTCGGGTGTCGACACCGGCAACAAGCACTCGGAAGAGCTTTTCAAAGAGTCAATCGCCTCTTTGAGGAGAAACAAGATCGGCCTCAAGGGTATCTTGCACACACCCATCGAACGATCCGGCCACCAATCCTTTAACGTCGCTCTGCGACAAGAACTCGACATCTACGCCTCTGTGGTTTTGATCAAGAACATCCCGGGCCTCGTCACCCGTCACAAGAACGTCGACCTCTGCATTGTGCGTGAGAACACTGAGGGCGAATACTCTGGTCTCGAACACCAGTCCGTGTCCGGCGTGGTCGAATCTTTGAAAATCATCACCCGGGCCAAATCGGAACGCATCGCCAAATTTGCTTTCAGCTTCGCGCTCGCAAACAACCGCAAGAAGGTTACCTGCATCCACAAGGCCAACATCATGAAGCTCGCCGACGGTCTATTCAGAAACACGGTTAAGAGAGTCGGAGAGGACTATCCCACGCTCGAGGTCAACGACATGATCGTCGACAATGCTTCCATGCAAGCCGTGTCCCGTCCCCAGCAGTTCGATGTTATGGTCATGCCCAACCTTTACGGCGGTATTCTGACAAACATCGCCGCTGCTCTGGTTGGAGGCCCCGGTGTCGTCCCTGGCTGCAACATGGGCCGTGAGGTTGCTGTCTTTGAGCCCGGCTGCCGACACGTCGGCCTCGACATCAAGGGCAAGGACCAAGCCAACCCTACCGCCCTTCTTCTTTCCGGTACCATGCTGCTAAGACATCTTGGTCTTGATGACCACGCCAACCGCATCTCCAAGGCGGTGTATGATGTGATCGCTGATGGGTAAGTGGGCAATTCTTTTCTGCGGTAGCAAATCTTGTTACTGACCATTTTCACAGAAAGGTTCGCACTCGCGATATGGGCGGCAACAACACTACGCATGAGTACACCCGAACCATTCTGGATAAGATGGAGCAGGGTCTGTAAATGACGATATTCCTCGGCAATCCATGCTTGTGGATATGGATGGGATTGTCCTTGTGGTGAGGAGAGTCGTCCTCGTACTCGATTTTCTGCAGTTTGATAGGCCTGCATTTGCTGTTAGAAATGATTAACTGTATATACACATTCCACATGTACTGTTGCACCAGCGTGTGCCGTAGTTTTCGCCACGACTCGTATAATGCGCAGTGAGATATGTCGTTTACTGAAGATCACGGACTGGTTGTAGTAGGCAGTGATATCACATGCAGGACTCGGAGCGGGCGGAAAACTCGCTTGTTTCTGACGAGGCGGGCGGAAGAAACCATGTGCAGTGGCAGCAGCCTATAATATTCGACTCTAACACACCTTGGAACACTCAACACTTGCATGTGAAGTTTCCCAATATTTTTCTGGCTCCGAACACGCCAGGATGGACATGTTGTCTATAATCCCGTCTTCGTTTTCGTCCTTCCCTCCCATACCAATGCCGCCATGAAAGTAATCTTATGATTGTCTGCGGTCGCACGTATCTTGATCTGAAGCACGGCGCTTGACGAGGGCGGCCCTCCTATGACTTCGAAAGCTGCGCCGGAGGAAAGTGGCCGAACCACCGCGTCTCAAGATGTCCACTACCAAAACGATTTGACTCTATCTCGCACTCCGCAGCCTTACCATCGACGGGGCGATGATCTCGCAACAAGAGAGGAACAGATCAATACCAATGGGACAGCATTTCTTGAAGTTCCAAATGGCCACGCCGTGCAGGCGGCCACAACCAGCACCATCAGCCGGCCGGATTCGAGTGAGAGCGGAACAGAGGCCGACGACGAAAAGGGCCCTCTTCTAAAAGGTCTTCCTGCACCACGCTTGCGGGCGAGGAAGGGCCTGCGAGGGAGTACTCCCGCCGGCCTTACTCCTACGGACAGTCCTCTGCCTACACCGCCAGCGTTCCTCGGTGCATCCGAGTTTCGGTTTTTTGATGGCTACCAAAACCGAGCAGCAGGCAACAACAGCACGGGCGAGCGAGGAGGAGGAAAAGATGCTACGGCCAAGTCCGCTGAGTTTGAAGGGTACAAGAGGCGGAAACGGCAGGAGATCATTCGACGATGTACAGAGGTCTCGCTTCTTTGCGGAATCGGAGCAACTGTCTGGTTTCGAGCGCGAGACAGAGCAGGTCCCTGTCTTGCAGACTGGTTGAACGAATTGACATTCTCTTTGCTCTTGCCGCTCTGCGTCTATCTATTCTATCCAGTTCGACTGACGCTACGAGCACGAGCTCGAGCTCACGGAGCGACGAATAAACCCGCCCTGCTACAAGCCGCTCGGCGCGGGTTCCATATTCCCTCACGGTTTGATCCGGGGCCTTTACTCTATCCTGTGGCTCTGCCCGTCATGATAGCGCTTTCGCTGTTCGAGCGAAGTGCCGACTTTCTTCCAGGAGCCATTGTTTGCGGCCTGTCGTCGATGCCTCCGGCGGTTACAGCTACACCAACCATGCCAGCTGTTGGAGAGTACCTACACTGGGGGATCTCGGTATTGCCGCTGCACGCCTCAGCTCTTAGCCTCTACTCATCCAGGCCGTCGAAACCAAATTCCTTGAAGATCGACTCACCGCTCACCCGAGAAGACCTGGCGTTGATCTTCCCGCTTCATCAGGCGCTCTTGACCGTGTTGAGCTATCTTACCACGTCAAGCCTGGACGTTTCGGAATTACATCTGCTGTCTACTGCTCTGATTCATCTCTACCTCTTCTCCCACACGCCTCAGGCTGAGATACTCAAGGCACTGCTCTGGCTCGGAGGGTTGTGTATCTTCGTGTCTTGTAAGAACTTTCTGGAATGGGAGGTTGCTTTGGCAAGGATTCCGGCTTGGAAGCTGTGTCGCAAGCGTCGTCAAAAGGGTCAGAGTCTTTTCTCCCAGATTGATCAGACTATATGTCAGTGGCTTGTGGGGCGGAAAAATACACATCGCCGAGGGGTCTCTTCGGATAGCGACGAAGGTTCGTTCAACGCCTTTCGCCGAGTGCTGCCGCGTCCGAACCTCGTTGTGAATGGGAGTGCTTCGACATCCTTGGCTAATGGTCACAAACCTGTTTCTGAGCGCAACACCTTCACGCGCTCCGAGTTTGGAAGTGGGAAGACACAGTCTGTGGCCACCAGCCGGTCCTCTGCTTTCCGGTCTTTCAGCCTGGAACAAGCAAAGGTCCGGAAATATGCATATGCCGCGATCGTATATTTCTTCGTGGCAGCGATTTTACTGGGCCCAGTCCGGATATATATCGGCCAACGAGCACTTGCAGGCCATGAACCTCTCGGTTGGGCCCTCGGGTACCTTCTGGGGAACCTTCCAACATTCCGCTTTTGGGTGGTCAGCAATAACCTCGATCGATGGATTTGTCTTCCAGCACACATGACAGCCGATCCCTCATCGACTGGACCCCAGGGATGGATTGAAAATGGCCGTCAATACAGCGTCGGTCCTGCCAACACCCGTTTACTTCTATGTGCATATTACGTGGCGGTGCTGCTTTGCGGCATTACTGTGGTGGTTCGACTCACTTCCCTTGTCCAAGTGGACACGCGACGGAAGGTGTTCCACGGCATCATGGTCATTATGCTTCTGCCCACCATTTTCGTGGATCCCTGTTTCATCGCCCTGGCTCTGGGTTTGGTGTTGGCCATTTTCTTGTTGCTGGATCTCTTCCGGGCTTCACAACTACCGCCAATCTGGAAGCCGCTGACTACATTTCTGGCGCCATACGTGGATGGCCGTGACCACCGAGGACCAGTGATCGTGTCGCACATTTTCTTGCTGATTGGGTGCGCGATTCCGCTCTGGTTGTCCCTGGCGGCCGCTCCTCGCAGTGGTCAAGAGCCATGGGTCGGATGGGATACATCAATCCGGGACTTGAGCATGGTCAGCGGCGTTATCTGCGTCGGGCTCGGCGATGCGGCGGCCAGTCTGATTGGGAGACGGTACGGAAGGACAAAATGGTGCTGGGCGGGCGGCAAGAGTTTAGAAGGCAGTCTTGCATTTGCGCTGGCCGTCACTTGCGGTCTATATACTTCCTGGATCTGGCTTAGACTAGGTGGATGGGCGGGCGTGGATGTGTCCTGGAGTGCCAGCGACTCGGTTCCGACCACTGGCAGTCTCAGTGGGCAAACGCTTGCAAAGTGTCTGGTCGCTGGGGTGGGCGCGAGTCTGCTCGAAAGCACCTTGACTGCGGCCAACGACAATGTCGTCGTGCCGGTTGGTCTGTGGTTGCTGGTCCGAGGGTTGGACATATAGTACCTATCTTAATGTACAGAGGAAACGTGAGATGGTACTACTGGGACTAATGTCAATGTATGATGACGGGGTAGGAAAGTACCTAGGTACCTAGGTAGTAGTGCGTCCGTGATGTCGCTTGATTGGGGTCCGTTGCGGCGATCGGATCGATTCAGATGTACAGCAGGGTGCTACAATAGGGCATACTGTAGGTGCACGGTACTAGGGTAGTCGATGTTGCCTGAGCTCAGGCAGATGGCGCAACTAGGCCAGGCTGGCTCTACATCCCACGGTGAAGACCAAGGTTGACCAAGGTCCAGCCAGGTACCAGCGTAGTGCACTGCGGCCTGTACATGGTACCGCCTTGCATTTGGTGGTAGGCATCCTAGCGAGCTGGCTAGGAGTTGCTACCATCTGCTACTAGTAGTATCACAGAAAGGCAGATCCGGATGTCTTTCCCATCCCAAGTACTAGTACTGCGCTACTGGCAGTGATATGCGGTGATCGGCTGATGGCGGGTGGGGGATGGGATTAGCAGAGATCCCGTGACTATCCTTATCAGCAGTCTATCACCGGAAGCACTAGCACTACTAGTACGGCATAATAACCCTCGTAGTAGGTCCCTAGTGGCTACAGCCGTAAATATGCACTCGTTAGCTGATGCTAAGCTGGCACTAGTCAGATCACTCCCACTACCACCACCACTGCACTGCTGTGCACAACCACCACGCCTTAAGCCCTCCGCTGCACGAGGACAAACTAAACTCACGTCGCGACCAACTGACATGCATGACTAACTATTCCCTCTCAGCACATCATGTCCTATCGCGCTGTTGGGTGTTCAGAGTTACCGTTGCCTATTCCAAGAGACCACTGACCACTACTATCTTTATCTTCTTTATCTGTCTTGTATTTCCTTCCATCTAAACCGCCATCCTTTGTTGTCCCAGTGCAACACCTGGACCGCTCACGCTGCTGCTGCGAGTGCGTCACTGAACCTCAATCCACCCGCATCCCCAAGTCACAAGTCACGCCCCGATCGACGACACCACGACACCCGCACTGCATCTCGCATCTAACGCCCACCCCAACAACAACCATCAGCCTGAGAGTTAGCGGTCCTATCCCTTCAATCCATCCACTCATTTTCCACGATCGCCCGAGTTTTGTTGAACTCTGCCCTGGGCAGTTGCACGGCGTTGAAGTTGCGGCAGCCTCCCGTCTGATTGCACCATCTCCACACGCTTCTGGCCTACCGCCTTGTCACCCTACGACCGTCCTATCGTCTTCGCCCGCCAGCCTTCCTCGATATCGAGCAATCCATGTCCAACCATATAACCGCCACCCTATACCCGCAGTTGAGAAGATAGCAACCTCGTGCCGCACCTCTGCCTCCTCGAACGGCTTTCGTCGACCGAAGTGGAGGACGGGGTGAGGATGGCGTCCACAACCTCTCAGTCCTCCACCCCGAGGAGGTCAAAGGAATCGGACAGGATTGGCAGTTTCCAGAGGCATGAAGAGATAGGGCGTGGCAGCTTTGCAACAGTATACAAGGCCATCCATACGGTAGGCAAGAAAGTTCCCGTTTGTTGTTTACTACTGACACAACTATCAAGAGCGGTTCCGGAGTGCAAAGCATCGTTGCTATCAAGTCGGTCAACATGTCGAAACTCAACAAGAAACTAAAAGACAACTTGACTTCCGAGATCTCGATCCTCAAGGGATTACATCATCCACACATCGTTGCCCTGATCGATTGCAAAGAGTCGAGCTCGCATATACATCTGGTCATGGAATATGTGGCCCTGGGCGATCTATCACATTTCATTAAGAGACGAAATGAGTTGGCAAACAGTGAGCTAGTGGGCAATATGATGGTCAAATATCCCAATCCGCGGTATGGAGGCCTCCACGAAGTCGTCGTCCGGCACTTCCTCCAGCAACTCGCAAGTGCTTTACAGTTTCTACGGGCACGAGACCTCATCCATCGCGACGTCAAACCTCAGAATCTACTTCTGAATCCGTCCCCTGCCTACTTCGAGACACACAACCCACGACCGATGCCATATCAAGTGGCTGACAATTCTCTTGTTCCCATCTGCGGTGTCAGGTCTCTACCCGTGCTCAAGATAGCCGACTTCGGGTTTGCCCGATCGTTGCCTTCCACCGCACTGGCCGAGACCCTCTGCGGCTCGCCCTTGTACATGGCTCCCGAGATCTTGAGGTATGAAAAGTACGATGCGACGGCTGATCTTTGGTCGGTGGGGACTGTGCTATATGAAATGATGACTGCCCGGCCACCGTTCCGAGCTTCCAATCACGTCGAGTTGCTCCGCAAGATAGAAAAGAGTGAAGACAAGATCAAATTCGGTGACGAGTTCAAGATATCCGATGACATGAAGAAGCTAGTCCGATCGTTGTTGAAACGAGACCCCAAGCAAAGACTGTCGTTCCCGGATTTCTTCAGCAATGAGATCATCACTGGGCCAATCCCTGGCCTTCATCCTGAGGACATGCCCAAGGTTGAGCCTCCGCAGGCCGAAGTCAACCGGCGTCGAGATAGTCAAACTGACCCTACCGGGTTGAGCTACCCAGCGTCCAGGAAAGAACCGGAGAGCCCTTATATTGACTCTTCCAAGACTGCTTCGGAAGATAACCTGTCTCGACGACCTTCAACCAGGAGACAAATGTCTGGCGCCAAAGAGCCCACCAGCACACCGCTGGGGCGTCCTTCGGATGTATCCGCACCGGTTTCTGACTCTCCAAAACCAGCTACTGTGCGTCCAGCCCTGCATCCACATGCAACAGCCCCAGAGCGACAGGACCTATTTCAGCGACGGCTTTCCTCGGCTCCTATGGCCCGCCAAACAAGTGCAGGATCCCATAAAATTCCTGCTTCCGCCCGGCCCCAGGTCCAAAACCAGCAACAAGAGTATGTTGTACGTAGACAACAGGAAGAAAAGGAACGGGAGCGAGCGGCTCAAGACATTGCTTTCGAGCGAGACTACGTCCTGGTTGAGAAGAAAGCGGTGGAAGTCAATGCTTTAGCTGACGAGTTGGACGCAAGCCCTCGACTGAACAAACAGGCAATGCAAGCACCGGTGCCTCCCAAGTCTGGGCCAATGGTCCGTAGAGCGACGACCCAAGGTCCACCTGGATCGGCAACGGGTGCGCAAACCAGTGCTTCTCGAGCCGTCCAGATTGCCTCAGGAAGACGGCCAGACAGTCTCCATAACCGGCAAAACTCTTACGAGCGACGCTACGGGCCGAGTCCTGGTTCTGCGACATCCGCCATTTCGAAAGCGTTGAATATGGCCAGCGGTCGCTTGTTCGGTGTGGGATTTTCGCCTCCCGTCAACCTGATGCGTGGTGGCAAGTCACCTCCAGTCACATATAGCCCATTCCCCACTTATCCCGGAGCTCAAAGCAGCCTTGTGGTGGTAGGCGACCAAGGGAAAGAGACCGTGGCTGCTGATGAAGACACGCGATATGCCCAGACTGTCGAGGAGACCGCCACACGCAGTGATGTCGTCTACGGGTTCGCAGAGGTCAAGTACAAGCAGTTGATTCCAGCCGTCCCATCTCAACCGGGCCTGGGTCTACGAAATGCGTCAAGCAACAATGCCTCAGACTGTCCTCTAGGAGGGTCCGATGGAGACCTGACAGTGGAGGCAACAGTGATCGTCGCCGAGGAGGCTCTCGTGCTTTATGTGAAAGCACTGGCTTTGCTCGCCAAGGCCATGGATATTGCAGCACGATGGTGGGCACGCAAGAGCCGAGAGGTGACCGGTGACGCAGCCACGTCTCGCCCAAGCTCGACTTCCGTTGCTACCGGGCAGCGAATGAACAATGTTGTGCAATGGGTCCGAAACCGATTCAACGAGGTACTGGAGAAGACGGACCTTGTTCGTCTCAAACTTGTTGACAGCCAGCGTCGTCTCCCGGAAGACCATCCCAGCCATCCCAACAATATCTCCAGCGCAACAGCCTCGAGTGCTGGCCTGGGCACTTCTTCCAATCAGGTCATTGTCAGCTCCGGGATTACTGCCGAACAGCTCATGTATGACCGCGCATTGGAAATGAGCCGAGCTGCCGCCATCAACGAGCTTACCAATGAAGACTTGACTGGCTGTGAGATCTCTTATGTTACGGCGATTCGAATGCTAGAGGCCGTTCTTGAAAATGATGATGATAGCAGCGGCAATGAACATGATGAGAGAGAGGACGCGGCACCAATCAACGGACTGGAAGCTGAAGATAGGAAAGCAGTCAAGAATTGTAAGTTTGGTCGTCATACATGGGATCTTGCGAGGGCTAACATTTCTGCAGTGGTCAGCAGTATCCGAGGCCGGCTCTCGATCATTCGACGCAAGCTACAGGTTATTCAAAAACATGCGTCGGCCACAGGAACGGCATCACCAACAAGCAGGGCGTCTCCCCCAATCCCATATCGTGGTGGCAACCCTGCAGCTGCTGTTACGCCGCCACGCTCATGATTCATCGATTTTTGCAATTATTAGAACAGTACAGCAGGCTCCTGCTCAGTAAAACAGGAAATACTCTGCTCGCATGTTTGTCGGTTTATTTGGAGTTTTTGATTTTCGTTTCTCACGACCTGCACTCGCTTTACGAACCAACGCTGAATGCTCCAGCTTCTAGCATGTAGTTATCTCGCATTACAATTTTTGATTTCAAAGAGCCGAGCGAGTCTGGAAGGGACGGCGTTTGTTTGTGTCCGGCATGGGCTATTGGGCAAGTTGAGCATTTTATCAGTGGGAGGGGGCGTTAGGGTTGCTTATTACACCAACGAAACGACCAGGACTAACTCAATGGCACGGCACCATTTTTGATGAAGAGACGGCCAAACTTCACGGAAAAGGGGAGGTTGGACATGAAAGATACCCGTCATGAGAGAATCGGAGCTGGCGCCATGGTTGACAAAGGGACCTTTTTCAGCAAGCAAGCAGGCAAGCAGGCAGACAAGCATGCGTGTTGTGCGGCCATGTGTTGATTTATTGTTGATTGCTTTTTTTCCCCCTGCGCTTTCGTTTGCAGGCTTATTGCCCACAACCATGGGATATGGGTATAGGAATGGAGCTGGAGCTTGCGGCGGTTGACAGGGATGCTCGACGGAATACTATACTATCCATCATGGAGAGCAAAACAATGCTCTTCAAAAAGGCCAATGACGAATGAGCCTTGTGAATTGATGTGATAGCTTTGAGCAAGAATGGAATGACAAAGATGAATCTCCACCACAAAATCTAGTCCCTTCTGATGAAGCACGATTGGACAGTAGTGAAAAGTGGCTATAATTGTTTATCTGTATTCTTTTGGAACTTGAACTGGGTTCATGCTGGATTTCGGGGACCGTGATTCTCGTTCTGTTTTGTGGCTATATACTAGTACGTGTGAAGAGTGTAATGTAATATACCAGCGATTTTATAGAGAATCACCCACAAGAGATAGTGACTTCCTCAAACACGCTGGGCCGGGTATGATTGCTCTGGCAAGAAAATTGAAATGTTTGTTTGAAACAAATCGAAACGCGTGGGGTTGATGTAGCGTTCCGATGCCGGTTCTTGCGGGAAAAAGGGTAGAGAGAACAAGGGAGACAAACGGGCTATATGATGTATCATAATAGGTATAGGTGGTGATTCAATTGCTTGTAGATGATAGATGACACAGAGGGGGAAGATGATTTGCTTCACTATCCTCAACAAGATGCTCACTCGGGTGAACACCATGACTGTAAGCACATAGCAGAAGAAATGCGAGAAGTCCTGCCTATAGCAAGACTCGGCGTTTCGAAGTCCTCATACGAGCGAGTCCATGTGACCCAATTCAGCCAGTCGGTTGGATGCCGGTGAGATTGAGTGACATCAGAAGGATACGTAAAAGGGCAAAAGTGAGTGCACTAGGAGTGGAAGGATTGGAGTAGTGGTGGACGGAATTCAAGTTGATGATTATATATTCTGCGCGTGTGAGAAATTGAGGATTCGATTATATTTATATTTGTCGCAGGAGTTTTATGACGCCTCGCCGCACTTTCCTGCTTTGAATGGAAGTCTGCTATAACTACGCTAGTACTCTACCAAGGATCTAAGACTACCTATACCATTGTATTTCCAATGTCGTCGTATCTGCATTGACATTTGTGCTGCAATTCTACTATAACTTGAAGCCATAGGCACCTGTCTGTCCCTTGCGTAACCAACCCGGACCCTCTCTCCAGACATTCCATTCCACTCATTGACCTGCCTGGCTTTTGCGTCGGAGGAAGCCTGGCAGCCGCCCCGGACATCCTGCTACTGTAGGTAGATGAAGCATTACGTGCGGTCACTGTCAAGGCTTGCTGGATCTCGTCCTATTCAATCGCCCACCTGCACCCTCCACCACCAGTGCTTTAGACGGTCTTTTTCCTCTCGAGTCCAGACCACCAACACTACTACTGTCCGACGAGCTGTTCCCTCTCTTATTCGGTCCAGGAACTTGAACCCTTCCTCTTCACCCTTTGCATCTCGGCAAGCTCGAGCCTCCCTCTTTAACCCAGCCAACATGTGTCGATTCATGTCCGACGCTCCAGGCGCCCACAACACCCAAGGCCGCGTGATTCTTCCCGACAATGTGGTGCCCAAACACTACGACGTGACTCTCGAGGTGGACTTTGACAAATTCACGTTCGAAGGGACTGTAGTCATTGATCTGGATGTTCCCAAGGACACCACTTCCATCGCCTTGAACACGTTGGAGCTGGATATCCACTCGACCACCGTCCATGCTGATGGAAGTCTGGTGACATCCTCTCCGACCCTGTCGTACGACGCGGACACGCAGACCACGACCATCGAGCTAGGCAAGACCATCACCAAGGGCCAAAAGGTCCAGCTCAAGCATACGTACACAGGACAACTGAATGACAAGATGGCGGGATTCTACCGGTCCAAGAGAAGAGACGGCCAATATCTTGCAGTCACTCAGTTCGAGGCCACCGATGCCCGACGTGCGTTGCCCTGCTTCGACGAGCCGGCTCTCAAGGCCGAGTTCACAGTCACACTGATTGCCGACGAGGACAAGACGTGTCTGTCGAACATGGATGTGGCGTCGACGGAGATTGTGGATTCCAAGATCACCGGAGGAAAGAGAAAGGCGGTCAAATTCAACCGGTCCCCTCGCATGTCTACTTATCTGCTGGCCTTCATCATTGCCGAGCTCAAGTCCATCTCGACGGACAAGTTCCGATTGCCCATCAAGGTGTGGATGACTCCGGAACAGAACGAGGAAGACGGAAGATTCTCGCTAGATGTTGCTGCAAAGACTCTTGCGTTCTACGAAAAGGCATTCCAAGCCCCGTATCCCTTGCCCAAGATGGATATGGTGGCCATTCCGGATTTTGCCGCTGGTGCCATGGAAAACTGGGGTCTTGTCACCTATCGTGTGGTTGATCTTCTATTTGACCAGAAGTCGGCCGGTGCTGCCACCAAAGAACGGGTGGCGGAAGTGGTCCAGCACGAGTTGGCCCATCAATGGTTCGGCAATTTGGTTACCATGGACTTCTGGGATGGTCTCTGGCTCAACGAAGGGTTTGCCACGTGGATGAGTTGGTACAGCTGCAACGAGTTCTACCCGGAGTGGAAGGTCTGGCAGACCTTTGTCATTGACACATTGCAAGGAGCGCTGGGGCTGGATGGGCTGCGCAGCTCTCACCCTATAGAAGTTCCGGTACATCGGGCGGAAGACATCAATCAAATCTTTGATGCCATTTCCTACTCCAAGGGGTCGGCGGTCTTGAGGATGATTTCAAAGTACTTGGGCGAGGATGTCTTTATCGATGGTGTCAGACGGTACATCAAGAAACACGCGTGGGGGAATACAAAGACGAGTGATTTGTGGGATGCACTGGGCGATGCAAGCGGCAAGGATGTCGCACATGTGATGGATATCTGGACCAAGAACATCGGTTATCCCGTGGTCACCGTGACGGAAAACGAAAAGGACTCGACGATTACCGTCAAGCAGAACCGATTTCTGCGTACCGGTGACGTGAAACCTGAAGAGGACAAGGTCTTGTATCCTGTCATGCTTGGTCTTAAGACGAAAGACGGGGTCGATGAAAGTCTGATGCTCACCGAAAGGGAGCAGACGTACAAGATCAAGGGTGGACTAGAGTTTTACAAGTTGAACACCGACCACTCTGCCTTCTACCGAACCAGCTACACTCCGGAGCGCTTGACGAAGCTTGGAGAAGCTGCGCAGAAGGGAGGACTGCTCTCTGTCGAGGATCGTGCTGGGATGATTGCCGATGCCGGCGCATTGGCTGCAAGTGGATACGGCAGGACATCGGGGATATTGAGCCTGCTACAATCGTTCAACACCGAGACCGAGTTTGTGGTGTGGAACGAGATCCTGACGCGGATCAATGCCATCCGAAACACATGGATCTTTGAAGACGAGTCGACCAAGAAAGCCCTCAAGTCTTTCCAATTGAATCTCTGCTCGGCCAAAGCACACGAGCTCGGCTGGGAGTTTTCCGAGAACGAAGACCATATCCTGAGCCAGTTCAAGAGTCTGATGTTTGGATCTGCGGGTCTCGCCGGGGACAAGAAGATCCAAGCTGCCGCTAAGGAAATGTTTGCCAAGTTCCTCGATGGAGACTTCAATGCCATCCACCCGAATCTGCGGGCCTCGGTGTTGGCCATGGTGCTGCGGGACGGCGGGGTGAAAGAATGGGAAGCCGTCCTGGCACGCTACCACACTGCGCCAACGGCGGACGAAAAGAACACCTGCCTCCGAAGTCTGGGTCGTGCCCGGAGTCCCGAGTTGATTAAGAAAACACTGGATTTGGCTCTTAGTGGAGAGGTCAAGATGCAGGACATTTACATGCCCATTGGCGGCCTGGGGACGACCTCGGAAGGCATCGAGAAGAGATGGGAGTGGATGTGCAACAACTGGGATGTTCTGGTTGAGAAGCTCCCGCCCAGCATGACCATGTTGAGCAGTGTCGTTAGTATCTGTGTCGCTGGATTTACTAAGGAGGATCAACTGGCTAAAGTCGAGCACTTCTTCCACGACAAGGACAAGAAGGGCTTCGACCGTAGTCTCCAGCAGAGCCTTGATAGTATTCGCGCAAAGGCGAATTGGTTGAAGCGTGATGGCGACGATGTTACGGGCTGGTTGAAGGAGAATGGGTATCTCGAAAAGGGCCGGTTGTAAGAAGATCAGATGAAGATCAGACATATCTAATAAAAAAAGGGGGTTGTCTTCATTCGTCTGGTCTGGCATGGCTACCTACATTGGACTTCGAAGTACAACAATGAAGAAACCGAGACCTGCAGGCAAGGCAGCACAGCCAATGTGGTTTTGTTTTGTCTTGTCTTGTCTTGTACTATAAGAACATGTTGAGAAGTGTGGGGGGGAAAAAAAGAGGCTTGAGAGACCATGGAAGACAATCTAGAGTGGTACGCCATTATTACTGTCTACCAACAAGGTCGCTTTCATTTCGCTTGTTCAACACTTACTACTATAGGCACTACCGGAACTTGAGTCTGCAGTTGGAATTGGCAGTGTCTAGTTGGTTATCATTTTATTGAGACTGACTGTTTCCACTTCTGTCTATCACAGTCTTTTGGGCCGGACTATATCTGTTCGCCGACGTGATTGCGATTACGATTGCTCACGAAGACTCAATTTCATCCGCTCCTTTCATTCTGCTTCGGCCATGTACAGTACCTCCGTTGTTCCCGTAGAGACAGTTTGCCGACCTGTCAAATTCGATACTGTTACAGTACCTTTTCCAGGGGGCCCTGATAGATACAACATACAGTAGGCCAGGGAAAAGAATGGAACGGAGAAGAGAATACCCGATTGACAAGACAGAAGAGTGCAAGCATTAATTGAGCATCAGGATCAGTCCGTTTCTGGATCTCTAGAACAGAAACGGATATCAGACCGTCTAGTTTGGGTAGCACGGTAGTATTGAGACGCACTTGCAAGCACATACGAATGATCATGATGCCTTTTTGACAGAACCAAAAGCACAAAGCAAAAGAAGAAGAGGAAAAAAAAGCTCTTTGTTTCATACAAACTCTGCTGCGCTGGAGAAAGACGTGTTCTCCAGACTGACTGATTGAAATGACGAACTGGCCGACTCGGAGGCTCAGTGTAGTAGCAGACAGTTTCACTGCACTTCCATTCCCTTCAGTTCACTTCAGTTGGGTCCAGTTTGCTTCAGTTGATCTTGCGCCTCTGTATCAATCCGGGTAATGCTAATGCAATGCAATGCGCCGTCTATCATCCTCATCTTTGTGTCTTGTCTCATTTCAAACATCAAACAATTCCTTGAGTTGTCTCATGGTATCTTCGGGCCCAGTAACGGCATGGCCAATGGTACGGGGATCATTGTAGATTTCCCAGTCATTGCCGCCGGGGAAAGCCTTGTCGCCGAAGAAATGGATGTTTTTGTAATTGATGCCCGAGAGGTTGTTTTTCGGGTCGGCCTCGGCCTCGACGTGGCGAAGACAATATGTCTTGTCCCAGCCGGTGGGGAAGACGTCGAAAGAGATTTGGCCTCCGATGGAGTATCTAGATACAAAATCAGGATCAACTTGAGAATATAAGCGGGTTTTGTAGTAGTCGGACTTACGTGAGACCCAAACCAGGAAACTCCTTCTCAATCGCATCAATCATCTGACGCCGACATCCCGACAGCTTATCCCAGGCCTCGAACTCGTCTCTTTCGGCCTTGCTGGCATTACGACCCACAGGAGAAACATTGATCATGCCGTTGCGGAATTCGATGAAGGTGCCGCGCATTTTGGGAATACCCTCAATCGAAGCAATGTACTTGAGACAGAAGCGCGCGAGTTTCTGGTATTTCTCCTCTCCCATCCACTGGATGAACGAGTTGGACGGCAACGGTTGGCCGAGGCGGAACGCAGTCAGGCCGTTTTCGGAGAAGCAGAAGTCGAACAGTGTTGTGACGGGGAGAGATGGGGTGCCGAGTTGTTCTTGTTGTTTGACGAGATCGGAGCCGCCGACCTAGAGACACAAGAAATTAGTTATCAGTCACTGGCACTGTTGAAAGGGAGACAAAGCAGGGTTAGGTTTAGGTGGCTCACAAATCCAATAGCGACTTTATGTCTCAGGCGCGACAAGGTCTGCAGCATCTCTGCCGACACCGTCTGTCTGGCTGGCGTGAGCGTACCGTCGACATCGAACAGGCAGATCGTCTCCTTGATAGGACGGTCCTTAAGATCGGGGTAGAGTTCGGCCATGTTTGGTGGAATTGGATCTCCAACAAGAAACACAGCGAGGAGGGAAGATCTCTGTGAATAACGCGAAAGACCCAGAACGATAAGCAAGCAGCAAGCACTTGAGAAGAGGTCCGGAAATAATGTGAGTTGTAGTAGAGAAAAGGACAGTTTACTTTTGTTGCGGTGACCGTGGCTTGTTTGACATGCACGACTTTCTGACTTTGACAGCGACGCGAATGCCGCAATTGAACATCGCGCCGCGTGGCGCACCGGAAAATCAAAAAGGGGGAAGACGCGTGCTGCGACCGCTAATCCAATCGATAAGATAAGGATAGTAGCCAGATCACGTGTAGGGCGATGAACGGCAAATACTTGAAACACCATGCCAGCCTTGAAAAGGGCCAGATCTATACTCCAGTACGCCGTATCCAAACTTCTACCTGATGTGCTTGTTTGTTTTCCGTTGATTGCTCATCTTGAAACTTCTTATCTAATTATCCTCGGCAACACGAGAGGTGAGAGGAGTTGGTCGTACATGACCATACTGTAGCATACTTTCCTCCATCCATCCATCCTTGGAATTGTACAGCCAATACATTTTCCCTAACAACACAGCGAGATCCAAGAATGGTCCTGTAATATCCCGATCCTGGCTCCTATTATGCCACATCCAACCCCCAGGTCAAATGGGTCAACCAAACGCCAACGCTCGTGCACGCAGTCTATTTCCAACATGCACGTAGAAAGACAATATCTCGGTCGTATCCATATCCGGCGACATGCCTTCTAGGCAGCAACTGCACCAGGCTTCATGCCCTTGACAGACTTCCACTCGACAAACACCGCCCCAATCCCGGACAAGCATGCCATGGCCACTGAGATATACCAGGTATTCGTGAGGGCTTTGTTGTAGGCCGTCTGCACACCCGCTAAGAGTGCGGCAGGCACTTGATCCTTCAGCGAAGTAGCACCGACATGGAGAATAATGGCGGGATCAATGCCTGGAGCGTAATTTGGGATCTCGTCAATTAGCCGATTGTTGAAGACGTTCTGGGCCACAGACACAAACAAGGCTCCTCCAAAGGTCTGCATGAACATGACCAAGGCCGTGCCCGTGGGGACGTCCTTGAGTGGCAGAACAGCCTGCACGGTGATCAAGGCTTGTTGCATTCCAAAGCCAACCCCAAATCCGTAGATGACTTGATATCCAATCCACTTTTCGTGCCCGGTGGTCGTCTCAAAAGTGGTAAGAAGGCCCGCACCGATGGCGGAGAGCACGACGCTCCCATAATAGAACGGGGTGTAATATCCAATGGCGGTGGTACCGATGCCACTTACCACATTTGCGATGACCAATGCCAGAACCATGGGAAGGCACATGATACCAGACTTAAAAGCCGTGGCGCCTTTAATAGCCTGGAACCAGATGGGGACCCAATAGATGAGGACGAAGAATGCCGAGCCCAACGCAAAAGCGAACCAGGATGCTGAAGCGACGCTGCGTTGGGAGATGATGTTGAAAGGAATGGTGGCAAATTCCTTCATAAAGTATTGCACAATGATAAAGAGGATGGTCAGGACTCCAAACAGTGTCAAGCAGAGAATGATACGCCAGTTGGACCATGGGTACTTGGATCCGCCCCATTGAAGAGCCAGAAGACAGACAACGATGTCGACGATGAAAAGAGCGGTCCCGCCCAGATCCAACTGGTAAGCTCTCTCCTTGAAAGACACTTTCTTCTCGGCTCTTCTCTTTGGGGATTGGAAAAAGAAGAAAATGACAATCAGGGTGACGGCACCGAGGGGAAGATTAATATAGACTGGATCCGTTAGTTAATGCTATTACTGTCGGTCTAGGTCAGGGTAACTTACAGCACCAACGCCAACCAGGCCCATCAGTAAAGGCGCCTCCCAGCAAAGGGCCCGCAATGGAAGCAATGCCGTACATGGCACCAATAATGCCGGTGTAAATCGGTCGTTTGACCAGAGGCACTGTGTAGGCGATGATGACCAGTGCCCCAGAAAAGATACCAGCAGAACCGACACCTGCAATGGCACGACCCACAATGAGTGCATCAGAAGTGGGCGAAGCACCACAGACGGCGGAGCCGACCTCAAAGACGACGATGGAGCTTAGGAAGACGTTCTTGATGGAGAAAAATGTGTACAGTCTAGCAGGTCAGTTGATGTACCTCGCTGTATAGAGACACAAGCCACTCACTTTCCAAAAAACAATTGCAAAGCGCAAGTGGTCAGCAGATATGACGAGCCATACCAACCGACGTCTCCAAGAGATTTGAAATGATCGGTGATTTTGGGAATAGCCGTGGCGATGATGGTGTTGTCCAGGGCGACGAGGAAGACAGCCAGACAAAGGGCGAGAGTGATGAGGGCTAGTTTGACACCGCTTGGATAGACAGCCTCATCATCTTCTGGAGAAGGGACCATCCCATCGGCATGCCTTTCTTCATTCTGGACTTCAAGCTCGGACGAGTCTTTGCTCGACAATGTGTTTTCGACCTCTATCTTTTTCTCCATCGGCTCTGTCTGTGGTTCCGAGTGGTTCAAGTTGTTGTACGGCTGATCTTCTGCCACAGAAGACTCTAGTTGAGCGGTCTTGTCAAGGTCGGTGTTGGACACATTTTGGCTGGGAACGACCGTCGTCGCCTCGGATTTGGCGTGGACGGTTTCCGAGCCGGAGGAGGCTGGCTTTGTGTTGAAAAGACCCATTGAAAAAGGGCACGATCAGCGCGGGCGATCCTATCTCAGGGTGCTCGGTCGCAGGCGCGCAAGGGTTGACTATGGTTCAAAGAGAGGCTGACGTTGTTTACTGATATGTTATGCAGCGGGAAGGAATTGGCTTGAACCCTAGGAGTCTGTGCTGATGTATTGGGAGTGCGATAAAGGCTGTGGTGGTGAGAATGGCAGATTCTTTGTTTGGGAGAGCTGCTGGATAGGTAGTCGAGGGTGGAAATATCTATGGGGAAGCCGACCGATACAATGGATTAACCTGACCAAATAAAATGCCGCTGGGCCACACACGATGAACGAAAGAATGCGCAAGATCAAGATCCCAGCAGTAGTGAACAGGCAGCAGGAAAAAAAAGGAACGGAAACAAATCTATTGGGGAGTAGGAGCAAGCCAAAAAGTATATTACGCGAACTGAATGGTGAGATGGCTGCCCTGGTCTGGAGTCTGCCAAACACGGCCAAAATACGAAGTAAGGGGATGGCATCGCATCGTGTCCGCTCCACATGCAAGCTGCAAAAATACGTCGGGATGCCGATGGGGGGCGGCCGAAGGGCAACGGGCAACGGGGAACGGGCCATGGGGGCCTGAGATTCCAATGGGCGGGTGCTATGGACTACTAGGTTGTGCTAATTCGCCCTATCTGCTTCAGCTGTGGTGCCACTAACACCGCTACAACTGCCGCTACTATCGCTAAGCATTACAATCGGGTCCATCAAATTCCGATTCCACTGGCACCACGGAACTGAACTGCATCTTATCTCCGCGCCAGTGTCCATCTCCATCTTGCCCGTCACAAAAGAAGGATGCCTAGGTGAGGTCGGGCAGTGCTTGATTATGGCCCCAATATGCTTGATATTGACCCTACAACTTAGAACACATAAACAAAAAAAGGGCTTCGACGACACCTTTATTACCACATCAGGTACTCATCTTTGAGAGTCTCGCGTCTCTCAATGTCAGCTGTCACGCTTCAGCCCTACACTGCGCTGCGTTGCACTATCTGCGGCCTGGACCCGTACTCGGACTCGGACTCGGATATACTGTTTCTCCTAGGACACTTCGCACTGGCTGGCAACAACTGTCACCAGCATCTGCAACTCAAATGTTGATGCCAGCCACAACTAGGCACCAGCGAAATGTGCTGCTCTCATTGCACTGGCAGTTCAGGTTGTTGTCTCTGCCCTTGTTTCCATACCCATTGCAGTGCAGTGGCAGCCTTTCGCATTCTTCATCACCTAGGAATCGTCATTAGGTACCGTACCTGGTAGGTGCCTAACCCGCACCGTGCCAATGTTGACTTCAATCAAGCCGAATCATGACGTGGAAGATAATGCTTTTTTACAAAGAACTGCGGCGGGTGTCTATCCCAGCTTCCCTGTCTGAACTGCATCCCACTGCCATTCCCAGTTCAGTGAAATGGGCCCGGGCAACGAACGACTTCTCGTAGGAAAGTTCTAGTAGTCCTAGTAGTGCGACGGACATGGACGCGGAGTTCGGACGAAATATCAAGCCGTCTCTGTCGTCAAAAGTTTGTCAACCCGACATGCAGCATGGACAGGGACCACTAGTACACTGCAGGGGTTTCACCGCGGACGCCGTTCAGTTCACTGGCAGCCTGATGATGAGTTCGCTCACATTCAAGGTTGGGTCAATTGATGCGAAGCGAAGAGACAGCCCGGTGTTGTGTGGATCCCGGAGCGTTGCGAGCGGACGATGATCACGCTTGTTTTGCCATGCAGTCTTCTTTACAGAAGTACGATTCCCGGACTAGGGAGTAGCGATTGATCGACCAGCAAGACTCCATAAACCAATATGACATTCGGTGTACAACATACTTTCACACATTTCATAAACACCTGCTAGTATTGTGCCTACTAGTAGCAAGGTAACTCAGGTACTTCAGTAGTCCTACAAGGAGATCATGTGTGGATGGGATGGTTCATTAATAAGGTATGTACCCGTTACCCGTACAGTATAGGTAGAGGTACCCAGTCTATCGCGTCTTCCAGTTCCTACAACGCCAACTTGTAACACCATGCAAATGCCAGTGGCCCCACAAGCGTTTTCTCTATTTCTCGCTTTTCAGGTTGCCTAAGCCTTTTCCGACCTCTTCTCAAACTCCACCACCGCAGGCGCAATCGGTCTCGAGAACAAACTGGAATAGTCCGTCGGGACGAGATCTTTGCCGGGCAGATTGCGGAACTTGACGTATCTGACCATGGTGGCCAACACCGTGCCCAGCTGGACATAGGCAAACTGTTCTCCAATGCAGCGATGTCGTCCCGCCCCAAAAGGCAAATAAGGCGACGACGCACCTTTGCTGATCATGCCAAACCCATAATCCTCAAACTCCTCCTTGTCCAGGTCTGAGCGGTTGTAAGACAACTCGTGGCCCTCGTCCCATCGATGCGGCTCCCACAGCATCGGTTCCGGGAAGTACTGCTGTTCGCGAGAGGTGACTCCGGGAGCCGCCATCAGCGTGTGACTCGTGGGGACCTGATACGTTTTGGTCGAGGTCGACGTCTCGGCCACAATGGTCAACGGCGATTTCACCTTGCGCATAATGCTGTGAATAGGCGAGTGCAGCCGCAGGGTCTCCTTGACCACTTTGCTGTGCAGCGTCAACTTTTGCAACGACTCGTACGTCAACGGAGGCAGGTCTTCTCCCAACACCTTCTTCTGTTCCTCCAGCAACTCCTCTTGAATGTCCGGCCGCGTCGCTAGCCTCAACAGGATCCAGCTCGAGGTCGACGACGATGAGTGCTGGCCCGCCATGAGCAAGGCAATCATCATGTGGGCCACTTCCTTGTCCGACACCGGTGTGCCGTCCTTGTACACACAGCCCATCAGGTTCCAGATCATGTCCTCTTCACCTTCCTCTCGCTTGCCGCCGGCAGCCCGTCGTTGCTTGATGATCTCCATATACGTTTCGGTCATCTTCTTCTGCGCGCGATCACGCTTGCGGTTGTGCGGCAATGGAGCCCACGGAAGCATGAAATTAATCGGCGCAAAGCCCATGTCCAGATCGTGATACAAGTCGGCAAAAGTCGAGTCAAACTTCTCCCGCACTTCCTTTCCTTGCAAAGACCGCGATGCCGTGTAGATGGTCAACTCGGCCATGGCTGGCACAATGTCCACAGTGCCCGACTGACCGCGGAAAGCGGCCGAATTTTGAATAAACTGTTTCGTCTCGTACGAGATCAGATCCACGTATGTTTTGAACGCATCCATCGTCAGGCCGAATTTGACAAACTTCTTCTGCTCCATCAATTTCGAGTTGTCACAATCGTACTGTATGGATGGTCAGATTATGCGCCCAGGAACAACCTTCTGCGTTGGAAGTCAACTTACCACCACGCCTTCGCCAAATACAGGTGTGGTCAACCCAGTGTAGACTTCCTCCGCATTGACATCCTTCAGCTTTCCATTCAAGATGAATTCGTTCCCTTTTGTGCCCAAGCAGACCGTGACCTTCCGCCCAAGGAGGATGAAAGTGAAGACGTCGCCGTACTTCTGTTTGCACGTAAAGAAGAAGTCGTACGGGTCCATGCCATACCAGATGCTGGAAATGTATCTGTCAGCTAACACCCCTCTTTCCGCTTGCGCGCAGAATTATACACATGGCATGACTTACGTGCTGCCAATGAGCGGAAACCACGAAAACACCTCCGGCGGCTCATTCTTGTTCTTGAAGAGTAACTGCCTTCCCACATGCAGAATCACCGAAAGTCCCACGAGCGCCGCGAAACCAAGCAGAACGAGCTGATAAACGGGGAGGGTCTGGACCAGACGGTCCAAGGGCACCGCGACTGTCGTAAGAAGGCCCATTGTCACGGTTGTCTTATTTCGATGTAACGGCCGCTAATGATAGGACTGCGGGAATAACGGGGGTGGTCGTACTTCGGCCTCCAGTCGCGGTCGTAGCCAGGCTGTCGAAAGATGTCGCAAGTGTTATGATGTCGGGTAGCCGGATAAATATGGATGGATAGAGCAAATGAGTGTCCCCTATACTGTGTTGTAGGGCATAGAGTGGCAGAATGCGGCGTGTGTGTCGTCTTCCGCGGAGAGTAGGATGCGACAAGTAGCGATAGGACGAAATCGAGGGGACGAGGCGAGATAGATAGGAAGGGATGGAGGCAGAAATGAGGACTAGAGTGAGGGTCGCCAAAAGAATGAAAAGAGCCCGTCAAGTGCTGTAGCCACCCAGATATGATGTGATGACGATCACCGACACCGAGAGTTGTTTGGAAGCCCAGGTGCGAGCGAGTTGCGAAGTCTCGGAGGCCAGAAACTGGCACTGCAACGGCACTGACAGGCAAATAAAAAAGATATTGCCTTCCAGGGACGCGACGCCGGCGATTGGTGGAGCGGGTGCCAATGGGGATTCTCAAAGCTGCACTAACAATCTAGCCAGACCCTGTCCGCCGTCTGATTGGGACTGTCGCTGGCATAGCACTGCACTACGCCGCATCGGTCAGCCTGGAAGATGCCATCCGAATCGAGCCACCACGGAGGCACCTCAACGGAGGCTTGACACGCCCGCAGTTCCTCCACCGCAGCTGTTCTAAATTGCCTGCAAGTTATATCAGGGGGATAAACACCACCACTGCATCGAGAATTTCTACAGTCAGGCCACATTCACAGACTTGACCCTCCCGCTGCCTGGACTCTCGCACCACCATATCAGTTAGTAGTATTACGACTTCTCAGGTCCCTCACCACTGCAGTGCATCGCGATTCTCCTTGCACCAATGGCTGACATATGGGTTAAATTACTCTCCCCTTTTGTGATGTGCTCCGCCATGCAAATAACGAGTGCTGGTTTGATTTGGTCCGTTGGATTGTGGTAACCCAAAGTCTGGGTTTTCTCCTCAATACTACAGATATGATTCTTCATAACCAGCATCCCTGCCATGGCATTTGCCATTGCTCAGATAAACAGTCCTAACCGCCATATTGATATACTGTCATGATCCATCTCGTACACTGTTCGTACTATCGCAATCGTCATATACGACTCCCATTCGTCGTAGCAAGAATCAGACATTCCTCCAGCGCCGTCGCTGTACAAAGACAAAAGCAAAACATAACACAAAGCCGCCCAGGTCAACGCTCGTATTGTGGCAACTCAGCTCCATCATGGTCATGGTTCAGGGTTTGCACATTATACTCATCCTGCTCATGGATGATGGGTGCACTTGGCACAGACGCCGAAGGTGCTGTACTGCTCGAGCCCTGTCCATCACTTTCTTGGGGTGGTGCACTCGCTTGTGCTAAAAGCCGCCGTCGTTCAAGTTCTTGTTTGTCATCCGTGGATTGACCCTCACCACGCAAAGAGCTCGCCGTCGGAGGTGGCGTTGGGTAAGCCCGGATTGTGTCGCCTGACCTCGCCGAAGCTGTAGAGGCCGCTGGATACAGAGGCGAGGAGGTGATATGGCCATCAGGGTGGCCCCTATTATCTTCGTGCGGCCCATTTGGTGGGATCAGCGGCGCAGAAGGCTGATATGATACATCGTGGCTGTGGGAGGCCTCGCCTTCTGGCGGAGGTTGACTGGGGAACAGCAATTGTTCTTGTCGTCGGAGTCGCGTCTTCTCATCGACCTCCTCTTCATGGGGTTCCGGAGGCGGGATTGGTTCGTGACTAGTAGTCGGGTGGCGGTGATAATGGCTGGGATTGAACGTGTAGTCATGTCCGTTGTTGTACTCGTAGTGCTGATCATGATAGTACGGATATCCCCACTGGTCATAGTACTGACCATCATATCCCGGACTCTGAATGTTCTGGTCATTCCAGCTTTCCTCTGCCCATTGTTCCGTCGGCTCGACGGGAACTTCGGTTTGTTTAGTCTGTTTCTTCCCCCTCCTACTGTCCTGATTGCCAACCACGAGCGACATCTCGAAAGTCACGACACTTTTGGTCCGACGGAGCTGCGTTGTATCCAAGATCGTATGCGACCAATCGTTCGTCAACTGGTTGCCGCTTTGCAAACTGTGGCTGAAAACCGGGTCACTGGACGTTAGACGGGGCCATAGCCGCGTTTCGCCCAACTTCCCAAAAAGGTCCACGACGACCTCGACATGATAGGTGAAGGATATCATGCCCCCGGGAACGTTGGCGATGGTGGGAAAGGCAGTATCGGGAACTTTGAGCGAAGTGGTGATATCAGCGGTCATTGTTGCTGGGTTGACTATCATCATAGTGGAAGACTGAGCCAGGTCCTTCCGGAATACGCTGCTTGGCGAGGCATTCGCAAAGTATAATCCTCCCAAACCCGTGCGTGACTTGGGGTAGACGTCTTCATACTCGGCTTTGTTGTCCTTGCCAGGTTTCGCCAAAGGAATGGCAGGATGCATATCCACCCTGCCTTGTCGATATAGAGTTGCAATAATCATGCCTCTTACATCAGACTTGGTGTGGGTAACCGAAACTCGGATGGGAATAGTATCTCCCGGAAGAGCGCCGTGCCGCGGAAGCTCTGCAGTTGCAGTGATTGTGTGCGCCGAAGAAGAGGTGGTATTGCTCCGTGAATCGCTGGTCCGGGGGCTCGTCCTTTTTGTCTGTGATTCTCCATTGACCGCCTGAGAACTATGAGTGCTGGGAGTCGTGGTGCTGGTCTGGACCGTATCTTCACTTGGGGCCGGGCTGAGCGGAGGGTTCCCGATGGAATTAGTGCTCCGACTGATCGTACTGTTCTGAGTGTTATTTCGAGTCAAAAGACCAGGTCCGGTACCGGCCGTGTTTGGTGTGGTAGAGGCTGGCTTGACAACCTTGACCTTTCCCCGCCGAGAGACAGGTTCCAAGGTGACAACCCGGGATTTTGGCGAGTACATCACGCCAATGTCAATGCGATCCTGAAACTTGACTTTGACGCTGCGGCTCACTGTCGGGCTAATTGTAGTCGGTCGAGTGACCGTGGCCGTAAGCATGTAACAGATGGTGCCTCGTTCAAACTATCACCGATGTCAGCACGGGCACAGAGCCGAAACTGGATGGACCTACATCAATGGTGCTTGGTAGGTCAGCCTCGGGAAAAGGGACCTCAAACGCGAACTTGTAGACATGCTTCTTTAGAAAACCAGTCCCACACAGAACCTGCTCGTATTGGAAGAGAGAGGCTAGCCCATTCCCATGGTATTGGAATCCCATATTTCCCTTCCCGGTAACGAGACCTTCCGGCGCCGGCAAGACTCCATCGCCTGGAGCTATTTGGTGTTTGTAGACTTTGGCATATCCATGGAGCGAGATCACCAGGTGTGTAATATCGAAGCCTTTCAACACCGATAGTGTAACATGTCCCTTCACTGTCTGACCGGGTGAATAGACGCGGAAGGGATCTTCGGGTTCGATGACCAGGTCGAACATATTCCGTGCATGTTTTCCCAATGAGCTGGAAAAATATGAGAGAATGGAGCGCGGACGAGGCACGGCTGGATTGGGACTCGTGAGAAGTGACTCGAGAGGCATCGCCGTGAGGATTCGAGCCATTCAATGCTATAAGGGTGGTATAATCCAAAGCATCGCGATCAACAAAGGTCTCGGGGATGACGTCTCGATAAGCACGACCGATATGGCGGTGGTCAACAGGTATTGAGGTGGCTTAGTCGTTGCGATGGTTGCGGCTGATGTGGAATACTGTCAGCTGGAATGAGCCTTGCAGGGCCGCGTGTCGTTACACGAGCAGGAAGTACGACTAGGAGGTGGTGTGCATATAGCCCATACCTGGTCGACAACACCTCAATCCTGCCAGTCAAGGTTGTCGCGTCAGAGAACACTGGGAGAGACTCGTAGGCGTTTCGCGGGAGCGGCGGCGGAACGCGGAGGTCACACACATCCAGTGGTTGACCAGCGACCGCGAAAGAATGCTTCCAGAGGTTATGCGTCTTAGCGATGCCAATTGGGATACAGTACTGCCTTAGTAGGCCAACACTGTTCTGTGCAGTGATTCGAGACGACTTGCGATCCGAAAGGCCAAGCTTTGGTGAAGGTGGTATAGAACCACTGGCTCGGTGATGGAAGAACGGAGATGGAGAATGCAGTCGAGGCTTGTCTCTGCGCTGCGGTGCAAGCTTCAATGCTTGGCGGATCGAGGCTTGGAAACACCCGGCACTTCGCTGAGCTGACGAGTGCGACAGGGGGGATTGGGGCCAGTAGGCGAACGTCCGGGAGGTAAAGTGCGCCTAGGTGGTTGACCTAGGTACCTACCTAGGTACATATATGGTACTGTAGTATCCCAGTTCCCATCTATCATCGATGACGAAGCAGACATACCGATTAACACTGTCATTCTTTATATACACCTACTATACTGTTCAGTGGTAGTAGGGCAGATCACTCAGGTATCAGGTGTCGACGAAGCGATAGCGAGCACTTCCAGGTGCGGGTGTCGGACGGTGAGTTCAGCGGGCACCTGGCTGGAATCTGGAGGGAATCTGGAGGGGGCAACGCCGAACTCAGGCTGGCACTTGGTGACACCTGAGCTAGTGCTAGTAAGGGCTACCTTAGGTACCTAGCGGTACCCGCTGGTAAAAAGGTCCCGCTCAGTCTCCGTCTGTCCGTCTGATCTCGATAATAATCACGGGCACGGCGCCACTATACGATGTGATTAAGGGACTGCTCCCAGTGTCATGGCAGGGAGCAAGTTGAGCTGAGGGAATACTAGGATTTGGGTCATCTCACCCTCGAGTAATGAATCATGCCGTCTAACTCAAAGCGAAGTGGCTATCAGTGCTGTATAATTGTAGGTAGGTATGCAGTAGGCGCTGGAGCAAAGTCCAAGGTACTTGTTCTGTTCACATTTTCCAGTGATCTTCAAGTTGAAGTTCTGCACAAATACTGTAGATCGATGACAATCAGCCTGTCCTGATCTCCAGTAAGTCGCCGTAGCAGCTCGTTCTGAGCCATCCCTGCCATGCTACCTCGGCAACTCGAGTCTGCTTCTATGCGACGGACGCATAAGCTTTCCGCCATGAAACTCGGCCATGAAGCTCCTCCTCCGCCACTTGCCTTGCATTGCAATAACATGATGCCTTGGAGCCATGGCGGCCCCGGGCTGGATGTTGCTATCGTGAATCTCGAGGCATTGCGCCCCTGGTCAACGCACTTGATGCAAGAAATGTCCTGAAACCAGTTGTAATGGGAAGTTCTGCTGGTATGAACCCGCTTTGGTGTCTCTTCCAGATTCACTGTCTCCGTCGTTTCATGGGCGATTCATCATCCTCAGCACTGTCTTCGTCCGATGTGCTCTTCGGCCTTGCCGGCCTTTTCACCCTGCCTTGCACCTGATGCTGGACCATTTTACTTTCTTCCAAGCCTTGCTCCAAGCCTTCTGGTTCCACGAACACCATGTCTCCGTTCTCACCTAAGGCACCCCTTACTGCTTCCTCCAAAAGAATGCCTACCGCAATGAGGGCCGTCTCGTCGAGAGAATGATAGTCATATCTACTCCTCTCCCGCGTGGCGCAGCTGTAAAAGTCTGACGCATAGGCATGCACCGCTTTCAGCAATTCGGAGTCTGGCAATTTCTCACTGCTGGGAAGATCGCCTACTGCGTCGTAGGAATCAAGAATGCGTTGCGCTGGAATTCGCGTACTGCGCAGCAAGACATCCTCTGGCGCCAGTGGCAGAACATTCTGAGATCGGCTTTGTTCCTCGGTCAGAAATCCATTCTGCCCTACTCTCCCTGCAACCACATCGTATAGAGAAACCGGCCGCTGAGTTCTGTGATTTGAGGTCTGCTGCCCTGCCGTGTCTATCGGCGATTTCTGATATTCTTTGTCCTTGGATGTCTTGTTTTCAATCTCCATTGCGCCAGCTTCCACTGGCTGCTGGATTAGATCTTAGTTTCAAGTAACTCCAGAAATAAGCAAGCGAAGGAAAGCCATCGCCTATGCGTATGGCTGTTCGCATTAGCTTTACTGAAGTGAGGATAGGACGTATACAAGTAACAGGACTAGATGATAGCAGGATTTGAGATTTTAGACATTGGTAAACAGGACACGGGGTGCTCAGCGCCAAGTCTCCGGCAAGGCGCGGTTTTTTACCACTTCAGGTTTAGTGCCCTTGGTGGTGCAGCCTTGTGCCATCAGCACCTTGAAAAAGTATCTATAGACCTGGTCCCTAGGTCGGTACTTTAGGTTGATCTTCAGGCTGCAAGAAGTGGTCAGAGCCATCGTAACGTCGCCCTCCTCCACCATCAATCCGATCACATTGAGCCATGCTGGTCCGGAAATAGTTTCATTTCGAGAAAGCTCCACTCGCTGATACGGCGCCTGAAGTGCTACCACAAGTAGTTGGAAGCTGAAAGGATGTGATACTGGCAGGCTTCAGGAACTTTGGACCACAATTCCAAATGAGGGCACCATCTGACATTTGGGCTTCCGCTTGAACAGAGCCATTGCAGAACATAGCATTGTTGATAGTCAACGCGGCTACAACATTCGCTTCGCCGCCACAGTCATGGGACGCTGCGAAGCAACTTTTCACTTTCTCAACATATGCGCAATTAGTGCAGATGCAGGCACGGAACAGCGTTTTGTCGGTGCTGAAGTTGTCGCAGTTGGTCACAGATGTCAGCAGCGCATCGCCGAAACATTGCTGTCCACAAGCTGGCAGCATACCCCAGCCAGTGTATTGGCCGTCCACAATGTTGAATGCAAACATGAGGAGGTATCCGGGAATAATCGAGGACTTGTAAAGAAGCATCAGCGTGATTTCTGCACGGCCCTGGCTCGAGCTGTTTAGGACTCAATCGTAGTGGTTAGTATTGGGCAGTCAAGTCCTAGCGAGATACGAGAACCACTCTGGTCAACCACATGGATCCTCACATCGGGAACGGCAATTTTATATCCATTGTGCAAACGGCCTGTTTCACACCTCACTTTCAGCCATCTCAAAGCTCTCGCCACCCCAAGTGATGGCCACGACGGCTTAGAAAGCACGTAACACACCTCGACGTTGGTGCATCAGACGAGCGAAGACTCAGCGCCACGTTGGAGCGTCCATGGACAGCTTGAAGGTCATTTAGGGCTTTTCAACAACGGTGACTGAGGGGAGGGAGGAGCAATATCGTCGGCACAAAGATAGTACTCAGAGCTACCATGTACAGTAGCATGTTAGTGGGTGCAGTACCGAGTGTCTTCTGGCTCCCTCGGCTGCATTGGGAGTGTTCACTTTCATACCGTAGGACACATGTGATTACCTGGAGGACATAGACAAGCAATGGAATTTCGATGTGGACTGGCCGTGGAGATCAGACACATGCAAGTTGTACTTTTGTAAAGAGCTTGGGAAGGCTGTTATCGATAAAGCATGTGCAACATCGATTTGAAGTTGAACCTCGATTCGACCTACTGTACGACCGCAGCCTCGGCGTGGCGCAGCCTTGTGCTCCACGCGGCCGGCGAAATGGCGGGCGCTGTGGCTGACTGTGGCTTGCGTGCGATCTTCAGCTGCCAATGCGCATGAATTGTTTCTTTGGTGTCTGGTACCTGCGTCACGCGCGCAGATTCAACAACCAACATTTTGCCCATTTCCTTTCGTCCTACCCAGCACTTTTCAGCCTGACCCAGGTGCCTTATTCATGTCTGCCTGTTACCTTTGATGCTTTTCTCTTCTTTCTCCAACCTGTGTCTTCGCTCCTTCAGACTTCCCGCCTTCTCTCGCTCCTTCGCCCGTCTTCCCACGCCTGGCCGTCCCCTCATTATGGACGGGGTTCGAGCCAAAATGTCGTCTCTAACGCCTTTCGCCAAAAAGCACAAGGTCACGGTGATTGGCTCTGGCAATTGGTAGGTTTGTTTAGCATCAAGAGAAGCGCGTCGCTCATGATAGTCCAGGGGCTCGACCATTGCGAAGCTCGTCGCAGAGAACACGGCGGAGCACCCCGAACTCTTTGAGCGAGACGTGCAAATGTGGGTATACGAGGAAGAGGTTCAGCTCGACAAGAAGTCAAAACACTACGACGAGAATTCCCCTCTCAGCAAAGGTCCTCAGAAGCTCACGACCCTCATCAACACCTTCCACGAGAATGTCAAATATCTCCCAGGCATTGCTCTTCCCCACAATGTCATCGCCAATCCTTCCCTGACCGACGCGGTCAAGAACTCCAGCGTTCTCATCTTCAACCTTCCCCACCAGTTCATCTTGAACTTATGCAAACAACTCCGCGGCCACATTTTGCCCTTCTCACGGGGAATCTCCTGTATAAAAGGGGTCAATGTCCACGAGTCATCTATCAGTTTATTCTCCGAGACAATTGGTGAGGAGCTAGGGATCTACTGCGGCGCCTTGTCCGGAGCCAACATTGCCAATGAAGTCGCGCAAGAGAAGTTCTCCGAGACCACGATTGCTTATGATCCCCCGCCAATGGACTCACAGTCTCCCACGCCGGCGGCTTCTCAAGGCTCTAGTCCAGTCTCGAGTCAGGTAGATTTGACCAAACTTGTCCACAAAGATGTGTCGGGAAAACCTTCAAAGGTGGTGCTCCGGCCGTTGCCTTCTGAGTACCACCCTTTTGACCACACCACGATCAAAAAGCTTTTCCACCGGAAGTATTTCCACGTTCGGGTGGTGTCCGACGTTGCGGGCGTTTCACTTGGTGGCGCCCTGAAAAACGTTGTCGCGGTGGCGGCTGGGTGGGTTGATGGACTGGGATGGGGAGACAATGCCAAAGCAGCCGTCATGAGAGTTGGACTACTTGAGATGAGGGAGTTTGGCAACAGATTTTTTCCCCACACTGTCCACCCAGACACTTTCACCGTTGAGTCGGCTGGCGTCGCCGATTTGATCACCACCTGCTCTGGTGGCCGAAACCACAAGTGCGCCATGCTGAGTATCCGAGAAGGGAAGCCTATTGAGGAAATCGAGGCCAGAGAGCTGAATGGACAGAAGCTACAAGGAGCCTTGACCGCGGTCGAGGTCCACACTTTTCTGAAGAGCCAAGGCATGGAGAAGGATTTTCCGCTTTTCACGGCAGTGTACAACGTTCTGCAAGGTAATGAGAAGGCGGAGAATCTACCAGATCTGATTGAGCCTGAAGACGAGTAAGTTGGACACAATGATTTCCGGTTGCAACTTTATTTTGCCATGCCATTCCCAATGAGGTCGGTTTCCGCTGGCGACTTGCGACAGTCACTGCCGTCAGCATGATGCGTGATGGTCGGAGATAGCAGCACGAGTTGATGAGTGCTTGAGTGGTCGTGCTGCAGCATCGGGAATACATATTCTGGACGGTTGAGGAGCACGATGGTGACGCGCAAACAGAAGCAGTCAACGTCAATGAACGAATTTCTTTTTCCAATTCTATCTTTGCCTCTGCTGTTCCCATTCTATAACGTATCATTGACTGAGGCGTAGATAGGGCGACCGGCCAATCCACTTCGAACTCCCTACCAACCTCGACCGCTCCCACTCCATCAGCAACTATAGCAGAGACAACAGACAACCAGGAGACATTCTCCCAGGAGAAAACATGTCGGCGCACCGGTAATACGCCCGAGGACAAAGACAAAGACACCAGAGCAGCCAGTTCCGGACCAGCTCAGACCCCTCTACTACCAGCGCCGCCGCTCGCTTCAAGCAGATACAACCGACAGCTCTTGGTACCGCAGCTCCGGGTACAGGGACAAGAAAACCTCCTAAACTCGAAAGTACTGATCATCGGTCTTGGAGGTCTCGGGTCCCCAGCGTCGCTATACCTGGCCGGCGCTGGAGTAGGGACCTTGGGATTCATGGACGGCGACACCGTCGAACTAGGCAACCTGCACCGACAGATTGTTCACACAGAGTCGTCAGCCCACAAAGGACTGTCGAAAGTGGCGTCAGCAGTGGCACGGTGCAAAGAACTCAACTCGGAGATACGGTACGTTACACACGAAGAACGTGCCTCTCCCGACAACATTCTGGAGATTGTCGCGCAGTATGATCTCGTGCTCGATTGTACGGATAACCCAGCAACACGGTATTTGATCTCGGACGCGTGCGTGGTGTTGGACAAGGTTCTAGTCAGTGGCGCCGCGCAGAGAGGCGAGGGCATGCTCGTGGTGCTGAACTCGCCTCCTCGGGCCGGCGCTGCCGACAAAGGACCCTGCTACAGATGCGTTTTCCCGCGTCCGCCGCCTCCAGAAATGGTGCGCGGATGCAGCGAGATTGGAATCTTGGGTCCTGTGGTGGGTGTCATTGGGACTTTGATGGCCGGCGAGGCGATCAAGCTCATTGCCGCGGGAAACCATAAACATGCACCCATGGCAGGCCGGAGCCAGCACCAACAACCATCACCACAAAAACAGCAGCAGCAACACACAATGCTACTATACAACACATACGCCACCGATCCCAAAAGCATGTTTCGCACCGTCGCCATGCGCGGCCGTCGGAAAGACTGTCTGGCATGCGGCGATGACGAGGCATTAGCACTCAAGGGCGTGACTCGAATCACAGCCGACGTCATCAGTCAAGGACGGCTGGATTATCAGGCTTTCTGCGGTGTGGCTGAAGATACCAAGGTACTAGACGAAGAGAACCGCGTGGAAGCGAAACAGTTTTTGCAAGAGATAGAAGAGACGGATGGAAGGAGGCCGAGCATGGTCATTGATGTTCGCGAAGAGCACGAATTCGAACTCGGTGCCAAAGTCCTAGGGAGCGTGAATATTCCCATTTCGCGCATTTTGAGACTCGGCGGCGCGGCGTTTGACGTGTTGAAGTCTCGCGTTGCAGTGGACGACGACGGCGACAACGCTGACGATGGCGTTGACGGCAAGGAGGATCATGATAGTCGAAATGGCGTCGAAAGCCACGATGACGGCCCACTCGAGACTCAACCTGAACCTGAACCTGGGTCTAAATCTCAGCATCGTGGTCCGGATCAAGCTGAACTTGAAGGCCGAGTTGAACGCCGTTCAGTCTATTTTGTCTGTCAGCGCGGGAACGATAGCCAAATTGCGGCGCAGAAGATGATTGATTGGATCCAAAAAGAAGACACGGACGGTACTACTACTGCCAATGGTGATCACGAGGACGAGGCAGCAGATCAGACTCAGACAGAGACACGCGACCCAAAACAGAAGTTGAGGTCCTCTCGACAAGGATGGGGTTGGATCGGTGATGTCAAGGGCGGGTTTGTCGCGATGGAAAAGCATGTCTTCCCTTCAAATCCTCCGAATTGAATTGATTTTGTTTCGAGTCCGGAGTCTTTCGTTCCAGTGACTATGACTACGCTCTGTTGGCGTCATCGTCGGCTCGGACGATATGAGCTCAGCTGTCAGCCGTGAATCTTACCGTCAACGTTAGTGTTGAGTGCTAGTGCTACGTGTGTGTGTACAACTACATCTTGAACAACTCAGGTAATGAATGGTTCAAGTTTCGGAGGTGATCGTCGTCATGTCAGTCATCTCGGGCACTTGAGATGCAAGCAAGGCGTTGGGCGCAAAACCGGGGCGTCAATACCAAGGTAAGAAAATGAATATACCTAGGTATTAGCACGGACATGGGTGGGCCGGGAAATAGTGGCAAGTTCAGTTCGGTTTGCAGGGGATAATAGGTACCTAGTGAAGCTGTACAGACAATTGTACACATCTCGCCATCTGTCTTTTCTCTGTTTGTCTGTGTTTCTAGCTTTCTGTCGGGCTGTCTAACGGGCGGTTCAAGTTCGGGTTTGAAAAGAACACCCAAATTCTGCCTGGACCACTGGCATCCCCCCGCCCTATCATGCCCATGTCATGACCCGTTTTGAAGCTCGTTGTTTCTTCATGTCATTTATTCATATCCATATCTTCGGTTGACCTTTGGCCTGGCATGTTGCAGTATCCGGCTCGAAAAGAGAAGAGAAGCAGAAACGAATTTCCCCTCCTCCGCAAGACCACTGTGCATGCCTGCTTACTTGACTGCCTGGCTGCCTGCCTCAGTAGAGTCAGAGTCAGACCTGGCCCGTTTCTCGCCTGATCTCAGCCTCTAGCTGGTCGGCGAATCTATCCTCGGAGGACTTCTCGATTTCCGAGGGTGCGGCGAGTTACTTAATCTGTAGACACAGAGGACAAAATGTTAGCTGTGATTGGATTTCGAATGCCCTTTTTCCTTCTTGCTCGAAACTCCACATTGTTCAGGAAGCACCAGCAGATACGGCCGACAGAATTTCAGCCAGTCAACCGTTCCTTAGACTGGCTGAAACCGAGACGGGGTGACCAGGGATGGGGAAGCTTACGATCTTCTTCTCTCGCCTTCTCTTCTAAAATCATCAATAATGCGCAACATTTCCTTCCTGCCGGCACTAGCATCAACAGTACGGCCGCCCAAACTCATGCTGACTTTTTCGTGCGTGCGGACCATCAACAGTCTCTTGAGCAGCAGATGTCTCATGTTGAGACAAACAAAGACGCCACAATCGGACGAATTATCCTGCTGCGGACTATCGGCCAATTGGATGAAGCGAAGCGGTTTGTTGATCAACTTGGACAGTTTTTGAGTGACGTAGTGCGCCTCCTGTTGGTTGCCCGGTGGCATCGAGTCATAGTGGAATGCGAAGCCGTCGACAATTGATACAAGCAGCAAGGACCAGTGGGTGCCGCCTTCGGCCACCGTGACTGAGTGGTTGTCGTTGATCGGGAGGAAGATGTGTGTGACGTTGGTGAAGTCGGGGAGAGCGTCCTGTACAAAAAGTGAGACTTGTGTATTCAAAGACGGGGGCTTACCGCTCGAGGTCATTGTGGTCTGCCCAAGCTCGAGGCGGGTTTCCATTCATACCTTTATGGTGTGAGGATCCGGCGTCTGCATCAGCATAAACGACATGGTCGGCCGCAGCAGGATGATGTGCGAGTGTTTGTATTTGGAAAGGTATTCATGTTCCAGGTATCTGTTGCAGCAAGTCAGGTCTTTTGGTCTCTCTCACACAACACTTGTATCTCTCTTTGTTTCTGTCCCGTTCCCGATCATCTTATATCTGATCTGCGGCCTTGGAGGTTCGGGGTGTTATAGCATACTCTTCCCAGAATGCGATCACCTAGAGTATTCACGTGTACGTTAGCTTTGTCTGTCTCTCTTCACACATGCGCCTCGACGGAGGGAATGGAAGAGGGATCCCAACTGACATTATCCGTAAGCCAGTCATTCCTGAGCACAGAAATATCTTCTCTCGTCACTATCGCAGTCTCAGCAAGGGTCCGCGGACGGCCAGGATATCAGTCGAGTACTGACATCGGACATCATAGTCTGTCGCGGTTATAGTTAGTACACATCAGAACTCTCCAAGATCTGACTGCAAGGAACATACAGCTGAGGTACGCGTCTTCTGGCGCAAGCTTGCGAGGCATCCTGATTAGCCACAAAAGGCACACTGCGGGTAGGGTAGGTAACACGCGACAGGTGGTGGTGGTGTTTATGTCCAGCAGACGGTAACCCAGTGTAGGAAGGACTTGAGAAGGACAACAACACCCTTTGTCGCAGGTATGAACGCGCAATTACAGAAGTCGACGTTGACGTCGCAGTAGGAGGTGGGTGGAGGAAGAGACCACTGCGTGTACTGCACTTGATGATTTAGGAGACTGTCGCCGACACACGTACCGATCTTCCCAGGTGCCGACTTATTCGACCGCCAAATGGATGGATGTCAGGCATAGTCCTTGTCCTGCGACTGTTGTGGCTGGATATATCTTCAGAGAGGCAGAGATGGAAAAAGTGGTGCCGTGGAGTGGAAGAGCAATGACGTGGTGGTCGTGTATACACAATCTTAGTGCCTCAGCTGCGGCGGGCGGGTGTTGATCTGATCTATGGTCGCGGTGATATACACACATACACCCTCAACTGACAAGCACAGAAAACAATAGAACAATCAGTGAGCAAGTGAGTGCATCGAGTACAAATTATCTATTCAATCATTCAATCCTATATCGGAGGTATCATCCCTGCGGTCACACAGTCAATTCTCCCAACCCTTCAGCATCCACTTTGTCGAATCTCGCATGCGGGATCCATCGTGTAGTTGAGATGCGGATCTGATCTTGATCTTGATCTCGATCTTGGATTGGAATTGCCCATTCCACGTCCATAGCCTCCAATAGCATTCGCCGGTCACATACAAGTGTATGCCTAAGGCATCCCTAGTATTTGACCATGTCGCATCCTCGCTGCTACACCGACCCTCTCTCTACTACGAGCACATTATACGGGGCCACCCCTCTTTACTATCAGGGGTTATATCACAACACCATCAGGATCATGTCTTGTTGGTCTGTTGCCATCTCTGCTATTCAGCTATCAACAATAGCTAGCTCGTGTGCGATGCTCATCGCTCGTATTGTACATTCATCGTGCTTTTCCTGGTCGTTCGTCCCCCTTCAAGTTTGTGCAAATCCAATCAACGCCTAGTCCAGCCCAGCCCAGCCCCTCCACTCCTTCGCTGAAACGCTGCAAAAGCACTGCTGAATCCTGACCAGGCCTTCCCCTTTGTGTCCCAATTCCTCATGGCGACCGAAACTGTCGTGAAAGTCCAATATGCCTGGCTTTCCCCGCCCAATGCGTGGCTGTACCAAGTCCACCGCAATCAATCCTTTGCCGCACAGCCACGGCGTGTTTTGTCCCGCCTCAGCGGAACTTTCTGTCATACCCAAGAGCTGTTCTCCAATGACACACGGCATGAGTGCGTTGAGACGATGTCTCGTCAACCGTGTACTGGTATGTCTCAGTCGGTCAGTTTCGTGAAATGTTTATTCCAGATCCAGCCAATCTCTCTCGTAGGATCGTCTTGGTTAATGGCGAGCCAGAGTTCTCCTTGTTCGGCAATGACATCAAAGATTTCGCCAGTGACATAAGTCAGGTAGCGGAACCCACCTTGTTGTCGGGACCGGTCGATATTAAATTCGTAGACGCTCGCTGCAGTGAACAAGACCCCCGGTTCTCGGCGGCCATTACCCGGCTCCCGCCCTCCTAGTTCATCACTATCACGTCCCCTCGGAGGTGTCATTGAGAAGATGCTTGCCCCATTCGGATGCGAAAGGTTAGGCTGCGACTGACTGGGTCCAGCGGCTGCCGAATAGAACGTTGACGTCGATGCGTGCCTGGTGTCCATGGGGGACTCGGGTATGATAGGGCCAAGTGAGGGCGAGGGTGCTTCAAGACTCAGCCGAGGAGTTGAACCAAGGGGGTCTTGTGGTTGACCTGGGCTGGTTCCGGGACGAGAAACATTGGTGCTGTTGGCGGTATGAACAGACCCAGCGAAACCGCGACTAGCCATCTCAGGAGTCCTTGGTAGTCGTCCCGAAGTGGCCGAGGTCGCACGAATCCGACCGTTGACGAACGTGAAGGAGCTTCGGTCGCTAGGATCGTCGGGCTGGAAGCCAAGCGGCCCTCCACTGGTGCGGAACTGTTGCTCTCCTAGAGAATACTGGTGAAATTCTTCGCTGCCCGAGACAGATCGTTTGGTCATACTGTTCCACGACGGCTGCCGTGGCGAGTCATCGCTGGCCAAAGTCGATCCAGGAGTCAAAAATGAGACCATATTAACCGCTTCTGCCAGCAGCGAACCATTGCAGATACTCAACGTCAAAGCAGCAGCTTCATGGTAGTCGAAGTCCTCCTGCCATTCCCTGATAATGTCGGCTTCATCGAGTTTGTCCGAGTCAATTTCCATGGCTGCCGACAATTTGCGTTTTACTAGATCCTGCCAAGCGAGGTGGATTTGAACAAGACACCCCTGGCACGAATTCACGAGGTCGGCGGTCGATCTTATCAGCCGTCTCATCCTCTCCTTCGCTTCCAAATTCAGCGCTTCCCATTGCTCCATCCGCTCCGTCATTTTCTTATCGAGCTTTTCGCCCCGATCTTTCTTGTTCTTAAACTGGTTGTAGTCGAGTAGCCTCTTGTCCCGTTTCTGTATCAGACCTTTGGAGTCATCCTTGAACTTAACAAGCATGTCAGCCGTCTTCTGCATCGGCTCCAGGACCCGTCTTGTGACCTGGTTGACATGATCCGGAAGTCCTATGGAATTGATTCCACGGATGACAATGGCGAGTTGGCGGAGCTTGCTCTCGGCTTGCGGGTAGCTGGTATGCCCAACATCGACCCATGCTTCCGCCGCTGCGGCGAGATCGCACATGTCGCCAACAAATTTCTTGATGGCTTCAATGTACAGCTGACAGTCTCGGGCGACCAGGTATAAATGAGCTATGTTGTTATCATACTTGACCTTCAGTTCAGTGTATTCCTGGTCCTCGTACATTTCGTTGATCCCCACATGCTGTCTCAATTTCTCTGCCCGTCGACCGAATGCTTTGGTGAGACCGTTGCGGACATCCGACTCTTTTCGCTTGCGGTTGAGAACTTGATCGACCAGTTCGGTATGCTTTTTGACCTCGTTGATCCGCACATTGACTTCAGTAATTTCGACGGCAGCTCGACGAAGAAAGCTTGCGTCCGGGTGGGTATCCGGAGTCGACTCCAGGAGCTGGTTCAACAGAAGAGGGTACTTTGTGATACGTTGGATCGGCTTGACCAGGAGAGCATCCAGACTCCAAGCATTAGTGATGTCGGTCGAGTTCTCGCTGCATTCCTTGAGCCATTCTCGGACTGCAGATGATGACTGCAAAGCTTCCAGTCTTTTGTTTGCCGCATGGCGCGTCCGAATGTATTCTGTGTAAACCTTTTCCATGTCGCTCATTGAAGCTTCAAAAGCCTGGCCAACTCTGGTGTGTTCATCCTTTTCCGCATCCGTCATGTCCGCCATGACACTGCTGATCGATGCACTTGAGCTTTGCACGGTGGAAATGCGATTGGCGTCCTTTCGACGATCGCTCCTCTCCATGACATAGGCTGGTTTTACCACCTGTTTCAGAAGCCCCAGGAAATCCTTTGAAAACTGTTGGACATGTTCCACGTTTCCAAAGATGATCTTGGTGTCTTCGTCACTGATGGCCGCAACAGCGGTCTGTTTGTAGATGTCGCACAGTACTCTCATGTCTCGCTCGTACGTGTATTCTGTATCTACCAACTCTTTGAGTATGTGTCGCCTCTTGTTTAGACGGCGTTGTTCGGGAGTGTTCTCCTCGACAGATGGTCTTGTGCCGCTGGAACCAGATGGCACCAGCTGAGGCTCTGAGCTCGACCGAACTGATACCTGAGACATTGCAGTGAGGGGCCTCGGAAGCGGCACTGTTTGGGATGTCGCCGGCCTGATTCCGGGCTGACTGGAAGTGGAGATCTGCTCGATTGAAGGCATTGCGGCAACTGGAGGGGGTGGCGGTGAATGAGAAGGAGGCCGTGGGATGTCCACACTGTCCTCTACTGGCAGCCTGCTAACTCCACTTCCCACCTCACCATCCCTTCGGTCATTCTGGTCCTGATGCACGTCGGTGGAGGTCGGCTTATCAGAGTCATCTCTTTCTCGGACGATCGAAGGTGCTAGGCCTTGCGTTTGAGTCCCATCCGGCGAGTGAAGAGCAAACTGTAGCCAATTCCCGACCGAGGGCGAGGTGTCTGCAAAGTCTGCCGCACTGTCCAAGCTGGATTTGTATTTGTGGGTTCGATAACTTTGTGGGGGATGTGCAGTAGTAGAAGCTGCGTGACTCTGAACTGAAATTCCCGTCATGTTGCCGGCATTGTCACCCTTGCCATCAGTGAGTTCACCCTCCGCTTCGCCAGACTGGTCCATGTGACCCTGCTCTGAATGGGACCGAGAGTCCTCGCTCAGCTCCCAGTGACTGTGATAATCTTCCAGTTCCTGCAGGCACAAGCGCCTCACTTTGGCTGCATCCACGTGCTCGGCATCAGCCAGGTCTGGTGAAGCTTGGATGATACGATGATAAATACCATCCACCAGCTGCTGGTCGACAACGCCCGAAGGCGTTTGTTGTTGTAGAACGATATTCACTATTGTGTAGGTGTCATATGCCTCGGTCTCACCACCAGAGTCATCCTCAATGCTGGAATGATCAGACAAGGAAGAGGACGCTCTATCTACGCTTCGCTCTCCTTGGACGTCCGAAGGTGCCAGATTGGCGTCAGCTGCCGGCGTCTGATCGGCTTCCGCCTCGTGCTGGTTGCCGATTGATGATGCCCACGAGCTTCGTCCGGTGCTGCTGCGGCGCTCTAGCACAGCATCCATTGTCGAAAGAAACGGCCGATATCCCTTCTCGGCGGCTTCTTCGTCATCAAGGTAAGTGGTCTCGCGAAGCATGAGATTGACCGACATTTCATCAGCATGATCGGATTGTCGACTAGAAGCACGTGCACCCAGGGCTAATGGTGGGCTCGAGGTCTGGCTGCGAAGGGTGCTTATCTGATCAAGAAGAGACTGCCCCCGGTTCTCAGCCCGTAAACCCTCTTCCGGTTCCATGTCAATCATAGTTGCGTCGGTAGCGTCTGTCTTCTCAGTTCCTTGGGTGACGGCAGAGTAAGGGTCCTGCTCAGATTGAACAGGCGGCAACAGATGAGTATCAAGGCTAAACGGTATGTCATCGAGGGTCGTTTCGGCACGTCCCAGTGTTGGAGAGTCCATGTCGTCGCCAGGATGCCGACTGTTGCCTTCGACAACTTTCAAGGCATTCAGAGTAAAGGCACGCTGCTCTTGTGCAGGCCGATTGCCAGATGCATAGAAGGCGTCTTCCTCGGATGTGTCCATGGCTGGATTATTGACCACGACGGCGGGGATTTCTTGTTGCCCACTGATAACCTTGTCGAGTTTGTCGGCCCCTTCAACAGATGCCGACATGCTATTTGTCCGGCTTGTTGAGCTGCCACGTACTCCGCCTTTTCGATCATTCAGATCTTCCCCTTCTTTTGACCTACTCAGTGCTTGAGTGATCCTCAGTCGTCGAGCTTTCAGGTCAATGTCTGTAAGTTCAGGTGGTCTCTGGCGTCGGAACGCTTTCTTGTCAGTTTGTTGTTTAGCCATGATTTCGAACTTTTCGGCCATCTTCGCACGAGACGCTGCAGTAGTCGCAGCGGACACCGGCAATCGTGGCCTCGAGCTTCTCAAAGGCGGCGATATCTTTGGAGGCGGCGCGATGATGTTGGCTCGAAGGGAAGGACTCTTGTTGCCAGGGGTACCTGGCATACCCCGACCACGTTTTCCAGGACTTTTAATCTTGGCAGGAGAGCGTGGTCGGCGCCCTGGACTGGAAGACTTGTGGCCCTCTGATGGTGGAGGCTTTGCCATCGATTGTCCAGCCTCGTGTAAGCGTAGAGGGAGTTGAGAGGTGGACCCAAGACGATCAATGGGAGACGACGCAGCCGAATCAGAAGCTATACGCTGATGCCGAGTACTAATCGGGATCCGTGATTGCGCACTTGGTTGTTCTCTTCCGCCTGTAAGGTTCACTGGAGACGCAGTCTGCCCTTTCAGGTACATTGTCCTGGCTGGCGGCCCCGCAAAATCACTGTTGGCTCGACGGTGTTGAGGAATCGCAGCCCGAGAAGTTTGAAGCTCGGTGTTAGATTGACCTGGTACTTGCCCATATAACCTAGAACCTCCTTGTGCGGGAACTTCACGGTCGTTGGGAGGCATTGGATTCGGACTATGCAAAGGAGAACCTTCTGAACCACGTCGTCGGTGGGCAGTGATTATGCCGTACCCTGCCGCTGGCAATGTGGAGGCTGTTGGAACAACCTCTCCAAATAGTAACTTGCGACTGGCTCCTGGGACTTCCGGGTTGCTCGTCACCTGCGTCAAACGCCCCGACGTCGACTTCGTACTCTGGTGACTGATCTTGTCGTTGTTCTGAGTGCTCATTCCTGGCAAAGATGCATTCCCAGCTCTTCGCGATTCATGCGTTCTCGGCCCTGCTCGTAGACCGTTCCCATAGGAGCGCACTGTGCCCATAGGGGTGTAAGGTGAAGGGCTGGCAGTGCTTGATCCTGGCCGGAGGATTGGGTGGGTGGGTAATGGCGGAACTTCTTCGGATGATGCATCGAAGCGTGCCACTAGGTCCTTGAAAGATGCCTTCCTCGCCCTGAAAGCATTCGGCACCGAAGGAGAAGTTGCAGCCTGATTGGTACTCCAAGATGTATTTGGGTGATGCTGGGTATTCAGAGACAGCTTGCGCGAACCCAAAGAATCTCGGCCGGAGCGTGTGCTGCGGTCATCGTTGGATTGGCTCGAGGCAAAGCTAGACTTTCGTCCAGTAGCAGGAGTATCGTCCTCAGTCTCGAAGGTTGTGGTACGGATGGCTTCTTGGTGTAGGGCAGCCGGAGAGGAACCTGAGAAGGGATCTTGATACTGCCTGTAGAACTCATGGGGATCAAGCGAAGCGGCTTCGTCCCGAGCTTTATCGGATTTCCCGTTTGGATTCGAAGCATTCGGTGCCGAAGGGGTTCTGGAGCGCTGGACTGCAGGCTGTGGGTGTGTGTATGTTGTGGAGGGGAGAAATGCCAAAGATCGGTCCGGGGTCTGCACTTGCGATGGAGAGTTTATGTTCAGATCGGCCAGGTTTGTTTGCGACCGCGATGACTGGCGCCGATGAGAGGCATTATGTGTGTCTTGGTTTGACACAGCGGAAGGCATGTCGTCAGCAGGACAATGGGCTGGATAATGACCCAAGCCTTGATCATACAGAGGCCTTCATGGACTGTGATACCTATCGTGCAAATGCATGGCCCGAGCCCAGCATAATCGCTTATTTGACGCTTCCGCTGTCGCGCTTGGACTTAACAAAGCGTATACCGGTAGTCCTTCTCTTATGCAAAGGGTCAAGGCTGCGCGATAGACAGTTGACAGCAGTGTGACACCGCAGTCTGGGGTCGTTCGGAACGTTCGCTTAGATCGGCAGGGAGGCAAAGCGAGTCGGCTTCAATTGAGCGTGGGTTGAACCTCAGGACTCTTCCTGAAGTTGATATCTCAAGGTGTCTCCAACCAGAAGGGAGTATGATCACGGGTATGTGGGAGGAGTGTAGAATGGGTCTGTCCGACGTGTGCATGTGCTCCTTCACGGCTTAGGTGTACAGTGTGGAAGAAGGTTGGACACAACTGGCGCGACGGTGGGTGAAGATGCGGTGTTGTAAAGGTAAGGGCAACAGCATACGGTATGGTAGAATATGCGGACGCTGGATGATGTTAGGCCGTGGGTTGTCTGCTCTCGTCACGATATGATTTATTGTTGGTGTTCAGAATGGGACGAATGCCGGCAAGCGAGCGAGAGTGGACGGATACAATTATGGTGCACTGCGGTTCAGTTTGTTTAGCAGCAGCGGTTGGCAGTTAGAGCTGGATTAGTGCGCGCTGTGTGCAGGTGCAGCGGCGTTATTTCATGTGGCTCGGTGGATAGCGTGCCATCTTTCAACCTTAAAGTACTAGTATCGGCCTCGCAGTTATTCCACTCCACTGGCATCTCCAGCAAGATCCTGCCTTATGAACCACGAGTATTGTTGAGCTTTTTGGGATACTAATTTTTTACATATCTAAACTGACTGAAAGTTCTAGCGGACTCTGGTCATGGTGAGGTCACAATGCCCATTGTCTGGCATGATTCTGGATCCGACAAAGGACGGCCGGCTAAAACCAGGACCTCAGGCACCAGCGGCGGCAGCAGCATTATTGCCCAAGCACACCTCCGCAGCCTGACAACCACTGCTCTTGGAGCCCAAAGCACTACTACAGCACTACGGATGTTAGGCCTCCTGCATCTCATGCTGCAGTGTTGACACACGTCAGAGCCCCATATAAGATCCCCTAATGATACAATTGCATCAAACTTCACCTGCAAGTCATACAAACATGGGTTCTTGATAGCACGAGTTTAATAAGCCGTTGACAGCTGGAGCAGCCGAGAGATAAAGAAAGCAGCCCATACAGTGCTAGTAGCCTCTATGCCATCTGACGCCGTAATGATCAGCTACTACTAGTAGTAGGCACAGCATTGGATTCTACGATTCCTTTGGCCAGTTTGTCGTTGCAGCTTCCAACTTGCAGTGCTCGAGTTAAAGTGCCGCGACGCGTGCTCACGTTTGCTGCGCGTCACTTGTCTCCCCTCAATCTGCGCCACGCGTTTCGCTTTTGGCCGTTATCGCCAAATATCAAAACATTACCACTGCATACTCCCAGGGTTGCCCTTGTTCTCTTGTCTCAGCTCACCGGGTCTAAAAACATCTCATTTCTCCTGAACTTATATGCTCATGCGAATCATGCTAGTCTATGCCTCCCCTCCATAGCCGCGAATCCTCTAACGGCACGGAAAGCGATTCGAGCTCGATGTCTTGCGGTCATGGCCAGGAAACGCAAACATGTTACTAGTAATGGCAGCGCATCCCATAAGCCCGTTAAACGCCAACGACTTGCGGACCAACAACCTTTATCTGACAAGACATCATCATCTCCACCGTTTCCTGACATACAGCATGGCGTATTATGTTCCTTTTACCCTAAAGTGACTACATTGAGACAGTTCCTCCTCTCCCGGCTACCACCTACATCTCGTGTCCGCCGGCGGAAGGTAAACGCGTTCGGGGATGGCGGCTCAAATTGCTTGCTGGATACTTGCTTAGTAGGGGTGCTAAAAGAGCCGTCGCTTGCGGTCACCAACTCACGGAAAGATGATTTTGTTACGTTCACCCAAACTCAGAATCGATCAGCAGGCACCAATACTGCACGATCACAACCATGTTGCATGACCGAGGTATGCCATCAATTTGGTCTTGCATTGTCAGTGTCAGGCCCTGCTGTTCTAACTCGAAATCAGGTGCTTGAATTCGTCGTGTGGTCGCTCTTCAAAGGACGTTTGCATGCAGGAAAGAGCCCTAATCACATTCTGTGCCATGGTCTACAGGGTGGCGGGGCAGGAAGTGTTCGACAGCATCCCAATGCCAATCTCGAGCAGCTTAAGTCTCGCCCCTGGACCGATATCCCATGGCTCTTAGGCGAAGATGGTGAAGTTATTTTGGCGAGTTTGTTCTTGGACTGTGGCATCTTTACACGGCTCCCTTGCGGTACAGACAACTATTACCAGCTCAGTGGGATTCCACTTTCAGAATTGACTCCGCTTCCTTCAGAGCCAGAACGTTCCCAAAATGTTCCCAAAGCGCTGGAGCAGAGCCTGCAGCTCTCCAACATCCGGTTTGTGAGAAACCGCATATTTTATAACAAACCCTCGCTGAATTGCGATGGAAGAGTCAAGGTAGGGTTACCTCAGGCGCATGTCCTTCAAAGATTTCCGGAAGCTGGCCGACCAGATCATGTCATTCATATTTTGAAATACATCTTCCCACGTCAGCATGGTCTGCACAACGTGTTTACTTCGAAAATCGATCGTACCGAAACTACACAGCAGTTTAAAGACTACACATCTCGAGAACAAGAAATCAATGCGCAGAAGACGAAATCGAAATCTCCGACATGGATTCCACGGCGGTTGCGTGGCGGGGCTTTTCATCTCGTCCGACAGATCCAGCGGCGTCAAGCTAGATGTTCGTATAGCCAACTTCTCAGGCATTACTGTCCTGTCGCCCCTGCGCCTCAAGGCAACCCTTCATATTCGCTTGCATTGAAAGAACCGCAGCACCCTTCGCCTAGTACCGAGGTATTGGTGACTCAGGCCCCCTTGGGTTCCTCCATCCGCTCGGGGCGTGAGCTTCCTGCCATTCAGGACGAGAGCAATTCATCGTTCCTTTTCTATGCGACTCCAGCAGCAAGAGTTTCGGCGTTCTGTCGGTCAGTCATCGCACGAGTATTGCCCAAGAACGCCTTTGGTGAAGGGCCGGACGGTCAGCGGAACTGCGATACGATCATGGCCAGGGTAGATGAATTTATTCAAATGCGGCGGTTTGAAAGTATGACTCTACATAACGTTGTGCAAGGGATCCGATTGAAGCCGATCAAGTGGCTTTCACGCCCGGCGAAACTGGAGCAAAAGACGTCCAAGACAGACCATAACAAGCGCCTCGAGATCTTGCACGAATTCGTGTATTACGTTTTCGACTCACTACTCATCCCCTTAATCCGACACAACTTCTATGTCACCGAGAGCGGCACCAATCGCAACCGGCTATTCTATTTCCGGCACGACGTCTGGCGAAAACTGTCCGCACCTATTTTTGCGACTCTAAAATCCAGCATGTACATGCCCGTGAATCCAAACCAGCTGCGGCAAACGCTACGAACACGGAATCTGGGATATAGCCACGTGCGACTGCTCCCGAAAGAGAAAGGCGCCAGACCAATCACCAACCTCAAACGTCGGCAACTGAAATCAGTGGCGGGGAAAAGGTTCCTAGGAAGCAGCATCAACTCGCAGATGGCTACTGTATCCAGTGTGCTAAATTTTGAGCGAGGGCGTAACGCCTCGCCGTTGGGATCCGCCTTGTTCACCATCCATGACATTCACGGTCGACTTGTACAGTTCAAAAAGACAATACCGCCAGGATCCCGGCTGTATTTCACCAAAGTCGATATTAAATCTTGTTTCGACAGCATACCACAAGAGCACTTGCTACGCATCGTCCGATGTTTGTTCGGAGAGCCATCCTACAGAATGACAAAATACACCCAAGTCAAAGTCGTTGAAGGGGCTGCGCAAAAGGGCAAGAAGCGAGTCCAGCATCGCTACATCGGGATAGCCGGCGCGGGTGATGACAATGCGGTTTTCTCCGAGGCGATAGCGTGCGACATCGCTCTCAAGAAGCGCAGAGTCGTGTTTACAGACACGGGAAATGAAAGACTCGCGGCGCGGAGATTGCTTTTGCAGCTTCTTCAGGAACATGTCGGCAACAACATTGTCAAGATCGGGAGGCAATACTTCAGGCAAACAGCAGGCATTCCGCAGGGGTCCGTGTTAAGCAGCCTCCTGTGCAACTACTTCTATGGCGCCTTTGAACAGAACGAACTGGGCTTTTTGGACTCTCGGTCCAGCTTGCTACTGAGACTGATTGATGACTTTCTCCTGATCACGACCAATGACAGTATTGCGAGACGGTTTCTCGATGTTATGGCTCGCGGGAACGAACAATATGGCATTATCGTCAATGCGGAGAAGTCTCTGGCCAATTTTGACGTGTCTTTACAAGGTCAAAAAGTCCCGCGACTCCATGGCAGCAAGTTCTTCCCTTACTGTGGAATTGGGATTGAGATGAACACTCTCCAGTTGAAGAAAGATCGGGAGAAGAAGGATGCAAACATCGGTAACAGCTTGACGGTCGAGACCTGTTCGAGGCCTGGAGCGACGTTGAGGCGGAAAGCCATGACGTTTCTGAAACTGCAAATGCACAGCGGGCTGTTGGACATGTCGCTCAACAATCGTCTACGGGTGATCACGACCCTGTTGGGTAATTTCGTCGAAGTGGCTATGAAATTAGTTCGATACGTGGCCAGTCTCCCACGATCAAAACGACCCTCGCACACCCTGCTCATTGACTTGTTTGGTGATCTGGTGTCGGCATGCAGGAAGAAGTGCCAAAAGGGCAATGGTGACAAAGGCTTCATCACCAGGGCTCAGATGTGTTGGATTGCTGCGTCGGCATTCGAGCGGGTCTTGTTGCAGAAACAGAGTCAATACCGCCAGTTTTTGGTCTGGCTGCAGTCATTAAGAGAGGCGAATTCGGCAAAGATGAAATTGAGGCCGGCAGTTTTGGAGCACATGCTGAGAGAGACGGAGGAAGCCTTCCGTGGCTATGTATATTGAACAGCGTTACGTGGAGGACAAACACTGTGTGACACCACTACAATCGGTGGTAATAGCAATATGACTGGTACAGTAGGACATCACCTGGCAACTAACTTCAAGACAGACGACCATTGGAGGGCAGACACCCTGAGGGCCGGCGGAAGGTCCTGAAAAAGGTCGTGGTCACTGTATAACAACACACATGCCCAGCCGTAGCTAAGGCATGGAATGTATTTATTCTGCCAGCGGGTGTTCAAGTTGGTCACACTGCAGCCTGATACATGCTTTTGGCTCAGGCTGTGGATGAACTGGGCAGGCATTCCAGGCTGAATGGTGGAGATGGGTTAGACTTCGGCCGGAGTACTGGGCACTCCTACGAACATCGTGTCTGAGTGGTCCGAGTCTGGAGCCTGAGGGACCCAATTTATAGGCTCGTCGCCGGGCCGGGCCGGGCTTAGGCTTGATGCCGATAAAGCCTGAGGCCACACTTTTAACGACCATCCTGCTCGAAGCACCTGCCTTTGGCCTGCTCTCAGGTTCACTCAACGCAATGAATTGGATTGAGGCCTATTAGAAGAAGATGGAAAAGGACGAGAGGAGCGATGGCGGAAACAGTGGCAAGGGAGAATAAAGCCGAGAGGACAGCCAGCACGCAAAAGCCGAAGAAAGTGGTTACTGACCTTGAGGTGCAATATGTCTCCAGTAACTCGTACCTACCTAGGTAGGTAGTACAGAGATGTTTAGTGTCAAGTGAGGTCGGGGTGAAGATGAGGCTGTTTTTTTTCTACTTTACTGTACCTTCCATTCTTGGCTTGCCATTGCTCCTTCTGATCTGGTATATGATGTTGGAAGGTACCTGGCAGGCTGGTCACAGTGCTTAGCATTTTCTGTTCTTATGGCTTTCCTCCCCAGACCGGCTTCTCTGGGGTTCATGAGCTGTCATCATGGAAATTGACAACTGCAATAACATTTCTCCGACCATCAGATTGGTTGAATTGACTGCCTAGTACTGGGTACTTACTCCTCGGGTCCTTTTGTCTATAAGTTTCAGACCAAAGCACTCGGAGCTTAGCTACCCGCCCACGATCTTCGCCTACGTCGACCGACCCGGACGAATGACTGTGTCCACCATCGCAATCATCGCAGAGAAACATGGAGCACCAGGAGACCGGGCCTGCTGAGCATCATGGAACAGAGGGCGAAACATTGCCACTGCCTTCAGCTGGAGACTTGCCGGACACAACAACAGGCTCCGGGGATGAGGAGATCAACCGCAAACGCAAACGCCCGAAGACGAGAGACTATTTTGAGCAGGATGTGCCCGTGTCTGAATGGCCGCCCTTGGAGGAACAAGGCACTGCTTCAATCACAAATACACCTGGAAATTTCGGTGCTCCTCCCTTTGTACCAAATACCGGTGGGCAGCTGCCGCCGCCGAAGCATATTGTGGTGTATCGCGTGATATGCGACCGTCGTAATAACGCCGAGGAAGACCACTCCCAGCATGAAGACACCGCTTACTATCAAGATGAACCCAGATTGTTTTACAGAGATACAAGAGGGTCGGCCTTACGCGGGAGATACCAGATCCAGGACCTTGAAGCATATCTTGGAAATCAACAGCCGCTAGCTTTCGTCGTCTACAAAGACTATGACTGCCCACGATATCACGATCTGATGCAGAAGCAATTCATAAACATCGCTCCTGAGAACATGAGACGGGCGTCATTTCTGAGGGAGAAACCCTGGTTTCAAGCTCTGCGAGACGATACCGAGCCTGCGTCTGCGGTTGCGGAGCAAATATCCATCTATCAGGATAACCTTGTGGTGGCTCTTGAGTCCCTGATATCTCAAGACGCTGAGATCTCTGGCTTTTGGAACAGAGAAACCAGTTTACGGGAACCATACGATTACTTTTATCACTGCCACAAACGCATCCGAGAGTTGCTGTCCACCGTGGCCGAGCCTTCCGATACGACATCCCCAAGCATAACTTTACTCTTGGATTACATCGAATCAGAATGCCGTGACCAATGGTCGGCTGCAGACCGCATCTTCGAGCAAGGAAATGTGACAGAAGACACTTTCAGCAAACTATTTCGGCCTGGCGAGATCATCATTCGAGATGAAGATGGTATGACTCAGGCTTATATAGCTGACCATGTCGGAACGGTAACCAGCAGTCGCACATCAATCAGTTGCTGGAAGCTAGCCTTCGACGGAGCCTTCCACCGTGAAAACGATCAGCTCCTTGTCGAGTGGCGCGGCGGTGGGAAAGACACACTCGCGTTACAGTGTTTGGAAGCGCGGCCGCTGAGGTTAGATAAGACTCGGCAACAAGTCCAATTGGAACAAAGAGCTATCAAATTCTGGCAGTGCAGACACAGACGTCTCGTCAGCTATGACGGTCTTCATGGCTCCAATTTTCCTGTCCCGACGGTGAGCTTATTCCAGACTTGATGTTGAACGTGCTGATTTAGGAGGGATCTCACAAATTTATGATTGATGTCGACACCCACCGGACCTTGTATCCCAGAAAGTACCCAGAGTACCCTTCAAACGAGCACGCGGAGATTGACTTGTCAGAAGACGAACCTCCAAGCGGCAAGATTGGATTCTTGATGCCCGCGAAGGTTCCTGGGTTTGGTTTCCACGACAAGAAGTGGAGTACGATTGTAACGCCCTGTGCTCCCGCTTACTGACCCTTGTTCGTAGGAAGCTTGCAAGTTGATCACATTCGACCAGTGGACTGGAATGAAAATGCCTTCAAACGCGTTGTGCTCAAAGCCAGTAAAAAGGAGCTGATTGAGGCACTGGTAACCAGCCATCTTGAAAACAACGAAGCGACGGACGTCATTGAAGGCAAGGGAACAGGCCTCAGTATGTTATTCCATGGGCCTCCTGGCTCAGGCAAGACTCTCACTGCCGAAACAATTGCTGAGATTTCCAAAAAGCCGCTTTACCGGCTGAGCTGCGGCGGCATTGGTACGGACCCAGAAAGCGTTGGCAAGAATATGGAATCTGCATTGCATTTGGGGATGAAATGGGACTGTGTCGTTCTGCTGGACGAGGCAGATGTCTTCCTGGAGGAAAGGACGCCGACCGATATGGCACGCAATGCACTCGTGTCGGTTTTTCTCCGCGTCCTTGAATATTTCAAAGGCATTCTTCTTCTTACCTCCAACCGTGTCGGCGTTTTTGATGAAGCGTTCAAGTCCCGCATACAGCTGGCAATACGCTTCCCGAATCCCGACGAGGAAGGCCGAGCGAAGATTTGGGACAATTTCTTCAAAGCCCTGCAGAAGTCCGGGGTCGAGATGGACTCTGAAGACCTCGGGGACAATGTCAGGAGTCTGGCTTGCAAGGAGCTCAACGGCCGGCAAATCCGAAACATCATCAAGACGGCTCGACAACTCGCAGCCTTCCGTAAGCAGCGACTCGGCGTGCAGCATCTGGAATGCTGCATTGAGGTGCTCGAGGAGTTCGACAGGTATCTTGAAGACACTCGTGGGACAGATGACTAGTACGCCCCGGCAACACAGGATCAGAGCTGATTAGCATTGCACCTGCATTATGGAAGCGCGGATACGAACCGTATAGAAATATGTGCAATATGTGAGAAGGCATTGAAATTATCCCGATCAGGAACCAGAATATCCTGATTAGACATTTTCGGCAATGAGCCGCATTCATCTCCAAGCCTTCCAATGTGGAGTAATTGAACAAGGGAACAGTCTCACCTGGCTTCGGTGCCAGCATACCAATCTGTGATATTAGCCTGCCTTACCATCGGCCTTAGATTGTTACTGGCGGTAGAATGCGACGACGTGACATTTCCAAGGTCCATGGTGCCTCCATCACAGGGCAGAGAGATAGCTTCTATAGCGAGGCTGCGCTGGCGCTCGTCGGCAGCCAACGCGGCTGTGAGGTCGCACGGCAGGAATACATGCAAAATCGGACTGTGTGAGCCGCTTCGAGGCTCAGGCTGAGGGGCATGCAGAAGGATGTTGAGGCCCTTTATCTAACAACTTCAAGTTACAGTACTGGTAGATGGCAATATACGCGTATCGTATGATACTCAAGAGAATTAGGCCCTGCTAAGTTTGACGAGTGTCTAAATCGCGCCAGATAGAATAAGTACTCTATAAATTTACAATGCAGTGGTTGGGAAAATAATAGCAACGGCTTGGGCTTGCCAGTGACTTGGTATATCCCTTCCTTACTTAGATGGCTACGACTCGAGCGACGGTATAGAAGAGTCTAGAGAGGACTTTCTATCTAAGTATTCAGGCGTGTTCACGTTGTCTCTGGCGTGCTCCTGGTAGCTGTTGATTGAATGGCCAACAGCCCTGGAATCCTTCTACTGCCGTTGTCTTGCCAGCTTGCATCGACTTCAGGCCACCTGCGACGTATTTCCTTCGAGCCTGAAACAGACCCGCGACCGGACGCAGCGACAGCCGGTGTCGACAACTTGAATAAGCTCATCGCAGAAACATTCTTAACACCATCAAGTCTTTCTCCACGTTGGCACGAGAGCAATACTGGCAGTAATCAAGCATTCAAGAGTTGAGAGATCGACAACCCAGAACAACCCATACCAGTGGCACTGCCGTGGTGGGTGCGCCGAGCCGGAAGTGCTGTCCATCCCTGAAACCCTCCCAATCCGAGTCGACGGGGGGGAGGCAGAAAAGCCCAAACCTGCCAGCCCCCTTCGGCCACACAAGTTTTTGCATCCGCTATTGCCAGGCCCCGAGCCCACGGAGGTGGAGGTGCTCCAGCAAGGCTAAGGAGGCGCTCGAGGGCCCGGCCACGCTTCAGCACATGTCAAGCTGTCATTGGCAAATGGAGAACCCGCTGATCCAGCCCGCGCTGTCCTTGCTTCGGTACACGGCCAGTGGTTCGCAGAGTTCGCAGACTGGAGCTCGGCCGCCATCATCATGCAAGCCGTCAGCACCGTTTTCGTTTGTGAGCCCGCCAATCGTGCCGGCACTTCCTCCAGGGGGCGGCCCATTGGCACCTTTCGAGGCCGTTCTTCTTCAAGCTGGTTATTACCACTGGCATGCAGTGTCGACTTTTGGCTCGACCAAAGATCCAGACGACCTCAACCATGAACATAGCCTCCGAGTCTGGCGCATACCAACACTCGTTTCTCTCCAACAACCACGGCGAGTGGTGAACCTCGCACGCACCGACGTTCGCGCCCGGAGCACCAACAACAACTTTCCATCGTCAGAAATTGGCATTCCGCCCGTGACTTGCGCTCAACTTGAAGTCAACAACAGCTTTCCACACCGGCAGCACGACGTCGATGCTACCCATGAATTGCTCTTAATTCCTGCTCAAGGCTTGCACCTTGGAGACCGCTCGCTTACCTCTTTATTCAATGTACATACCCCTAACATGACCACGACCATCGTTAGTGCTCCAGGGACACCCCCTGACCTCGCAGGAGACCGTTCTTCCAAAGCCTCGTCATATTCATCCACCTTCTCCAGTCCCGATGGCTTGGACTCGGACACCACCAACTTCGAAGAGATTGGTCTTGAAGACGACAAAGAGCCCACACCGAGAATTTGTACTCATACACACCAGATCTCGATGCAATCCCTTGGGTCGCAACAAGATCTTATACAGTCAAAAGAGCCGGAGTTAAGAGGACCGAAACCAAGCCTTCCTCAGTTGAAGACACAACCAAAGACATTGGGATGGAGAAATGACCCTGCGCGATCCCCTATTGACCTGCCATCATTGGGGATGAAGAAGCGCGGATTCACGAGCCAGGAATCGCTCTATCCTCTCAATAGCGCAAGGACGAGATCCTCGTCTCCGGCCAATCGTCGAGTTGTCACATCTATTCCAAATGCCTCTCTCAGTGCTGGCGGCTTACGACCAGGTTCTCATGCGTCCTCCTCCCTCGGCCTACCCGCACGTCGCGCGTCATGGCAGCCTCACCGAAAAACCGTCAAGGAGCTGGAGGCCGAGTACCATGACTCGGACGACGATCTACCCGACGATGCTAGCCTCTGGAACGTCCCCGTATCTCCATTTCCGTCCGGAACGCGATCACATCGGTCGAGTTTTCGCGGGAGCCCGGATCGAGATCAGGTCGCCCACAGCCCTCGCCCGATACCGCTTGCGCATGCCAAAACAGCCCCAGACACACCTCCTCGGACTACACTGCATTCACAAACACTGCCCAAACACAGAGGTGTGGCAGCACGGGCGCGGTCCCTGAATCCGTCCAGATCGAACCCATCGTCACCGCGGGGTCTTGGTCATATGCCTCCGGGGAGGACCAAGTCGTGGAATTTCGCAATGGCTGACTTGAGTGAAGAAGCGCGAATAATCTCGGAGGCTTTGGCATATCACGCCGAGTCGATGGCGCAGGAGGCGTACGGGAGCCCGCAAGGAGGTTCATCCCGGGAGAGCTTAGAGACGCCGGTTGAGCACGTGTCGAGGAAAAAGTCTCCCATACAGTTACCTCCCATCCAGAAGAGCACGTTGGATTTCATGCCGATCTCGAAAGAAAAGGAAGCTGTTTTATCGCGGACACGGCCGCCATGGCTACCACCAAAAGACCCCAAGGAAGAACGTCGACATCTGAAGGAGTACCAGCGCATGATGGCGGCGTCTCTAGGGGCGGAAAAGAAACAACGCACAAAGGTGCAGGCTCAGCAATGTGCCAAAGACGACACGCGGGAATCGCTGAAACGGATCTGGCATTATTACGTGGCCGAGTCGACCGACGTTGCCACGATCGACCAACGGGTCAATAGTCTTTGCTGGCGAGGAATCACCCCTAGTCTCCGTGGACAAGTCTGGCAAAAAGCCCTGGGAAACCCGCTCGCGCTCACACGTCAGAGCTATGAGAAGGCACTCGAGCGAGCCAAAGAAATCAAAGCACGGCCGAGAGACCAGCTTGATCAAGACGACAAGAGCATGGAGCGGTGGTTCGTCGACATTGAACGGGACGCCGAGACAGCATTTCCCGAGCTGCACCTGTTTCAGCGAGACGGACCTCTCTGGCGCGATTTGATCGATCTATGTGAAGCATATGCGTGTTACCGGAGCGATGTGGGATACATTTATGGGATTCAACTTATCGCCGCGTTGCTCTTACTGCAGTCGCCAACACCGGCAGATGCCTTTATCTTGCTGGCAACATTGCTGAATCGGCCGCTACCAGTTGCTTTCCAGACCAATGACACCGTTGCGACGGGACGGACGTACAAATCCGCCATATCGACTTTGAAAATCAAGTTCCCCCGACTTCATGAATACTTGTTTGATTCAATGGACCAAGGCGGGTTAGGGTTCACAGCCGAAGAAGTGTTTGAACCGATGTTACGGACTGTCTTTTCCAACGGTCTCGATGTAGATCGACTCTGCCGCGTCTGGGACGTCTGGGTATTTGAAGGTGATCGGACATTGGTCCGTGCCGCTGTCGCCATCCTAGGTTGTCTGCAGTCGCAAATCTTCGATGTCCGCGGTAATCATGATCTGAAGAAGCGGAATGTTCAGGAAATGCTGGGCTGGGGTCCGTTCAATCGACTGCCTCAGTCGGGCCATTGGAATCTTCAAGCTCTGGGAAGTGAAGATAAGTTTATGGATGAAGTCCAGCTTGCTGGAATGCTGGATTATACTGGCAGGTGATTGGTAATATGTGTACAAAGTTGTACAAAGATGGAATTGTCCCCGGAGACTTGATATGGAAGATGAGGAAAGGAGAGGACAGGAGGTAACGAAAGGGGGCCATTTCTTTTTTCTTATCATTTTAATTTGGTGATTTTGATTTAGCCGAGGATGGATATGTTTTGATGAACGATGCATGATGAAATATCTTTCACCAGTGACCAGGTGTTGGTTGGAAATATTTGAATTTTTTTTTCCTGTGATCGGATTGGTTTTCTCGAGCCTTCTTCTTTTCACTTTCTGCGATTGACACGAGAGGAGAAGCATTGAGCGGCCGGCTTCACTTCACTTGATTTGAAGTGTTGAGACGTGTTGTGTTGTCTTGTGTTTTGTACAAAAATCATACAACATTGTACAAGTGTACTTGAATGTTTGAGTTGTTCCAAGGCTGACCACTTTATCCCCAATTGGTTTTGATATTGATATTGTTGGACCTGTGTTCAGGCAGAGGGTGGCAGAACGAGGCTCAATAGTAATCAATCACCTGGTAAATCAATCAATAATAGTTGAACTGTTCAACTACTCAATCATCATCATTACGATCATCCATTGACAAGCTAAGGTACCTTACCTATGTACTGTATATACCCTAATTTTGGTCCCGTCACGTCCGAGCATCTCTTGACCGTGCGTGTAATTCAATATACCTAAGGCAATGAATGAACTCGGTATATCGCTGATCAGGTATGCGGGACGAGGACCCTCCCTCTATCGCTCGGTTGATAGGATCTGACCAGGTGTCAGCCAGAATGAAGGCAGCCTAGTCACGCACGTAGGTAAGCATGTAAGCGTCCAGGCATCCTTAACTTGCTTGCAGTGCTCGCTTGTTCGCTATTAGGTTCTCGCTATTGTCGTACCTAAAGGACTTCATGAAACACAGAAAGTGACCATCTAGGTCGGCTTTTGGCAACGGAGATAGTAGGACAAGTGATGACACGACGGGAGGGGAGATGACATGGTGTGGCCTGGTCATCACCATATTTAGGTACCTTTGCATAAGGTAGGCACCTAACGTGTGCCAACCCGTATCTAAGTCGAGACTTGTTTGGTACCCTACGGAAGGGTAGGTGCCTAGTAGGTAGGTAGGTGTGCAACCGTGGATGTGATACTAATCAAGCCGTTGACCTCTGCGGCATTTTTTTGTCTGGCTTGGTTTTGGGGGTCAGCAGCGAAAAGAACCGGCCGAGTCAGTGTCAAGTGTCAGCAAAGAAAGGGAGGGTTTCCCCTAAGTAGAGGACAACGACGACTGCACTGCCTGGTTGCCTTAGTGGGTGTTGACTCTTTAACCTTATTCTCATGGTCAGCTCCAGTCCTGACTCGGATCGTAGCAGTTCGGTCCACGGATAATACAGTGGTACAGTATGTATACATCCTCCCTGCCTGTCTGCCTAATTGCCAGCCTGCCGGGCATGCTTGCACGATTTCGATCAGTTTAGACCAGATCCATATTCGCCAACAACCGATCCTGTGTACAGATACATTCAGTTCCCTCCAAACAGTCGTTCCATCCTATCTTGTCGGAAAACTAGGAACAATAGGCAATGGTCCATTTAATCTTAGCGGGCGCCACCGGCCTCGTCGGCTCCAGTGTTCTCTCACACGTCCTCTCCCTGCCGACAGGAGGGAACATCACCCGTCTGAGCATATTGACCCGCAACTCGACAATACCACTGCTCGCCAACCCGCCACCACCAGGAACGCCCAATGCCAATCGCACCACGGAGATCGAAGTCATCCAACACGGCGATTTTGCACGGTATCCGCCGGACCTACTGGCGCGGCTGGAGGGAGCCGACGCATGTATTTGGGCGTTAGGGGTTAGTCAGATGGACGTGGATAGGGAGACGTATGTTCGGATCACGCGCGACTTTGCTCTCGAGGCGGCGAGGGCGTTTTCAGGGTTGAGAAGGTCGAAGAGCAGTACCGGTGACCATGGCCAAGGCAGCGCGGTTCTTGACACAAATGGTCCCAACTCGCAAACATCACAACCGTTGCCGCAGCAGAGTCACGGTGATACAGATGACGACAAGTCCAAGTTCAAGTTCATCTATGTCTCGGGTCGAGGAGCCACAACACAGAATCCCAAACCGTGGACGCCGTTATTCGCCCACGTCAAAGGCGAGACCGAAGCAGCCCTGCTCGCTCTGTCCAAAACAGAGCCTTATGCATCCTCGCTCGCGGTATACTCGGTCCGTCCGGCCGCGGTGGATGGATATAACCAGCCCTGGCTCTGGCGGGAGATTCTGTCGACGCACCGCACCGCGTTGCAGCGCATTTACTTGTCAGCGGCTATGGTGCCGCTCCGTTGGGCGACTCGGATCGGTTTGGCGCGTGGCTTGCATAGTCCAACGGAAGAGTTGGGCAGAGTCTTGGTCGAGATGGCTGTGGACGACAGTAGAGGGCCGTATAGGGGTTCGGAGCCCGACGTGACCGGGGAAGGGAGAATTTTGGAGAATAGTGTTGTGCGCCGGATGGCGAAGATTCATAGGGAGGAATAGCCAGAAGATTTGCTAGGATAATCTTTCTTTGTGGCTGAACTCGCCTTGTTCACGGGTTCTGGGGACGAGATCTTGATCTCTATATGCCCGCCATGTCCAAGCTCACGTATTCGTGCGTGCATGGCAACACTTGCGGACATTATCATGCATCCGCTGCATCTGATATCGAGTGCATGGCCAGATCGATCGTGATTGCTTCATAACCCCCACAACAGGCACACTCAGTAGTGATTCTCGGCGCTGCTTGAACCCATATAAACTCCCTCGGTGGAGTTGACTCGAGACGGTTTATTCACGACATGCCCAGGCCAAATAGCACAGCAGCAAGCGTGACGCAAACGGCGACAAACAATCTCCATTGATCAAACTCGACGGCCGGGATGCCCAACGATTCCGACTCACCCGTGGCAGTTGGGACAGAGGCGCTGGTCGACGTGGGCACGCCGCCCGTTGCACCTTTGGTGGCGTCGAGCTCGCTGAAGCCATCGGCGCCGGATTTGCTCTGGGCGGCCACATTCTGCTTGAACCAGTAATTGTTCTGGCCGACGATGTTGCCAGCAGGCCAATACTCGCAGACCAAAAAGACGCCGCTCACGTTATTCTTGCCGTTACAGTTGGTCCAACCGCAGCCCGTGGCCTGGGTAGACTTCCACACCAGCTGGGTGAAATGGCCCGTCTCCTCGGTGAATCCTGTAGGATCGCTGTTGCTGAAATCGTAGTCTCGTCGCTCGTCGCCCCAGGCTTCCACCGCCGACGTCACGTTGGCATACCCTTGCGCCAGGTTCTCGCCGTATTCGCCGTGCGAATGGCTCCAAACACACTTTTCCGAGTACTTCTGGGCATACTCGGCCAGTGTCTCGTTCCAGTAGATGTATCCGGCCGAATGTTCGTGCCGATACCAATTCGTCGAGTTGAGGATCGAGGTCCGGAAATCCAGTGTCCCTGTGTACTGTGCCGACAGGGGTGTCGTCGGTGCCGCCACTGTGTAGTAATTTGTGACGGTGGTGGCCACGACTTGTACCGTTTGCGTGTTTTGACACAGCGCGGATTGGGTCCATAGCAATAAAAGGGCGAGTATTGCTGGGGTAAGAGAATGAAAGCCCCCGAAGCCGGGAAGAGTACGATGCATTGTTGTTGTTTTTGCCTAGATCTTCCTGTATGTTTTGTCCGCTTTAACGGTGACCACCTTTCCAGCAGATTCAAAGGCCGGCCTATAATGCCATGTTGGAGTAGATGGCAATGATGAAAAGAGTTGTATCAGGGAGCGTATTGTGACGCGCCGTCGTTTGCGTCTGTAATTAGCTGATTCCAGTCCTGGAAATAAGTACCGCGCAGCTGCTGGATCGGAGGATCTGAGATGGATATCCAAGGATAGCCCACAGCGAAGGTGTTAGATTAATCAACAATATGTTGTGTGCCAGAGCAGTCAGAGAAGAAGCCGGTGCCAGGCGTCACACGCCGCTGACGGTATTCATATGACATGGCGTGGCGGTGCATATAAAACGGTCCTTGGTATGAGATGAGATTCGTCCAAGATGCGCGGCCGGTGGATGGTCCGTGGGTGGTTGGTGTTTTGACACCCGATCGATCCGCTCGCGTCAGGCAGCCTGGACTGGGATGCCATCTGATCTCATCTCACTGCATCTCATTTCGTTTCGTGTCGCTTCGTGTCAGCCCCGTCTCATTGGAGCCCGTGTCCTCATTCCCGGCGATGCTTATTAATAGTTCAAGTCGGGGCTGATATAAATAGTCGGAGTTGATCTGCTCTGCTCTGCCCATTCCTGAACTTCCGCCTGGTCTGCCGACATTTTTGGTACGATTCTCAAATCCAGTTCCAACAAGTGGTGACATGGAACGTCTCGCAGGGCAATACCATGGCTCGACCCGGTTATAAGTTATGAGTCAAGCGTGGAATCTCGGTGCAGTGAAAAAAATAGATGGGCTTTTCTTGCCCACAATGTGCAACGGACAGGCCAACAGAATGAATGTGGCGCGCCTAATGGTGTTGTTAGGTCCAGCAGCATCTCCCGTGGCATCAGGTCCTCCTGTGAATAGATGGAGTAAGGTAGGTCAGAACGAAAACCTTACAACAAACAACCATCCAACTGCCATGCTGTTCTTCGTTGGGTGAATCATGATCAAGAGGTTGCGTCCAATATCATAGATGAGGGTGTCCTGGGCACATTCCCACATGGAAGAAGACAAAGAAGACTTGCTCCCGGTGGGCTATCGGATAGCTGCAGGAGTATCGCTGCGGGACACGGCACAGCAAACTGAGTGAACCGATGTTAACAAGCAAGAGTGTCTACAGCCGAAGCCGTATTCGTCGCTTGAAGAGCACTTGTTGTGAATATGTTGTTGTACAAGTTGTTCCCAAGGCAGCAGCCTTGTGAGGTCGAAGTTGTCGCTTTGGCAGCCTTGCGAAGTGTGTTTATTGCTCGGTCAGGCAGTGAAGCATCACGACTTTAGGAGTGATGTCGAGGTGTTGTTAGCCGTCTTCTCACTTCAACCTCCCTGCGACAACCTCACTTTACAACTTCATCTCGCGCTCAGATCAGGATCTGTTCTTCTGTTCTTCTCTTCTCCTATCCTACCCACCGCGACAGCCTTTCCTCTCCTACTTCTTCCTCTTCTACAACAACCACTCTTTGCACAATTACTCTCTCGTGCTCGCGTTGGTTACTAGAAGCCAGGTCACTTTCTTCTTCTCTTTCTACTGCGTCCCCATATCTTATTCCCCTCGCGCGGACAGTGTTTGTTTTTAGAGATCTCACTGGCACCCTAGTCAATCTCACTTCCTCCTGCGCACCTGTTGCGGTCTGTCGCGGCCTATCCCTACCTTAAGCTTTCGCACCTACTTTCTCGTTATTTGTGAAGAAGATGGGGACAATAACAAAAGCACAGGCTTTGGCACAGTTAATAGCATCCATACCAAAAGCAGACAGAAACACTACTAGAGGATCTGCATCTGCATACCAAGCACCACTCCCACCACCTCCAGGATTTCAACTTCCTGGTAAGTCGCGCAGCCAGTTACACTCTTACACACTCCTCCCCCTTTCCATGTTGGACAAGAGACTAACTTCAAGCAAAAAGACAATGTTCCACCATCTCCCTTCAGCACCTTGACAAAAGCGCAGCAGCACAATTACAATCCCGACGACGTCAACAAGGCCAACAACACCAATGACGCCGACAATGCCGCGGTCTCAGACTACCTGCGTCGCCAGGACCTTGACCGCCGAGCTCCCGTAGTCGTATCCACCAACCCCGAACACGGAAACGAATACATGGAACTCAACGCCTGGGAACTCACCATCCGCGCAATCAAGACCCTCTTCCCTGACCGAAAGACATGGAAAACTGCAAACACAGCCGCACTCCAAGCATCAGCAAACCACCGCAAGGGGATCTGCGCCCGTCTCGCACACCACACTGTCCTGCGCCAAAATATTACCATCGACTTACTCATCCGTTCTCGTCTCATTCAGTCCGGCACATACGCTTTTACTCAAGACACACTCGACAACCATCGTGCCTGGATGGACTGGTGGCTCGGGTTTCCGGACCTGGCGAACAAAATAGTCAAACACGTCAACTGGATCAAATTGCTCGAGGAGGAATATATCCGCGCCGAACCGATCTGGGCTGAGTTCTGGACCCGTATGGAGAGAGAAGAAGATGTCAGCCTGCCGCATGGGTGTCCGGGGCAGCCATTCTCGCCGACCAACGTCAATTATGTCTCTGCTACTGCTGCTCGAACCCTGAAAACCGTCCTGCTGGATTTGTCGACGCACGATACGAAACGCGCATTCCTGCAATCCCATATCGGCAAGGGAAGAGAGGTTGTTGCTCAGTTCTACGAGGATCTGCCAGATTGGAGAGAGTGGACGACTATGGGTAGTGATGACGCCACTGCGGTTCCGCTGCTTGAAGAGCCTGAGACTGGGTTTGTTGAGGAGCTTGAGGATGGTGAGGAAGAAGAACAGGAAGAACACGAAGAAGGAGAGGACAAACGAAGCGAAAGTGGAGGCGGAGACTCGGAGTTTGATTTGTAAACACGAGAGCACATTGAGAATAGTGCCACTCCCATGGAGAGAAAGAACACACAGAGAGAGCAATGAATGTGATTGTATTGAACACCAACTCAAAGAAACAAGCACTTGGACTTTCCCCTTTACTTTCTTCACCGCGTGAATACCAGTATCATAACCGTGATCTGGAGGGTACTAACTAGTCGAGCATCGTGGAACCAGGGGTCCCGCCGGTGGTATATCTTGTTATGCAGATGGTTGTCACAGCAGCCCACTCCGGCGCAACAGGCAAGTACATATGTAACTATATGACAGCAAAGAAGCCGTTCTCGGCATCAAATGAGCTACTATACAGCATTGCCACCAAGAGAGCACTCCGGGCCTATTCATTGTCGGCTATACAGTAGAATTAGAAGTCTACAGAAGGCCACATAACAGATGACACACATTGTATTCAACAGCTTTGTGCGTCTCAAATACCCCTTTGTAACCCACCATCTACAATCCAACACTCTGCGTTTGGATGCAGTGGGCAACAACCAAGTACTACTACATAACCTCTGTCAGGATGTAGTGGGCTACTACATGACAAGACATCCCTCACCTCTAATCTTTCCCTCGACCCTCCCCCTAACAACCAACCAATCACTCCTTCTCTCCGCAAACTCAACCACCTCCTCAACAGTAAAGACACCCTTATACCGTTCGCCATCGGAAATAATGGTCGCCATCTCACTCACGTCACGATCACTTTCGCCGCCGATGAGAAAAATCTGCGCGACTTCACGGAGTGCCGAAAAGTACGAAGTCAGATCGTTATTCTTGAACCCCGCAACGAAATTCGCATAGGCCGTCAGATCCGACAACAAGGGTAAAGCACCCAACGTCGAGATGCGCTGGCGCTTAATGTGTTTGGTTAAAGTGGTGAAGAGACGCAGGCCGACTTCGGCGGTAAACACGTCCAGGAGAGACTTGTCCGTCGCGCCGTTCAACATACTCGTGTGATGTGACACGAGCTGGATGACTCGCGACGCTGTCTCGGTAGGTTGGCCTGAGAAATCTAGAACCATCCCGCCAGTCTTGACGCTGCCGCTGCCGCCATTGGGACTGCCCTCAACAGTGGCGAGTTCAGGGTAGAAATCGGTGGGACGTTGCGTGGTGGCACAGATGAATTCGACCTCGTCCATAAGGACATCGATCCCCTTGCCTAGTCCTGCAGCCACTCGTTCATCGAGCATCGCTTCAAATTTCTTCTTCTCTTTCACGTTGATGTCGAGAAAGTCGTCTCGGTTGGAAATCCCCAAGCGTACCAGCTCCGACTCGTAGAACACGTCTAGCATCTGCTGGATCAGGTCGCCTACATTCACCAACTCTAAAAACGTCACTAGCGGAGCGACCTGCCTAGACGATGTGGAGGCCGACCCAGTGGTGTCGTCTGCGTTCGTCTCACGTGGATTGTACGCTGAAAGATGCTCAATCGCCTTGTCAAAGCCAGCTTTGACGTGGCGAACCCCGACCGATTGGAGAAGAGCGATGAATATGGCTGAACATTGACTGCGTGCTGCATCGCCAGCTTCTCCTCCTAGGACGACGAACTGAGCGACTCGTTCAAGAGACGACTTGGCGGCATGCACTAAATTCAATGCCACCTCAATCGAGAAGAGAGACCGGATATTCTCCAATTTGGTGTTCATCAGAGCAGCTTTGGCAGCCAATTCGGTCGTGGGTGCTTCGGCGGGAAGGGTCGGAGTCGCAGTACTAGTACGTGCACCGTACAGATTCGGAGTAGAAGGCCGAGAAGAAGAAACAGTCACATCACCATTCACCAGAGCCTTTGCGGCAGTCTTGTTGGTTGCAGGACCCGAAAAGCTGGGAAGAATGTTGACGGGCATCATGACCACTTTCTTGAACGAGGACATGAAATCCTTCTTGTCCGCCTGACGATTGACATTCGACATGAGGAAACTCTCCGTCGAGGCTGCTTGTTCGGATAGTGCTCGGTCCCATTGCTCAACCTCAGTGTTCGCTTTCTGCCGAAAGGAGTTCATCTCCTCTGCAAGATAGGTTTCCAGGTGAGGACCAAAGATCTCAGTCAAGACTGTATTGCAACGGGACGCCTTCTTCTCATCGTCAAGGTTGTCGGGAACAGCAAAGGTTTCAATGAACTGCTTAGTCGCAGCAAATGTCCCGGACACTATCCGAAGATACGTAGGCGTTCCTCGACCCTGCGCATCAGCGAATAGTTCGGATAGAAAGGGCAGCAAAACATCCTTGGCCACCTGCTCGAGGAAAAGCAGTGAAACCTCGGTGGCGTTGGGGAAAACCGTTTCGATAATGGCCTTCTCCTGACTGTATGCATTTCCGAGTCTTTCAAAAAAGACCTGCACCTTTTCCAGCGACAATTGACCGTGCCCGAGTCCGTAATCAATGCAATCGGATACAGTGCCCAACTCTGCTTTCTGAGTAATGAGGTTGTTATCATGCAGGAAGAGTTCCACGCTACTCTTGCCACCATTTAGGGTATACATGACTCTGGCGTACTGACGCATCTTTCCTTGGATATCTTTGTATTCATAACCCCTGCGAAATTCAAGCAAGGCCGCGGCGTCAAAAGCCTCAACTGCTTTCGCAATCCGTTCTTCCCGCTCGCTAGAGCCGGGAGAGAAATCACTTGCAGCAAACCTTTGGACATTAATCAGAAGTTGTGCTTGTTTGTCCGGCTCACCAAAATCGCGGAATATCCTGCTCTCCATGGGATTGGAACTTGAGAGGAGGTCGATATAGTAGGGCGCCAACTGCTTGTAGATTCTGCCGTATTCTCCTCTGGCTTGTCTCCGGACGGATTTGACATGATCAAACACCGTCAACGCTGCCTCATGGCGATCGACCGCATTGGCAGGACTTGATAATTCTGCCGTATCAAACCCATCTGCCACAGGCGGTCGTGTTCGCACAGGTGAAAGGAGATTGGACTGGCGCCGCTGTCGCTGGGCCATTGGAGATGGGTCGATATCGAATAGAACATCAGGTCTGCCCTTCCCATTCACAATGTTGCGGTCCAGCATACTCTGTCTCCTGGCCGAAGCCTTTGATGGTGTCTTGGGAGCTTCCGCTTTCGCCCTTGCTTCTGCATCATTCCAACAGCCCATGCTCCTCAGTCTTTTGATCCACCTTGCATCGTCATACACCATCTCCAGCATCCGGCGTGAGGTCCGGGCAAATCGTAGGAGATCGGGGATATCCAAGTAGTCCACCACAGTGGCCATCACCTCTAAAACAGTTCAGTTTTCGAAAACAAAGGGGACCCCAAAGGAAGCCTACCTGCTGGGAGCACGGGTTTCAGGATGACAATATCCGCCAGCTTCAAGGAGGCCAACGGATCCCTCCGAGGCGCCTTGGTCGACGACGCATTTCGCTTGATTCGGGACATGATGTGCTGGCCCTGGTCTTGTTTCCTCAGTCATTCTAGCTGCCCGCTTTGTACTGTACCATTCTAGGAGGAGGGTCAGAATCGAGCGGTCTGACCATCACGACTGATAGCTTTGCTTCTCCTACCGAGATGCTAGGACAAGCGATTGGGGCCAGAGGGGATTCGGCAGGCTCATGTCAAGGCAGGCAACGACAATAGACTGTACCTAGGTACCTAGGACCTGCAGGGGATATCAAGCAGTAGTATACATTGTAGTTGGTCGGCGTAGTTGTACTACTGCCCTGCGCCAGGCTGTCTGTATAACTTGTTGCTGCTTTAACTCGGCCGCACCCGGACCTCTCGAAGTTAGAAGCATGTTTCCTCTGGCCGGCGAAGACTGGCAACTACCATTCCAAAGCAAATAATGAACTCGAGAAGATGGATGCAGTCCGAGGCCGGAGACTCCTTTGCAAGCACATCCGCTTGTGTATGTGTGTCGTGAACGGGGTGAGGCAATCAATATGGCACAGATCGGATGGCAAAGCCACTACGAAAAGAAACCAAACACCAATTCACACACGTACAAGTGGTCTACCTGGATATCATAACGACAGTCGCTGTGCTACTCCGTACAACATGCCTAGCTAAAACAACGGCCAGATCCATATGCCCAAGGATCAGGGCTTTGCCTCGAATCCCGCGCATAGCCAACGTCAAACATGAGTAGTTATGGCTGGTTTCCCCCTTTTTCCACCCCTTCTCTATTGCATGGATTCAGATGCCCCTCAGCAGACCTGTGGCTGGGTGCCAACATCTGTCATTCAAACAGTTGTGCTGGGTACGACGTTATCATCTCCTTAGTCATTCTCCCCGTTAGAATCGTAGTCGTCATCATCGACACCTTTTCGCTTTTTGCTGTTGTTGGTGTCAACCTTCCTGATGGGGATTTTTATCCCTTGTTTGGCGAACTGCCGGTTCAATTCAGTGGTTTCGATCACGCCGGGGAACTTCTTGGCGCTGTATACTTTGAATGGTCGGCTGAAGGCGGTTGCCAGGCACGGTGCCTCGCTGAACAGCTCGGGGTTTTGGAGTGTACCACTGGTGTCCCCTTCGCTGAGGATGAATTCCGACAAGTTGAAGAAATTCATCTTCAACCGGAACCAGCCTTCTGTACGAACGCTCAAATCCTGAAGGACAAACCATAATCCGACTTTCCCTTTGTCATCCTTTAACCGGAAAGCGCTCGAAGACGCGCTTCCGATTAGGTTTTTGGCAATTGCAGTTTCTTTTGGTGGTCCTCCCAAATCTTGAGATGAACGGGCAGACCGTAACTGGCTGCCAGACGAGATCGAACCGACAGTGGAAGCACGTGAATGGTAGGTTTGCTCATAACCATTTTGATACTGCGGATATGGGAAGGGCGGAGCTCGCTGGGCATACCCGAGATGACCGTTGGTATGCGCACGTGGGTCCTCCTTGTTGTTACCGTTGTAGGCAGAGGGTGCCGGTGGAGGAGCCGTTGCTGCCGTTGGCGATGTGAAAGCCTGTGATGATAATGCTGGAATGTTTGCAATGTTGTAGGTGGGCAGTGCTGAACCTGGCGTTGAAGCGGCCATCGCGTGCGGATATGCCGTCGCGACCACCGATGAAATGGACGGCGACGAGGTGTTGTGCTTGACACAGTTATCTTCTCGTGAACCTTGAAGGTTCCATAAATCGACGTTCAGCACGAGTCTCGAAAGATCCGCCACTTTTCTACACGCAGTTAGCAACGGCAACAGGAAAAGGAAAGAGCAAGCCTACTCATAGTCGATCTCTTCTCCCGTCCGTGGATCAAAAATGACCAACCTGATACAAGGCGGGGGAGAGATAGGTCGGCGGTCCTGGTGAAACGTCAGCAGACAATTCTTCGTATTGACAGTGGTTGAAATGGTACCTTGTCACCAAATCCGCACATGCGAGCGCGGATGAGCTGCTGGACAACTTCGAGGGCCCAAGCTCGCCCTTCCCATACCCGGGAGACGGGCGGAGGGCCCTGAATATTGAAGTTGGCATCGTCATTGGCTTCGCTGCTTTGACTTGGACTCGGCGGCGGAGCGTTGGCTGGCATGTTGAATGATGGATAAGGTGCTGCTGTCGACGTTGGAGATTGTACAGGAACTGAAAGAGGAGGTGGTATGGGGTGACGACCTAAAGGCCTTTGCTGGTAGTTATGCTGCTGTGACGAATACATCTGCAAAGATGCACAGAGAATGATGTCGAGGAGACAGTTGAAGGACGCAGCTTTTGAAGTGAGGCCTCCGAGGACCTGCTAAACCGCGTCGGCTGCGTGCTAGCCCTTTCCGCAACAAGCTTTCGCCAAAGTAACGTTTTCAGTAACGACAGGCAGGGACCGTGGGCCTCTCAGCAGCGTCCCAGACTGGTATCAGCTCTAGCGCCTTCACTCTCTCATTGAAGCTTTTTGGATCTTGATAATCCTCGCTGGTTTTCCACTGTGCCACAACAAGCAGGACTCGGAGTGGATTTCGACGCGGGTGCGGAACTTTATCTGGACGCGAACCAACGGTCTGAGTGGTTCGGAGAATAAGGTATGCTATGATCACAACCGCTAAGGTAACACCAGGATTCGGAGAAAATGCGAATGGAGGAGCAATTCAGGTCGAAACAGGTAGTGCAGAGGAAAAAAGAGTCTCGTGGCACGAGTTGTCCGCAGAATTTGTGGCTGAAGATCAAAGAACGCACTGATATGACAGCGACAACCACGATCTCTGACAGGTTTGACAGGACCCTTCTTTTAGGGCTAGACGGTCAAGATCAAGTACATGGGATGGACACGTTCAATCGTTCGCGTGTTGAGAAACAACGGCTGATCACTGTGACTCCAGCAGTGAAGCTTTCGTGTCAGTAGGGTTGAACCGAAGGAATATATCCGGACTGAATCTCGAAGGTGGATCTGCCTCGGAAAGCGTGATAATAAGGCTGGGGCTGGCGGCTTCGACTGTTCTGTCCCAGTCTAGCAAGATGCAGCTGGGCTGCGAAAGCCGGACATCGTCATGTGGGCTTGGATCGCGGGTGTTGTGATGATCGAACGAAGCGCGAGAGGGCTTCGCGTTCGTGGATCGGAGCCGTATTCGTAGCGGACGAAAGACTCGGAGGGCCGGGGAGGGCGCTCGATCCTTGAGCAAGGTTTTATGCAAGAGAGGGTCGCGTGCCGGGTCGGATCTCACGGTCTTCAAAGCAGACGGACGGTGGTCGATCAAACAAAGGACGGTCGACGGTTCGTGAAGCCGAGGGATTCAGATGTTGGGTATGAAGTAGAAAACGAAGCGATTGCGAGGAATGAGGTGGTGATGGCCAATGTGCTAGTCCGATGATGGTTAAAATGGTTTGGTGGGGATGGAGAAGACTCGGATGGCAGTAGTCGTAGTGGTGTCAGTGGTTCGAATCGACAGGGTCGGACTAGAATGGAGTCGGCGGCGTGGATCTGGGCGATCAACTTGGACAACAAAAATAATGTGAGGATCTCTCCCAACATACTACTACACAACCTATACAGGCTCGAACGTGGTCCTAGTGCAGAAGAAGAACAAGCAGCGCAAATAATGGATCTCAGTTTGGTGAGCGCGGCGGAGGGGGTTGACTAGGTGGTGCGGTGGTGAGATGCACCTTGGAACTTTTCAGTCTGCCACTGACAGCCCCAGAGGGCACCGCAGCCTGCAGTTCGACGCCCGTGCGCAGGTGCCAGGTGGGAGGATGGCGGCGGCGGCGTTCCCAAAGACCCGAAAGTCGAGGTCTCCCTGGTCCTTAGGGCTCTTTAGGCGTGCGGGTTGTTTGTTAGAGGCGTGCAACTAGCAGTGCTAAGGATTTTGTGCATCTCTTAGTACTGCTACCTCAGGCCCCAGACCACCAGGGTTGCATGCCTTAGGCTTTCCCACTTCCAGGCTGCTAGTGATCTGCTACGCCGTTCCGCTTCTCTGGTTGAAGCTAGCCTCGCCCAAACAGGTCAACTGCACCCGACAGGGGCCCAGGCGTCTGGGTTCCCCGGTAGGCACGGAACAGACATACGGCAGACTTGGAGCGAGAATCAACTGGCCGAATGGAAACAAATGCAGGGATTTGTATCAAGCCTGGGATTGTCCAAGCACCTCTCATGACTCGCTGACCGGTTTTGCGCCGGCATCCACGAAGTGGCTGTTACTGCTGTACTGTATACCTAGGTATTGTTATCACTTATGTAAATACTTCTCCAGGGAGTTCCCTCGGCCCCTACTAGTAGTCAATTGGGGCGTACCTACCTAAGCCACGACTACCTGTAAGCGAGCAATGACTGGGTCGGTGGGCGAAGACCTACCTACCTAGGCGGGTAAGGTATAGGCTATTATTTCATACGTAGGTACGTACAATGTAGCGAGGTTGACAAAAGAGACGGATGTGAGGCACGAGTCGAGGCAGCGGTCAGCTTCCACCGGCAAATCTGCTTCGGGAACTTCATACCATACCAGGTACCACCTGTAAGTAGTTGTAGGTACTTTCCGCACTCGCGATCGCACCCACATTTATCGATCATCCCCATCAGCACCTATCGCCACTGTATTTCGAGTCGACTCTTCAACTCTCACGACACACGTGCATTTACACGTCTCTCATGACATATGGCGTCGGTTCGTGCTGCCACACTGTATTATTGCGTTGGCAGCCAAGTGGCCATGACAGGGTAGTATCATAGCAGATCCTCACTCGATAAATCCACTCGTCCCAAGCTCAGACTCCACGGTGAGGATCCCCCGGCTTGTTGAGCCTCAGGCGACGGCTCTTGTTGGTAACCATAAAATATCCTGGTCCACTTGCATGGCTAGACTTATCAGACCCGAGCCGGTTCATCCTTCATTGGTGGTTCCGCTGTTTATATGCCTGCTGCTGTTTCTGCCATTGCAGGCAAAGCAAGAACTCGACCAACTTGAACTGTCCATTGTGACCTCGGGCGGCTCCCGAGCCCCATCCAGCTACTGCATGACATGTCCCACTGAGGATGACTCGGTCTGCCACTGCCCGGGCGCGCTCCAAGTTTGTCCACCATCACTCTTGAAACCGACACGGCGCCAGGGAAAAACACAGACCATCTGCCTCCGGCTCTGCTCCATTAGGAGCCTCACCTTGTACGCCAGAAATTTCCAAGGAGCAAGCTTTCACTCGAAGCTAGTTGTCGCGCAGTGTTCCTGAAATCTCTTCTTTGACAGCTTGCAGTGGGTTCCGTCTGGGCTTGGTCTTTTGCTCCTCGATACCCAGACCCGCAGGGGGTCCATCGGTAGCAGTAGCAGACTACGTTGTACTAGTGGCAGCAGTAGATCTCGTATGCTAAACCCTTTTGCGTTGTAGAGCGGGCAGACGTTATTTGACACTCTTCTAGATTGCCGATGAGGCTGCAGACAAACTGTGGCTTCTCTTCTGGCACTGCCGGCATACAACGGCATACAACGTACGGTCGCGTACGACAATAAAATGCACTGCAATTTCTGTCCCTCAGTGTTGCCCCGTCCCGCCATTTGATGCCGCTCTGATATGCAATGTTGAGGACTGTCCATCAGCGGACTGCTAGGTATGCAACAAACAACGGAGTTGTGTTTCGGTTTGCAATGCTGTCATGTGAACAGGGGCCGGGATGACTGAAACTGCTAGGACAAACACTGCCCGCAATAGAATGACCTGTCACTTTGCGGCAATGCATGATGTGCAACAGAAGCGCCGGCGTCGGATTCACTCGATAACTTGGATGCCTCGCTGTTCACTTCCATCGCTGGATCGCTGGGCCAGAAGCTCCAGACTGCCTCGAATTTACGTGCGCTATGGGGAGGAGTTGGTATGAGCAATCGAGTTTTGCCAAAGTACAGATCCCGGGCACCGACATTTCGTTGTCAGTGTGGGAGCATCCCGCGACTCTTCTGGAACTGACACCCATGCTGTGCTATATTTCGGTCTCTGTCAGCCTTTGACCCCTGGAGGATTCAGACGGTTAGTGTTGCTAGGCAGTTGTATCGCCAATCGCAGACTGTTCCAGAGTTGATCGAAAACTTTGCTGTTCGCCCGAGGTCATTCATTCGCTGCCCTTGCAACCAAGGTGCTTCGATCATCAGCACGACTGCATTAAATATAGTAAGGAAACGGATCCAAGTCGACGCTGTAACAATACTCGCAAAAAAACCAGCTCGCCTGTAATGACGATGCGGCCTTATCCCAGTAACCAACCGGTATATCGCCCCGCTGCATCAAGAAAATCAAGGCTGGAAGTCACATCAAACACAAAAATACACCGGCTGCTCGTTGATCCAGATCAGCGTTCACTTATCGCCGCCCTGTTTTCCAGTAACCGCTTCTTTCGCCTTGTCCGCTAGTGCTCGGATCGTGCCTCGGTCTTGAGACCCTCCACGATGGAAAGACTCCCTGCGCACCTTCTCGTTGTGACTTTTGGCTGCCTGGAGCTCCTCGTCCGTCGGCTTATACGTGTTGGCCATTCCGCCTGTTGCATAGTTAAGCAAGGTCTCTTGCATGTGCGCTTCACTCATACATACCTCTACCAGTGTGGAAAGATCCCTCAGGAAGGGTGATCCCTGGAACGTCAACGTCTTGGGCGCGCCGCGCTTCTTCCGGGTGGTCAAAGTCATTTTTGGCCATGTTGCCCGCACCGCCCCGACCAGTGGTGTACTTCTTGGATTTCAAGGTAGGCGTGCTTTCGGGCTCAAATCTAGGGGATTGGTCGTTCCTGGTGGTGACGTTGCCTACAAATCCGTTATTAGACCGGTACGCGCCTTTCTTTCAACGTTGGCGGGTTCTTACCTGCGCCGCCTCGGCCGTAGGTAACCGCGGAGCCCCCCCTTGACATCTTGAATAAATCAAACTGGTGGACCGGTACACGCGTATGTGATGTGGTGCTAGTAGAATCGGTCTTATATGGACGGATCGGATGCGAACTTGCAAAAGCGGGTGGCAGTGGTGTTGTGTTGAGAGGCGGGGTGTTCAAGGACAAAGGAGGACGGAACAATGGCGCGGGCGGGAGGGACTTCGAGAATAGCAGTGGTGATGGTGAGTAATAAAGCCCGCCCCAAGTGCTGCACCGAACTGTGTAGTAATGAATGGGAATAAAGACCCGGCGCCCTCTACAGGAAGTTGTAGTGCTACCTTTCGTGTGTGTCACTTAAAAGTCTGGTATGTTTGCATCATTTTGTCTTGCAGAGCGGAGGTCGCCTAAGGGAAAAGTGCCTTTGACGGTCACACGTGCGGAGAGAAAAATGACGCGACAGAAAAATGGTGGAGGATGCCTTCAGGCCTCGCTCAGCAGACTTTTTGGTGGCTACCTAAGGTAGATGGTAGGTACCACTGGCACCTTAACCACTAGTAGTAGGAGTAAGCCAATGCAACACAGGCAACATTGGCGGTCTGCGTCACCGTCAGCCTGATGACCTCGCTCAAGTCCTAAAGAAAGCTTCTAGGTGCCAGGTTCTTGCGGCTACATTCAAATTACTAGTATTGCTCCTCAATACCTTATCAAACTATCCGGCGCCTTGTTCTTCCTTGCATACTAATGTGGTACATTGCTAGGTCGCTACCAACTGGTCGCCGTGTGCGGACAGAACGAAGTTGAGTAGTCTTTCAGACAGACACTGCATGTAGGGACTCCGATCCTGTTGCTACTCCTGCCTTCCAGTGGCCACACCCCAATCAAGGGCCAAGCGGTCTCATTGCAGAACTTGGAAGTACGATGAAAAGGTTCTCTGCAAGACATCACATTCAAGTCATGGATACTTTCCTACCACTGCACTGCACATAATCGTACAACAACTTCTCGCTGCCCGTCCAGTCCTCGCAAGTTACTGCCAGTGATGACGCAAAAGCAGAAATATAGTACAAATTTGGCTGCGCTTAAATGGATATCAGCAACAATATGTGCCAATGCTATCATCCCAACGGCCATTCTTCCTCAGCCACTGACGCCGAGTGGATAGGAAATAAACACAGAATCAGAACTAGGACAAGTAGTAGTACTAATATAGTGGTAGATAGTACCTGAAATAATAAGCATCACCCACTTAGGCATCCGCTTACCGACAACCGCCCGCAATCTAGGCCTACTGGGCCCGTGGATTGTTGACCACCCGCCTAATCGTACACCCTCATGGGGGCCGCCACAGGCTGCTTCCCCGCCATTGGGCCTCCGGAATGCAGGAACCGCCGCCGCCGCCGCCTGCCTTACCGCGCCAATAATCCAGGCGCTGGGCGTGCTGGACTTTCCCATCCTTGTTCGTCCCCGGTTGAGGCTTCCTGCTGCTGTCACCCGTCGCCTGCATTGTAGCGATTGAGATGGTTTTTATCTCAATGCCTCAACCATGACCTGAGCTGGATTTGAATTTTTTTACACGTACGGGCGGCGAGAATCATCGTTGCTCTTCATCCTTATCCCCAGTATCCCTATCTTCTGTCGATCCTTTTGTGACATCCGTTGTTTGTCCTGTGGTCCTGAGCGCTCCTTGACGCACGCCTTACCGCAATACACAAGTTTGCCTGGACGAGCGAATTATGAGATAGCTGTCCTTCCACGAACAGAACAACAAACCTTGGTCGCCGCCTGCGGTGCCACGTTTGCATCATGCCTCCCAAGACTCACCAGGGGACCCGTCAGGTCTACTTCCTACCCCTCACCGATGCCGGTGCGCCAGATGTGCCTCATGAGTACATCTACCTGCCTGCGCCTACCGACCCTGCCTACTATTTGAGGTTCGCCATCGAAGGAACAAGTTCAATATGCCGGCAGGGAAGCCTCTGGGTGAACATCCCTGAACCGGGCCAGGCGTTTGATCGAAACCACTTTCGGGAGTACAAACTCCATCCTGACTTCAATCGGACTCTCGAAATAGACATTCCCATCACTTGTGCCGGAGCCTTCTCCTTCTATACCACCTACACACCTCTGCCCAAATTCTCGCTCGCCGATGTCGAGACCCCTCGGCCTACCCGGACACAAACCTACTATGTCGACATCGAACCCAAATTGTCGCTGGCTGGTTCAAGCCTGCCGTTGGACGCTTTGGGCATCTTCTCTGTGGTGTCCAAATTCATGGGCAAATATCCGGAAGATTGGGACCGGCACTTCAAGGGTATCAGCGCAAGAGGATACAACATGGTCCACTTCACCCCGTTGCAACAGAGGGGCGAGTCGAATTCACCTTACAGCTTGTATGACCAGCTGGCATTCGACTCGGAGCTCTTCCCGGGCGGGGAAAAGGACGTTGCCAAAATGGTGAAGTCAATGGAAGAAGAGCACGAGCTGTTGGGTTTGACTGATGTCGTCTTCAATCACACGGCCAATAACAGCCAATGGCTCGAGGAGCATCCTGAAGCCGGCTACAACGTGGTGACTGCGCCATGGCTGCAGTCAGCGCTTGAGATGGACGATGCTCTACTTGAGTATAGCGCCCAGCTCGAGTCACTTGGCCTGCCAACAACCTTCAACAATATCAATGACCTGGATAGGGCAGTTGAGGGGATCAAGGAACATGTGATCAACAAAATTCGCCTGTGGGAGTATTTTGTTTGCGACGTCAAATCTGATACGAAGGCTATTCTTGAAGCCTGGAAGAAGGGCAGCACCAAGCTGCCATCGGGTGGCTTCGAAGATGCCGTTGGCGGCGGACTTGATTCGGTGAAGTCGTGGTCGCTTTACCAAAAGGCAAATTTCCTCAAAACCAAAGGGTTGCTCCATGGGTTGCGTATCGACGGTCGCTTTTCCCGAAAGGTCGACCCTGAGATTGCCTCGGCAATGCTGACAGTCCTCTATGGGCGGTACGATGATGGCGCTGATATTCATGCCGTCGAGGACGCCACAAAATCAATCTTGAACGAGCTCAACCTCCCCTTTTACCGGGAATATGATGCAGACGTCGAGGCCATCCTTTCTCAGGTCAAAGGCAGATTAGAGTACACGAGATTGGATCCTAATGGCCCGCTGCTTGGTCCGGTCACCAAGGAGCACCCTCTGATCGAAACTTACTTTGCTCGGTTGCCACTGAATGAGACAACCAAAAAGCATGACCCTAGGTCGTTATCCCTTGCGGTGAACGGTTGGATCTGGGCTGCAGATGCCATGAAAGACAACGCTGGTCCGGACTGGCGACCTTATCTCAGGAGAGAACTCATTCCATGGAGCGACTGTGTCAAGTTGCGCTATGGCAGTGGACCGGAGGATAATCCGTACTTGTGGGAGCACATGACACAATACGTGCGGCTCATGGCAAAATACTTCACTGCGTTTCGCATCGACAATTGCCACTCTACGCCAATACATGTTGCGGAGTATCTTCTCGATGAAGCGAGAAAGGTCCAACCGAATCTTGCTGTGTTTGCGGAATTGTTCACCGGCAATGAAGAGACGGATTACGTCTTCGTGAAGCGGTTGGGTCTGAGCGCTCTGATCCGAGAGGCTATGCAAGCGTGGAGCACACAAGAACTGAGCAGGATTGTACACCGACACTGTGGTCGACCCATTGGCAGCTTCGAGATCAATGTGCCGCAACGATCAAAGACTGAAGCCAACTCCACGGTTAACGGAAATGGTCCGAGAACCAAGGAAGTTGTGAAGCATATTAGAGAATCCCCAGTCCATGCTCTCTTTATGGACTGCACTCATGACAACGAGATGCCGGCTCAAAAACGAGATGCCCGAGATACCCTTCCCACAGCTGCCTTGGTGAACATGTGTGCTTGTGCTACAGGCAGTGTGATGGGCTTCGATGAGATCTACCCAAAGCTTGTTGAGATCGTCCACGAACACCGAAAGTACACGTCACCGAGCTCTGATGGTACCGTTCCCACCGGTGCTGGTGAAGGAGGGATTGCTGGGGTGAAGAAGCTGCTCAATCAGATCCACACTATGATGGGCAAAGATGGATACGATGAGACATTCCTTCACCACGAGGGTGAGCTGATTACTCTGCACCGAGTGCACCCGGACTCCCGCAAAGGATATTTTCTCATCGCGCACACGGCGTTCCCAGGTTGTGGTAATGGAAATGGTGGCTTGAGTCCTGTGCACTTGGCAGGAACAAAAGCACGTCAACTCGGAGCTTGGGTACTTGAGGTGGACCAGAGCAGGGAAGCAAAGAAAGCCGCATTGGCTGACAAAGACAACCTGGTCGGGTTACCATCCCGGGTAAGGAACATCAAAGGTGCAACTATCACATCCGACAATGGTGACACTACTATCACCATTGCCGATTTCTTCCCACCTGGGTCGATTGCTCTTTTCGAGACTTGGGTTCCCTCTGCAGAACATTCTCTTGGTCTTGGAGCTTTCATAGCCAGTGGGACTGAGACAGCCTTCGGAGCGCTTGACCTGATCGACCTGAACTCGGTCCTCTACCGGTGCGAGTCCGAGGAGCGCGATTCGAGCATGGGTCAAGACGGAGTCTACCACATACCAGGCTACGGTCCGCTGGTATACGCAGGGCTTCAAGGCTGGTGGAGTGTTCTCGAAGGTATTGTCAGACGGAACGACCTTGGTCACGCGTTGTGCAACCACCTTCGCGCTGGGCAGTGGGCGCTGGATTTCATCGTTGGCCGTTTGGAAACAATCTCGAAGCGTGAGGGTTATTCCCGCCTAGAGGAGCCCGCAAAGTGGTTCAAAGAACGGTTCGATGCTGTGCGCATCATTCCAAGCTTCCTCTTACCGCGTTACTTTGCTTTGATTGTCCAAGTTGGTTACAACGCTGCTTTCAAGAGATCAATGGACCTGATGAGCTCAAACATCAGACAAGGCCAAGATTTCCTTCAGAGTCTCGCCGTGGTGAGCACACAAATGGAGGGATATGTCAAGACTGCATCCCTATGGCCGAATAAGAGTGTCCCTTCCCTAGCGGCCGGACTGCCGCACTTCTCGGTGGAATGGGCCAGGTGTTGGGGCCGGGATGTCTTCATCTCATTGCGTGGACTGTTTCTGTGCACGGGGCGATTTGAAGAAGCTAAGGAGCACATCAGAGCCTTTGGAAGCGTGCTGAAGCATGGATTGATCCCGAACTTGCTGAGCAGTGGCGCTGCTCCACGATATAACTCGAGGGACTCCCCTTGGTTTTTCCTCCAGAACATCCAGGACTACACCAAGATCGTGCCGGATGGGCTATCGCTTCTACAAGAGAAGGTGCCTCGCCGATTCCTTCCGTACGATGATACTTGGTTTCCGTACGATGACCCGCGCGCGTATTCGACGGAATCAACAGTGGAAGAAATCATCCAAGAAGTTCTGCAGCGTCATGCATCTGGATTGTCCTTCCGGGAACATAATGCTGGACCTGAACTGGACATGCAGATGAAACCTGAAGGATTCCAGATAGATGTCCACGTGGACTGGGAGACCGGTATCATCTTTGGAGGGAACCAATTCAACTGTGGAACATGGATGGACAAAATGGGCGAGAGCGAACGTGCCGGCAGCAAAGGTGTTCCTGGTACTCCCCGCGATGGTGCGGCGGTCGAAATCACTGGGCTCTGCTACAGTGCCTTGAGATGGGTATCTGAACTTTACAAGCAAGGAAAGTACCAGTATTCAGGCGTGAAAACCGACCAAGGCGACAATATTTCCTTTGCGGACTGGGCCGATCGCATCCAAGCCAATTTTGAGAAATGCTACTGGGTTCCTGCGGATCCCAAAGATGATATCCAGCACGATGTCGTTTCGAAGCTCGTCAACCGACGAGGGATATACAAGGACCTGTATCGGTCTGGAAAACCGTACGAAGACTATCAACTTCGACCCAACTTTCCTATCGCCATGACAGTGGCTCCGGACTTGTTCACACCTGAAAATGCGCTATTGGCACTGAAAATGGCCGACGATGTGTTGCGTGGACCTACAGGGATGGCGACACTTGACCCCTCGGACTTGAACTACCGACCCTACTACAACAATTCGGAAGATTCGACCGATTTTGCGACATCCAAAGGCAGAAATTACCATCAAGGTCCAGAATGGCTGTGGCCTACCGGATTCTTCTTGCGAGCACTGCTCAAGTTTGATCTCATGCGCCGTGCTACGCCAGCGGCTCGTTTGGAATCATATCAACAGGTGACGCAGCGCCTGGTCGGGTGTAAACAAGCGATCAAGGATAGCCCGTGGAAAGGGTTGACAGAGTTGACCAACAAAGACGGGACATTCTGTGCTGATTCGGTATGTTTTCCACTGAGACTCGTTTGTGGTCGATACTAACAATTGTTATAGTCACCCACACAGGCATGGTCTGCGGGCTGTTTGATTGACCTGTTCCACGACGCCATGTCATTGGCAAAGGAGATGGAGGAAACCGAAGTGAACGGGGCTTGAGACTAATATAGATGGGCCATAGACTGGAAACTAGACACAACGATGTGGGCTATCCATGGTGCATCGGTGCATGCATCGGAGCTCAAGAGCAGGAGACCAAGGTATAGATATTGGAAAGAGGGCGTGTGAATGGAGCAGCAAAGATCGACGGGGCCAGTGCCGTGGTTGGTGTCCAGCACCTGCACACAAAGAACCTACAATATAATAAGGAATGCCAACCTACTACTCCTCGTACCTACCAGTCTCGTTCAGCTGGTAGAGAGAACAACTTGAAGGGCAATTGATTTTTCATGTCGACAAGGCTGCGCACTCAGGGGCCGGTGTCGGGATGCCGGTGCCAGTGGTTGCGGTCTTTTCGAACTGTTTGTGGCCAATCGGCGAGATGGTAATGGTGTGCCATTGCACGTGTTGGAGTGGTATGTCCTGTAATCCACGTGATGTGTTTTCGGCCGATCGAGACCAACCTTGGAAGCTTTGTGGTAGGACCCTGTATTGCCATTGTACAGCCACTGTATTACTGTGGATTCGTATTGAGTGCCGGTCTCCACCCACCTCAGGTAATTAATTTTTTGAACCGTCACCGCCGCCCGCTCCATACAGGTAGTACCCAGAGGGAGTCACCTTTCCTGCGCCCTCGTCCTCCGTCGTGGTATCTTTCTTTCGGATTGTCTGTGATTGTGTTCCTGTGCTGCTTTGCGCTGCTTAGAGAATCATGGCTGTGAGTGTTTCCTGACTGCTACTATTCTATCCCTCTCGTCCACGATGAACCCCCACATGTCTTTCGACGTCTAGGACATTGATTAATGGAACCATGACGAGCACAGTCCTACTACATTACGAACCCGAACGTCGGCAACAGAGAAAGCTCGGAAGATTGGCGGAGTATGTGCCTTTGCTTGTCCCCTTTTTCCCACGGCGAAGATGAAGATCACAAAGAAAAGAGACATGGAACCGAAGAAACTCGCAATGATCTCTGTCTGACTCATATTGTTTCCCATAGTCCGGGGCTACAACCCTCTCACACCGCCGGATCTGCTCCAACATGAGATCCCCCAGACGGCAACCTCGAAAGCGACGGTGCTGCAAGGACGCGACGACTGCGTGGCCGTGATACAAGACAAAGACCCGAACCGACGACTATTGGTCATCGTTGGACCCTGCTCGATCCACGACCCTGTCTCCGCACTCGACTACTGCGACCGATTATTGAAGCTGAAGGAAAAACACAAAGATGACCTGGTGATTGTGATGCGGTCGTACCTAGAGAAGCCTCGCACGACGGTAGGATGGAAGGGGTTGATCAACGACCCCGAAATCGACGGCAGTTTCCTCATCAACAAGGGACTTCGGCTGAGTCGGCAGTTGTTCGTGGACCTGACGGACAAAGGAATGCCGATCGCCAGTGAGATGCTCGACACCATCTCGCCGCAGTTCCTGGCAGATTTGCTCAGTATCGGCGCCGTCGGGGCCAGGACCACCGAGTCCCAGCTACATCGGGAATTGGCGTCCGGCCTGTCTTTCCCCGTGGGCTTCAAGAACGGCACCGACGGCACGTTGGGCGTCGCCATCGATGCTATCGGCGCCGTGAGACACCCGCACCACTTCTTGTCTGTCACCAAACCGGGCGTCGTCGCTATCGTCGGCACCGTCGGCAACGAGGACTGCTTTGTTATTTTGCGCGGCGGCACTACTGGTACAAACTATGATAGGGAATCCATTCGCAAAGCTAAAGAGAACTTGGCCGCAAAGGGCCTCAGTCCCCGTGTCATGGTCGACTGTTCGCATGGCAATAGCGAGAAGAAACATACCAACCAGCCGAAAGTCGCGAAGGTTTTGGCTGATCAGATCGAGGAGGGAGAGGAAGGAATCATGGGTGTTATGATTGAGAGTCATATCAATGAAGGTGAGTCTACAAAAGTCAATGGTGATTGCTGTTGAGGTCGCGACAAGCTTCCCAATGTCCTCTCTCGACACAATAAATGACCCAGTGAATTTGCTGCGGGACTAATATATTGTCTAGGCAATCAAAAAGTTCCTCCCGAAGGCAAAGCCGGCCTCAAGTACGGCGTCTCCATTACCGACGCCTGCATTGGCTGGGAAGACACGGAGCAAGTGCTCGACATGCTGGCCACCGCCGTGCGCAAACGAAGAGAGAAACTCGGCGGCAAAATTGTCAATGGCGCCAGCCATTAATGGCACTCGTTGATGCGTCCCAAATTTCTGCGTTGCATTAGTCGAATGAGTGAGTGATGATGACGGACGGAATTGCGAAGGCACGGGAGGCTACGGATGCATGAATGACAAGTCGAGGAGACTACCCACTCAGTCAATTTTCTCGGGTGCCAAAATAAGATATGAGGGCGACGTTTTCAGCGAAAACTCAAAAGGCAATAGAATATGACAGACATTGCGGGAAACAGGGCCGGGCTCTCGCCTCGCCGGCGGATTCGGATCCAGGTTGTCAATGAACCGTTATGAACAAAAGGGGAAACGAAAAATAGCAAAAGCAGACTTGTACAGAGAGTGTACGCATGCGGGTGGTTTACTAGCTATGGATCTTTTGGCAAACCACGCTCGCGCACTGGTTTGAGGTTAGCTTTCCTTTCCGACCAGCAACGAAAATGCAAAAGTGAGAATGTTAATTCCAAAAACCGAGGATGACCTGAACAGTGATGAGCAGTACGTGTACCTTAGCCGGTCGACTACCTGAGATACAGCACATTGCCATTCCCAGATTACCTACCCAGATAGTAGTGATTGTGATAAAAACCCGACAGGTTATGTGTGTATGTCTTCCCTTAACCAGCCTATACACCGTGATAGGACTATGTATATGTACATTATTAAATGAACTGAATGAAATCCAATGCAAAGCAAGCACAAACTTTTTTTGCATGTTAATAAATAGGACAGATATATCCCGAGGTCGAGCAACATTAAGTACCTACCTACCTACCTACCTTTCGCAAAAGAACGAAAGACCTCGCTCTAGTTCTTCGCCTCCTCCTCCTGCTCCTCGGGGTAATAGAAGTAATAATTACCGTCAGCATCTTGAGCGATACCATGATAGGCGGTGTCGTCAGGCGTGGCGGGAGTATTCTGTTCCCCTTGCTGTCCAGCCCCAGGAGCCGGCACATCCCGACGCCGACGCCTCATCCCAACTCCCAAAGGCGTGGTACGGGCACCATCCTTGAAGTTCAAATTCCGAATATTGGGATTACCGACGACGAAGTCGAGCGGCTTCATGGTCTGGTGTTGCCACCATTTGAATTGCTTGATTTTGAAGCCGAAGCGACGGTCGAGTCGTTTCCCATTCTCGTTCTCATAGTCTTCTCCATCTTCTTCTTCGTCGTTGTCCACGTCAACGCCGCGGCGGGAAAGATGACCAGTAGCTGGCTCGTCGTCGTCCTCGTAGTCATAGTCGTAGTCGTCGTCGTACTCGTCCGACTCGGATGCCATGGGACCGTGAGCAGCGGCAGCACCACCATGGGAGCCAAAGCCTGGACCGCCGTAGTGCTGGCCCCGGTATGGATGAGGATGACCAGCGGCACCGGCACCAGGCCAGCTATGCGTCATTTCATTGCCATTGCTCGGCGCACCAGGGTGTTGTCCTTGGCCGGAAGGATGGTTCGAGGGCGTCCAGCGCTTCTCGACCACATAGTAGGCCTCGTCCTCAGGATAGTCCGCCTCCTCGGCATAGTGTACCGGCGCACCAGCACCAGACTCGGCAGTTGGATTAGGCGGTGCTGCGGGAGTCGAAGATGATGTTGCTGCCGCCACAGAATCGCCGGTGGTGGTCTGTTGAGGAGAGGGAAGCGCACCCACCTGGGCCACGGTGAAGGCCAGGATGGCTGCGACTGTTGATGCTGTCAATTGCATGATGAGTGTCAGTATCAGTATCCTCCTGATTGATATATATTGTTTTTCTTGTTTATCGTTATGGTTAATCAGAACGGAAAATCAAAGCAGCACGAGAGAATGACCGAAGCTTATGACTGGCCATGGACCTTTATACCAACCATCGAGTCTTGAGCCATCTTGCACAAAGAATCTGGCGGCGCCATGGATACTCTGCCGCAGCACCAGTCATTCGTCCTCAAAATTAATCATCAGAGAAAGAAGACACCAAAGACTATGCTCATAAAAATGATAATGTTGGAGACAAAGTTGCTGAAGACCAAGAGACGGGGCGGAATAATGAAAGGTCACTTCGATCCATCCCGGATATCGACTTCAATAAGGACCCAAAAGACAGCCTAAACTCAAAATCGACTTGAATAGAAGTTGTGGCCGCAATCGGGCTTGAATAACACAAGGTATGTCACCTTACCATGTTGGGACAGATGTCGGGCCCGAAACTAAACTTTTGACAAGACATGCGGAATCCATCTGGGGAGAAGGGTGAACAAATCATTGCAATTCCAGATGTCCGCTAAGAGAATGCTCTGAAACCATCCGCTAAATTGCTGCAAGGGGAAAACATGAAGATGATTGTAAAACCCCAATCTCGAATCTCAAGCATTTGCCCTCCTCTAAACTGCCACTGGCTCTCCATTCTGTTCCACTGTCGACTCGGTTGGTATTTCCTGAGGATGCTCCTTTTCGGCCTGAGAATGTTCCTTCTCGACTTGAGGATGTCCCTTTTCGGTATCAATGTGCGTCGCCTCCTCCTTGGCCATTGTGAGCGGGGACATGGCTGCTACTTCTGGCAATGAATCCTGGTCATTTGCACCCTCGTTCTCCTTATTCTCCTGTTCGTGGTGACAGGACGGCTGTAGGTGCATCTTCGGCGGTGCTTTGTGTTTGACAGCTTCTTTGGACTTGTGCGACGGGGCAACCTTTGGCCTCGGTGGACTGTTAATCTGAACCTTTTCATGGACCTTTTGAGCGCTGCTTGCCGTGGGCCTCATCATCCTTGCCAAGAACCCTTCATCTGGCTTGCTTGTGCTCACGCGTGATTTAGGTCTATCATGTCCGTTGGTCAACGAAGCACGCGACGTTTTCTTGGCCAGAGTAGTTGTAGTCGACGACGTGCTGGCTCGAGGTGGTCGTACTGACGTAGCAGAAGGCTTTTTGGCAATGGATTGACGCGGGTGAGGGTCTGTAGGTGAACGGTGTGCCTCAGTCCTAGCAGCAGATGCTGCTGTAAGTGCGGTAGCAGCCGCGGGAAGCTTGTTAGATATATTAGGTGATCTAGGTTTCACGCCGACAGAAGTTCTCGCAGTCTTGGGTGATGCTGGACCGGGTTGTTTCTGGGTATTCACCGGTGCTGGCTTGGGTTTTGGTCGGCTATCTGACTTTGCTGCGGCTGATGACGCCTTTTCGGCAGACTTGGGACCCTCGTGTTTGACGGCATCTCTGCCCTTCTGTGCCTCTTTTGCCGAGTCCATGACTCCTCTGATCTTCGCCGGGCCTCCTCTGATATGCGCCATTGGAGAGGTGGGGTTCTTGGGCGAAGGTTTCGAGGCAACAGGAGACTTCGGTGCTTGCTTTGTGATGGCCTGTCTTGTGGGAGGAGGCTTTATAGGCTGAGCAGTTTTTGTCGTCTGCAGCACCGTGGTGGGCGGAGGCCCTGGCTTGCTCTCCTTGCTAGCATCTATCTTCTGAACCATCTCCGCAGCCTTTGTATCGTCTTTTGAATTGGATGGCGCCGGGGTAGGTTTGTCGTGCAATGCACCAGAAGACAGAGCAACACCTAAGTTCCGCGCATCTGAAGTATCTTTCCTCGGTGTGCTTTCGACAAAAGCGGATCCCTTCAAGATATTACCAAGTCCACCTTCAACAGGAGCAGCATCTGGTGGTGATTTTTCTGTCTCCGCTGCAGCGTCTGTCTTTTCTGGAACTTGTGTCATGCTCGGCGGCTTCTCAGGCTGGCTGCTGTCCATCGTATGATTCTCTTTATTCTCACTGTGACTGCTCAATTGACTGGGCCTCCGCATAAGACCGACAATCGGCGCACTTCCGTTTTCCCCTGGTCGCTCGACTGCAACAAAGCTCGAGCGCACTTTGCTGACAGGTCTACTGTTGTTGGAGAGTTCGGAGGGGTTCGGAGATCGACCTCGACTTGGGGGAGACGTGGATTGGTCGCTGGCCTTGTTCTCGAACATAGCCCGAAGGTTTCTGACTCCGCCGCTTCCAGAGTTGGCCGACATGACTGTAGATGCAGTTGCGATCAGCGATTAGAGTTCAAACTCAGGGCAGGAGAGTGACAGGAACGAGCGGCCGACAGAAAATTCGAAAGACACCCTGCCCACCGGAATCACATCTAGGGCCGCATCTCGGACACAAGTTGAACTGTACAAGTACAATTGACAGTTGGATGCTAGAATCAAGGTGGATCCGGGGTTGGCGTGCACGCATGATGTGAGCAGGGGACAATGCGAAACACGTTTCAGGCCACAGTGCACTGCTGTTGCATCGCTGGGGGCCAGAGCCAGATTAGACGTGGATTGCTACTTACACCTCTTATTTGTTTGATGCCCAAAAGATTCTAGCCGTGCGGGTGGTTGTCCTCCAGAACTGGTTGAACTGCCCTGCCAGTGTGCCTTTGCATTGGATCAACAACGCGTCAAGCTGAGAGTGACACCGACACTGGCAGCTCCCGATCCGTTGCCTTTCAGGGGCGCGTATTGTCCACTCTGGCGGGCGCTGCACGTGATCTAACCCTAATGGTTCGGAACATCATTACTCCGGTCTTGTGATGCGATAAGCACCCGCTTCAGGCTGCGTTCAAGTTGTGGTCAAAACTGCAGCGGACTCTGACCTGCGACAACAGAAGCTAACAAAAGAACAGTACTAGTCCAACGCATATCGTTTGTATTCATTCCACGAAATGAGGCATAGTCCATTCGACAGCTCTCCCCAGACCCTGTGGTGAAGTCTATCTTGGCATCCGCTGCCCCCCTTCGTGAGCATGTCTTACAAGTCTGAACTCGATCCCCTCCTCCCACAAAACGAACCTGCCCCAGAGATCCAAGGCTATGGTGTCTCAAGTAAGAGGACGCCAGGCAAGGTGAACTCATATGAGGCCCAGCCATACGACTGGAAAGATGGAGAACAGGCCAATGATGACGACGATAGCCAATCACTACCACTGACGTCGGCTAGATCTGCCCTCAGCACCATTGTCTCGATATTCACCATCGTTGTATTTGTGGGCTTTGTGATAGCTCTCTTGGGGCCCAGCTTGCAGGACCACAACCCTCTACCAGTTCCCAAAAAACCTCCTCGAACGATCCCCGATCGAGTGAGCGCCATTCTCGAGCGAACTCCATTGCTTGATGGACACAATGATCTCGCAATTTACATTCGAGCAGCATATAAGAATCAGATAAACTCGGATAAGTTTCGGGATGAGTTCGAACATGGTGGCATGAGCGGCAATGTTGACCTCCCGCGGCTAAAACAAGGGCAAGTTGGAGGTGGTTTCTGGAGCGCCTTTGTGGCCTGTCCAGACGATGCAAGTGACGACTTCTCAGACGAGACCTATTCCACTGCTGTGGCGCACACGCTCTCTCAGATCGACCTGGTCCGTCGGTTACAGAGCCACTATCCTCAGAATTTTACTCCTGCAACAGCACCACTATCCGAGGCCCTGTCCAACTTTCATGCTACCCGTTCCCTGATCTCCCCAATCAGCATTGAAGGATTACATCAAATTCCACAATCTGCCCCTTTGTCCACTCTCCGTTTGTATTATGCTTTGGGTGTCCGCGCTGCCACGCTCACCTGGAATTGCCACAATGCTTTTGCCGATGCGGCCTTGATTACACAAAGGGGTGAAACAACTGTCGCCCCCTACCATCGTGGAGGGCTCACACCAGCTGGCAAGGAGGTCATTCGTGAGATGAACCGCCTCGGCATGCTCGTGGATATTTCGCATACCTCATACTGGACTCAAAAGAGTGTCCTGACCAACAAAACTTCGGCCGCTCCCGTCATCTTCTCACATTCGTCTGCTTTCGCACTATGTCCGCATCCCCGGAATGTCCAGGATGATATTCTGGACCTGGTGAAAGAAACCCAAAGCTTGGTGATGATCAACTTCGCCCCAGACTTTATTTCCTGCCTGCCACCTCCCAACTCGAGTGTGCTTCCTGAGTTCTACGAGAAGAACAATACCTTGCACCAAGTGGCTCGACACATTGTGTATGTAGGCGAGAAGATTGGCTACGATCACGTCGGTCTGGGAAGTGACTTTGACGGAATGGGGGAATTGACACCAAGGGGTCTAGAAGGGGTAGATAAATACCCTGACCTGGTCGCTGAGTTGCTAAAAATGGGGGTCAGCGACAGGGATGCCGCGAAAGTCGTGGGCGGCAATCTTCTTCGGGTTTGGAGGACTGCGGAAGGGATTGCAAAAGGACTACAGAAGAAGACGCAGGAGGGTGAAGATGAAGTGAGCGGATGGTAGCCGGTCTGAGGTGCACAATGCCAACAATGACAGCGGCAAGTCATTTTGATAGAATCTAGTTTTAAACATGTCCCCAGAGATATCTTTGTGCCGTCATTGGATGGTTTTGGTGGTGTTCATCAAAGAATGACGACTAGACGACTTTATAGCGCTGCCTTACATTGTAATATCATTGACCTAGAGTCGGCTGGGGAGAGGATAAGTCCACGGTGTGATTACCTCGCTGAACTCGTAGCCATGGCTGCCGAGGTTCCCCGGATTTGGGGTTTTGTGATTATTGATCACGAAGTGAGGGCGTCGGACACTGAAACCTTGAGGATGCATAACTGGCCAACGTAAACATCGGCCGTAAGCATCATTACATATTGTCCTTCTCAGACGGGCAGCATGACTACGGCATCGAGTCTACAGAAGCCAGGCCAGCGCCCGATCCGCCTACCTCATCCATAGGCGTCATTGTGTCTTATTAAGGCACACTGCAGCAACAGCTGAGTTGGTCAACCAACCCACATCTACAACACCTCTCGAACAAAGCGAGAGCGAGATCATGTCCAAGAACACAAGCAACAAAGCCGTCCTCGCCGTCGTCGGTGCAGGCCCCGGCATAGGCGAAGCAGTCGCCCGCCGCTTCGCAGCCGAAGGGTTTATTGTCGCACTCCTAGCACGGACCGAATCCAAACTACAGAAAATGGTATCCGACATCGACGACGACCACGGTCCCAACACCGCACACTACTACCTCACCGATCTACGCGAAGAGACTTCTGTCATATCCAGCTTCCAACGGATCCGCGAAGACCTCGGTCCTGTGCAAGTCATGGTCTACAACGCGGGCGCCCGACGAGTCAACGGCCGGTCGGTCCTCGACACTACATCTGAAGAGTTCGAATCATTCACCAAAATCAACTTATACGGCGCGTTTTGGGCGACCAAATGTGTCTTGCCGGACATGTTGGCCGCCGGCCATGGTACGATCATCTACACGGGCGCCACGGGCTCCCTACGTGGAAACCCTGGCCTCAGCTCCTTTTCACCAGGTAAATTTGGTCTGCGGTCTCTCTCGCAGATTGTTACTCGCGAGTATCAGGAAAGGGGTATCCATGCCGCACATGTCATTGTCGATACCCCTGTTGATGGCAAGTTGATCGGTGGGTGGTCGAGGCGCCAGTGGCAGCGGACTGGACAGGCGGAGAAGTTGGATGATGTCGATGCTCATCTTGCGAGGCCGGCGGATCTTGCGCAGATTTATTGGTTTTTGCATTCCCAGCCTAGGAGTGCTTGGACGCAGGAGTTGGATGTTCGGCCGATGAAGGTTAGTATGTTTTCGAAGTTGTAGATTGTGACTGGGAGAGGAGAGGCGTGGCTATTTAAGGCAATCAGACTCGCTTGTAATGGTCGGTTCCTCCGCGGAGTCAAGGACCAAGGAGCTGGCTGGTTAATATGATTGGATTTTCTTACAATGGGACGTTGATAGCCGTGGGAGCATTGAATGTGTTGCTCGTTTGCACCGTGAACGGGGCGGTCTATCTTGCTTGAAGTCGTGTAGCATTGTTATTGTGGACTAAAAGCAAGTTTTTCATGATGACTATTCTCAACCGAGTTGTATTTCGCTGCGTCTGAGTTACAGCATATGGTCGGGCTACGTCTGTAAGGTCTGCCAGAACACATTTCTGTACGCCGGCCATTCGGGCAGATTCTCGGCTCGACTGAGACTATCCGTCAGCATGGTCTCAAAACAAGGTCCGAGGACATGCGTCGATCTGTTAAGAAGCATGGGGTTCTAGTTGCCGGCTGTTGAAATTAAGAGAAATATTGATTAGTCGTCGGTGTATGAGCGTAGTACACTACGAAAGTTAATATGGGGTTCTATATTTTATTGGTACCTCGGCACAACAACATTGTCATCCTTCCTTAAAGGCACCGCCGGTATACGGCTCCTTCTCTCGATGTATATCTGGCAATCTGTGTCGTCAAATAATGCAGCTGTCCTAGTATCAAGACTGCATAGTTGCAGGATAAAACACAGCAGAACCAGAGGATAGGGCTTGAAGGAGCAGTCATCGGTCACAGATTCTCTTACAAAACTGCCACATACCGAAAAGCAGACTGCTCCTCTGATTACTACCCAGTCCCAGCCAAAATGGGCAAACCAGCCGGTGGAAAATTGACCATCTACGTCGACTGTGGTGAGTGTCTGGCCAACCAGCCTCAGCATCGGTGGTAGTAACATTCGAAACCAGTGTCCCCCTATTCCTGGTTCGGCTTCACCAACACGATCCGATACCGCCCGCTCCTCAACGCATATGGAGTATCCGTCGACATCATCCCGTTCTTTCTGGGAGCTGCACGAGACAGTGTGGGCAACAAGTTCACCCCGACACCGAAAGCCAAAGAGGCATTCGCGAAGCAAGACTCGGAGATGACAGGGGAACTGTTGGGCCTGAAGGTTGTGCGACCTAAAGAGTTCCCCATCTTGTCCCTTTTTGTACGTTACGTGCCCAGACCAGATTTCCATTGTTCATTGCAGGAATGTAAAGATATTGACCCATTCTCCAGCCCGTTCGCGTCGCTACCTGGGTCAAGGATTATTATCCTCCGGAGAAATTCGAAGCCACGTTTCCGGCATTGAGCTCGGCATACTGGAGCAAAGGCATCAACATATCGACTCCAGAAGGTGTTCTTCAGGCTTTGGACGGTATCTTCCCTCCTGAAGAGATCAAAGAAATCATGCAGAAGGCCGTGTCTCCTGAAAACAAAAAGCGAGTCGTTGAATTGACCATGAGTGCTGGAGCCTTTGGCGCTCCGTGGATTGTCGCCGTGAACTCGGACGGTGTCAGGAAAGACTGGTTTGGAAACGACCGGTGGGATCAAGTCTTTTATCACCTTGGTGTTCCGTACAGTCCGGTAAGACTCATACCTCCGGAAGAACTTGAAGCGAAGGCGAAATTGTGAACATTTAGCTCTCGGCGTGTGGACCACTGTACTCTCCGCTCGTTTCTGGTGGCAGGTCGTGAGCAGAAGCAGTGGATTTCACGGATTCTGCTGAATAAACGAGGCAAAGGATGAAGGTCTGGGCCGTGGTGAACTCGCTGTGGCAATGTCCAGGCCAGCGTAAGAGCCACTTCGAGTCCGCTGTGCGGAACCGCAGAAGAGCACACCAATTCCCAAAATGGAGGACGAAGTTGAGGAGTCTCTGGCACGATATCACGCTGGCTCATGACCTCTGTTAGCCAAGTGCCTGAAGACTCGATAAGTTGAACCAGGGTGTGCTCCCTCCTCAATAGCTTTGCTGTCATGGGGAAGAGACATCAACTTCGGTCGAGCTCTTATGCCTACCTCGGTACGGTATTGGCGTTGACCACTCGCAGCTCCAAACACACATCTGGAGAGGTTGCTATCGAGATGAGATGAGTTAATTTTTTCTGTTCTGGAGGAAACGAGCCAAGATACACTGCTGGCTCTGAGGCGGATGGACTGATATCAATACCTCATCATCCACTTTGAGCTTCAAGCATCGGTGGCTGAAGGATGTCTGTCGAGGTTAGGAGAAAGTAATTATGTGGTGGGTGATGCTAGGTCTGCTCAGTCAATATGGTGTTTTCGGTGTGTACAAGGTAACGATGATTTCTGTTTTCCATGATGATCAATGAAATGCTTTCACTATTGTTGCTCCTTGTCGGTACTGCCAGCCCTCTCACCGCGTGAACGTCTATGAAGCCTTCAAGTTCCCGGTGCTTTCAACAAAGCATGAGACAGTGTGCCAGTGTCTGAAAGATTTCTGTGCCCCATCTCCTACTGTGCACTATCCACCCACTCACTTCCTTTTCTCATCTTCGCAATATCCACCACCACCTTCGCGCTGCCCTCTATCCATCTCTTTTTCCCTCTCGCGCGCCCTCACCGGCGCTGCCGTGCCAGTCTCTTGACAATCCCGCACGGCTAAGCGACGGTCTATGATGTCGTCCAACGAGAAAGGCCTTCATAGGCGCAGCCGCAGATCTAGATCCGCTCGTCAACCTCACTTCGCCTTTATCCGAGACGATGACCTTGATGAGCACGATCCTTTCCTCCCATTCCCGTACTCGTTGCACACCATGGATCCTCAAATCGAATCTTCGCGTGCCAATGATCCAGACGACTCCTCGGAGCCGTTTGATCCAAACATGGTGATCCACGTCGAGCACACCGTCACGGTCGAGTCAGTCTACGAAGAACCGCTGGAGACTGACCCAACACCACGACCCTTCGGCGACAACAGCGGATTCTACCAAGCCACCGTCTCGGCAGCCTCGCAGCTCGCGCGAGCCATCCTGACCGGACCAATCCCTCAAATAGAAATCGAGGATGCCGATGCCGATGCCGCTGGTCTGCCAATGACTCGTCCTCGCAACCGAAAATGGATCTGGACCGCGGCGCTGCTCGCAGCAGCTAATATCATAACATGCACAGTGGACAGCATGATGGCAGTGATGGTTCCGACCATCGCCTACGATCTCGACGTCCAGGGCTTTCAATGGCTTCTAGCAGGACCAGCAATCGGAGCAGCGGCCTCGGTTCTGGTGGCAGGCCAGATCTACGCTGTCTTCCCCTTCCGCACCGTCTACACATTGTTTGCACTGCTTCTTTTGGTTGGCATCATGTCGCCTGGCTTCGCGTCCTCGTACATGACCATGTTCTTCTACAGCCGCATCCTCATGGGTATCGGGATGGCAGGACAACAACTGGGCGCGCTGATCTTTTTAGGTCATAACGGTCGATTCATGGATAAAGTGCGCCGCGACTTTTTCGTCTCGGTCAGCACCGCCCTGGGCTTCATCGTCGGTCCTATCTTCGGGGCCATATTCGCGCATCGCAACAAGTTCTGGAGCTGGGGCTTCTACACGGCTGCATTGGCCCTGACATTCATTCAGATCGCGGTCATCGCTCTGCTCCCACATAAGTTCGACACCGGGCTGTGGACCGTCGGGGACGCGGTGATTCTGTTTGGACGGCGCATGATTCTGCGAGTCGACTTTCTCGGCTGCTTGCTGGGATTCTTCGGCCTGCTGACCGTCCTCATCACCTTCAACCTCGCGGGCACTTGGATCCACTGGTCCGACGGATCTCTGTATGTTCCCCTAGGTCTGGGCGCCCTGTTGCTGGTCCTGTTCGGCATGCAGCAGTACTTCAAGGTCTGCGCGTCGAACTCGACCATCCTGTTTCCCACGCAGTATCTGCGCTGCTTCCAAACTAGTGTCTTGTTCATCTTGACATTTTTGGTGTCTGGCGTCTTCCAGTCCGTCCTGGCATACTCGGCGCTGTACCAGCTCTTGACTCGGCAGAATCCGTCAGAAGTGGCTACGGGCTTTTACCTCCTCTTCAGCATGACCGGACCATACTTGATCCCACTGATTCTGGTACCTCTCTATTTCGGCGGTGGACTTATCAAGATCTATCCCCGCGCCGCAAGCTACGGCATGTGGAGCGTCGTTGTCTCGGTCTTTCTGGTGCTCGGCACAGTGATCCTGTTCATCAATGGACCTGGTATTCTCCCGGGCGACGGCAACGGCATGCCCACGATCGCGAAACAGTTCGCCCTTGCATGTATCGGTTTCTGGTCCGCAGTCACTCTGCCCCTGGCGCATCAAATCCTCGACGTCTTCCAGCCTATTGACCGCCCCAATCCAAGCCAGAAACATCCTCACCACAACCGGGCGTTTATTCTCTTCGCAACCTATCTCGGCGCAGCAGTCGCGTTGACAGCTACAGGTTCGGTCTTCATGCAACTCGGCCCGCGTGCCACATTGTCCCTGCTTGAAAACCATCCCGACGGATACCAATCCTACAACGCTCCAGCAGCCAACGAAGAGGATGCTCAGATTCTCATGCTCGGCTACACTTTTGTTCTCGAGGGCGTCACTCCGGCCTTGTTCATCGAGACCATCAAGGTGATTGAGAAGACTTTCGAATGGGCTTTTGCTGTTCCAATGGCCTTTGCGATCCTCATGCTTCTGTTGAGCACGGTTTATCTGGTCATCAAGCTGTACAAGGACGGCTGGAATCTGGTGACCTTGAAAGAAGCAGGTGTTCCTGACGAGTGGCGCGAGAGCGAGGGCAGAAACAGCGGCGGCAATCGTCAAGCGTCAAGTCGTCTGCAAGTCGAGGCCGGGGGACGGGTCATGGAGCTCGACGCGAGACGCGGCAGCGGTCACTTTGGCACTGGCACCGGCACTGGCACTTCAACCACTGTGATCGAGGGCCCTTTGACCCCAAGAATGCCTTGATCGAGCAGAACAGAAGACGCCGTCGGTAAAGGAGATGGCGGAGACGACGCAGTCAGTGCCGCGGCGGAGTGTAATCAGGCGAGATGAATGCGGCGCAGCTCCTGGCTTTGTTGCCGGAAGCGCATCAAGGCCGAGCTTTATCACATCGAGATGCTCGACCTCCGAGGAGGTGGATGGGCCGACAACCAGTCGCCACAACCATAGCCGCAATGAGAGAAGCCTGATTCCAAAATGAAACATTAATGTTTTGCCAAAAAAAGTAGAGATCTTTGCGTGCTTGCTCTTCCCATGGGGTATCTATCCGTCTCGCCTGACCAGACCACTGTAGCTGCCACTGCCAGTAAGTAGATAGGTCTAACACGACAACGTCTCGCCAAATTAACCCGCTCAATGCGCTTTTCTTTCTCCAATGACCACCTCAACGCCGCCCTCCTAATTGCATAACTCATGATTAAGGTACAGTACTATGCGTTTATATCTTGCCAGAGGTCCAGTGCTCAATCCACCCCTCCATCATCTTCATCATTATCGTCATTGTCGCTGTCATTATTTTTGTCATTAATTTCGAGTGTTCCGAGTCGGTCTTCTATTCCGTCTGTCTTCTCGGTAGAGGCGGTACCTTCTTTCGCTTCGGTCTGGTCCAACTCGTCGCCAAAGAGCAACGTAAAAAGCACGACGGCGTAGATTTCGTCGGTGGACTTGTTTTTCAAAGTATACCGCAGCTCGTGGGTTTTTGAATCGACGTACCCAATAACATTCAGACTGAAGCCCGGCAACTTGAGGGAGAAATCATTGAAGTCGAGATACGGATTGCCAAAGTCGGCCTGATACAGCCGGCCTGCCTCGAAGACAAAATTGTCGCGATTGGCAGGATTCAAAAAATACTTTTTGCGCGCGGCTGAGGTGTCGGGAATGCCTGCGTCCTTGCGAAGCTGGTCGCCGGAGCCCTCGCCACCTTCTTCCACGACGGTCTCGTGGAACGAAGTGGCATTGGGGATTTTCCAGGCGCTACTCCTGTTCTTGTCGTTGTTGTCGGCATCATGAGTATTGTCTTCCTCTCCCTCCTCTTTGGTTTCGTCTATCACTTTGTCACCAATGCGCAAGATGTTCCAACTGCTCAGCGCCGGACCGAACAAGTACGGCTTGTCGGCGTAGACGTCGCCCTCGAGGCCCGGGTCGATCCACCACTTCACGATCCGAAATGCCTGGTTAAACCCCGGCGGCAGACGGTCGCGGATCGGCCGGTCGAAGTCGTTACCGAAAATCAAGTCGCTGCCGGGGATATCGACTTTGGGCACAAACGAGAATGCGATCGAGTATTGGTCGTGTTTGTGCAGGTCGTGCTCAAAGTATGCTGATGTCTCGGGCGAGTCGTCGGGAAAGCCTGTGAATCGTCGGATGCGCACCGCCAGCGATAGGATCATGTGCTCGTTCTCAAAGGTCAGTGTCTCGTCTGCGTTCACCGGCACCAGTTTATGTGTCGCTGGGTCGTGTGATGGCCCGGCTGTCACTCGTAGTCGATATTGCTGGTGGTTCGCCGCTTGGTCTACTCCTGCCTCTGAGGAGGACGAGCTGGATGATGATGTGTCGGACATTTTTGATGTCGGTCAATTCTAGAATGGAAAGTTATTCACGGTACAAGTGTAGGTAGAACAAGATCTGTATATGCGCGGGCCTAGTCTGGTGCAGTGGTGGAGAATGTCGATCGCAAAGTGCTTGAGTTTCTTGGGGTGCGCAACGGAAATTGATGATTGCAATATTCAAGAAAAATGTTCGGCCGGCGGTGACGTCAATGCATCAACTGCGCCATTGGGCGTGGCCTTTTCGGGGTGTATGTACTTTTTATCATTGTAGAACCACGCAGGAGCACAGAATATAGTATCTGTATATATTGGTAGGGTTGACCTTCATTGCAATCGTGCCAGTGTAGCATGGGAACGCGGGAAGTGCACTTAGTAGCAGTTGCAAGAAGTCCGGCTTTATTACAGTACTGTATCTTCTGCAAGCCATCGGTCACGCGCACAACCCGTTTACTGGTACTGCAAGGCTGGGCCACACCCGTTACAGTGGAGTAATATGCGGTAACCATGATGGCAGTCTGTTTCTGCAATGACACCAGATGTAGGTGGTTGAACCGAAGAGTGGTGTAACATGGAGGTGCTAGAATGGCAGCAGCTTGGGCTCCCAGTGGTGAGGTATTTGACGAACACTGGCAAGGAGGGAAACCAGCATCCACCTCAATCAGAGACAAGCTTGAAGATCTTGCCCAGTCGGCGCAGCCCACAGCGTTTAGGCCCAGCTTCGTCTTCACGGGTCCGGACTCCATACCCCTCCGTGTCATGCAGTGCCTGGCATTCTATTGCAAGGGAATCATGCAAGCATGGCTAGTGCTGCTTTGGCTGGAGGCACGGTATCTTGGGCCGGATGACACATTGCCGACAAGAGCACAGCAAGAACAGTCTTGCAATGCCACGAGATAGCTTGAATTGCTTGTGTTCATCGTCGAACAAGGGTGCAGGGAGGGTCTGATAATGGCATGGCTGCTCGAGGCCTTCGACGGCGGTCAAGGATGGACGTGGTCGCGACGAGGTCGCAGGCTCTGGTGTGAGCTGGCAGGCACACCAAGGCTCAAAGTGCGATGTGGCTTTTGGGCCACGTCGGTTGTAGACATTCAAGGCCAATGGATGAAGAAAGTGAAGAACATTGTGAAACGCGCAACTGCAACGCGAGACACGAAAATCACGCCGAGACGCGTCCGGCTGCCTGGACAGGCCACTAATCCCAATTTGGCATTCTGTTTGGGCCAGCGTCATTGTTTACCCTCCAACCCTTACACTGCACACATTTTCTAAGGTACACCTCGAATCCACCAGCACAGCCCGCCTCTGCTTCGGGACACGATCTCGTATATAAGCAGCATCTGGATCCCATAGCTTGTCGACCAACTGTGGCATCTCGACTCTGGTTCAGCACACCATCATGATTACGCGGTCGAAACGGCCGAGCTCGGCAATTTCTCCGGTCAGGCCAACAGAGGAGCCCGCGCAGAATCATGCAACAACACCGTCAGCAAAGAGACCAAAGAAGAAGGCTCGCTTCTCGGATACTGCCCTTCTCAATGGCACCACTGGTCTTACACCTTACGTGGGGAAGGCTGCCCTCGCAACTCCGAAGCGACGAGCCTCAACTCCAGCGCCAGCCCGTTACCCGGACCAAGAGGAAGTTCAATTCACTCCTTTTAGAGAATGCCTCGAACCAAGAACCATCAGACGAATGAGACGCCATGGCCTGAGCGATGAGATGAATCAATTCTATGCCGACCAAAAAGCCAATGATGCTCTCCAGAGGGAATTGGACAGCAAAGATGCCGAGCTGAAGAAACTCAAGGCAGAATTGGAAGAAGTTCGCCGGTCAAGTGCATCTTTACAGATGATCCCAACCTCAAGCCAAGAGCAGGTCCGCCATCTCGAAAGTGAGATTGCACATCTAGAGCACAGCATCAGCTTCTCCAGCGCCAACTCCACATCGCGACATCAAGGATCACCAACCAGAAGCTCTCCTGAACCCGCGGAGCAAGGCGATATCTTCCAGATTTATGAGGATGAGAACGAGAATGCCGTGAACCAGGACCAGCTAGCGGACGGGGAAGATGCCCTCACCATGGGTTTGGAGCTTGAGTCTGCACGTCAAGTCAAGGAAGCATTGTTTCGTTCAAGCCAGGGCTCTTCCACTGGTGACCTGCACTTTGAAGACTCCCCCGTGCGTCCCAGCAGCATGCGAAGAAGCATCCCTCGTTCCCCGCGTGAATTCTATCATGATCTGTCGAAACAACTAAAAGTCGCAACGAACCGAGCAGAGGAAGCAGAACTGGCGCTCGAAGCTCTAAATACGGAGATCAAGAGCTTAGGATTTCCTTGCAACGACGACTCTACAGAATGCATCTCTAACATCAAACACCACTTTCGGCAGATGCGTCTGGACCTCGAACATGTGGTTCCAGGAGAAACAGCCGGCTCTTTCGACAATGCCAGACTGATACCAGAGATTATCTCAAAGCTGAAGATGTTGGCCCAACGAGTGCGTGATCGAGAGGCCGAACTCAAATCAATGAGAGACCAACAGCGATGTCTCAAAGGTAACTTTGATCATGCCATCATTGCAGCCGAAAAAGCCAACAATCGAGTCAAGGAATTGGAGGATGTGATAGACAAGAACGCCGAAGACTTGCTACATCAAAGAATGAGAGCACAAGCTCTGGAACGAGAAACCAAGGAGCTCGAATCCAACAACCGGTCTCTCATCAACGCCATTGAAAAGTACCGGGAAGAGGTCAAGAGACTGGAAGAACTTGTCCAACTGATTGAAGCCGAACAAGCTTCAAGGCTGCAGGATGTCCGGGCTGCCACTATGGCCGAGCTCAACCAACAGATTTCCGACATGGAGGCCAAAGTGGCGGCCGAGTCTCGCGGACGACGAGCAGCTGAAGAATCGGCAGTCGACAGATTGCGCCGAATCAACGAACTGGAAGCCGACATGTCCGCCGCGCGACAACGCTCGGAAGACGTTAGGGAGAAATTGAGCGCTCTGGAGGCGCAACTGGCATCCTCGAACCGCAGCCGCGAAGAAGAGGTTGGCGGCTTGAATTCTAGAATCTCCAGTTTATCCACAGCCCTATCTTCGGCCAACGCAGAAATCGACAAACTTCGAAAGATCAACGTTAAGCTCGAGGATCGGTACCGAAGTGAAGTCGAGCATAGCACTCAAGCCGTGGAGCGCATGCAGACCGAATGTATCCGCAGCGCCACCAAGATCAGCGAGGAACGAAAGAGCTACATCCGTGCCGCAAAGGTGCGATACGCCAATTGGGAATTGGAAAGCGATGACCTTGTCTCTGACCCAGTCATGGGACCAATGACACCCGCGAGCATTGTTCGCTTTTCGGATGTCGCTGATGTCGATGATGGCCCAGACGACGATGACCATGTGCCGGGCAGTGTTGAGATGAGCAGAGGCAAGAATAAGAATCGTCGTCGACAAACTGGCTCCGGCTCAGGCTTGGGCATTACGCCGAGCATGGGGATCATGAAGAAGCGAGGTCGTCGACGCTATGATAGCGGCATTGGCATGGAATCGTTGAGCGAAGTCGACGAAGACAATGCTGATACGATGACGCCGGATTTGAGCTCTGACCCAGATGTCGATGTCGATGTCGATGTGATGGCTTGAGCCAGGTGCAGGTCATGCTGACCGCCATTTCTATGAGACGTTTGAGTTCGACTTTGGAGTTTTTGGTCCTTTCTGGATGTGCTTGGCTTACCGCGGACTGGTTACACTACGCTCACTATACACTTTTCTTTTGTTCATGGGAGCACGGAGTATTGGGGCATGGACCGGTGTCGTGTTGGATGTACAAATGCATTGGCGATGGTGTCTAGAACTTGCGGATGACAGAGTCGGCGTGATAGTGTCAGATTTACATATCTTAAGGCTTCAAGTTGCAATTGTATCCAAACACCGCTCTGAAAGTCAAGTTCTCTGCTATTCCAATTGGTTTCTCTAATTAAACCCCTGACCTGTTGGTTTGTACACAGCTGTCACCTAGATGGCTGTCATTTGTTTCTAAGGGAGAACAAAAAAATCTACCTCTGCATATGAAAGTACAGATTCAGTAGATACTCCTGTTAGAGTCTCGTCACGACCGACCACGCAGTCATGACTGGACCGCTCAATAAAAGAGCAGACTTTCTTGGAAATCTAGGAAGGCAAGGTATTTGCTGCCACTTTTCTCTTCAATGTCCCATACATCCCATACATCTCTCTCTGTTTGCAGTAGCATTCACATCCAGATCCGACCGGCTTCATCTTACAATTTCTTCAAGATATCATTCAAGACCTCCTCAGTCGAAGCCTTGCCACCCAGATCAGGACTGACAAAGCGGCCTTCCTCGAGATTCTTATCGACAGCATTGTAGATAGCATTCGCGGCCTCCGGCAAATCCAAGAACTCCAACATGACAGCGACGCTACGGATCGTAGCAATAGGATTAGCAATGCCCTTGCCCTCGATATCCGGAGCAGAACCATGGCAAGGCTCGCCAATGACAATCCCCTCGCCGACATTTGCTGATGGCACCAGACCAAGACTGCCGACGAGGGCGGCGGCGCCATCGCTCAGCAAGTCGCCGTACAGATTCGGCGCGACAATGACATCGTAGTATTGCGGCTGCAGGAACAGCTTGTACACCATGCTGTCGACGATTTGTTCTTCGACATTGACCGAAGAAAATTGCGGTTGGGATAGCGCTTCGCGCGCCGTCGAGCGGAAAAGGCCGTCTGTTTGAGAGAGAACGTTGGATTTGTGCGTTATTGTCACCATGGCCTTCTTGTCAGAGTTGTTGCTGCGCATCTTTTGCCGTCGCAGCGCTATCTCGCCTGCAATGTTGGCGATGCGCCAGCTTGCCTTGGATGAGATGCGCTTGATCGCTTCGGCGATCTGGCCCTCTCCGGATGGGTCGGGGTATGTCTTTTCCTCTTTGACGTATAGATCTTCGGTGTTCTCGCGCACAATGACTAGGTCGATTGGATGAGGGGTGGGGGATTTGAATGCCGGTGAGAGTGTCGTTTTGCATGGTCGCACGTTTGCGTATAGTGATAGTTTCTTGCGCAGCGCGACGATTGGAGATGTGTATCCTGCCACCTTTGTAGTGGGAGAACTGTAGATTGAGAAAAGCAATTTTGTTAGTCTTTTATGGAAATGTAGGATCTGAACAGGCTGCGGCTTGGCCCACTGCAATGGTCGTGTACTATTGAAGTGTTGCCAGTGTTGTACAGCCTGAGCTAAGGAGGGAACAGAAGTCTCAAGTCTCAAGTGTTCTCACCTCACAGCCCCAAATAGAGCGCCATCACATTCTTTCTGCAGCGTTTCCACCGTCTTGTCCGGCAGGGCCGTGCCCGTGCGCTTGAAGCAGTCGTAACCGGCATCGAGGTCGACGAAGGAGAAGTTCAGCCCGAGCGACGACGGGAGGGATTCCAGCACGCGTTTGCCGGCCTATGGACAGTTTCATAGCAATTCGTCAGTCAGACATTTCTGGCAAGCGGGAGGCAACGGCTATTGATCGTTTCGTGCATCGTCAACCTCATCGCTCAATCGCATACTAACCGGTATGACTTCGCGGCCAATGCCGTCACCTGGAATGAGGCCTGAGGGTATCAGGATCAGTGACGGTGTCAAAAGAGCAGATATATGGGGCAATACCTATGCGTAATGTTCGACTGGCCATGGTTTATCGCGTGTGAAAATGACCCTAGAAAGTAGTTTGCATTGACTCTGTTGCTTTTGTTCTGATTGAAGTTGGAGAAAATCTTTGGCGCGAGGCTGAGCTCCGCCTCCGCGATCGGAGAAAAGTGGGCACTTTAATCTACTACTACTAGTAAGCAGTAACATCTCCTGAACAAGGCTGAATTAATATCACTGGGATACCTCTTTACCCAGTAAGTAGTACTGAAATGTATATAAAAGAAGACAGCCCATGGTGTGGACACTGCGGTAGCACTTGGCTGCCTGCAAACTCGGTGTTTCCAATCGTGAAAAGTCGTAGTCATTATTGTTTACTGAGATATATATCCAACACATTGTATGCATGAGACATGCACACTAGTTCATTACAAGCCTTCGTGGGAGCTTGATCGGCCAGAAACAATTCTGGCAAAGCATGGGCACATGACGGCCAAGGATTCCGAGCATTTCATCCATCAGTTGGTCAATTGACACGCTTTCTTTCCAGTAACAATGCCATACTTTCCAACTGCGCATTGAACCGTTTCACTTTATTCAATAAGCCACCTTCCTCGGAGGCGCTGCTGACATTGCTGGCCACGCTTCGAAGTAGGAACTCTATTCCGTCCTCGGTATTGTGGTTATCCCGATTCAATTCAATCTCTGCCCGTTTGGCAGCCTCGCTGAGATTCCATCGTTGTCGCGCGTCATCTTCACATTCCCAATGCTGGCGGCGCACAGCGTCACATTCGAGGGCGATCCGCTCCCTTTCTTTCCTTAGTGCGAGCCACTCCGCTTGCAGGGATGCTTTCTCTCTTCTGCTCTTCCGAACGCGAGCTTCCAAGTGAATTCGATTCTCGACCACTTCCGAAAGCTCGAATAGTTCGTCGTCTAGATCTCGTCCGAATGCCTCTAGAGCATCTCGTTTAGTTTTCACGGCTGCACGGTCGGACGGTAGTCGACTGGTAGACGTCCCTTCTACGAGGTTCTCGATCGTCTCGCGGCAGATTTGGGCCAGGACGTCGACCACGTTTGGTTGACCGTGGTCGTTGGTCATGTCCAGCGGATCGTCACCATGTTCTCCATCTTCGTTGGTTTCATGTATTGTTGGAAGTCGTGATAGGTTTGTCAGACGGTGGGTCAGGAAAGGGAACCTAGTCTTCGAGGGTCCCTTTTTGGAGGGTAGAGCGTCCCGTTTGGAACTTGTGCGGCGGCTGCCGACTTTGCTGGTTCGCTTGGTTCGCTTGGTGGGTGCAGGTGTTGTGGGCTCAGGAGAGCTCTCCTGAATATATGATTCATCATCATCATTATCATCCTCCTTCGTTTGCTTGGAGGGTGCAGGTGTTGTGAGCTCACGGGGACTCTCCTTATTATATGTTTCATCACCAGCCTCCTCCATTTGCTTGGGTGGAGGTGTACCGGATACGGAAGGGCTTCTTCCAATATCGGTAAGCAAGTCTTTCTTTAAACTATTCCGGGTCTGTCGTCGACTTGCTGGTGGCAGTGTGAGCACGCTGGATGGTGGCGCAGGCGAAGCCTGGGTATCGGGTTCGGGTGTGGGAACTTCCGGTTGTCCAGGTTGATTCTCCCCTGGGCCAGATGAGCGCCTCTTTTTGCGGACCAAGACCACGGATTTGCGCTTCTTCCGCCGTTTCGGTTTCGATGATCCAGCGCTAGGCAATGGTCGGATACTGCTTTCGTCTGGGACGGGCGTTGTTCCATCATTCGGTTCCTGTTGCTTATTGTCTTCCCACACATCAAGGTCACGCACATTTCCACGACTTTTAGAAATCTTCAGTGCTGGCGTGTTCACGCTCGATATGGAATTGGCCGACGGCGCAGTCCGCTCGCGAAGGCCAACCGTATCTCGAGCACGAGCGGCTGAAAGATCTCTCCTGAGTTCTGGAGCCTCCCCAGTGTTGTTCTCCTTGTTGGCTTCGTTTTCCTGTGATGATGACGACGACCCCAGTATCTCCAAGGTTGCAATCTTCGATGTTTGTGATGTATCTGTTCCTAGCAATGCTCCACCTGTAGTTGTGAACGCCTTGCGACCACTTCGCCTATCCGACCGTCTACCTGCTATCGAGGCTCTAGTTGGCGCAATCCGTTGTTGACTTGGTGTTGTGAGAGACGACGATAGCCGGCGTCTTTTAGCTCGGTGAGAATCTGTCCCTGCCTGCCGCTCTTGTGGCCATGGTACGTCTGTCTGAGCATGCGGTGGTGGCTGCGAGCCGGCCCTCGCCGCTTCGTTTAGTGACATTGAAAGCCCCTCGATACCCGGCGTGTGTAATGATTGACGCACAATCGAGCGCCGGGGCCGTGGTGTTCTTGTATTCGAGCGCAGCGACCAAGCTGAGCCCGGAACTGGTAGACCCGTTGTGTCGTCTCCAACACTGCGGGAGTTGCGACGGGTCAGACCTGGTTTGCCTGCGATCGATGGTTCGACGCCCGGTATATCTTGCTCCCGCTCCAGTCGATGTTCTTGACCATCTTCAGAAAGCCCAAAATTTAATCCAAAATCGGCGGTTGCAACGACACGCGACCTAGCGTTATTAGCAATTTCTAAGCATCTCATGCGTCTCGCCTTCGAGTGTAAGCATACCCAGCGCCACGCTGGCGCATAAGCGCCCGGTCATGTCTTGACAAAGAAGCCATTCAATGCACCGAATATGCTGAAATAGTTCAGGATGCCGGGACCATCGAATCATCTGGACCAGCAGATGTCCGACCGTTCTGCTTTGGCATATGTACAACGTTGTAAGGTACGGAAACACTCAGCGTGGCACGCGTCGGCGAACTCCCACTGGCAATAATAATAATGACGCGACATGGGGTCCAAGTAACATTTTACTGGAGTAGGAATAGCACGATTCTCGCATTAAAGCGGCGACACGCCCAGTCGGATTAGAGGCTTTCCGGCCCTTGGCAAGTTGCTGCGACGCATCATGTCGAGTTCCAGGTTGGGTTGGAATGAATATCGAGGTCATGCTTGAGACTCTAGATCTGACGGCGACCAAGTTGGATCAATGAAAATATGAATGATATATGTTAGCACCGGTACACGACATCCAAGAGATCTGGTGAGATGGGTTGGTTCTGGGGAGGGAAATCCAGTCAAGATGATCCCACCAAATCACTGGACGACGATTTGAAGCAATTTCTCAAGGACCAGCAGCCCCGACCATATGTGCCAGCAGAGGTCCCTAAACCTCCCGAGCAGCCTGATACGAAGCCCACGAAGCCGCTACCCGACACCAATCAATCCTTCGAGGACAGGCCTCTACCCAAGGAATCGTTGTTTCCGGATGGGCGGTATAGAGACATCTGGAAGACCTATGTTCCCCAGAATGAAATCGCGGCAGCAACGACCACTCCGGTCGAGCGTGTGCTGGCCGCTCGGAAAGACAGAAGCCGGTCAATCCACAAAGCTGCACTAGAGAACTGCGCATTTGAGGAGGAACTCCAACAAGATTGCTTCAAAACCGGGGCGTGGTCCAAGAAGATCAAAGGACGAATGACCATGTGCCACGAAGAGACCAAGGCATTCAACCGATGCTATGCGCTTCAGGCAAAGTTTCTACAGGCTCTTGGCTACATGACAAGCTCAACAAGTTCCGATGAGGATGAAGAAAAAATACAAATGCATGCGGACAAACTATATCACCGCATGATGGACTACGAGGCGGAAGTGGATGATGCAACGAGGAACGGTCGACCTATTCCACCACTTACGTCCCTATTCAGCCCCAACCGCCCGGCTCCGACTCTGGAGCAGATATCCTTGCCAAAACCAATGGAAGAGAAGCTGAAAAAGCCCCTCCACGAGTATCCTCCCCATGAGCGGGAGTTGGTTGCCAGAGCTGCTCTGCAGGAGGCCAAGTTGACCGACCTTTATGCTGAAGATCTGTTCAACTACACTGTTACAATGAATGAAGACCGAAAAAGGCGACAGGCGTGGCTGTCCAAAACCTTTGGAGAAGCCGTTGGAAAGTTTTTGATTCCAGATCCCCCCAAGGACCCGGATATTAAACCTTACAGCGTTCAAGAGCTTGAACGTGATATATGGCGGGAAGATACGCAGAGTCATACGCAGGACAAGAATGGAACATCTTCAGGACAAGGGCCACTCTTCTGAGCGAAGACGCCCTTTTTTGGATCCAGTTGCAATTCCTTCATGGAAAGCCGGTGGAGGACAACCAACTCACTCGCCCGGGAGCAATGCCTGCCCACTTTAGAGGCATACCAAGCTAGGGCGAGTCGGTATTGTCCGGCGAGGTAAATACGCCTTTGCCAACAACTGGATGATTGACGACTGGTGATGGTCATTGTCCGTTGTGGTGGCTGGGTTGCGCAGTGACCTACCATGACATTCGACCAGGAAAGCCGAATGCAGGGGTCTTACATGCCTGTCGAGCTGGTAGTCTGTTGCAAACCGTCCTGCTGCCGTTGCAGCCGCAAGGGCTCCAGGCCGCTGCCGGCATCCAGCTCGGATTACGGGCTCGACAAGTACTCAGCGGGCCGGACTTCGAAATTGAAGAAACATGTCCATTGTCTGTGCAGACGACGGCCGAGCACCGCAGCCCGTGACGAATCTATTACATGCAAGACCAGTTGTGTGGTCAATATTGCTTGTAGCAAGATGTCACTTTGAGCAATGCCGGGTTTCCTGTATTATATCATATCTTGTTCTCTGTTGAGCCAGCAAAGTGACCGCTGTAAAAAGTCTCAGTCATTCACCACTTGGTGAAGCACCTTCTAAATCAGACTGGACAACATTTTCTCATTTTGAAATATCCTTCTGGTATCTTTTGGATGGTGGCTGTATACATGGGTACCTATTGGCGGGGTGTCTATGATTTTTGCGGGGTCATTGATTGTTTCGCGGAGACAAGTCTGACCTGGTTCGGCCCAAACGACTAGATATGCCTTCATCTGTGGTGTTTACAATTCGACAGCGTCGAAAGACGGGCAACTGCCGCTATATACATGCGTAGTGCTGCACAAACATTCGACCTGACTGCCGCTCCATTCACGAACTCGACAGGTCATGCAGAGGCGGGTCCTCCGAGAAGCAGACTCGGAGGATGCCAGTGTACTAGAGGCTCCACGGCAGCCTTCACCTTCCACTTGTGGACAAGTTCACGATGCTTTCCCCGACCAGTTCGAAAGATAATGGAGCCCACTCCGGGCGGGATCTAAGATATTGTCCCAAGCCGTTATTGTGACATGGCACTGTAGGACAGATTCCTGGAGCGGCGAGAGACCCGGACTGCAGTGGCATAAAGGTGGGGAGGCCGAGCCGAAAGAGAGTTCGAGCAATCGATATATGTATCCATCATATCCTCCGGTCTTGCAACTCACACCATCGGTCTCCAGTCACTCCTTGTGTTGTTTACTTCAATCGTGCCATAAGATTCATATTTGGCTTGGGGACATCTCTGACCTCGTCGGCAGAGCTTCCAACTTCAAGTTGTCATGGGCCTGTTCGGTCGACGAGTTGCAAACAGTCCTCCGCAGACGTCAGCAGCATCCTCCACTCCGCCTACCGATTCTGTCGTGCAGAATACTCCCTTACTTCAGTTGCCCCCTGAGATAATCCATCAGATCTTGTGTTATCTTCACTGCCAATCCCTGGTCTCCCTCGCCCGGACATGTCGACAACTGCGCGAGCTGACGCAAGAAGACCTGCTTTGGGCGAACCTACTACGAGCCACCGTGCCTCCAGCAGACTTCCCGTCCGATCCCTATCCATCCTCCTCATACCGTGACCTCTATATATCGCACCATCCCTACTGGTTCTTGCCACGCTACAAGATATGGATCTCAGACGAGTCTTACATAGGAAGGGCCATGATATGCAGGTTCGATCCCCGACGCGGATGTATCGAGGGATATCGCATGTTGGCCGAAAGACAACCGTCAATGGGAATATTCTGGCCATACAAGCCGAACGTGGTCATCCACTCCTTTGAACCTAGGGTACATCTATATCTAGATGACCCGATATTGAAACTGCCACATGATGTCGTGCCCTTCACTACACGACAAGGATGGTGGGAGGCAGAAATCAAGATGAGCGTGGGACGGCCTGGCCACAATACGTCTGCCTCGTTCTCACTTGCACGAAACATTCCCGAACATCTCCTAGACAAGAGCATGGTCGTTTGGCCGCCATGGACCATCCCTGGAATGCCACGAGTACGTGCTGCCAGCGTTGACAACTTCAGAGGGTCTGGTCACAAACCACAAAAGCACGACGAGATATCGCAAACAGCATTTCGTCTCCGACAGTGGTCACAATTCAGTACTGGCATGGCCCACTTTGGCATTCGTGTAGGTGAAGAGGTGAGCACGTGGAGCACAATCGATCCATCTCTCTATACACCGACGCCGGAAAAGCCATACCAAGGCATTTTCGTGGGGGACTATGCCGGACATGGCTGCGAGTTTCTTTTAGTCATGCAAACAGACAAAGCACCCCCTGTCCCGACTAGGCCTTCCTCGAGGTATTATCGAACCATGGTAGGACTCGAGGACGATGATGACTCGAGTGAAGAAGAGTTTGAAGAGGAATCCAGCGACGAAGAGCGGGAGCCACCACCTCCACCTGCACGTCCCAACAACTCACCCTCAGCCGCACAAGATGACGACGGCGTGCATCGAGGGGCCATTGAGGCAGTAAAGTTAACCGGAGACCCGAACATCCCTCGGGGCGAACACACATTCATCGCCGACGATATTGGACCCAATGGCTTGATTCGTATAGCCCAAGAGCACCCTTTCAAAGGAGCACGTGTTGTTAGGAGCCGCGGTCATGTTGCCGCTCGCGGATTCCAAGACGGTTAGTCGGATTGGACTGGGCGTTCTGTTCTTCACATTGGCTAACATGGCACAGACAAGTTCATACCCTCCCAACTGATCATGATCAGCCATGACAAATTGGCCCAGTACTGGTTACCATATGGGCATGTGTCATTTTATGAAAGAGTGGATATTGACAAACTGATGGACGAGACGCTTAGACAACCAAATAGTGGAGGGTAAAAAGATGGTTACATGCATATTATCAAATGCATGTCTGGTTTTCGGGATCCCACAGCGTACTACGAGTTAATGACCTGCCAGTGGAACAGCACTCTGAAGGCAAAGCATTATCCGAAAGACTGCATTTATTGTCACGCACATAGATGGCTCCGTTATACAGACCTTATCCCAACAGACCTGGGGGTTGACCATCTCAGGCTTGCAAAGGAGCCGATAGCATCTCGCCCAAGCGTGATCCACCACAGCGCCCGGGTTGTACACCCATGAGAGGAGTTCGGCTTTGAGGTGCCTCAGCAGGCAAACGACGTGAATGTATGCTCTGTGCAATACTTCCGTCGCATCAAATTTGGTGTCTACCAGGGAGTGCCACCTGATGGAAGCATTCAAAACCAATGTAGACCAAAACCAATCCCTAACTCCTCATGATGCATGTCCGATTGCTCAAGTCTCCAGAGCAGCCTGTGCTCTGAGCCAATGTGCCACCATTTTATTTATCGCCGGCGTTCAAAGTAGCTGCTGCTCCCCATGATGGCAACCGATTGATCCATCACCCATTCACCTACCCCGAGGTAGCGATCAACCCAGGTCTGTACCTCTTTACTGTCGCCGATGGATGAGGCTTTGATACTGGTTGGTCTGGAGTTAGTTAGTCCGAGACGAGGCTGAGAGAAGAGCTCCTTTGATGAACAACTGTGATAAAGGAAGGTCGAAGGACGTACGTAAGACCCGTGCTCCGCTTGATGCCTGCAAGGAAAGCGGAGATGAGGACAGCGTCGAAGGCGTAGTGGGTAAGACGTCCGATCTGGGTACCTGGTGAGCGGGAGCCACATTAACTCGCAGGGACATGCCAACTCACCACCATAGCGAGGGTTGTTGCGATAGAATGCAGCGATAAGTTTCCGAGGAGTGCGCAGCAGTAGTAGCAGGAGGAGGTGGTAGTGGTGGTTTGACTGGATGGTATACTCCTGTAGTAGGCTGCAGTGTCTGGTCGCATGTGAAGTACTAGTACAGGAACCGCCGTGGAGAGTGTCACTACAAACGGGGCATGGCGGCCTCCGGAAGAACGTTGCTGCAGTTCCGACACCGATTGCGCTGGCACCTGATTTTGTGGGTTCGGGGCTGGCTCGAGGGACAGCCCGTTCACAGAGCAACGGCGCTGGATGCTCAGGTCGTGGTTAAGCATCCGGCCTAAGGTAGCCTAAACAATAGCCTAATTCTAGGCATACTACAATCTATGAAGCACCTATCATGCCTGGCACTAGGACAATAATAGCCGTGACTAGTAGGGAGTTAATCATTGGAGTGCACTGTAACCATTGAGGGGCACTCCCACTGCAGCACACTGCAGTGTGCTACAGAAGTGGAGCAAAAGAGCTGTGAGATCTGCTTACACATGTTTGTACGTGCACAAATGTCACCCTCTCAAGCTTCCCTTACCCACCTTCGCGACAGTCTCATCTACCCATCCCACTTCGCGCCCCCATCCACTTCCAATCTATTTTGGCTTGCCAGGCCGACTCCCCCTATTCGTTCGTTGCACAAGCTCGGACCCAGCTCAGCCAGGTGCTTGCAGCGTGTCAGGATTCAAGCCGGATAAGCGTGACGTTAGAGATCCATTCAACTCCGACGAACTAGGCCAATTCAACAATTGCTTTTTTCCTGGTGATAAGGTGGAACGGTTTTTCTTCACTGTCCGGAAAGCCCTCCTGTCCCTCAAAATTCCAAGGAGATCAAAGGTAAGCGCCGCGTTGTTGCCCTTTCACAATCTGCACTGTTGTTGAGCCGTTGCTGACTGCATCATTGGAACATTGGGCAGACAGCCTGAGCCTGATCAAAATATCTCCGCACCCTCCGCCGCGACCGTAACCCTCCTCAACTACTATTCAAACAAGTGGAAAACAATACCGGCACAATGGGTGACGCTCTAGATCATCTCGCGAATCGCACAAAGCTGGAATGGCAGTGCAATCTCAACATCGATTATCTTCCAAAGAAGAACCATCGCAGAACCAGCATCATCTGCACAATCGGTGGGCCCGTCTTTTGTTGACCGCCTGCTGAAATCCAGGTTGGACTGACAAACTTGACCATAGGCCCTAAGACCAATTCCGCAGAGAAGATTACTATGCTGAGAAAGGGTAGGATGAATACGTGACACTGGATAATGGACAAATACTGATTGGGTTGCAGCTGGTCTCAATGTCGTCCGCATGAACTTCTCGCACGGCTCATATGAGGTGAGCGACATCCGTGACCAACAGAGGTTCCGCAGCCTGAGCTAACACCTGTCTAGTACCACCAATCTGTTATCGACAACACGAGACAATCCGCCAAAGACTATCCTGGTAGGCCCGTGGCTATTGCCCTGGACACAGTAGGTTGAGCCAGCCCTCTTGTGGTACACTCGGCTGATGATAGATAAAAGAAAGGACCAGAGATTCGGACTGGAAACACACCTGGCGACAAGGATATCCCAATCAAGGCTGGCCTTGAATTGAACATTACCACCGACGACAAGTACGCCACTGCCAGCGACGACAAGAATCTGTAAGGAATACCTCTGCCTCCAAACAGTGGCAACCCAGCTAACCACACCTAGCTATGTTGACTACAAGAACATTACCAAAGTGATCGGCAGGGGCAAGCTGATCTACATCGACGACGGTATCCAGTCGTTCGAAGTCCTCGAGGTCGTGGATGACAAGACTCTTCGAGTGCGTGCGCTCAATGACGGACAAATCTCATCCAAGAAAGGAGTCAACCTCCCCGGAACTGATGTCGATCTCCCCGCTCTGTCCAAGAAGGACATTGCAGACTTGGAGTTTGGTGTCAAGAACGGAGTTGATATGGTCTTTGCCTCATTCATTCGACGCGGAGAAGATATTAAGCATATCCGTCAAGTCCTCGGCGAGGCCGGCAAAGAAATCCAGATTATTGCCAAGATCGAAAACCAACAGGGTATGAACAACTTCGACGATATTCTGGCCGAAACCGACGGTGTCATGGTGGCTCGTGGTGACCTTGGAATCGAAATCCCGGCTGCCAAGGTGTTCATTGCTCAAAAGATGATGATCGCAAAGTGCAACATGGCAGGCAAGCCTGTGATCTGTGCCACACAGATGCTGGAATCCATGACCAACAACCCCAGACCTACTCGAGCTGAAGTCTCTGATGTCGCCAACGCCGTTCTCGACGGAGCTGACTGTGTCATGTTGTCTGGAGAGACTGCAAAGGGCAACTATCCAAAGGAGGCCGTTAGCATGATGCACGAGACTTGCTTGTTGGCAGAGGTTGCCATTCCCTACGCCAACATGTTTGACGAGTTGAGGACGACCTGCCCACGACCAATTGACACTGTTGAGGCCATTGCCTGCTCTGCAGTCAGCGCTAGCATGGAATTGAATGCCGGTGCCATTGTTGTCTTGACCACTAGGTAAGTTTGCTGGACGCGCGATTTTGATCTATACTGACAGCAAGTAGCGGTCACTCAGCCCGGTTGCTCTCCAAATACCGGCCAGTATGCCCGATCATCATGGTCACGCGAAATGCTACGGCCTCTCGATACGCTCACCTCTATAGAGGAGTGTATCCGTGCCACTTTCCCGAACCGAAACCAGACTTTAGTGGTGTCGACTGGCAGAAGGACGTTGATAAGCGCCTTAAGTGGGGGATCAACGAAGGGATCAAGCTGGGAGTCCTGAGTAAAGGTGATAGCGTTGTTGCTGTCCAAGGCTGGAGAGGCGGCCAAGGCCACACAAACACCATCCGCGTGGTTCCTGCGGAGGAGAACTTGGGCCTCCTTGAGTGACTGGGCTATGGTACTCGTCACCACAACTAGCCAGTCGAGCAGGTTCTTCGCGTCGTTCCCTATTTGATGGAAGTCTCTGCTCGACGCGAGACGACAAAATTGCTCGGCGAACGGAGCCGGGGGAAAACAAACACACAGGGATAGAAGCGTTATTGTTAGTATGTCTTGCCGCAAAGCATGCTGTCGTCGGCCCGTGGACTGGGCAACTTGACGATGAGGATTCCGGCTTTTCAGTTTATCAACAGTAACAGTCCTCGGGAGAACGACATCGTTACTAGGACGGTATGAAAATGCATTAATAGACTCATCAACAGTAGTCAATTGGAACATACTCGCATTGCTGTACGTGATGTGATACTGTACAATGAAGTTTGCGCGGGAGTTTCCGAGGAGGTGGACATCCCAGCCTGGCGCGCAACCTCAATAAATAGTGACATGGAAGTTCAATGAAAGTCCCCCCTCATGTTTCACCAGTGCCATTTCCCGCCAACTACCAATCTGCGATCCAGATTCTGCCCTTGATTCTACTTTACCGAGCGTTCAGCCAGTTGTCTTTTGTGTATTCTGCATAGTCTGTTCCCATACCCTTTCGCGCATTCTCAACGTCGCTGCGTCGCGGTTCGAGTTCCTCCCAGTCAGCCCTCCAGCGCATCTGAACCGGTCTCGGACCTCTCCCTGTGCTTGCTGTGCAGCAATATCCCCTGCGCCAGGGAGGAGTGACCTCCAATATGGCAGCCGAGACTGCACGCCCAGTCCGTCCGAAGACGGCGGGTTTCACAGACTCGTTCTGGTCGTCGGACTATGCTGGCGGTCTGGGTGTCCTGTTTCAAAAGCTTCAACAGGGGGTGATTGAGAACCAACAGGTATTGACAATCGCCAGCATGCGAGCAGATGCGGAAGAGGTGTACAGCGATCGGTTGGGAGACATTGCGCCGACTATCGATCGGATGACGGGTGGGTTCGCGAGGGACGACGGCGCAAGCGTTCGCAAGGTTGGACAGATGATGCACAGAATACAAGGCATTCTACTAATGTCGTTCTCAGGCGTACGAAGGCGTCCGCAGTGAAATGATCGAAGCGTCCAAGAACCACAGAAAGATTGCCGATAACATACGCGAGCTTGTGGTCAATCCTTTCTCTCGATGGTGCGATGCGCATGCGACGAGGATCCAGAACTCGCAAGACGACCTGCAAGCCAAGATCAAGGCTCATGATAGACAAGCCGATACGGTCAAGAAACTGAGAAGTCATTATTTCAACAAGTGTAGGCTTGTGGAAGACCTTGAGGAGGAGAACAAGCTGGCCTTTCAAGCGCCGGGAAAGGAGAGCCCAAAGCCACAGAGTCCTCCGCCACCGATGATTGTTCTGCCGGACGATGACGACGAAGATGAACTACCAGTCGAACTTGGCGATCGAACGTATTCGCCACAAGAGCTGAAGGCCCTGTTGACGCATATGCTATCAACCGTTCCACTTGGGGAGTACAAAGTTCCCATCTTGGGAACGTACCAGAACGTGTCCGCTGGCACAGATATCGTCGAGTACATACAGAAACATATGAAGGCGTCAACAGTAGGGTATGCAGAGCAGATTGGACAGGATCTAGTTGATCGTGGCTTTCTGCGCCTTATTGGTAACGTGGGCAATACGTTTGCGAACAGCTCGAAAATGAAGTATCAATGGAAGCCGCGAGCCTTTCAACTCACAGGCATACCTGAGAAGAAGAAACCTCTTGGTCGGTCAACCACTGGCTCCTCGATGGAGGGGATTCTGGAATCACCAACTATTGGCAACATCACGGAGACTCTACAGACGTGGAATCCGCTCAACAACCCCCACCCAAACGAAACACCTGCGGAGCGGCTTCGGCGCGAGGCTAGAGAAGCAGACGAAAAGTACAAGGCCGCGGTGAGAAAACTGGACATGCTGAGATGCAACCTGGAGGAAGCGATGATGGACCACTTGAAGTTCCTGGAACGTTGTGAAACAGACCGTCTCAAGGCGATCAAAGCAGTGATTCTCGATTTCTCTGGTGCCATCAGCAACAGTATTCCATCGTTTCAAAGCCAGGTGGACCACATGATGCTTTATCAAGAAACCATCCAACCGCTCGGCGACTTGCGATATTTCCTTGAAAACTACCGAACAGGGGCGTATGTGCCAAAGGTTACGCCGTATGAGAATTACTATGGGAGTGTCGAGGACCAGACTTTTGGAGTTGATCTAGAAGCTCGAGCTCGGGCTGATCGGAAGCGAGTACCCATCATTGTCACCTCGATCTTGACATTCCTCGATAACCATTATCCCGATTTGGAGGGTGACGAGGCCAGGCGGAATATCTGGCTTGTGGACGTTCCCTTAGCCGCGACGCACCATTTGAGGAATCAAATCAACAATGGAGCCCCTGTCCCGACGGAAGTATTGGAAAAGTATGAGGTGCCGATTGTGGCCAGTGTTTTGAAGCTCTACCTCCTTGAACTGCCCGGTAAGTTCACTTGTGTCGCTGTTTTACCCTTTCTAACCTGTTCAGACTCGCTTGTTTCATCACAAGTCTACGAAATCATCAAGACTATTTATGCCACCACCCCTGATGCTGTCCCGAATCCTATCTCCAGCGACTCGATCGATGCTACGCCAAGAATCAAGGTGTTACAGTCCACTCTCGGCCAATTGCGCCTTAACAATATTGCCACACTTGACGCCATCGTGACGCATTTCACCCGCTTGATCGACCTCACCTCGGCAGATGAAGCCTATGTTGCAGCCCTGGCGCATTCACTCGCTCCTTGTATTTTGCGACCACGGACGGAAAATGCTCTCACCTTGGAAGAGCGTCATCCTTACAGACTTGTTCGAGACCTCTTCGACCACAAAGAGGCGATTTTCGGAGAACTTAAACGACAATCTTCAACCCGCTCCATATCCACCAGCGTTTCTCATCGGCAACGCGCAGTCAGCAACACAGACGAAAGCTCACGAAGAGCAGCCATGGAAGCCAGGGCGAGAGCAATCACGGAACAGAGACAGCGCGACAAAAGCCCGGCTCCGAGCAACCGACATAGACGGGATAAAAGTACTGATGGAAGCATGGGCCGGTTTCCCGTCGTGGCAAGTCCACGATCTGATCAACATGGCCGAAGTGTGAGCGGAGTTGGTCTGCCTTCGGCCAAGAGGTCTAGTCTGGAAGTCCCAGGCAGCGTCGAAAGCTCGCCGATACAGGCGCGAAACCAGTCGGCGGTGGAAAAAAATTCTGCCACAAAGTTGGATTCACCTGCAGTGGTGACGAACGGCCAAGGCGAGTCATCTTCGGATACCTTGACCTTACCCGGGACTTTTAGTGGTGGCGGTCCAGGCCCACATATCCCACCCCCGCCAGAGGATGACTCTCACGAAGAGGAAACGCAGGCCTCAGCACCCAAGGAACAAGAGCAAAATTCAAGAGTGGGCTCTTTGAAGAGAAGTGGAGCAGCAAGTGATCGCAAACCAGTTGGCCGTGCTGGACCTGGAAGCTTGAGCCGTAGAATCAACCAAGGCTCACTGGATGAGACTGGTTCGACTGTGACGCCTCAAGGTGTCCAGTTAACGGACAAGCCGATGGATGATTTCTCGTGAGGTATGGAAGGACGGTCTATGGGAACGGAGCCAACGAGTAAGGTAATGTCCAGCCGGGGCATCGCCGTTGGCACAAATGGGCATTGCACTGCCTAATCTGAGGTCTGGGGCATACTTCAAAAGCAGGCGATTACGTTTGATGTGTGTAGAAGACACGCTTCGTGATGCACACGATGTGGATGCTTCGAGACGAGCTCAGGCACGCACCCATGTACCGCATGCTTATCGGTAGACCTTTCCAGGGATAGATGTCATCTACAATGTTGTAATGATCAGTATGGCGCTGTGTGAGGAGACACCGTTACTCGCAGGTGTACTGTGGGCGTCATACCTAATTACTTACCCATAAGTACCACTATACACATTTATGGTATCGATCTAAGCAGGTAGGTATATTCAAGTTATACATTAGGTACTAGTAGTACTAGTAGGCAGCGCGGAGCGGAGCGGAGTTGCCAAGTTGTAGCCTGCGGTGATTGGATCGCCGCGTTGCACGCTGAGGCGCTGGTGGCCTTCGAGTCATGCCGGCGCCGAGTTGACGTCGTGCATGATTTTGACTTTCCCTCACTGGCATTGCTCTGCTGCAGTGCTGCGTTCCTGCGATTGCCAGACAACTTTATCACTCGCAGGCTGCAGCGAGCATCGTTGCACTATTGACAATCTACGCTGCCACCTTCAGTCCACTACTACTGCAATCGATATTTACGGAGTGGATTAAACCAAAGCACAAGGATGCGTCTCTTCCGGCTGAGCGCTCTGGCGCTGGCGGCCGAATGCGCCCACGGTTACCTCGACACCACACCCTTCTTCATGTTCTCAACCTCAGAGTATGTATTTCCGCGCCAGTGTTCTGTTGCTCCAGGCAAGGCGATGCAGTCCTGCGGCTGGGCCACCCACTCCTCACTAGCGAGATTCTGCTGGTGCTGACAAGACTTTCTTGCTGGCAGACTTCTAAGCTCGTCCTCCTCCCAAATCCAAGCCGCGTCTACAGTCGTCTCAGACATCGCCTCATCATTATCGCAATGTCCCTCAGACTACTACATCCTAGTATCACAACCGGGCGTCCACAGCAACGACTATGGATCTGTGAAATCCACGCCTGCGCTCGCGAAAGCGATATCCAAACAACACCCAAAAACAGGAATCAGAAGCAACATGGTCATTCCCGACGTACAGGGCACCATCACACCGTCGACGTGGGTTGAAACCCTCCAAGTGAAATGCGGCGTCGAATCCGCTACTGTTGTTGACGCCTCAGAGGGTTCTATCCCTACAACCTTCAAGTCACGTCTGATCCAAGTCAAGCTACCGGCACCGGCATCATCCGTGACTAAAGCTAAAGAACTGAATGCCAACGATGCCTTTTTGGCTTCTGTTCTTGATCTTCTCCCGAACCAAAACTATACTGTTCTCTACTATACGACGACGACGTCGCAGGATGGTCCAGCACATGAACAGCCCAAAGAGTATGAGATGCTGGACTCGGAGTGGTCGCCAATCGAGGAGTCACTCCTACATCTGGATCTGAAGAGAGATCTCGGTGTTCATCAGAAACAAAACAACCAGACTCAGGTTGACGGACCGCTGTTTGACAGATACCAGTTCTTCACGCCTGGTAGGTTCTTACTTGACTACCTTTCAGTTTCAGTTTCCACCCTTCATTCGTGGCTGCTGTGTCCAGCAGACAGTTGGTTTGTCTAGACAAGTTCTAACATCGTTTGTTTCTAGGCATTTACATGGGTTTCCTGGTTGGACTCCTTCTCCTGACCATTCTCTACGTCGCCATTTCTGCTGTCGCATCTCTTCAGGTCACATATGCGGCGTTTGATAAGGAGACAGGCGCTCTGGCCGGGAAGAAGCAACAGCAGTAATAGTGGTGGCAGTACTACCAGTTGTAAAAGATAAGACATATCTACCTAGCTAGCTAGTGTTAACGGTGTTTCAGCCCATGGGGGGGTTTTGTTTTCAAAAGGGCAATCAATACAAGAGGAACCTATTTAAATGTCTGCTCCAAGTCCGTTCGGAGAAATGTGTTTCCAATCCAGATCTATGCAGCAGTGGTCAGGTGGTCAGCCAGCTGCCTTATCAACCTAGGTACTGTGGTTACGAGGCCGCCGGGTATCAAGCTTGTCTGCTACTAGACACCTAACAGGGAGCCTGGATGTTGCTGATCCTAGTAACTAGTTGTTCGGTTGGCGTCCTTTATCTGATGAAGCCTACCTACCTACATGGACTAGTAGTCTAGTCTCTGTTAGTAGCACACCATTCCATTACCATTACCATTACCATTCCCTTTCCAAAACATTGCAACACGACTTAGGTAGTACGCATCTTTGCCGTATTTCTCAAATCCTCGTCTGTAACTCGGAGCCGTGACCTGCTCTGGAAAATTACAGTTTACAGCAAAAGGTCATACCAGATGACAGCGATAACAGCAGCGATTGATATGAATGGTCTACTACTACTTGGCTAGACAAGACGTCGTGGTCTTGATAAGTCAGATATGCTAGGTAGGTTAATGGTAGACCTTACCTAGGTATACATTCACGAGATATAACCAAATATCGCACCGGATGGACGACCCTTCGGCGTTCGCACGTTAGGTACAGGTAGAGGGGGACAGAGCATGCCCATTCTGAGCCTACAATTATATCGTCATGGTTGGAGACTTGGAGGTTTCTGTGCAAGAATCAGAACGTGGAGTATCTATATACTGCGTGCGGTCTGCGAAAACTCCCATTGTGTGAATCACCTATGCATGGAAATCCTTCGACATGTGCGTTGTTTTGGGAGATCATTGATGCCGATCGGAAAGTCGTTGCATAAGGGTTCTGCTGCATTGTGCGAAAAACAAGGTTTCGTGGGATGAACCACATCTTGCAAGGATATTCAGTTCGTTGAGGAGCTAACGCAGGTGAGGAATGTCGTGAAGTCGACAAGAAGTGAAAGAGCAGCAGATAGGAGAGATAGCCTGAAGCTGAGCAGGTATATCTCTCCTGCCACTGTGCAAAATGTCTTTCAACCTTCGCTTTCGTACTGCCATCACCTTCTTGCCAGCTTCATTGGAGCAAAAGGTTGCCTCGGCCGATACTCGAGCACACCTTTTACAAGGTGTACAGAAAGTCTGGTCTCTTGTCGCCAAGCTTGTCGATTTCCTCTTCTGTCTTGCCTTCAACCCAGTGGTTCCGCTCACCGTTCCTACGTTTCGCATTCTCTCGACGAAGCAAGACGTGCTGAACCACGCTCCCTCCAAGAAGAAACAACGCTTCATATGCAAGAACAACAGCATGTCCGGGCTTGAATCGTGGTTTGTCCTTGGCCCGATAGATGTTGGACGACACAATACCTATCGATGCCGTCAGCAAAAGAATCACCAAATAGGAAAAACACGAATTGTTCGGACTGACCATTCAGATTGCCCCAACCAATGACGAAGCCCAAAGAAATACCCCGTTTATATACACCCTCGACATTGTTGGCTGTCCACGAGATGGTGTTCGCTATGCATGGATAAATCCCCATGGCTCCGAGGAAAGTTCCAGCGTATTGGACGTGGGGCTCGCCTGAGCCGAGAAGCATAGCGAAACCTGCGACACCGAAAAATGACATGGCGATGTTACAGTACCCTGATCTGGATCAGCCATATGGTTCAGACAGAGAGCCACTCTTGTTGCTCACCTCGCATGCGAGTTCGGTCTGCAACAAATCCGATGAAAACAGTGACCACTGCCGCAACTGCATATGGTGGGACACTGAGAAGTTGCGCATGAATGCTTTTGTAGCCCATCTGTTGTATAATTGTGGGCAAGAAAAGACTGAACGAATATAAGGCGCCATCACACCCCATATAAATGATCATTCCGGTGTACGTCTTCCAGTCCTTTAGACTGGCCCACAGATAGGCCATTTTGAACTCCTCATGTTCAGCACTGGACTGTTGGTCAAGTTTCAGACGGCGAATGACACGGCGACGGTCGTCCTCCGATAGAAATTTGGCATCATCAGGGAAATCATGCACCTGGCATGTGTTAAGGGACGTCTTGTTCTTGCAGGAGCACATTCCTTACCATGAAGAAAGAAAGGAAAGCGACAACAACTGTGGCCAGCCCTTCCAATATGAAAATCCACGCCCACCCAGGCTTACCTCCAACCCCATCCATGTTGACGATAGCGGCAGCCAAAAGACCACCGAAAGACCCGGCAAGAGCTGCTGCGCTGAAGAAAATAGCAGCGCGGATACCAAACTCGGATCTTCTGTACCAGCAACTCAGGTAATAGTTCACCCCTGGATAGACGTGAGCACGAATCATTTCGTACGGCGGAGCTTGCCTTTACCTGGGAACAGGCCGGCCTCGGCCAGACCAAGGAACCATCGAGCAGCCATAAGACCGGAGAAATTATGGACTAATCCCATGCATGTCATACAGATCCCCCTGTGATAGTGCCATTAGCTCATCTTTGTTCAATTATATTGATGAGACATTGAACTTACCACGCAATCATAATGGCAGGGAGGAAGATGGACGGTTTCAACCTCTTGAGAAGAACTTGTGTCAAAGGCTCAAAGACGGAATAAGAGATGAAGAAGATGGTCAAAGTGGCGTTGTATTCATTGTTGGTCATGTGCAGATCCTCTTGGAGGCCATCGATCTTTGCATTTCCTATGTTTGTTCGGTCCAGGAAGGAAATAAGATATAGAAAGGAGAGCCATGGGATGAGTTGAAGGTCAAGCTTCCAGAGTAAAGCCCGGTCCTACAAACATTAGCTCGGTGTGGGCGTTGACGGACGAACGGGCATATCATACAATACGCTTCCTCTCCTCTTCGCTGAGATGCTCATCCGGGTCAGGGACGTCGATGATTGGGACCGGTACGCCATTCTCTATATGCAGCTTTTCGTTTTCTGATGGCGTTTGTCCATTGTCAGAATCCGTTGCCTTCAAGTTGTGTGGCTCCATAACGAGAAGGGGCCGTTGGAACAGGTGTAGGTGTGGGAGTTCTGCGGGAAGAGCGACATACGGGAAAGGGAACGATAGATATAGTCCATACACTGCTCACTAATGCAGTTGGTACGAGGGGACAGGGCTCCGCAGTACAAGGTGCTAATAACACCTTGAGGTCGTACCGGAGGAGCCTGTTGAGAACGGCACAGGCCTTTCAGTAGCGGCAGAGAAGCAAATGGACAAATAAAGCGTCGACGTCAGGCTCGAAGCGGAGTTGGAGCGAATGCATTCCCTGTCCGGTCATATGGACGTTCTGCTCGAGCAGTCAAGTATAGTACTGGCCCAGAGCGCGGAGAGTGGTGGGCAGCGGGCGGTAGGCGGGCGCGAATCGCTTGTCTGTAACGTGCCATCGACGTCTTTCCCAAGGAAAATGGCCCGCCGTGCCAGTGCCCAGGAAACGCTAGTCGATGTTGACAGCCACAACCAGCCTCCCGAAAGCTTCCAAAGACTTCTCAATCGCCAGAAGACGGGGCGGCTTATCAAAGGAGGGGCACATGGGCCGAGAGTTGTTGATCAATCAAAAGGCACCCAGTCACTCTCTGGACAATTTTGTAGCAGTTTATTAGCTTAAAGGCTGATGTGACAGTTTGCCCGCGCCCCCCCGGACGATCTCGCGAAGGCTTAGGAGGCCGTGTGGGAACTAGCCGGTGGTCGCCGTCTGATCAGCCGACCTGGTCTCCGTCTGCTTCAATCGCCGTCTGTCAAACTTGAAGCTGTCACTCTTCTGCCGCACTCGGTGACTCGGCTATCCTCAGACAGCCCTGTTTCCTCATCACCCAATGCGCACTTCGCCAGTGCCGGTTGTGCTGCATTATTGGGACTATTCGGGGAGTACGTCCGCAGCTACGATGGTCTTCTTTTATTCAGCCTTGTTGGAACAATTTTCGGCAGTTTGTCTCGATACTCTTGTGGTCGCAATGGCTTGTTGACTCTTGACAGCAACCAGTGGCCAGACCGCCTGCAATAAGTATCAGACTGGCCGCTCAGGCCGGTAGCTGAGATGGCCTATATTGCTGTGCTGCAATGTGTACATCGGCCGAATAGAGGCAGAGTGGAGGGATCTGGTACTGACGGACCTGGGTCGGTCTGCACCAGGGTACATGTTCTCTGGCATTGTTGCTGTCGGAGCAGGTTGTGTAGGTCGGCATTACCACAAGAACGCAATGTGGGAGGATGGGAAAGTTCAGAAGCGACAAAATTGTCAGGCAGCATTCTCGACACGGGGAAATGTATGCATGGTGATTCAGTTAACCAAGAGATCAGCCTCCCTCCTTTATGCATGGGAACTTTGCTGCGGTGATGGCTGTGTGAAAGGCGACACTCGTTGTGTGCAAGTGAGTTGAGTTGAGTTGAGGGCGCAGCTGCACTCTGCAGTTTTTCTCTCTCTTTCCTTGTCGCCGTCAGCAACTTGAACGTGAACCTCAACTTTCTGCCCGTGCGAATACACTGCTTGCCTTGCTGAGCTGCTTCTCTGCTTTGACGCGTGTTGGTGCCATCTTCTCTTGGTTCTCATTCAGCTTCTGCCCCGTCTCCTCTCTTTCTTGTCATCTTCTCACAGTGCTGTCGCGGTCCACCGTCCTATGTCCGCAACAAAGCCTTCTGAGCGTCTGCTCAGATACCCGCCCATGGAGAGACAGGACCTGAATCAGTCCCAGTTGGGCAGCTTCAAGTTCACACCAGTAGACAAGGTCCAGTCAATCGACACCATTGCCACAAATTACTTGCAGCAGCAACTGGCAGAGAGCCTCATGCGAGCGGAAAAGTCCAGATTTCTGGCATCTGCCCAGCCACACAGTTCAACTGAGGTCAAGGTGACATCGCCAGCTCTGAGTTTTGGTTCAACCGACGCCGAGTTCTTTAACAAGCATATCAAGCCCGATCTTGCTGAGTCGCGTCTGCGCCTAGGACCTGCAGCCTTTCGGTCTGCTGTTGATGGAGGTGCAAGAAGCCCAACCAAGCAAGATCACATTCGCATCCTGGGGCAGGTTCAGGAGCATAGTTCAGGGTTGGCACCTGCTCAGATGAACTATTTCCCAGATGTAAGTTGCCCAGAGCAATCCACGCCGCTTCAAATCCCTTGCTGATATCGTTGTTCAGGATACTGGACATACCGCGTTGGAGATACCAAACATGGATCCCACAGCTGCCGCCTTTGTGCCAACTGCGACACTCAACCAGTCTTTGGGTCTGGCCTTGGTGAACGAGCAGCAAGCGCACAATACAACTCGGGAAGCCTTGAGAAAGGAAGTAGAACGTACCGCGCAATTGGAAGATCAGATCAAGAAGCACCAGCAGCAGATCTCACGCCTGACTGTCACAGTGAACAACCTGGGGGCAATCATCAAACATAACCTCCATAAGGACGTTGCTGTGACACCAGCCAAGGACAAAGATGCAGAAGAAGCTGCTTTACATGACTTCTACCGCACCAATCCGCACCTTGTAAAGAATATTGAGAACTTGGGGATGACTGAGGATGCAAGAGGTCAGGACAATAACAAAGGTCTGACTCACGCAAAGGGGGCAGCGGCCACTGTTCAAGCGGACGCTGTGAAAGTCGACGAGAATCAGCTTTACAATTTCGAGTTGTTGACAAATCCCCATGACGACGGCTCGCCAATATCTGCTTTGCGCCGAACCCTGCGAAAACAGTTCTCCATCGCTGAGAGTATCGGCGGCAGCCAGATCAACTCCGCAATCACCCCGTCAAAACAACCAATAAAGGACAATAGACTCATCGAGATATCCCCGGAGTCCGGTGAGAGTGTCAAAGAAGCTGATCAGGGCGAAGCTGTCGGCACCAGCCCAAGCCCAGGCAAAGACAATAAGAAGGCGGTTACTGGCAAGCTGTTCAAGCGCAGTGATAGCAGTGCGAATCTGAAGACACGTCTTCTGGTGAGGAATTTCATGTTCTAGCCTCCATTTAGATAACTCATTCACAGGAAACAGACTGCAAAAACTCCAGTCGCGCAATTGGTAGTTAATGCCCTCCTTTGTTTATCTTTGCACCTTACTAACATTCATCTAGCCGACCACACTCAGCAACAAATGCGCGCGGCAACCTTTATCTAACCACCAAGTAGTGCTCAAGAACCAGGTCTGTTAGTCTCGCGTAGTGATTTCGTCTACTAATGCGCGCAAACAGACAAACGATCCCCAGCAGAAGATGGCAACACCGAATCTACCTAACCTCTGGAATCAGAATGAGGCGGGAGGGGCCAGTGGCGCAGACAAGAGCGCGGTTGATGGCAACAATGATGGAAGCTCGAGTCAGACATCTACGCATGAAGGTGGTGCTCAACGCCTTCAAATTACTCGACCCCCTACACGGGCGACTGTCCAAATTCCTGGAAACTTTGATGGCCATCCAAAGTGGCTAGTAACCAAGGAAAATCCCATCTTCGAGTCCGACGAAGAAATTTGGGCTGCTATCAAAGAGTCCGGTCCCCCCTGGATGACGAGAAGTGCCTTCGCAGATCATCCCGTTCGCTACCTGCCAGAGGATGCCGTCCGTGATCAGAACGCGTATCGTACAGTCATGATGGACGAAATCCCCGTTGGTACAACCATGAAAGACGTTCTTAGTATGATCCGCGGGGGTACTCTGGAATCTCTTCAGCTCTTGCCGCCCATTGGTCGCGCCACTTCTTTCATGACTGCTCGGGTGGTTTTTCTCCACGAGGGAGCAGCTGATGGAATGAGAGCACGTCATCAACGCGTACCCTTCACCATCAACGGAACTCAGGTCCGCGTTTGGAAACCGATTGATCCAACATACCCACTACCTCGCGATATCGAAGATGGTGTTTGGGGCGAAGATGAAGCCAGCCGAATCCTGTTGATCGGTAACATTCACGACAGCCTGTTCGAAGTCATCCCCACGAAGTTGGCCCGCCTGGCCCTTAGCAGCTCGGTGATCGAATATAGCTGGACTTGGGATGGCTACGCTTCCATCGAGTTTGCCGACATCAAGAGCGCATTTCATGCCTCCAGAGAACTGAAGGCTCACGAAGATTTGTACGACGCAGACTTTCGCTTCGACCGGGACTACACCTCGGACAAGTACGAGGCCCTTCAGGACAGTGACGAATAGGGTATGAATGATTGCTTGCCACCAGGAGGCTAAAGAAGGTTCTGCCAGAATTGGTTCATGGACGCACTCGCGCAACAAGCACGAGGTTGGGCACTGTTAGTGCGGAGGGCCAAGAAGCCACAATCAACTGAGATAGTAAAAATGAGATGCATCACTCCATTCTTGTGCTTCGAAGTGGCGTATACCCTTTCGAAGGAATGGGCAGTAGAGCTGCAACCGGCGCGTCCTGTACTTTTTCAGCGCAGCCTGTCTGACCGAGGCGGCCAGTGCCTAAACCGGTCGTTAAGACTACCGGGTAAGTAGGACGTTGACTGCGCCGGTCATGGGCAGTGCCGGCTCGGACTAGGTAGACGTCAGGGGCAAATGGCGCATAAGCGACCGTGACAAGATTGAACAGGGTCCCCTCTGCATCCCAACTGTGTGGCATACGGAGGGTTACATGCTCTCAACAATGTGCGTATGGAAAGATGCAGTGGGCGTCCCTCGAAAGGGGGTGTGAAATGTCACCAGCCAATCAAAATGAATGTAATGGAGCCCAGCTGTCACGTGCAAGGCTGAATTCCAACCTGTCGACATCGTCCTTCGCACTCATCAATCTTTCCAACAAGTGTCTGTGAACCAGCATCCGACCACGTTTATCGCAAGCATCGCAAATGGCGAACTGATCAATGTGCTATACTCTGTCGGGCCTATACTTCCGTATCTCGACTCAGGATGTCGACTAGACGATATACCAAACGGCGACGGCTGATAACATCCTGCACGGAATGCCATCGTCGGAAGCAGAAGGTGGGTCAGTCTCTATCCAATATCGGCGGCTGCTTCGCCACTAACTTGTAACAGTGCAACCGGAAGCAGCCATGCAATATCTGCACCTCGAGGAATATTCCTGAGAAATGCAAATATGGGTAAGGTCAGCACATTGATACCGTGTTCCTTATCGGCATTTCGCTGACGAGGCCCCCTTCAGGCTGGAAGCATTGGTTGTTGAACCACCCGATTCACCCTGGCGAAGCCCTTTGATGGATGATGCACAGACATTGCATCCTGCAGGCTCTAATATGCATTCGGAGACGGCCCCAGAACCAGGTAGTCTTGTCGAACAGTTTGGTTATTCCGCCGTCGACCAAAGCCATGCATATAGTTCACTGTAGAGGTCTCTGCGGCTTGGTCCTGCTGTATCACTTACAGACGGACCTGTGCCTCGATCGATATTGCAGGTGTACTTCAAAGAGCGCTATTGCCAGCTGGCGTCCCAACTGCCGCCACATGCAGTGATACGAGAGTTGGTCGATCTGTACTTCTCCGCCGTGGATTGGTATACCATGGCCCTGGACCGTTGTTACAATGAGGCGTTGCTGGACTCTTGGACCCGAATCAGCCCGGACGTCTTGAAGCGTCAGAGCCTTCAAGAACTCAGTCGTGAGTTGCATCACTTTCCAGCACTCCTCTTCCAGTTGCTGGCCGTAGCCTTGCATTTCCTCCCATTGGACGCGAAAGCTGCCTTGGCTTTGAGAATCCACGACTCTGCTAGTCTCGACAGGCTATCAGAGGATTACAGCAAAACAGGACTGGAAATAATGGCGCTTCTCGGCCGCCAACAACCGACCATCACCTCGGTCGAACACGACATCCTGCGTCTCAACTGGTTGAAGAACTGTAGCCGTGGCTCAGAGGCGTGGAATTCGCTCAACCATGGCGTGCGCCAAGCGCAACTCCTCGGCCTGCACCTGGAGCCTGAAGTGAAACCCCCGGAATCGGACGAAAGCGTGGAAAAGTCGCTATCCCGGCTGTGGTATGCCGAGTACAAACGTCGCGTGTGGGCCAGGTTATTCATTCTGGACGCTTTCATGTCTCTGATCCTGGGCCGGCCGAGACTCATCAACCGCGAAGATTGTACCGCCGTACCCCCATTGAATCGAGACTTCCCCCTGCACCCGTCTAGGACCGTCTTCTTCCCACCAAGCCGAACCGATAATGGACCTTCTGAATCAACTTTCCTAACCTACCTTTATACCCTGTCCACCAAGATCCACGACCTCCTCTCCGCCCGGGCCGGCAATAAGCAAATAAAGGACTATAGCAAAGTCGGCGAACTGCATGACAGCATCCTCTCTATCCAGCAAGACCTGCCACGGGCGCTGGCGCCAGAAAACCCAGACATATCACCGGAATTGTACGCGCGGTATCCGCATTTCCCCAAGATACGACAGCAGATGATCAGCACGGCCAACTCGTTCCTGATGAACCTGCACCGGCCCTACGTCGACTCGCATGCGGCAAGCCGCAGCGCCGCGGTGGAGAGCGCCCTGAAAGTTCTCGAGAGTCAGCAGGCCTTGTTCGACCTGATGAGTGAGCACCAGTACAAGCTGTACGGATACTCGTTCTACACCATTGACGCGGGGATCTTCCTTGCATCACTGGCGATCCAGCGACTACCAGAGTGCCACACGGTCTTCGACCGCGTCAAGTCTGCCCTGAAGAAAGCCATTGCCCGTCTGGCAGCGTTGGGCACTAGGATCTCCATTGCCCGCACGGGAGAGATGGTTCTCAAGCAATGTTTACCTCGAATCCAGTCTCCTCCGACCCATGTCAATGGCGCCGCGGCCTCCATCGCCGTTTCCGCCCCCAGTCCTAGTACTCGAGATGCAGTCTCTTCTAATAACAACAACAACTACGACCAGAATAACGACCTTGCAGACCGTGACTTGTTGACTCCTGGCCCATCTGTACCGTCTGGTCGGGCTTCGGTTACCATTCCGTCCACCACCTATCCTCCCTCTACACACCCTGAACCCCTGGTCAACGACACAGCCGCACCATCATTCAACAACGTCCACGATAATTTCGCCTCATTCTCCTTTGATCTACAATCTGTTCCTCCGCCCATCGACGCCGCCGGATTCACAAACTACTTTGAGACCATGGCCGGTGGTACTAGTGGTCTAACGTGGCCGAATGTTCATCCAAACAACCCTGATAACACTGCCATTGCTAACAATGCCACTTCTGCTGCCGTCGCTGCCGCTGCCGGTCATTCAGTGGGCGCTGCTAACTTGAATGGCGCGTCAGAGTCAGAATACCCGGCGAACGCAGATCCTAAAGCTTTTGGTCTGGATATAAGCGGAGGCGGAGGAGGAGGCGAAAGTGGCATGGAGTTCTTTTCCTACGGGTTTGACGAGTATCCGTACTTTTTCTTCACTGCTGGTGGCCAAACTTGAACAGCACCAGATTAGCGGTACTTACTAGGTAGACAATGCAGTGGCCGGGAGAGTGCTACCTATCCCAGCTTCGTCTATCACCATACTGGAGCTTGATCATCGAAGCAATTTAATATACGTCGCTACTATAAGTCGATTCCAACGTGTGACAGTAATTATCATTGCTATTCACATTCATGCTGGAAACGAAACGTCCGGAGGCTGGAACTTTCAACCGTCCATTACAGGGCCTTCTCTGCCTGCATCAATTGAGCCAATGGCGGTCATGTCTGCATCTATCAACTTAAACCTGACAAAAAGACGTCTCGTGTGCAAACCAAGTAGGAGCTTTGGTGATTCCGGCTAAAACTACAGTGGTAGGACTCTCTTCAACCAAAATGGAACAGCGTCTCTCCCTTTTTCGCTTTCTTGCCCTTCTTCTTCGCGCCAGAGCCGTCTCCGCCATCAAAGTCGCCATCAGCCCCAGCCCCAGCACCTCCAGCAGTAGAGGCAGAAGCAGCCGAGGCAGCAGCTTGTGCAGGGGTCGGAGTCAATCCTCCATTGGCCCATGCATTTACCGGCGTGGTAGTTCCCGAGCCGGATGGAGAGTTACGACTCGATGAGTTCAGCCATCGGACGGATCCGCGGGTATTGAATCCGGGCATCATGGTGTTTGGTTTCGGTGCGGGAGGCAGAGACGGGAACAAGTCCTCAGTTGGCCGGGGAGGAGGAAGATTGTTATTGCGTGTGGATTGACGGAGGGTTGATGCGGTCGTCGGTGCAGGCCGTGAGGTTGGAGGTGCAACGCTGACCCTTGTGTTGGTGACTTGTTGTGCGGCGGTATTGCCCCATGCCGGTTGTATTGATGCACCTGCAGCACCTGTTCTGCGGGAGCCATTGTTGGCGGCAGATGAGAGAGCAGGGAACGGGTCGCTATCCCTACTGCCAGTGCCACTGCTGCCACCGGACAGTGCGTTACCCCAGGAGCCTTGTCTTGAGACCGCCGAGCGAGAAGATTGCGCCGTACTTTTCTTGAGCGTCAGAACGCGTCTGCCGCTGCCCGAGCCGGTGGTGCCGCTCGAAACACCTGGGAGTGTCCCGCTTGGACCAGGGAGACTGGGGTAATCCTCGTTGATGCTGCGCCAGTCATTCCAAGCCTGTAGCAGGGCTTGACGTTTTCCATCGTCTTCGTACAGATCGGACAGTTCGCGAATCAGCTTGCCCAGTTCTGTACTCGGGCAATCGAACAGAGAAAAGAACGAGTCAATTAATTCAGTCGCTGAGCTGGTGCCGCTCCGGTATGCAGAAACATGTGTACGGAACTGTGAGAGCTTGGTCCTGTCGTTCTTTAACAATGTCGACGCACGGTCGATAACGGCTTGGTGTCGTAAGGCTCGCGCCTGTTCTTGAGGTGTGGCATTTGATATTGATGGGCCAGGGGCGTCAGTTCCAAGATTCAAATTCTCTACAGGCGGCAGTGATTGAGGCTGTGTGGAGGGACCTGGTTGAGCGCGTGTGGCGGGAGGAGATCGTGTTGGTTGTGTGAGCTGCCCTCCAAAGCTCCTGTTGGATACGGACTGGGAACTCTGGATCGCCAGCTGTCTCTGGAAGGCCAACTCGGCGCGGCTCAGAGGCTGAGCGCTGGATGTAGGTAGTGGTTCAGCATTTGGATCACGACCTCTCCCACTACCACGGCTTTCTCGGTCGTGATTCCCTCTTCGTTGTGGTTGGTACGGCGTGCGGATGTCGAATCCAGAGAGATTCACCAGTCTGGCATCTCTTCGAGCATCTTTGGACAATCCATTGGGATGCTCCGAGAGTTGATGCGCCTTGAGGTCCATCTCGGATTCAAAGACATTCGTCTTGTTGGCCTGACACTCTGCATCCAAACACACGAAATGCTCGGCCGCGAAGTGCTTCTCCAGTTCTTGGTAATTCAAGTAATACTGTGGATTTCTGCCCCCATTTCGTCTGTCACAGATGTGGCATCTCTCATGCTTCTCCCGGCAATGGGTGTAAAGTTCGTCGTCCCCATAGAATCTTTGCTTGCAAAAGCCACATTCAGGATGTCCTTTGAACCCGGATTGTGAGACTGCCCCGGGCATGTCGTCTCCATATTTTTCGTGCCTCCTAAGTCCCGCATACGTGAACAGCTCATGTTCATGGGTGAAGACTTTTTTGTTTCTGGTACACAGGTCGCACATTATCTTCCCGTGCTTTGTCTTGACATGTCGATGTAGATCCGGCCAACCCCGACATGCAACGTCGCAGTCCTTATCAGGGCAGTTGTATCTCAAGAGCAGTATGGTGTCTTCGAAGATAACGTCCTTCTCGTATTTTATACCCAAGTTTTCGTCAACCTTGACAAAGTCCTTGTCGGTAAACTCTTCGAACCGCTTGTCCGCGCTGTCAGTGAAAATCACAAATGGTGCTTCCGTCTATAGTTCGTCAGTATAGTGTTTCATTGGATGTCTGGGAGTTGACTTACTCTGCAATGGGCACAAGCTCGTGTCTTGTACAACGCTCGTAGTCTCAAGGCGCAGATGTGGCATGTCTGATGGTTGCAGGGTGCGATTGAGACGTGCTCAATGGGACTCGCGCAAATGAAGCACACTTCTCCATCTTCCGTTTCCTCAGCGGCATTATCTTTCTCCTTTGGCTGCGAGTCGGTTGTGTCGCCTTCTGGGTTTGAGGCAGCTTCAGTCAGGCGTGCACCGAAGCTGCCACGAGGTGGTCTCTCAACGCCGTCTTCTCTCACGGGTTCAGACTGTTGAGATGTCTGAGAAACTGAGTTGTCGCGCCCTTGTCCTTGTCCACGGCCTCTACCTCTTCCCCGGCCACCTCTTTGTCCACGGTTTCCTCTCGCAGGGGTATTGCCATTGCGGTTATGGGGGGAGTCCTGTGATTCACTGCCATTTCTCGGGTTGCTTCGGTCGCCGCGCCTCGTGGGTGCAGTCCGCGGCGGCGCCCAGGCCTCTGTTGCAGCCACCGGTTCTGGCATTTGTGCAAGCAAGTAGAAGGGCTGTGAGAAAGAGTGCGGCGTTGTTGAGTCGAGACCTGGAGGTGCAATGTAATGTCTGGGGAGCACTATAACTTCACGGTCAGTTGCGAAGAAAAGTCGCAGGGTCACTGTGGGGTAATTGAATAAATAAACTGGTGCACCACTTTGGTAGTGAATGATATATTATGGCGACACCACTACAAGAGGGACTTCCATGAAGAACTTGAACCGATACTTCTCAAACAAGATCAATCCAGACCTCCAATTCCTCTTGCAACAATCGTATCGCTTGGAACAGAGCCGAATGGTGGCGAGCGCATCGCTCGCGTTTAGTCAGCAAGGCTGCCACTCCTGAACAGGAAGTACAAGTAGCAGATCGATTTACGCATCCACCAGCCATGATATTGATTTATGTCTTAGCATTCCTGTATTTATTCCGTGATTAGATGACCTTTCCATCCCCGAATGTCAATAAAATGCTAGAATTTTGGGCTAATTCCACCCCTTGGTAACGACGCCAACCACACCACCTGAGGTTCCTTGCGTAATATTCATGTCGCATTCATGACCGCTGAAATGACTGGATTATTATGTTCCCAGAGCCCCAAAGAATATTATCTGTCGAGACCGGCGTGAAACGAGTCAGAAACTCAATGGATCCCTAATCTTCGGGATTGTACATTTGTTGTGAGATCAGCTTGGTCATGGTAAACATGTGCACTTTATCTTGTCGAAATATTTCTCGCATTTTTGAATCGCAGACGATATACCGCTTGTCGCTAGGGTCTTGCAGGTCATTCGCCTTGATGTATGCCCACATTCTTTTGGTGATCTCAGGCCGTGACATCTATTTCGCTGGTTAGAAGTTCCGCCCAGCGAATTGCTCGGGAGTGCTTACCTTGGTCTCTCCATCGAAGAAGGCAGATAACGCGGGGGACAGAATCAGTGGTTTCTGTAGCTTGTCAGCAAAGTTTGTGGCAAGCCGGGTGCAACGTACGTGAAATCCCGTCTCTCGCTTGGGCTTCTGCTCTTTGGCGTCATCCTCGAGATCAGAATCGTCAGATCCAGTGACCCGTTCCTTCTTTGTTCTTTTCTTCTTTTTGGCGGGAGCACTCTTTCTGCTAGCACCTCCTCGTGTAGGCCGGGCTAATTTGTCTTCTTCCGCTTGAAGACGAGCAGCGAAAGCGGCGTCCTCGTCAAGGCTGGCTTTACGCTTCTTCTTCGGGGGTGGTGTGTCTATGACCTCCGACCCTGCTTCGCTTGCATCCCTTTTCGCAGGGGAAGCAGATGGTGATGAGACCTGATTCTTATGAACGCCATTTGTCGCCGGAGCGGGCTCGGCCTGTTCAACCGACGCCACCACTGGCGAGTCACCATTCTGTTTGGCCTCGATGATGTCGAATCTCTCATCAATCAGAGCTTTGATAGCAGCCTGAGATTTGTTAGCCCCTTGCGCTGGGACCTATGTGCATATACTGACTTTGTACGGGGTAAGATCGGTGTCAACCTTGTCTTGAATCCCCTGCCGAATGTTCCTCCTCGTTATAGTGGTAAGATCGGCTTCGTGGAGGATGTTATCGATGATAGGGATGCATTGCGCACGAAGACCCGGCGGAACTGGTGAAGAGTTCAGAGAAACTTCACTCCAGCTTTGCATTCATATACTCACGAGACATCCTGCCGAGAGCGGTGGGAGACCGGTCTGAAGATTCAGTGACGACAGTCCCACCCAAGCACAGCCTGGTGCAACGAGGTAGAGGGCGAACTAGGCAGGCAGGAATAAGTCATTAGACGTGCGACAATTCACCCAGCGCCACAACCGACGTGCTGGACTGAATTGGGAGTCCGTTCCAGATCGATCAGTGAGCCAACGCTGCGCCTTTGGGTGGGACCGGGTACGAAGGTCAGAAGAGAGGCAGAAGAGGCAGAAGAGGCAGAAGCCAGAGACAGCGAAGCGTTGGGCGTGAAAAGAAGGTGGCTTGGAGACTAGCAGAGGGAGATGTATCAATGCCAGCTGCGGAACAATGCCCTGCATGTGCCCGTGGGCATGGAAGCTGGGGCAGATCGACTGCCGGCGCGGGATCTGGAAAGTCTGCCGGCGCCAGGCCCAGCAAGTGACAATCAACAGCCTTGCGCTGGCTGCGGTTCAATGAGCAAGGCTGAGGCTGCGATTGCTACGGCACAGCATTGAACCCTTATGTGCGAGGCGCGCAGTTCAACAATTCTCACGTGACTCGAGAAATCTTGGCCTTCAGTTTGCAGAGTCCACAACCTGCGCCCCCTCCACCGAATATTTACAGGTACAGAAGAGCGCGGCCGACGACGACTTTGCTCGCTCAATCCACGACTCCTGCCAAAGCTACTGCCGTCGCAATCGAAACCGCGAAGATGGCTCCCAGCTTTGACAAGCTCTCGGAGCACGACTTCGAGGATGATGTCGAGGAGAACATCGATTTCAGCGACCTCAAGGAGCGCTACGATGTGCGGATGGAGGAAGGCCTCGATACTTTTGTCGTATGTCTGCGCCGAGAAGCCAAACGTCGCTTTTACTAAGAAACACAGGTCATCGATGGTCTCCCAATTGTCTCCGAGGAACAAAAGCCCAAGCTCATCAAGTTTTTGCTGAAACGCCTAAACTCCGTGGGAAGGATAAAGGATGGAGAAGAATCTATTTTCATGCCCATGAATGAGCAGGGGATGTCTGAAGGGTACGAAATAATGCCTGATGGTGCCCTACTTCTTCTGACTTGTCTATAGGTTTGCATTTGTTGAATATTCTACTCCAGAGCAGGCGATTGCCGCGACGAAGCAGCTTCATGGAACAGCATTGGACAAAAAGCACACCATCGCAGTCAACAAACTTACCGACATCGAAAAGTATGGACGAGAAGGAAGGATTGACGAGGAATTCGTTCCCCCCGAGATTGAACCGTTCCAGGAACAAGAGCATCTCCGGTCGTGGCTCTTTGATCCCGCCGCTCGGGATCAGTTCGCCATGTTCCGTGGCGACAATGTTGGCGTATTCTGGAACAACAAGAGAGACCCTCCTGAGCCTGTGGTGGATCGCAAACACTGGACACAACTGTTCGTCTCCTGGTCACCGCAAGGTACCTACCTCGCATCCATCCATCAACAAGGTGTTCAACTCTGGGGTGGCCCGTCATTCAAGCGCGTCCGACAGTTCCCTCATCCTTTCGTCAGCCTGATCGAATTCTCTCCGGGCGAGAAGTACCTTACCACGTGGTCGAATCAACCCATCACCGTGGAAGAGGGTAAAGGTCCCCTGACTATCGATGAAGAAGGCAAGCACATCGTTATTTGGGACATTACTACCGGCAAACCGCTCAGATCGTTCATGGCTCATGATCTTACCCCTCCACCTGGTGCGGATCCGGGCGCGATTCCTCCCAAAGCGAAGGTTCAATGGCCAGCGTTCAAATGGTCTGCCGATGAAAAATACGTGGCCAGAATGAAACCTCACGAGAGTATCTCGATCTACGAACTCCCGCGCATGAACCTACTGGACAAGACGTCGGTGAAGGTCGAAGGCATAATGGACTTTGAATGGGCCCCGGCAATCACCCAGAGAGAAGGAGTCAAGACATACGAGTCGCTGCTGTGTTTCTGGACTCCTGAGATGGGCTCCAACCCGGCGAGAGTTGCGTTAATGTCTATTCCAAGCAAAGAGATTGTCCGAACTCGAAACCTGTTCAATGTCACGGATGCGAAACTGCATTGGCAGTCCGAAGGCAAATTTATCTGTGTCAAGGTTGACCGACACTCCAAGTCCAAGAAATCCCTGGCCACGAACCTCGAAATCTTCCGCATCAAGGAGAAAGGCGTACCTGTCGAAGTCGTCGACAGTCTCAAGGACACTGTCATAAATTTCGCCTGGGAGCCCAAGGGCGATCGGTTCGTTCTGATCACTGCTGGCGAGGCCGTCGCTGGAGCACAGACATTCCCCAAGACCGCCGTGCAATTCTTTGCGCCCGAGAAAGTCAAGGGTGCAGGCACTGGTCCGTTCAAGCACGTCCGCACCTACGACAAGAAGAACAGCAACGGTATCTACTGGTCGCCGAAAGGCCGTTTCGTCGTCGTTGCCACGGTTAGTGTCCAGCAACACTCGGACATTGACTTCTACGACCTCGACTACGAAGGTGACAAGCCGGAAAGCGAGGCCCACCTCGCCGCCAATATTATGCTTATGAACTCTGAGGACCACTACGGCATGACGGATGTCGAGTGGGACCCAACCGGTCGATATGTGACCACCAGTGCTAGTGTTTGGACTCATCAGGTAAGCTTAGCTTTCATTTATTCCCTTGCTTTGTGGCGGCACTTACTGACTTATCAACGCAGATGGAAAACGGTTACCGACTGTGGACCTTTTTCGGCCAACTTCTTTTCGATGCTCCCACCGAGAAATTCAAGCAATTCCTCTGGCGGCCACGGCCACCGACCATGCTCTCCAAGGAGGAACAGCGGGCTATCCGTCGGAATCTGCGGGAGTACTCCAAGGAGTTCGAAGAGATCGACAAGGAGCTCGAGGAGGGTGCCAACTTGGCCGTCATCGAGTCTCGTCGGAGACTCTACCAAGAGTGGTACAGTTGGGTGGCCCAGGAGAAGGAGCTGCTCAAGCAGGAGCGGGAGGAGCTGGGCATCCCCGATCCAGAGACCCAGCTGCAGCTCCACCGTACACGCAGTGTCGAGGCAGATGGCGAGAAGGTGGTCGAAGAAGTGGTCGAGGAGGTCATCGAAGAAACCGAGGAGATCGTGTCGTAAATTTGGAGAGCACAGCAGGGCATCTGAGTGGTCATGTCAGGCGTACTGCTACCGCTGGCACTATCCGAGGCTGTTTCCGGATTAGATGGCTACGAGTACAGCGGTTGCTAGTGCAATGGATTTGTACATGGTCAAATGGGTTTCCGCGGCCGTGAAAGTGCTGGTTGCGCATGCATGAGCGCCACTTAGCTAGCACGGTTTGAACTAGGTGCCGATAGAAAAGTCACGTCTTCGGCATATCGGTGCAACATTGTTTCAAACCGGAGTTTTCATTGCGGTCTGTTTGGGACTCTAAAAACCAAGAACCAACGCTCCCTCGCCCATAGTTGAAGTCGTTCAAATGTGTCACAATGCATTAACCAGCTCATGAACCGAGCAAGTCCAGTCCCTACAGCCTAGACACACCATGAATAGGCTCATCAGACATAATCTACTGCGTGTCAGTGCAGCACGCAAGTAGTGACGATCACAGGTCATGTTGCTCCCTCATGCCTTCTTCGACATCCCGTAGCTGATCAAGATTGATTCTGCACTCCTCCATCTTCTTGGACCAGTAGAACAGGTCCTGACTTGCCGCGGCATGTTTCTTGCTGTTCAGCGGTGCTTCGATTGCATCGTACTTCTCCCACGCCTGACTGTGCTTGCGTTTCGCTTCCTCGAATTGATCGGAGAGCAATTTCTTGACATTAGCAAGGGCCAACCACGGAGAGATCTTGGGCCTCATGGTCGGCTCGGCCAGCATCGCGTCCTTCATGAGTTGGGTTATCTGCGCGGTGAAGTCGGGCTTTGCTGCGGACGGGGTATCATGTGTCACATGCTTGGTTGGTTTCTTGCCCGTGAGTCTTTGGCAGACCCCACAGTTTCCAACATGCTCGGGATCGTGTCTGTGAAGGACATTTTGGGCTTCTGATGACATCTGGACTCTGGCTGTTTTCTGAGGCTGGTTAACAGTAATGTCGGGAAGAATGTATGCCGAGGTCATATTGTCGTCCAAGGCGTGGTGGTGGCGACGTCGGCGAGATGTATTGGAGGCAGCCGTAGGATCTTCCATTATGCTGTTCTCGGTGTCATTGAAGGTGGGTCTCTTGTATGTCTGAGGCTTGCTGTTCGAGGCAGCACCGCCGGTCTTTCTTGCTCCTCCTCGCTTCTCGAGAGTGGGAGAGGCCGCTTCGTTGACAGGCACCGGCGACAGGACCCTTGCATCGTCGGAATTCGTCGTCTTGCCAGCAGCCTGTTTTGCTTCCGCAGCATCGTCTCTGTTGGAGCTCCGTCTGTCCGGTGATCGCTCGGGCGACTCCATGGAGCGGCTCAGGTCGAAGAGTTCTTCATCAACTCGTGTCGATGCTCCTCTGTTCTTTCGGGCGGGTGTACTCTGGTTCTTGGAAGTGGCTCGGAGCAACCTAAGCTCGAGCAATGCCTCATCGCGTTCCCTAGTAAGGGAGTTGATGGTCTGCATGGCTTCGTTGAGATCACGTTGCAGCGTTCGTAGAGACGCAACGATTTGTTTCTCATCGGCAGGGATCGTGTAGTGGACTTGGACATTGGGGAGAGAACCATGGTCCGCGAGGATTTGGGACGTGTTTGGGATATTGGTCGGCAACATAAAGGATTGGCTGGCGTTCTGGTGCCTCGAGGACGATACAGCTTTGCTAAAGCGTGACGGCTTCCTCTGCCCTCGTTCACCTCGAGGAGATGTCGAGCCCGGAGTGTACATGACCTGCGGCGCATGGTTAGTCCGGCGTTCGCATCTGCTCGTTAACCAATGCGTACTTGATAGTCGCCTACAAATGCATCGGCGGAGTGGATGCTGCTGTAGTTGGTCCCGCCGGTACCGTGATCGAACCTCGAGGGAGCCATGTTGTCGTCCAGGTGTACAATGTTCTTTAGGATACTGAACAACGGATGAGATGATTGGGAAGCAGAATACGGGCGACGAGAGGCACGAACTTGAAGACAACCAAATAAACACCCCAATGCAGTTAGGCTCATTGTCTCAGGGCGGCGATACAAAATATCCCCTTCAAGCGATATCCAGCGCCATTGGCAGACCAGCCTTGCGCCTTCGCCAACTTGTACGCGTCGATCACTTCACTTGGCTCTCTCATGCAAACAGTTTCAGGGCGAGGGGTGAGCATTTACTTCAACAACTTCAATCCTTGCATGTCGACTACTATTCTTACAAAAATTTGACTTTGCTGGATAAACGTTGAGGTTGCGGCTGTGCAGGACTTGAATGCCAGGCCACTGGCTCTGCAGTGCCCAGGTTTCATTAGTCGCGACTAGCACTGCCATTAAAGTACTAGTAAGGTCCCGCGGCTGACGTGCGGCCAGTACTGACACTTTGCCAGGCACCGGGATGCTTCAGCTCCAACTTTTGGAAGCCTGTACTGCCAGCGTTCCGACTGCCCAGCTTGTCTGACTGTACCTACGCTTCCGCCTGGATTGTATATAGGTATCTATTGTATCTCATCTCTCACTATCGCATACCTTCCGAATTCCGTTGGGTCACCGTTATTTCGCGGGTATAGATGCAGAAACCCACTTCCGCCCAGCCTTGGTCAATGCAAGGGTTGTGATGCTATTTCCGCAGGTGTGCGTCCTGTGCATATTTTATACCATTTGAGTTGGCATGGCGGCTACTCCGGTCTCTCGGCGATATGATCGACGAGGTAGGCTATCACATCAACTGCTCCCTCGGCAGCAACCATCAGACAGAGGACCACACGGCGGCGGCGATAATGGTGGGGGGATCAAGGGTTCTGCTGTAGCGGTGGCCGTGAGTATCACTTTGATATTGTGATGAACTCCTATCTGAGACCATTCAGGTTGTTGCTGTGCTTGTCGTCCTCATTGCCGGCTCCGTCCTCCTGTATTCGTTGCTGCGAAGATTGAAGTTAAAGGGCAAAAGCCCTCGGTATATTCCTACAGAATTCTTGAAGAGGAAATGGAGGACTTGGACTCCAGGCGGAAAATACGCTGCAGTTCGCAATAACGAACTATTATCCACAAACACGGCGTACAATGGCAACGACACTGGGGCGAGACAAACAGAAACCGGCGTTGACCGGAATACCAGCGTCAGGAGTGTCATCACCCTTCCTGCCTATTCCCGTACACCAAAGGACACGGAGCAGGTATTGGCTCGTGAAGGGGAGCGAGAGGGAATGGATACGGTTGTCGAGTTCCCAGAAACCCAGGATGAGGAGGAATCACGCCGAGAAGAGTTGATGGAGTCTCTGTACCAGATCCGACTGGCCCGGCGCCGCGAGATCGCGGAACGGGAGGAATTAAGACGTGAAAGGAGAGAAGCACGGGAAAGAGGGGACACAGCACGCTTAGAAGAGTTGAGACGACAATCGCGGCAACGGGCTAATGAGAGTGTTTCTTCTTTGAACGGCGGAGCCAGCCTTTCTGCGGCGACTCTCATTGCTGAACACCAATCTCGCGGGCGAGAAAGGAGAGTGTCCACTGTCGCGTACGGTGCTCTAGGAGAGGTCCGTCATGACGGTACTCGACTCCGTGCGAACAGCAACGACTCGGAGCGCGGGGGTTTACTGAGCGGAGCAGCGCCGATGGGCGAGATGGGGACCCGAGCCCGACAGTTCTCAGATGCGGCTTCGACATCCACCGTCTCTCGTGCGCATACTCGAGATCGCTCCAACAGTGGACTGAGTGCCTCGACCATGAATTCGGATATGGAGGCCGAAGCAACTCCCGGCTCAATCCGTGCTCACAGCTCACACAGTGACGGACCCGGGAGCCTCGCAACAAACTCATCGCCCACCGCGAACAGATTCACCCCAGATGAAAGCACTGGCTCCGATGACATCGGCGAGTCTCGTATCCCGCAAGGGGATGAGGATGGAGTGACCCGACCCCCAGAATATGATGAGGTACACGGTTGGGGAGAAGCTCCGGCATATGATGTTGCTGTCGCTACACAGCCCAGTGTCACTGAAGCCTCTAATACAGGTTCCAGGGATGGTGCGCCGCAGCTGCCACAACTCAGTCTGCCCAGTATTAGTGTGTCTGGTGCAACTGAACCGAATACCCCTGCCACTCCACACATGGAAACAGTTCCATTTCCTTCCGATGAACATCACTAGGGAGGCAGCCTGCATGCAGCGTGAGTCGAACGGCATTGACAGTCTGACTTCGAGGATTCGGCAACCATGATCAAACAATCTTGGAAGGAAACTCAGTGCATTTGGACGTGCATTTGGATCTGGAAGTGGTGTGCAATAACGAGATATGTTTGACTGCAATATACAACCATGGTAGCGCGGCGTTAGGGAAGGATTTTGGTTCGGTACTAGGACTTACCATTACTAAGGCGGATTTGGTCTAGAAAAATCGAGACAATGAAAAATATTTGAAGATGAGAGCAATCGATCACAGCAATGGTATAGAAATGATAAGTGAAAGCAGGTCAAAGACCAAGAGCGATGATTTGTGGGTCAAACTTTGTGAATATTTTTGTCATTGAGTTGAAGCTGCTGCGAGCAATGCTCACGCCTCCATTCCTAGCATGCTTCAGCAATAGAGCCCGAGGTGAATCCCACCGTTCCTCTCATATGGAACAAACATGGTGTGAGCGTGACTAGCTGGTAGGACGAGATCGATTCTCGTTTCAAGACAGGACGTCGCCGGTGATCCGCATGCTTCAATGCAACACCCCCTTCGTCCCGAAATCTTGCTTTTGACTATCCTCCGCGAGGAACATTCAAGTTCTCGCTGAAAATCTATCGCACAATACCCTCGAATCTGTTCTTGAACCATTTGATGGTGTCGTCCTTGGAGACCTTGTGGCTACGGCCAATCTTGCTCTTGCACCGTCTCCGTCTGGCAACTCTCGCACCCGGTCGTGACATGCAGCAGTAGAAATCCATGCCGTAGATACCAATCGCAGGGTCGTACTTAATACCCAAATCAATGTGTTCCGAAATACCGAAGCCGAAGTTGCCGGTCTCGCTGAAGTTCTTGCGGCGAAGTTCGTATTCCTTGACCTTCAGGCCACGCTCGAGAATCTCTTCGGCCTTGGGGCCACGGACGGTGACATGGACGGCAATCTTTTCGTTACGACGGATACCGAACGATCGGACGGTGTATCGTGCTTTGCCTGTACAGATTGATCAGAAAGGAAAAGGCGTCATGGAGGTCCAACCACGCTTGCAACGTGGAAAGGGTAGACGCACTGTAGACGGGAGTTTGACCAGACAACTGTTCCAACACCTTTGCGGCACGAGTAAGACGATCGCCAGACTCGCCGACGGAGATGTTCAGGACGAGTTTGTCGATGCGCAGCTCGCGCATAGGGTTCGAGCTCTTGTCGTTGCCTTCCGCCATCTTGAAGATTGGTTTTCAGATGGTGGGTTTAACGAGTGCGACAGAGTTGGGTTGTTGAATGTGCTGGCTGCTCGTAGAATTGAACCGGCCTGGCGTTGAAGGTCGAAATTCTGTGGAAGTGCGCACAACCGAATTGCCTTGGCGTGCCAAGAGTTGTGTATGCACTAGTCCTGTTTGGGTTGAGTCGCGATGCTGCCACTAGCGCGGTCGAGTGCTGCTAGTACTTTGCAGTCTTGCGGATTGCCTGCGACCAGAGCCCAGTTGCAACAGACCTCACCCAAAGTATTTGAAGAGATACAGCCAGTTCGAGCCTGCATCTTTGCTTCCCAAAGGAGCCCTTGCAGCCATCGTCTGGCAGCTGTAGTTGAGCTGCGGCTCAGATCTACGTGAACTTCCATTTTTTGAACTTCAAACCATCAAAGCCAGTTTCGTTTGCGTTTGAACTGTCAAGTCGCATTCGTGCGCGAACTGAGCAAAGATGGCCAACAAGCAAGGGAAGATGGTATGTCTGTTGACTCTGTTCTTTGTGTACTCTTGCTAACTGATACTAGCAACATCTGGTATGCGACATCCGTCCCAAAAGCCACGAATCTAGACACCAACTAACTGAACTTCCTCAGATCAACTATCGTATGCGTGTTACACTGAACGATGGTCGACAAATGACTGGTCAGATGCTGGCATTTGACAAGGTGGGAATTCCAATCTGGCTGATTCTTAGGTTTCCCGGCTAACAACATGTTCCAAACAGCACATGAACCTCGTCCTCGCCGACACCGAAGAGTTCCGCAAGGTCAAGAGAAAGCAGAACAAGCCCTCTGCTCCGGCTGCTCCTGGGTCGGCGGCATTGGTCGAGACCGAAGAGAAACGAACACTGGGTCTTGTCATCCTCAGAGGCACAAACATTGTCAGTTGTAGTGTTGAGGGCCCTCCGCCATCAGATCCTTCTGCACGGTTGGGTACTTCAGCTCCAGGAGGTGCACCGAGCGCATTACAAGCCGGGACTGGAATTGCTAGACCGGCTGGTCGAGGTCTGCCCGTGGGATTAGGTGGTCCGGCAGCAGGCGTTGGGATGGGTGGACCACCACCACCAGGAGGTCTTGCCTTCCCACAAGGAGGTTTTGGAGGAGCTGCACCTCCGCCAGGCTTTGGTGGGCGAGGTGTTCCGCCTCTGGGTGGTGCGCCGCCTCCAGGATTCGGTGCTCCTCCTCCGGGGTTTGGTGCGCCGCCTGGCGGTCCTCCTGCAGGCTTCCAGCCACCTCCTGGTTTCCAAGGTCCTCCGCCAGGTCAGGGCAGAGGCTTCCCTCCTCCAGGGTTTGGAGGTCGTTAATTGTGGCATTTGGAGTGGAATGGAGCAGAAATCACTAGGAAAATGAATCGCCAACGCTACTTGAAGGGATTACAGAATTGACTGGTTCTCGACAGACACCTCCGGGCTGCTAGGCTTTGACAAGCGAAGCATCTATCAACCCAACTTCGGAGCCCAACAATGGTTCATCTGAATTTCACAGCGTGAGGAAAAGGGCGCTACCGTCGAGCTGGCACAGATCAGAACTCAAGGACACGCCGTCCAAAGGGCCGCGCCGACGTCGGTATCTCTCCAACTCCTGGAGAAGAGGACAGTGCATTGTGAACATTGGAAGGTTATGATGGTGATGCGTGAGATGGCTCAGATGAAAGGCCTGAGGGCTATTACGCCAAATCCTGGAATATTGGGGAGCGAATTCAGAAGCTCGAATTCAATCGACAAGCGAGGCCCTCTCAAAAAGGACGGAAACAGGGACCAATGTCTGCTAAATCACGACATGTGTCCATCGATCCCCATATCAGGCGCCGCAACCCTCGTGAGGCTCATGGGACTCGTTGCCAGTGCTCATAGACTTCTTAACTGGTTGTGCTGTACCAGCCTATTAACGACGGGAGTCCTCGTCGAAGACAAATCCAGTAGCGTCCCAACTCAGTTCTCACCACAGATGAGTATATTTTCGTGGAGCCACGTCTACTCAAAAGAGGAGGCAGCCATTCAAATGTCCACCTGTGTACATCTGACTAGTGACTTATAAGCTACAGGTCCGCAATAGCACTGGCAGGCCGTAACATGCCATAGCAGGCTTTCAGCCTGGCCCTCACCGGTACCTGGTATACAGAATGGTTAAAGCAGCAACTTGAAGTTTAGTCTCTCCCGTCCAAACATCGCTTGGCAAGTTTGACCCGTTTGCCGCGCTGTTCAAAAGTTTCCTGTGCAGTGTCGGCGTCCATCCCGAACATCGAAAACATAACAGCATCTAGTAGTATAATACAACAGACCTTGCTGAACACTTCACTCAAGAAACAGAAACATGCCTCCACCAACGAAGCGCCGTCGAACAGAGCCGGCGGTGGTGGAAGAAATCACATTCGACCCGGCGGCGCGTCAAGAATATCTCACGGGCTTTCACAAGCGGAAACTGCAGAGGGCGAAACATGCACAAGAAATTGCCGAGAAGAGGGCGCGGGAAGAGAGAATACAAGAACGCAGAAAGGTAGGTTACACAGACTTCCCTGTCGAGAGGCTGACTACAGTATACTTACAAAATGTGTTTCGCAACAGCTACGAGAACAACGAAAGGCAGAATTGGAACGTCATGTCCAGGAGGTCAATGTGATGCTCAGACCCCCGTCACCGGACAGCGGCTCAGACGACGACGACGATGCTGCAGAATCCAATGAGGAATGGAATGGTCTTTCGGACCCAGAGCCGGAGCCTATCGATCATGAAGCGGAATATATCGACGAAGAAAAGTACACCACCGTAACGGTCGAGACAATGGATGTCAGCCGCGAAGGTCTTTTCAAGCCCGAGTCCAATGGAGATGAAGAACGAAAGAACAAAGACGAAGAAGTCGAGGAAGAAGGGTCCACCTCCGCAAAGAAGAAACGCCCGTGGTCCAAAGACAAGCCTAAAGACAAGTCCAAAGATAAGACCGAGAAGAGTCGAAAGAAGCGGCGGAATTTCCGGTATGAAAGCAAGGCGGAACGGAAAGTAGCACGTACAAAAGAGAGAAACAAAAATCATAAGCAAGCTCGACAACGGCGTGCTGGATGAGAATGCCGCTGTTCGTCAAAGCTGTCAACGCTCGCCCTGTATTGAAACCCTCATTGGTGTCGTAGGTGTGTCATGGTCTATGCATCGTGCCCTCCAATCACTTGCCAGACGTGGTCATTACTTCCTCACACAGTGCAGCCAGAACACGGTTGATTTTCCCTCGAAATCAGATATTTCCCATGCTCTGCTCCAATTCTTGCAGCTCCTTCTGAAGATCCGCGTGCTTCTTGGCCATTTCCTCGTACTTGGCCTCCCATTCGTCTCGTGCTTGCTCGAGGGCTTGGACTTTGCGCTCGAAGTGACCAGCTTTGACGTCGGTTTGGCGAAGCCTGCGGGGTTGGTCAGCATATGTTGTGCAAAGCAAGGGGGTAGTTGTACTTTTCATTGGTCTCTCTCAGAGTCTTGTCAGCAGCCTCAGCCTCTTCTTCGAGTAGCTGAAGTCTTCGGGTGAGCGCCTCGTTCTGTTGACCATGCTGCGAGGCTTCACCAGCAGCTGCCTTGGCTTCCTTGAGACTGACTTCCAGCTTCTCGACTTCGGCCTCAAGGAGTTGGTTGCGGTGTGTCAATGAAGTGATCTCCTGCTCCTTCTGAAGGTTCTCTTGCTCCAACTGCTTGACTTTGGCTTTGAGTTCTTCGGCCTTTGCTGCATTCTCATCCGCCTCGAGGCGAAGAGCGTTCATTTTCTGTTGGAAGTTAGCGAATGCGGACGCCATGATGTTCGGTGTTGTTCGGCGTATGAGTGGATGATAGGCTGGCGGTTGATTCCGTAGGGATGATAGAGAAAGGTTCAACGACTACAGAAAGGCACAGTCTGGGGTTGAAGTAGACTAAAGTCGTTCAAGTTGCGGCTGATCGAAATGCGAAGGCGTGGTGCCTGCACGGAGGGACTTGTAGTGAAGGCAGGTGCAGCTGCCCGAGACGTACCTCCTTAATTCGATCCATCTTGTCTGAGGTCGCACGTGAAGTCGTAAATAAACTGGAATGAAGATGAGGCGGGTAACAGTTGTAACGTGGTGTTGTCTAACGATAGGAAGCAGGGCGGGCGTCAGATGCAAGTTGTCCAAAGGAAGAATGAACAGGCGGTCACTTGAGTGTGTCCACAAAGTGTCAGCGCAGAGGGATAAAGTAGCATACCAGATAGAGGGGGATGTCGCAGACTACAGTGCCCGTGGCCTACTACTAGGATGCTTTCAGGCCAATAGTAATACAATGCCGGCTTACAGGGGTGGCTCCAGGCTCGCCGTTTTATGCTTAGGGCTTTGTTTCACTCCTTTTCCGGGCTGAAAGATAAACTGGTCCGTAGGTCGCGAGGCCACAAACCCAGGGGTTTCGGTGGCTTACTAAGGGGGTTTCAGGCGCCTGATCGGATCCTTAGGGCGCCTAGCAGTAGGTACTAGTTGACAGGCCCTACTAAAACTGCTAGTACTGGACTAATGCTGCGATCTCCCCGGCCGGTTGCGAGGGACAACCAGGTAAACATGCTATCTGGAATTCTCGCATTATCAGCTAGCACGCGTCAACGACACCACATCTATAATTGAAACCCGACTCAACACACAACAACCAATAACCAATTCAACGATTGACGATATTCCGCTTACACTTCGAACATGTTAGCCGCTCGAGATCAGGAAAACATAATTCATGCGCGTCAAACCGCTGCCGCCGGGAAACCACTCAACCAAGGTGTACGGGCTCTGCATCCAAAGACTCCCGGAGGCCTGAAGACACCATTTCGAGCCGGCCAGAACGATGAAAACCGTCCCCTAGATTTGAAAGGCCAGAAGACAGTGGGCAAGGATGGGCCTAGCAAGGTGGACAAGACTGCGTTGGTTACACCTCTTGGTAGGGTTGAGTCTGGGGTCCTTGACTTACCTAGGTATGGTTATGGCTAACGGGAAGAAAGGCCCGCGCAATCGAGCACCGCTCGGTGCAAAGACCACGAATATCAAAGCTCGAGTTTTCCAAACCCCCGCACCGGCTCCCTTGACGACGAAACAAGGCCTGACTGTCCAAAAATCAGCCACAGCTCGACGCTCTGGACGGTCCAAGATCGCCGTTGCCCCCTCGGAGCCGATTGGGACCGATGTCTTGACGAGACGTGTCGACGAGGAAGAAGAACCGGACTTTGGCTATGCGCCGCCACCACCGACTGAGTTACCGGATCCTCCTTTGGAGGTTAGCGAAGATCCATTACTAACAGAGGAGCTTTTGCGAGGCTATGGTCAATTGTACTGCCACTCGCCAAAAGACAAGGATGGCATCTCAGTCCGGCTCAAAAAGGAAGCAGAGGAACTTTTGCAGCATCAGAAAAAGCAGGAGCAAGAGATATTGGACAGTTGGAACAAATCAGATTCACCCACTACCGACGAGTTGAACAAACAGGTCGATGCCATGATTGCCGCAGGGCCAAAAAAGAGCAGACCGCAGATTTCTAGAGTCGACACGATGAAAGCAAGATCTGCCGTTGCGGCATTGTCTGATTCGCAGCCTCGACTTCCAAGTGCCGCTATGAAGCCAACGCAGGCGTCGGAGCAGAAGAAGAAAGATATGGCCCGGGTCAAGTCCAAGCACACCACAGCGGCACCGCCGCCATCAACTACCAGACCTGCACGGTTGGCTGTGTCCAAGAACACCATTGGATTTCCTAAAGCCAAGAAAGCTCCGTCCATAATCCCACCGGGCTTTCAAGAGGGAAAGCCAACGAGTACTCCAGCATCCAAGCCTAGGAAAATCGACCAGGCTTCTATCCATCCTAGGGACTTCCGCGACCTATACGGGTCCCCACCAGTGGAGAGTGATATGTGGTTCCGACTTAAAGAGTATGAGCTGCTGGAGCAGGACGTTTTGAAGGCTGATTGTGGTGAACTTGACGAGGAGTTATTTGACACGGACGTTTTCCCTTTCGACAACAGTAAGCTGGACGATGACGATTTCCAGCTCCCAATGCCAGAATGAACAAGATTACCCAGTCACAAGACATAGGTCCAAGCATCGCGGGCACTCACAGTTCTAGCTTGGATCACCATTGAGGATGATGATTATGATTCATGATACGTATACCCAGCGTGTTACACAGTTTTTGTTTGCAAGGAGACTGCACAAAATGGACACCGGGGCGGGTTGCGGCTGGCCCCTGTGGATCAATGCAGCAGTGTATTAATGAGGTCAAGGTGGAATGCACATAAAGCAAGGATTTCGCTTTACAGGGCGGTCTTCAGAAAATATGATAAAGTATGGCAGTGTACAATCGTAGATGAATTTTCTTTTTAAGTCATTCCTGCTAGGGGCCGTACGCCCAAGAGTTCTTCAGTGTCTTCTGGTCGGGAGAACTTTATGAACATATGTTTCAGTCAATTTTGTACAGGCTGCTTATCACGGAAACTGGTCCACAGCCCCGTCATCGACGCCGCCATTGCTTGCGGCTTTGACAAACTCTGCTGGGGGTTCGGTGACGGTGAAGTTCCAGCCAAACTGATCTTTAACCTTGCCCTGTTGGATGCCTTTCAGCGTGGTCAACAGCTGGGAGCACACTGGACCCGGGTCCAACTTCTCATTCACAGGATACTCGAACTTGTCGCCACGCGACTTCATCGTGATGCTCTTGATGGGCACGAGCGAGGCGGCGGTCCCTGCAGCCATGACCTCCTTGAACTCGGACAGTTCCCCATACTTGATGGGGCGCTTCTCCACGGTGTAACCAAACACATCCCTGGCGATCTGACAGGCGGACTCAGACGTGACGGACTCAATGACGTTCTTGCTGTCCGGAACAGCAACGGTGGTTTTGTCGCCATCCTTGCGGACGCCGATGAACCCGGACGTCGAGAACTCGTCGATTTCAGTGCGCGTCTTGCTGTCTAGGTGCAAGGTGATTCCGTAGCCGGCCTGACGAGCCTTCTCGCTGTGGCGCAGGACAGGGGCATAGTTGCCGCCGAGTTTGACGCTCCCGGTTCCTTCAGGGGCGGAGCGATCAAAGTCCTCGAGAATGAGGGCGTCAACGGCGTGGACGCCATGGTAGACACCCGTGGGCATCACAAACACCACAAACGTGTACTCGTCCGTCGGGTTCAGACCAAGCTGGGCACTGGATCCAAACAACAGCGGGCGTATGTACATGGCCGCCCCGGTCTCGTGCGGTGGAACGAACTCGGCGTTCATGGCCACCGCCAGGTTCACGCATTCGATGAACAGCTCCTCGGGAACAGGTGGGATGCAGATGAACTCGGCCGACCGCTGCATGCGCTTGGCGTTCCGGTCGGGGCGGAAAATGCTGATGCTGCCGTCTGGCTGCCGGAAGGCTTTCATGCCCTCGTAGCATTGAACGCCGTAGTTCAGCCCGGGTGCCATGCCGTGGATGGACAGATGTGGAGAGGTCACAAAGCGTGGTTTGCTCCATGATGGATTCGGCGAGGAATGCCGGAACGTACACTCAATGTGTCCATTTACTTCACGAACCTTGAAGCCGACGTTGCTCCAGTCTGTAAGATCATGGTTAGACAAATTGCAGAAAAGGTGGACTGGAAGTTTCATGTCACTCACCGATCGTGCTGACTGGGGGAGGTGGAAAAGGAGCCATACTGACGATCCACGATTTGTATACCCTTTCTACTCCGCGACCTCTAATCCTGAGTTCTTTTTGGAGTTCCTTGTTGGTTCAATCAAGCTATGGTATTTTAATACTGTAGAGTCATAAGCAGTATTGAGTCGTCGCGGCACAAGTCGCAATGCCAATTCCGGGGTAGTTAGTAGTAGTCAGGTTCTTCGAGGGCTTACTTTGTCCACCTCCGATTGGCCGGTCCGCCAAATACTTTTTCTCTGCCCTGAGCGAGATCGGAGGAGCAATGCAGGCTGAGTCAGCGTCCGTTTGAGGTGGATGCTGGCCGCCGCTTTTGGAAGTTCGGGGTTCCAGTGGCACTGGCAAAAGTCCTCTACTAATATCTCACCCTGGACATGATCATGTTACTGCTGCATTTTGATATGGTACGGTCCATACAATCTCCTGATCACCAGATCGACTCCTTATTTATCTTAATTTCAGCCATCCGTCCCGTATATCAATGTGATTCCCTCTACCGACCTGACTCGTCACTCTATACCGAATCATCTTCCTAACTACCACCTCCATACAGCCGCCATGCCTCGAGCACCGCCCCCGATTATGGTGGTCGTCTCTGCCTTTGCCCTCTTCGTCTGGTACGTTGTATGGACGAGTGACCACCCCCGGCCCATGACTGCTCTATCGCACGCCGATCAATTTAAACCTTTGTTCAAGACCAACGCCGAGGACATCCCCGTTGCCAGTCCGAAAGTGGTTGCCGGGGAGCCAGTGATGGGAAAGTTAGGAAATGAAACACTGAAAGCAGAGCTGGGACGGGCGGCATGGAAGGTTCTCCATACCACGATGGCGAGGTTCCCCGACAAACCCAGCAAGGAGGAAAGTGACGCTCTCAAAGATTACATCTATCTATTCGCCCGGCTCTATCCATGCGGAGAGTGCGCCGAGCACTTTCAACAGATCCTCAAGAAATACCCGCCTCAAACATCGTCGCGATCTAGTGCCGCGGCATGGGCGTGCTTCGTGCATAATCTGGTCAATGAGAGAAAAGGAAAGCCCATATTCGACTGCGCCAACATTGGAGACTTTTATGATTGCGGCTGTGCCGATGACGAGAAGGAAGCCATGAAGGCGGCGGGAGCACAAAGCAGCAGCATTGCCCAAGGCAAGCCTCTGAAGCACGAACCCGTTGAAATCGAGGTGGAAGGAGAAACCAGAGGAGGGTGAGGAAGATGATGCTTTTCTTTATTTCACGCTTCCCTCGATGATATATACACAGCTCCCTCGGCTCCCCTTGCCAAAAAGTCACCATTGCCCTCCAAAATTCCTGTTCCGGTAACAGGACTCACAGCCGGGAATCACACCTATTTCCTGGTAGCGTGCCGTGGTTGCGATGATCCCGGCTCTCGATCCGAACTGCTTCATATGCTCCGGCGCGAGTTTCTTTGGCACAACAGTCCGCCAGTCTCCTCATGGCTAGTCTCTGAATCATCATTTCGCGTAACCTCCGCGAACGGCGCGAGGGAGGCTCTGGTGGTGTAATTCCTTGCTCTGCTGGTCTTATGGGCTGCTCGGCCGATGGCTCGATTGGTAAAGGTAATGTGGATACTGCGGCACCACCATCATTGCTGGCGAAAGGGTTTAGAGTGCGAAATCCGACGTCGACGAAGCATCTGCTAGGGATATACCAAGTGTCGTCAAAGGCGAATGGTTGCTCTGCTCCTGCGGTACACGTGGCCGGCCATCCCTGGTTGGCGCACTTTTTGCACGGCTGTCTCAGATATACATTGTAATCATGGACGACACATCCCCTTACGTCGGGGTCTGCACAGACAGTGTTGCGAAACCGGTGTGTTGCTGGATGGCAGCACAGAAAGAAATATCGCCTGGTTGTGCACATTGCTCCTTGGGCAACAGCCGCGAAGGATTGGATTCGAATGATCAAAAAGAGGCGAGGCTCTCTGGTATGTCTGGGAGAGATCTATAAAAGGGTGCAAAGGCAGCGCAATCGAGGAGGTATGCCTACCTCGGCACTCGATTATGCAAATCTATCGAGTTTCGTTGGTTGCTTCTTCACCACTGTATGTGTGAATGGATGGAGGCTTGAGTGCTGTCACGATTGATGTTTCATTGAAGCTCAGATCTGATGTGCAAAGCCAAATGGCCATCTTGAAAAGATTTTCTCGTTCATTCAAGTAAATCGAATTGACTGAGAGTCACTTTTGTCACAGCCCATATTTAGCAGTCGACAATGAGATTGGCATCACCCTTTGTTCCATCTCCATCACTTGTTCTCAGATTGCAGTCTATGGAACAACTCCCTCATGGGCATGTCGATGAACGAACAAAGGCGGAAGAATAGGGAAGCGAACAAAGCCAGTTTCGGCGTAAGCTTCTGGTGGTTGCTTTCGAGGGGCTTTTACTATGGCAGACAGACTGTCTTGTTCTGGACCTGCAGGGTATAGCTACGATTTTGTTTCTCGACCGGGAAGGTTGCCTATACTAAAACGCGGTATCAATGCGCTGTACCAAGCGATGGGCGACTGGTAGGAGTAGTACTTTGTATTTGCAGGTACCCAGGTCAGCTCGTCGTTCTACATGTGTATCTGTATCCATTCCTTCCAACTGATCATGTCGTCTGGAGTGTGGGTCCGGGGCATGTAGTTGGAAATGCAGTATAACCAGATAGTCAATGTACGCCAATCAAGAGGACAGCTCCCAACCTCGAAAGTTGTCGTCAATATCTTTTGATGATCCCGGCAGACTCGAGCGGTAAACAATCATCTTCCAACGCATTTTTTTCTGTTCCGCCTAATGAAGCGTAAAGCATCGATTTTGATGTGTTGTTGTTGGGGGGACAGAGGGAGGATAGTTGTGGTATCCACAACTACATATTATTATTTCCAGGGGTTCCGGGGTCCTTCGTCGTGAACCCCCTACAAAAGACGATTGATATTACCTACCCAGGTAGTGCACGTCGAACGGAGACAACGTCAAGAACGAGGAAATGAAAACCAATCCATAGATTACAGTCTTGCTGCAGGGGGACGTCAACCAACAACTTGAATGTAAAGTAGGTACCTAGTATGTTGTGAACTCTCCCCATTCTGGTACAGCCTTGCTGGCACACAAGTGAACGCCCTACAGAATGCAATGTTGCTTGTTGTGCTTTCCCATAATCTGTAAGTGGTATATTGCATGATCAGACATATAAGAATATTGAACCATTTTCGAGCTTTGATCTCCAGCATGGAACTTGAAAAAGCTGGTTGCTTTTCTGTCCAGAACTAGACTAGATACTGCCATATGATTCCCAACGGCCCTGCGATCTAAAGCTGGATTGAGAGGCTTATTTTGCGTCACACAACCGCGGCTCTAAGCCCGCAAGCATGGCATATTTCTCCATCTTCCCACCACTGCAGACAACACCCTGATGTATACTACTGCTCCTTGACCCAGGCAATCTTCGCAGTGCCATCGAGAGCAGGCTGGCTTTTACCCGTGTACCTCGGATTCTCACCGATCATATTGACAGGAAAGCCAGGGTCGAACGGCTTGACGCTCTCAAGGAACGCAATCTGCTCATCAGTGAGCTTAATGCTCAACGCCTTGATATTGTCTTGCAAGTGTTCGATCTTGCGGCCGCCGACGATGGGGAAGACATTAGGCGCCTTGTGCATCACGTACGCGATCGCGACGGCCGATAGACTCTCGACACCGTGCTCCTTCGCAACCTTTTCGAGCGCGGCGCTTATCTTCTCTTCGTCGGGAGTCTGTTCCCCCGGGCCGAGGAGCTTTCGTAGACCCTCGCCTTGCTGTTTGCGTTGTTCAATCTGCTTCTTGGACTGGAACTTGCCGCCGCCGATCACGTCCCAAGGCGCCAGAGCCATGCCGAAATGGCGCGCCATCGGAATAATATCACGCTCCAAATCGCGCAGGAGCACGTTCCAACGGCCTTGATATATGCTGAAGGGGGTCTTGCCGTGCGTCGTGGCGTATGTGTTCGCTGCCGCTACCACCCACGCCGGAGTGTCCGATATTCCCAAGTACAGGACTTTGCCCTGCTTGACTAGGATGTCCAGGCTGTCCATGACCTCCTCAATCGATGTCGTGTAGTCCTAACCTCGGATGTTAGAGAAAGACGTCTCGGGAACAGGAACGTCGGCCGGCAAATACTCACCCACCAGTGGAGGTACAATATGTCAATGTAGTCGGTTTGGAGTTTCCTCAGCGAGTCCCGGACTGACGTATGGAGAGACTTTCGGTGGTTCCCTGAGTAGTTGACCGTCTTGCCTTTGCCTAGGTCGTAGCTGCGGTAAAGAGTCGTATATCTGGTTGATGGTGGTCAGTTTAGAGCTCAGAATTGGAAGATGGATTTGGACAAAATGGAGATACTGACTTGGTTGCGATCACCATCAGATCACGGTTCTTCCTTGCTGCCATCCATTCTCCAATCCATTGCTCGGATTGCTCGTTTTGGTAGTTGTTCTATAGCCAAGGGGTGTCAGCACCACAGCAACAGCAGGTGAGGTCCTGAGAATGCCGGAGTGGGTAGAGGCCTCTGCGGACAGGCGAAATACACTCGAGCTTCACTTACAGCAGTGTCAATAAAGTTGCCTCCGGCTTCGACAAATGCATCGAGCAGCTTGAAGGCGTTCTCTTTGGATTGGCTCCCCAAGAACTAAGAAGACACAACGGTGTCACAATGTCAGTGATTATAGAACCCACAAAGCCCGTCAGGTTCCACCGCTCGGTCATCGACCACAAAGTGGGAAGCACGAGAAGCGGATTGGCTGGAACTCACTTCAGACCACGCATCACCCAGGGACATGCCTCCAAGGCACAAAGGCGATACTCTGATACCGGCAGTTTTCGACAGCACCCGATACCTGCCCAGCTCAGTGGGTGGCTCAGGCGCCGGTTGGAAGATGTCGGTCATTGTCGCAGGAAGAGTTTGGTCGTTTGGAGGTGAATGTGGTAATGGTGGTAGTATTAGTACCTATATTTCTCGCTCTCTCACTGATGCTGATTGTTGTTACTCGCAGATGGAAGAAAGGCTGTGCAGAGGAACCACCGTGCCCTTTTATACATCATCCCTCTCTTACACTCCGGGTCCGATGGAGTTTGGAAATTCCTCGAATCGTTCCCGGTCATTTTCTGACCCGACATCTTCACACCACCACTGTGGAATCCACGATCCCCTTCGTCTTGCATCTCCTCAGAAACCAAAGGCTTAGGGGCTGGCGTGGAGAATGTTCGCAGACAAGCTTAGCTCCGAAGGCAACAGGAAATGGCCCTGCTCCTCCTCCACAACGACAATCGTTAGAGGTGGGGGGCAATGATGAAGAAGGCAGTGGAATCGTAGAGGTGGACGTGTGTTTCGAGGGCAGAGTGGACCAAGACCCATATAGACGTGTGGGCTGTTTGTGTTTCCATCTCTTTCGTATGCCTCAGGCTGTGCCTGTGCCTGTGCCTGGCTAATAGTAAGCTTGGATCTGGGTCCTCAAGTTCGTCCTTGATCGGCCGAGTTCGCATGGATTGTTTGGTACATTTGTAATGGAGGTAAAGTCCGTGGCTTGTACCCGGTTACGGCCGATGACTAGTACATTGTAGTACATTGTACAGTATCTAGTGGCCTCATTCCAACCCAAATGGGTTATTGGCTTGTCTTGTGGCTGCTTCAGGGTCTTTCACGCCTGACAAAAGGCTCGGAATCGTGCGAAGTACGTTTGTTGTACAATATTGTATCCTACGATCTGCCCTGCAGTGGCATATAGGGAGATCGTTTCGACATCCTGGTCGACCAGCAGCCACTGGCATTGGCCAGCTCTGCAACGAACGATGTTCAAGTTGGCATGTCCGGCCTGGTCGTCATACAGTGCCATATGCCTTATCACCACTCCTACGAACATGTATGGCAACTTGAAGCCCTTACGTACGTTAGAGCGGATCTTTGTAAGTTGTAGACTACTAGTACCTCTTGTCCAAGAAGGTATCTACTCTGGTTGAATACAGTAGAGCACTCCTGTTGCTTCCTGACCCATCAGCCTGATGAGTACCATGGCACCGGCGGTCTCTTGGGCTTATTTACACCTACAAAACGCTAGTCCAGGTTGGGCACGAGGGTCTCGAGAACGTTCAATGCAATGCAATCTACTTTGTAGTACCCAGTGCTACCAGTGGGCACCCTCGTCGTAACAAGAAGATCAAGGACAGTTCCGCGAATTTTACACAAACCAAGCACAACTCCTTTGAATCGTAATCCCTTGAGGCGCACTCTTGTGCGACCGTGGACCTGGGCAACGACTGAACATCATAGACGTATCACCAGTCCACATCTTCATGATACAGCTGGTTCAGTCCAGCCATCATCGTAGCCAAATCACCTTCACATGGCCAACTAGGTACAAGCAGGGAGATGGAGGAACAAGAAACAAAATGATATCTGCAATCAAAACTTTTTTGCATTTGCTAACTTATGTGGCCTGGCAAGCCTGATCTAACGCAGCCAGCGAAGACCTTTCCTCGGGTCTTGTAAAAGAGCTCCTGGAGGCCGTGCGGGAATCATCCGGAAGACATAGATCCTGTGCAACTCAGATCCAGATCCTCCCATCTCCCGTCCCACCGGCCTCCCAAAGCTCGCTTGATCGTTCATGTCGAAAGTCTATTTGATCATCATGTCCCATCGTTCGAAAAAGAGAGAGAGAGCAACCCGCAAGATAACTTTTGGTGGTGAAGCCGCCATTGTCTCGTCACAAAGCCTCCATCGGCCTCATCACGAAGTTTCATGATCCGTGTCGTGAAATTCTGTTGCTCACGTCTCCTCGCTCTCTTTCGTTGCAAACTGACGCCGTGATGTGTCTGGAATCCATGGCACACATCATCCGTCCTCTGTCCACATGAGGAAAAGTTCGACATGCTCAGGGGGTATCTGGAAATCGATCGGAAAAGCCAACGCTATCTATCATGTATCATGCTGTGCCCGATAATGGTCCTCGGAAAAAAAAGGAAAGCTCCCGGTGTCGTCGTCGTAAAAGGGAGCAAACCCATGAGAAGGATCGAGTCTGCTTGGATGCCTTTTTTCAAGCCCTCGGGCACTCTTCAGAGCGCGATTCGAAAGAAACAAAATCGAAACTGATGCTGGAAAAAACAAAATAAAGTGGCCGCCGGACGGTGAGAGACGTCGACTAGTCGTCTACCACCAGGAGGAAGGACCGCTGGCACCACCGCTTGGGTTGCCGTAGCTGCCATAACCGCCGCCGTAAGCCCCACCGCTGCCGCCGTATGGTGCCCCACCATAGCCACCAGCACTGCCGCCATAGCCGCCGCCAAAGCCACCACCATAAGAAGGAGCACCGCCTGCGCCTCCGCCCATGCGACGCATGTCACGTGTGGCAGAAGCACCACGACCGCCACCTCCACGGCCACGACCGCCACGGCCACCACCGAAGCCAGAGCTCTCACGAGCAATGTTCTCCAAGAAGCCAGGGACTTCCTGGTGAGCTTCCTTTAGAAGTTCAAGGAGATCGCGCACGATGCCACGGTTGCCACGGTTGAAAAAGGCAGTTGCAATACCGGTGTTTCCAGCACGTCCGGTACGACCAATGCGGTGCACATAGTCGTCGATGTCGGTGGGAAGGTCGTAATTGATAACATGTAGCACATTCGGTATGTCAAGTCCACCTAAGGAAATGAAGTTTGATGTCAGTAAGGTGTTCAAAGGAGGGAGTGGAAAGGAAAATCAGGATGTCCCGCAAAGAGAGAGAGAGGGGGGGGGGTTGCGGATTGAGAAGGGAAAGACTTACGGGCTGCTACAGCAGTAGCCACCATGATCGGGCATCGGCCGTTGCGGAAGAATTCCAATGCTCGCTCACGCTCGCGTTGGGTGCGGTCACCATGGATGGCGGTGGCCGGGAAACCTTGGTTGATGAGGAAGTCGGACAGGGTGTCGGCCATGCGCTTGGTTTCGACGAAGATAAGGGTAAGACCGCCATTGTGGCTATGTAGGATGTCGAGCAAGACGGAACGCTTGTCTTGGTCCTCAACATACTCCACTTTCTGGGTGATGTTCTCGGAGGTGGAACCAACACGTCCGACAGACAAGAAGACATAGTCCTTCAAGAAGTCGCGAGCCAGCATCTGGATGTCGCGGGGGAAGGTGGCCGAGAACATGAGAGTTTGGCGGTTCTGAACAGTAGGCATGTCTTCACCCTCGACAATGCGGCGGATCTGAGGTTCGAAACCCATGTCAAGCATACGGTCGGCCTCGTCGAGAACCAAGTACTTGATGTTAGCAAGCGAGATGCGGCCTCGCTCAATGAGATCGACCAGACGACCGGGAGTGGCAACAAGCAAATCGCAACCGCGTTCAATGGAACGAAGTTGAGTACCGATGTCGGCACCACCGTAGACGACGCAGGGTCGAACCCAGGAACGGTAGGCGAATTTGCGGGCCTCATCGTAGATCTGAGAAACAAGCTCACGAGTAGGAGCCAAGATCAGGGAAGTAGGGAAGGCCTTTCGCTGACGATAACCACCACCCGAGGCAGGTGTGGCAGAAGGACCATGCTGGAATGCCTGAGACAGGATTGGGAACAAGAAACCTCCAGTCTTGCCAGAGCCGGTTTGAGCACAAGCCATGAGGTCTCGTCCACCCATGACAATGGGGATAGAGTACTTCTGCACAGGAGTGGGATTGCTGTAGCCTGCGAGCTTGATGTTGCTGAGCAAATGGTCATCAAGAGGCGGGTTGGTGAAGGCGTTGACAGGTTCAGGGACGTTTTGGCCGCTAGCCTCGACAGGGATGTCATCGTAGTTGGCAAAATTGATGCCCGTGCCCTGACCCTTGGTTTCGTTGGGAGCCCCGAACAATTCGCGTTCGATCTTGGGATTGGCAGGACCGGGGATGTGTTGACCGTCTTTCCATTGTCCATCGCCAGAGCCACGAGCTGCATTACCGCCGTAACCGCCACCAGGAGCACCGTAGGCATTGGGGTTGAAAGGACGAGGATTCCCATGGCCGGACCAGCCGTTGGATTGAGGTGCAGGAGCAGGAGCGTTTGCCCAGCCGCCGTTGCTGTTGGTGTTGTTTGCCCATGCGCTGCCGTTCAAGCCTTGTGTCGCAGGTGGACCGTTCGCAGGACGAGGACCAGCTCCATCCATGACCGCCACCGGGGGTCCACGAGAACCTGGCTGGCCGCGAAGGTGAGGAGGGATGTAGGCCGAACGACCAGTCATCGGACCCTGGGGTGCGTGCTTGGATTCGTTCAAGGTAAGACCGTTCATGTTTAGAGAATCAGCCATGTTGAAGAGTAGTGTGGACTTCTGAGATTGCTGAAACAAGTAATGTCAGTAAAAGCGTTCAAGTAGGAATGAGAAAGTGAAAAGGGAATCAAGTTGAAGAGGCGAACGTTCGAGAAAAGCCTGGCGCAATGCAAAGGCAGATCGGTTGAACGGTGAACCAAATCTCAGTGAGGGAAATAGGTGGCGGATGTGATGGAACGTACAGTTTGATGAATTTCCGAACGTTGTTCGATGCTTTGTTGGCTTGAATGGTATGATTAAGCCTTTTTTCAAGTCACGTAAGGCTGAGAGGAGAGGTGACTGAAAGGTGAGGTTTTGTGGTGCGTTAAATTTTCAATTGTCTGCGAAGTTGCTTTCGTGTCCGCAGATAGAAGAGAGACACAGAACGCCTCTCCAAGTCTATCCGAAAGTGAAACGAAAGGCAGAATGAAGAAAAAGGACTGTGTTGATTGTCAGTCGTGGTTGTGGTGAGATGGGCAAAATGTAGAGTGTTGAAGAAAAGGGAAAAGACTTTTTAAAAGGCGCAGCCTGCGCCAGGACTTTTTCTCTTGGGCGGCGAGATACTAGTACACGCTGGCAGAGCGCAGGCGCTAGAACCCTGCAGAGCCCAGAAGGCTTGCGGCCACTAGCAGCGATGACTGTTACACGCTAGTGCAAATTAGTACTGGTCTTGGCCTATGACAGCTAGACCCTGGGCCCTAGGCTTAGATAAGCTTAACACGGTGAAAGTTGCAGGTGGGATTTTTGGTGGCGAACAACTCCCGCACTCCGCCTCGCCAGCAGGCTACAGTGTACAGATTCTTCAGATGTGATCCGTAGGCGAATCTAGGTCCCGGAAGAAGTAGGTCGATCTTACGTTCCCCGGATTAGACGATTGGTCATGGCTCATGACAGTATATCTTGCCACTGACGTTATACGCAAGGCTGGGCCTTGGAAGAATCATTTAGTTGTTTCATCGAGCGTCTATCTTAAACTACACTTTTCTCGTCCAGTTTATCGTAGTTGGAACCCAACCTTCGTCGTCGTATCAGGAAGAAAGCCACACCCAGCAACACGAGGAAGAAGACTGCCTTCTGCAAATATGCTTGGGTAATCATGGTCTCTGCTGGTGTAGTCGCGTCTGCTGCTGCAGGAACATCTTTGGCCGGCGAGCCTAGCTCTGTCTCAGGCAGCTTGGCCCCATGATCGTCCTCGTCATCATTGTAGGTGTTCCCGTCTGAGGCAAGGGGTTCTGTCATATGGTCTCAGTATGATGTTCTGCGATACCCGCCCTCAAATCTATAGCTCGGCGTGGATACCTTCCGGTGGCACTTCGAGCTCTCCGCTCTTCACGATCTTGACAGGTTTGGCGGGTTTGTCACCGGAGCCCTTGGGGACGTTTTCGATCTTTTCGACGACGTCGTAGCCCTCGAGGACTTCTCCAAATACGACATGGCGACCATCAAGCCAACTAGGCACTGTTAGTGATTGCACCCACATAATGCCAGGACAAAGCATACTTGGTGATGGCTGTTGTGATGAAGAACTGCGAGCCGTTGGTATCTTTACCGGCGTTGGCCATGCTCAAAAGACCCTTCTTGGTGTGCTTGATCTTGAAGTTCTCGTCCGGGAACTTGTCCCCATAGATCGACTTGCCACCAGTGCCATCTCCTCTGGTAAAGTCACCACCCTGGATCATGAAGTTCTTGATCACGCGGTGGAAGGTTGACCCCTCATAGCCAAAGCCCTTCTCGCCAGTTGCTAGTGCTCGGAAGTTCTCAGCGGTCTGCGTTGAGAGTATACTTGTTAGCTCAGGATTTGGCCAAGGAGGACCAAGCATACCTTGGGAACAGTCTTGCCATACAAGCCTAGGACGATTCGGCCTAGAGGCTCGTCACCGTGTTCAATGTCGAAATAAACTTTATGCGTGATCTTTGGGCCTTTGGCGGCCTCCGCAGTCTGACCCATGAAAAGAAAGGTTGCGGTCAACAAGACCATCAACGAGATGAGGATACGCTGTAAATTAGCCATATCGAAGATCATCGACACAGACGGCTTAGAGAAAGATTGAGGGTCGTGGGGAAGAATAGATGGTGTACCGTAGGTAGGGTCGTAGCAAAAGCGGAGGACAGGTTGTTGATTCCAGCCCGCACCAATGCAAGGGGGGTTGGAAGTGCCCCATTAGCTGAGTACTCCCCCGTTGGCTCCCCCAAGGCTGCACTCAGCCTTGCACCCGCCCTTACTAAGCCTGCCAAGCATACTTCCGCTCCGCAGCGCAGGAGTTTCAAACCTCTACTCTCGTGTCCCCCACTGAGAGCGAGTCAGGTATTGTACTGGTTGCGGTGCCCGAACCCATCTTTTAAACATTTCTAGAGGCCAAAGAGGACCAGCACAATGGTGAGCCACAAATTTAACTTAATATCTGCCGTATGTGGGAGGCTGACAGTGTCTGCGACAGGTCTTTATTCTGGGGGTCAACTTCCCCGAGCACCGATTCGTCTGGGTACATATACTTACTCTTCCCGGTTGTTGGCTTTAATTCGCGCAGTGACTCTAACATGTATCTCATAGCGCTCTCTGGAAACCTTCTTTGGCATCGGCCCGTTTACCCGCCAGCGCATTATGGCCCGCTTCCACCTGCACGATACGATGAAAGTCGGCGAACTCACACAAACCCAAGTGCTCGACCTTACGGCGCACCTTGACTCGATGAAGCTTGAAAACCACCTACGCCGCCAGATTCAGCAAGATATTCAACGACTCCGAGATACGGGAACATACCGAGGGCGACGTCATGCCATGAACCTGCCGGTTCGGGGCCAGAATACCCGAAGCCAGGTCAAGACTGCAAGAAAACTGAACCGGGTGGAAAGGTTCTAGGACCTGTTGTCCTTCATTTTGTCAGGGGTGATCTTTACTATGGCGTATCGAGAAATGGCACCAAAAATGGGTATCAACATGATTGGGACTGTGGGTGGTGCGGCTTTGTACCGTCCTTTGAAGAGTACTTGCATTGCAACAGGCGTTGGGATTCTGCTCAACAGTGCTTCGCATATTCGGAACAAATGTATTGTTCGTGATGGGCCTCTGAGAGGACCATCTGGCAATAAGGATCTATATTCTGTCTTTGTTTCAATCTCGAATGTAGAGTACGGCAGAAAAATCAGAGCACTCCAGATATAAACAAACGTCTATTTCATATACATGCTGTATTGCTCAAAGATTAGTCGTGACGGTCATGCTGTTACTATGCACGAGCAGCGTTGGGGGCAACCCGCCGACCAAGACCTCCAAATCGCTGATATATCGGAGACTGTCGGTCTCGCTTCTATACGTTCCCTCAACTGGGGCTGGCAATGTCGTGAATATGACGGCGGTGTCATCGCTGTTCTGTAGCATCAAATCATTCAGGATAAGGTGTTGTGCTCGGCTGGGGAGGTCGTTGAACGAAAGAGGTGTGGCGGCAGCTGTGGGATATCCTGAGGCGGGCTTGGAAGGGCTGCTGTCATCCTTAGCCCGCTGATATATCGATCGCCCTCCGGAAGCCGGCGGTTCCTCCGCCTTTTGTCGTCGTGGATGAGGGTCCGATGCAAACATGATGGATGGCCCAGCTCCTTCTTCGCTAGCCACCTTTGCCACAGGTACTGGTTCACATGTGAAATTTGGCGATGGCGTTCGGGGTCGCTGTGAAGAAGCCACCTCTAGACCTTGGTGTGGTGAGGTCGGTGCGCTAGCCGGAGCTTTAATGGCAGTGGATTGAGTGGCTCGGCCCCGGCTTTGCTCTGCTTCTGAGCTGTTGAGGTCTTCCTCAAGCCGGATCAAAGGCTCAGAGGGAGCGCGCATTTCTTCTCTCCTATGCGCGTCTTTTCTGGCTTTGCGACTCGATCTCTTGGAGCTTGTTCGACTACTTTTTCTTGACAGAGTCACAGCCTTAGGAGGAGCATTTCGGTCTGCGGAGGATGGCTGCTGGACATCCGTTTCTTCATCAGGCCGGTCTGCCTCGTAGAATTCATGGTCTTCCCACGTGTCGTCAGGCTCCTCGACACTCTCCTCTTCTGCTTCCGAGTCTTCTGTTTCCGAATTTGAGACGTCAGAATCACTAGGGTGAGACGCATGTCGACTAAGCATGTCATCATCCAGACGAGAGGTCGTCATGGAAAGGCTGAGGCCGAGGCTGGACAGATTGCCGAAGGTTGGCCGCTTTTTCGGATCAGCTAGGATGCGACGCAATCCTTCGAGCCGAATGATCGAGTTCTCCCTTTTGTTCTGCAAAGAGCTGCTTGGCCAGACGCTGTCGTCCGCGACACTCAAGGCGTCCACCGCACCCTCATCAGCGGATTTTGACTTGCCCCGGATGCTCTGGAGTTCACGCCACCACAAATCATCTTCCAGGACCTTGTTGACCTGGACCTGAGTTTCCTCATCTACATCTTCTCCATTGACAACATAGTTGTATGACTTGACAGTGCCACAAGCCAGCCAGAATACCAGCACCTTCGCCTCGATTCGAAGGTTCTCAAGGAGAGTGGTGACACGACTCCGCTCCTCCTCCAGATCCGTTTCATACTCGACAAATACCGCCACCCGGAGTTTGTACGCCTTCTTCCAGGAAGGAACGGTATGCAGGATGCAACCTAGTTGTAAGATGAGCGTATACGTGTCAAAATTGGTCGTAAGGACATTTCGCCCTTCCCCTTCAGCGTCAGATATGACTTCGGCTGACATTTGGATAGGCCATAAGTCGATGTATTTCTTGGTTAGCTCATCTGTGCCTTTTGGGAGCTCCAAGTCATTGAACCCGGCCGCAATGGCGACGTTAGTTTGGAGTTTGAGTATCATGTCCTCCAGCACCATGACATAACTTTGGATATCCGTCCGTTTCTCCACGTAGCAGGTATCCGTCGGCAGCTCGCCTCTAACAATGCTTCTGCTTGTTCGTCGCTTCCGCAAAGAGCCATGTTTGCGTTCCGGCGGAGGGCTAGGGACATCGACAAGTGGCTGCTCGGCTCGAAATTGTTGCAAATTGTAGAACCCAAAGATGACAATGTTGGGCCGCATTCCTCCCAACCCGGCGGACAGAAAAATATTTCTTGCGCCCCACTCTATAGATGGCGAAATGGCAATATTGACGAATGCTTTTATCTTTGACACTTCGATATATTTATTCCAGGCTGACTGCTGGCGACGGGCCTCCGGTACCGACTCACCAAAGTTCTGCGTGACAATGACGTGGCCAATGATGAAGAGCGCACCCTTCTTGAGGGAGTTGCAAAACTGGATCAGCTTGTACCCTCGCCTTGGGTCATTCACAAAGAGTAGAATCTGTGGCCGCCAGAATTTGACATGCTCGTTCTTGAGGCGTAACAAGTATTTGCGGACTTGGTGATAGATCAGCACCTCCGAGATGGAGCCCCAAGGCTTCGGCGGCGTGGTGTAATGGATCAAGATGATCAACATCAGAAGGAGACAGATCGACCCAGAGGCAGAGATTCCGTCCACGAAAAACATGCTGGCGACACTCAGTAACGCTCCCATGAGTGCAGTCCACCAGTTGAAGTAGTGAAAGGACGGTCGAAAGTTAGGGGCTGAGCCGATTTTCAGAAGGAATGTTGCGACATTGAGCGCAAAGAAAGTCCTTCCGAGCGGTTAGACGGCATCATATATATTCGGGGCAAGACTTACATCAGATATGCCATTGTAACGAGGGACGCGATGCGATTGATGTCAAGGAGAAGCGTGGCCTGCGCTACAGCGAAGGTGAAAAAGATGGCGAGGACGGGTTCATCATTTTTGCTTGATCCCTGGCTAAATATTGACAGCCCCGGGAGAACATTATCTCGAGCAATGGCCTGGAGTTGCTTGGCTGGCCCAATGATGCCCATGAGGACGGAGAAGAATGTTGTCGCCAGTTCCCCTGCCAGGATCAAGCCGCCGGAGATGTTGGTGTCTTGGATCACATTCACATTCTGATAGAAAGACTCCCTAGTAATGCTCGCAGCCAAGGCAAGGATAACAAGACCGTACGAGATAAATGTGAGGCCGAGGCCAGCAAGAGTACCTCGCGGGATGGCTTTGCTTGGATTCTTGAGATCGCCGGACATGCTTGCACCGGCAAGTATTCCTCCTGTGGCGGGAAACAGAATACCGAAGAGATCCTGATAGTCCTCCTTCGAGCGCAGCTGACTGCCAGCAGCCCCGCGAGTGAAATGAGGCAAAAGGTTTTGCTTCAGAGTATGGACGCTTAAACCGGTAAAATGGGTATATTGCTTCGAGATCTCAAAAGGTTTCAAGACAAGGGCAGAGAAAGGAATGCTGAAGGTAGCAGCAAGGAGAATAAACAGCAATGCGTTGCTTGCACGGGCGAAGATGGCGCTTCCAGCCAAACAGATGGCAACGCACGAGACCACGACGACTGTACTCCATAGGTACTGCCACCAACCTCCCTCAGGAAGGGTATTTGCCCAGTTGCCGGAGATGGAGCCGAAGTTGTAGTTCAAACAATCGACAAGACCAACTGCATTCATCCCTGTGTTGAAGACAAATCCAAGGTAGGAAACAAGGCCAATGGCGCCGCCAAACTCGGGGCCCAGCGACCTTGAGATCAGATAGTAAGCGCCTCCACCTCGAACAACCCCATTTGAGGCCACTGCAGAAATCGACAACGTGGTGACAAGGTCAATCAAGTAGGCGGCCACCAACATGGCCAGCATCCCTAGCACTCCACTCTGACCGAGGATGAAACCAAACCGAATGAACATCAGAATACTGAGCACATTCAGACTTGTGGGCACAAAGACGCCGGAAAAAGTGCCTAGCTTCCTGCTGCCTCCTCCAGACCTTGTGCCAGCCGTGGGAAGAGGTGCCCTCTCAGCTTTGCTTGAGCCATCGTAGGCTCCAGAGGAGGGCAAGTGCTCCACTGGCTGAGGCGCCCGGGCAGACTTTGTGTCGGAGTGGTGAGGCGGATGTTGAGCATCTCGATGGCCATCAAACGTCCCATAGCCTCCGTGCGTCGAGGAGCTGTTGGTCCGCGTGACGGAATGGTGTGAGGCAGTTGAAGTTGCCGTTGGTGGCCTCGATGTAGCAGGTTTGTCTGCGGTAGGTTGCGATACTGGCCTCTCCCGGTCCTCAAGCGGCGGAGTGGGCAGCGAGGATCTCCTTAAAAGCTGGGCTGCATCATCGGTGGCTGTGCGTGTCAGGAACGTGGGACGACTTCGCGGAAGAGTTCCTCGCCCCAACTTCGGCCAGTTCTTTGCTCCTGTTCCAGCCATGATGTTTTATCCTGAAGAACCCCAAAACACAGATCCATCATCATCCGGGGATCAACGACAACCAACACACGATTGGCGAAAAGACATCTCAAGGCACTGTCCAGGGGCAAGGCTGAGCTATTGCTGAGTGGGATGAAATATCTCCACGCCCGTCTCGAGAACAATGGTGGGGAATTCCAGGGCAACAATGCTGGCACTGCGATTCTAGGTCTCAGCTGAGTGGCGCGTATACAATAATGTTGTAGACGGCTTGACAAATGGCAGCGCAGCGGATATCGGAGGCTTCGTCTCGTAAGCGGATTCTGCGAGAGTCTGTGTGTTGTGGAGAGAAGGGAAAAACTATTACGAAAACAAAGGTGGGAAAGAAAAATATGATACGAGGAAAAGAACCGTGAATTGCACTTGAAGTGGGATGGAGCTGGAAAACAATGGAGACGGGAGAATGAGATGGAGCTGGGTTTCTGTCATTATTTCCACGGCTAATGGCGGCCCAAGGCTCCCCAGGGCTCCCTAGGCCTCCCTAGCCCACTGCCTGCGGTAGGTACCAGGTACTGTACAATGTACAGCGTACTGTACCAGGAACCTTCCACCTGGCTCGGAGGCTTAGGGAGGCTTGGGATGCTTCTCTGTCGCTGGCACTGGCACTGGCACTGGCACCGGCACCTAAAATGTACCGTTGTAGAGGTAAGCCTGCCATTCCGCTCCGAGTCCAACGCACACCTGGGCAGTCATCTCTCCAAACCTAATGACAGAGTTATATGGGTGCTCGGCTCACCGTCAGCGGACAGGAGCACACCTCCAAACCCCCAACCGGGCGCCCTTCAGTTATGGCTCGTGACGTGGGTGTCCACAGGGGGAGATTCCCACAGCCTGGAGGACACATTGTTACCTAGGTAGTTAAGAGTGCCTTATTTTTTAGGGGTGACAGGCCCGGTAACAGGCGAGAAGGAGGCCTCTTGTGTTCTGCTTGACTTCGGCCTAGCCCTACAACTCAGGCTTAGGACAGTCCCCGCAGGCGAGCAACGGGGCTTAGCAACTTTTGACGCTAGAAACCGCAGTACCAGAACTTCCCGGGACCAGCCTGACGGAGGCACCGTGGAGGTCAGGTCATTTTCATTGGCATTTATTGGCTGCTCGAGCCACTGGCAGCCACTGAACCAGCCCAAAGCGTCGCTATAACTTGACCCTGCGAACATCGGCTGCGGTCACCTGCACACTTCTTTATATTCCCACTGCACTCCTACCACCACATTGTAAATATACCGACAACTTGACCATAGCAACTCTTGTACTGCCTTAGGTACTGTCATTTCTGTGCATGTCAGAGCCTCAGCACCCTCCAACAACAACCTGATCTGCGGTCCGAACTCTGTCCCGTCATATATGTTCTTGCAAACCTCTCACAGCGAACCAACCCTTCCATGTCGTCGCCCGCTTCCAGGCCATTGGAGATCCGGTCAACCAGTCGAGGCCATTCTCCGGCAGCAGCGTCTCCCCATGCCTCGTCTCACCACTCAAGACATGCATCGATAGCCCGATTGTCCTCCCCGGTCCCCTCTCATCGCCTTACCACTCCTCCCGTTCCTCAAGTTCCCGTTCCTCAACAAGTGGCCGCCGACCACAACGGCAACTCGACACTGCCCAAACTTGACAGCGCTGGTTCTCTACCGGGGCCGGGGCAGTCTGCTCTTTCTTCAGCTCTCGCCGACCAGTCTGGCCAGAAAACTCCCACCCGAGTCAAAACTCCTACGCCTTCAATCGATTCGACTCCAAAGCCGCCGTCAACAACGCTCAGAGGAGGTTTGGGAAGTCATGACAGAATACCAAGAAGTAACTACGGATCTTTCGAGCCTCCAGTGATGGCAGGGAGTCCGGCTCCTACGGAGGATCCAGAAGTGGTGAAACGACATCTGGTGCAGCCAGATCAAGGGTCAGGGCGGAATGCGGGTTCCATACGCCTGGATCTGAACGAACCGGGCACTGGTCTAGGTCCCGACGAATTTTCGAGTCTACGTTTGCAGGGAGGAGATATGACACGGGCCATCTACCGTTGGGCCGAAGATCAGACCGGGAACGCTCCAGGCCGTACGCAGAGGAGCAAGAGTTTCTTTGTTCCGCGACCGGAGCCCGAGGCTGAAGATATCCAGAATATCCGTGTACCAGGTGGATTCCGTCGCAATTACATACGACGTGCTGTACAGAATCCTGGTAGTACAGCTGGAGGCTCGGATGCTGAAGCAGCTGAGGGACACCGTGGTAGGACACGCTCCGCTGGGACAACCCAGCCCAAGTTCTTCACCAACAACTTCTTGGAGTTTCTCACGCTGTACGGACACTTTGCTGGTGAAGATCTGGAAGAGGATGACGAGGCTCTGGGGCCGGACGAATATTTCTCCTCCGATGCCTGGGATGAAGGCAGTGATCAAGAACCCGGCGAGGACAGCGCTCTGCTCGCCGGCAGCACACACACTCTCCGCAAGAGGAAGCATAAAGAAAGGCCGCCAACAGGCAACAACAGCAGCATGAATGCCGCATTGCTTTTGCTCAAGTCGTTTGTTGGTACAGGAGTCCTGTTTCTGCCGCGAGCATTCCTAAACGGCGGCATGTTGTTTTCCTCGCTCGTCCTCATTGGCGTGGCTGCTCTCAGTTTTCATTGCTTCATTCTTCTGACCAACACCCGTAACAAAGTCGAGGCCTCCTTTGGTGAGATGGGCGGCATTTTATACGGCAAGTGGTTGCGGACGCTGATCCTCTTTTCGATTGTGCTCAGTCAGATCGGCTTTGTGTCAGCTTACATTGTCTTCACCGCGGAGAATCTACAAGCGTTTGTGTTGGCTGTTTCCAAATGCAAGAGTTTCATCGATATCAAGTTCATGGTCATGATGCAACTAGTCATCTTCTTACCTTTGAGCTTGATCCGGGATATCAGCAAGCTTGGCTTCACCGCTCTAATTGCAGACGCCTTCATCATGCTGGGGCTGCTTTACCTGTACTATTACGACATTTCGGAAATTGTGTACCAAGGAGGCGTTGCCGACATTACCCTGTTCAATCCATCTAGTTGGACACTGTTTATCGGCACGGCGATCTTCACCTTCGAAGGCGTCGGTCTGATCATCCCGATCCAGGAGTCGATGAGAAAGCCGGAAAAGTTCCCTGGGGTGTTGGGCATCGTCATGATTGCCATGACCATTCTTTTCACGTCGATTGGGGCAATGTCGTATGCGGCGTATGGATCCAAGACCAAGACCGTGGTCATCCTGAACTTGCCGCAGGACAACAAGGTTGTCAACGCCGTTCAATTCCTGTACTCGCTTGCCATCCTGCTCAGTACTCCGCTACAGCTTTTTCCGGCCGTGAGGATCATGGAGAACGAGCTCTTCAGCCGTTCCGGCAAGTACAACCCCTGGATCAAATGGCAGAAGAACGTCTTCCGCTTCTGCTTGGTCTGTGTGTGCGCCCTCATCGCCTGGGGCGGAGCCGGCGACCTCGACAAGTTCGTCGCGCTGGTCGGAAGTTTCGCCTGCGTGCCGCTCGTCTACGTGTACCCGCCGATGCTTCATTTAAAGGCCGTTGCCAAAGGCCCGTGGCAGCGTGGATTGGATTACGTCGTCTGCGTTTTTGGGTTTGTCGGCTGTGTCTATACCACCGTCTTGACCGTGCAGCAATGGGCCGCCGGTGGATCTACCAAGACCCCTGGATATTGTGATTCCTGATGTGCCGTGTTGGCGGCTAGACATCATGCATGCTAACTCAACCCGAGAGTGAAGGTCGTGGTGTACACACTGTATATATCATCAGTGAGGGCAGGGCAGAGAGCTTTGGCCCTTTAGCCGTCTGTACATACCTAGATTGTATAGTAGTAGCAGATTCAGGCCTCTGTTGGGTATGCCAAACTCAGACATATTAGTTGGTCTAACAATGTCATTTTGATACTAGTACTTGGGATTCATTTGTTTGACCATGACCACTGGCAAATCAAGGTTGCGGTGATGACAACAAGGCAGTTTCAATTATTGTGACTTTTTGTATCCTATCCAAATTCCAGGCGCACTATCAGTCCATCATTACGCCTCGATATGGTCTCTTGCTCAGGAGAACAAGTCTACGAAACTCGAAGGACATCTTCACAGAAGTCTTGAGGAAGAAAGTAAATGCCATGGCCCATGTACAGGCTGCAAGATACTCACAGTGCATTTCGTCGTCCCGGGTTATTATTGTACAGTCTATATAGCGGTCTAATGCACATACGTCCGTGGCGCCATCGCACGCCTGAGGCAGTGTGGAGAAATTATAATTGAGAATCACTGTACATATGTTACTAAAACAAGCTCGACTGTACGCCCTAGACTGTGGTGGATGGGATGCTTTCTAAACATGTACCGTGGCGCCAACGCGAACGCCGATGCAGGACCGATTTCATGCAGCGGCGTGCCCAACAGAGTCGTGATTAGTGCTGAGATCACTCCTGACGGGACGATTTAGATTATATACATGCACTGTATGTGCTGTGAAAGACAGCGGAAGTCACCGACGCCACCCAGGGCGTGAGCCCGAGGCGAGAATATTGTTTGCAAAACCAAAAGGGAAAAGTGCATGTCCTGAAGCCGTCTTTCTCTTGAGGGCGATGTTCTCCATGCTGGTGGGCAGGACTTTGTCCCCGGATCCGAGAGGAATGCAGAGAGAGGATGGGTAGGATGTCCAGGATGTCCAGGATGTCCAGGTTGTGTGGTGTTGGGAGCGCCTTGCTCCGCACGCTGACGGACTGTGTCGAAGATTAGAGCGGGATGGTAGGATTAAGGTTGATGGTGATGGTATCGATAATGTCAAGAACGCCGGAGGATCGATGGAGTGTATGGAAGAAATCAAGGCGGGCTAAGAGGGATGATGTTGGTGACGACGGTGATGGTGGTGATGTTGTCCATTTTGGCCTGGCGTAAAGGCTAAGCAGGATAACCTCGACAAGAACACGAAAGACATATAATTCGAAGACTGCAAAAGAGGAAACCACTAGCTAGGCCGACGTATCGGACCATACTGCAGCCAACTCCTTTGCCCGAGCGGCATAGCGTGCCTTATACTGGACAAGGGTGTCGACGGAGACCTTACTACCGCCGCAGACGACAATGACGACCTTTTTGTCCGGACTGAATCCTCGCAGGAGCTTCTTGAGTCGGCCATCGTACGCCAGCGCAACGCTCACGCCACATGCCGGCTCGACAATCATGCGTTCGTCGTCGGCCAGACGCCAACAGCCCATGGCGGCCTCGGCGTCCTCGAGCGCGAGGCTGGTGACATTCTTGCGGGACAGGAGGTCGAACGCCTTTTGGCACACTCGGACCACACCGAGCGAGGTGGCAATAGAGGTGATGCCAGACATGGTGACCAGCCGGCCAGCCAGATACGACTGATGAAGGGAATCCGCGCCTTTGGTCTCGACGGCAAGCACCTGAACTTCGCTGCCCCAGCCGACCCGGTCCATGCCATTGGCGATGCCGCACAACAGCCCTCCACCGCCCACAGAGCAAACGATGGCGTCGGGCTTTTCGCCATCAGGCATCTGTCGATGGATTTCCTCGACCATGGTGGCGGCTCCTTCCCATATGGCTTCGTTGTCAAACGGCGGCACATACACGGGGATTTCACCCTTTGCTTCGGCAAGGGGCATCATGACCTCTTTCAGATATTGGTCCGCTTGCAATAGCGTCGAACCATGCGCCACGACATTGCTGGCCCCGTTGATCTTTAATTTCTCAATGATCGTCTCTTCGGTGTTCTCCGGCACGACAACAGTGGAGGCGTAACCTAGAGCACTGGTGGCGGACACGGCGGCAAGGCCTGCATTGCCGGCGGAGCAGGAGAAGAAATGCAATGGTCGTGTGCTGCCAATGGCCTTGTGATAAGCGGCTTCGGTCAGCACCAAATTGCCGATGCCTCGAGACTTGAAGGATCCCGATGGCTGGAGATTCTCGAGCTTCAAGAATACCCGACTAGGTAGTCATGTTAGTACATCATCGACAGCAGTGCGGAAAGGCAGAGCAGTCTGTACCAGCCAGCGGCACGAGAGAGAGTTGGCGATTCATGTAATGGCGTTTCCACCCAGGGCTTTTTGCTCGTGGTCTCGACTAGAGAACCCATGATTGTATGGTACTGGTAGAGCTGGAATTATTCAGGAATGCGGACGTTGTGTTGGCCGCAGACGTCGCAGACAGTGCTGAAGTATTAATCCATGGCCAGCCAAAACCCTGTTGACACATGAATACAACATTGTTACAACATCGCCGCAGCACGTCTCGAATCTTCTTGTATTTGTTGGAGACGCTAACGCGACAGTACAATCGATGATTGGGGCCATCGCGATCTTCTCCGAGCGGACTTCAGGGCGAGGCTGTGGAGGATTTACCCCAGAATTGTCTCGGTGGATCCATCCACGACTTTTGCGCCGTCGATTGGCTGATGCGGAAGCACTGATGCGTTCGTTGGGAGAGACACGCTCCTGGCACGCCCTTTGATTCGAGGATGTCGGAGGTAGACGAAAGACAACATATGACATGTTATCTGACACGTCCTCGAATGGAGTTGGCCGATCAGTTGGCCGATAGCAGAAGCGGAAAGATGACTTCTGGCGACCCTTTGACGCCTGGTTCTACTGCGGGAGGGCCATAGGCCAAGTCCGCGCCTATATCCGCGTGGGCAAAGGTTCGCATTGATCCATCGACCTGCATCAGGTCCAGCGCAAACTTCATCCGGTCGGGCATAAACGGTTGCAGAAGGATGGAGATGATCCTTATCGCTTCAGCGCTCGCATAGAGACCGTACCGAGCGATGCGTCGTTCATCCGTGTCATCCGATTTGATCCGCTTCCACAGGGTTGAGTTGTGGAAGAACTTGTTCATCTGGAGACAAAGTTAGCATATCTGCGCGACGAAGAGGCACATCATCTTTCATACACTCCTGATCAGCTCGGTAATGAGACTGACGGCAATCCGTGGGTTTGGCTCATCCATCCATTTCCTGACATTGGTTCGAGTCGAAGTTATCTGCCTGCACAACTGTTTGATGCCCTCGTGGAGTGATCTCATGTCATCGCTGGCACCGTCCAATTTATCCTGGGAGAGGAATGTCGAGAAGGCCGCCGGATCCTCGCCGACGAGCCTGACGGCTTCTTGGACGTTGAAATTCTTACTCTTGAACACCCGATGCAAGAGATTTCCGTATCCGTCCCTCAAAATGTGTTTGTACGTCTCTGCAACCTTGGAGTTCTCGTACATGGCATCATCAACAATTCCACCGTTGTAAGCCATGTAGAATCTAATGCTGTCAACGCCATAGCGGTCCATGGCGAAGAAAGGGTTGACTCCGTTTCCAGCCGACTTTGACATCTTCGCATTATTCATGGTCCAGTGAGCATGTGTGAGGAACCGTTTAGGGAGCGGCAGCCCCAGGGCCATGAGGAACGCCGGCCAATATATGGTGTGAAAGCGAATGATATCTTTGCCAATAACCTGGCAATCGGCAGGCCAGAGCCAGCTCGGGTCGTTCCGATCGTGGTATGGGTACTTGGTCATGGTCAAGTAGTTGATCAAGGCATCGAGCCACACGTAGATTGTCTGGCTCTCATCGCCGGGCACTCGAATGCCCCATTGCAGCCGCGAGGTTGGCCGCGAAATGGACAAATCGTCCAAGCCACTTTCGATTTCCTTCAAGATGAACGCCATCCGTTGCTTGGGAATAATGGCCTTTGGATTCGCCGAGTAGAATTTCATCAGCGGTTCCTGGAAGGCCGACAACCTGAAGTGGTAGTTTGTCTCCGATGTCCATTCCACCTCTTTTCCCGTCTCGATCGAAACAATCTTGGTCTCGCCGGTCGAAGGGTCGAGGATGTTTCGAACTTGGCTTTCGGGATAGAAAGTCTCGTCGCTGACGCAGTACCAACCCTCGTGCTTGGCCTCGTAGATGTAGCCGGCATGGTTCAGTTCCTTCCAAAAGTGCTCGACGGCCGCCTGGTGGTCTTGGTCGGTGGTTCGGATGAAACGGTCATAGCTGATGTTGGCAGCATCGCACAGCGCCTTGAACTGCTGAGAATGGTGGTCGCAGAACAGCTTGACGTCGGTATTGGCCTTTTGCGCCGCCTTCTGAATCTTCATGCCATGTTCATCCGTGCCTGTGAGCAGCGTGGCCTTTTCGTCGCCGCAGAGGACCGCCCAGCGTTTGAGGATGTCCGTCAGGACGAGGGTATAGAGGTGTCCGACATGAGGTGCCGAGTTCACATAGAATATAGGAGACGTTACATAGTATGGTTTTCTTGCGAGAGCTCTGGACTCGGTCGTGTCTTTGGGCTGAGCGACGGCGGCCAGTCCACGTCGCTGGAGGGTCGATGTCGGACGAGGTGAAAGTTGAGGGAGAGGAACGCGATGTGCAGAGGCTCGACACCGAAGGAAGAAACTCCGCGCGCGATGCTCGATGGCCAGCATGGCGGAAGCCGTTGGCAATGGAAGAGACAGGAGAATGCGCAGTTGTTGCTATATACTGAACATCGAAGCCCAAGTCCAGCGCGAGCTCATCGAACACGTTCGGCCAATGCAGCTGTCAATTTTCTGAACCTCCACAATAATCACCATCTTTTTCTCCGACGCGACTAAATGGACCCTATTTAATACGATCCAAATAAATCGTCATGCGAGCCGTCCACACGAGGTGCCAGTGCTTGTGCAAACCGGGGCACGTTACAGTTCAAGTGTCTTCTTCAGCAGCCCCTGTTACAGGCCAATGCATCGCACACCGAACTTGTCGTCCTCCAAAGACCAGTAAAGTCATTGATGTTATGACACCTATCATCCATTACTTCGCGTACGCAGTCCACTTTCGCCTACGACGTCCCGACATAGCAAGGCATCAGGTGCATACCTGGCATCAGAGCCACAGACACAATTAAACATGTTATTTCCTGCCGGGACCAATCCTCTTCCATTGTTTACCCTTTTCCCTACAAACCGATAAAACCCGACAAAGTCCTGTGGACAGCGTTTCCTGCATCATGATGTGGACTCCTGTCGCTGTCACAGCCGCGTCGCAAAGAGATTTACATGGTCATGTTCATGGCATTTCACGAACTCGCTTTCGGGCTCAGGTTCGCCTTGACCCGTTCAACCAGCTCCGCCCTGGTCATCTTAGAATCGGGCTCCAAGTTCCTCTGTATAGATCGGACCGTCAGCAAAGCTAGGCAAACAAGGAAGACAGAAGGCAACTTGCCGACTTAAGCCATCTTCTCAGCTCTGTCTCGGTCCAATAGTCAGGATCTAGGCCGTAATGTCAGCAAGACACTTGCGAAAAGCAACTAAGTGCAGACGAGAAACGTACCGCCTGTAGGATCCTTCTCGGCCGGCAACATATCGCCACCCCATATACTCCATAGTGATGCGAGGGTGACGATGCCAGCGAAACCTAAGGAAGACGGAGACACAATGCCGGCGTTAACAGTGAGACCAGATCATTAAAACCAAAGATATCTCGATATGGTTGTTTCTCGTGTGTATGCTTTGGAAAGGCGGAACACACCAAAAAATAAATGCTGTAGTGCAGCGAATGTTAGCAGGAGGCTCCCAAGACCAAGTACTACTATTACAGATGTGATACCTCCAGGGCAAGATTGATTCAATCAATCCGAGACGGCGCGATTGTAGTAAGGGTTTCGATCAGTTTTGAACAGTTTGTTTGCATGCAAAATGGGACAGGACAGTGACAACATACGCGGGACTGCAATGCTTTGTCCAGAGGAGTAGGCATGGTTCAAGTTTGGCTGCCTGATCGCAAGTATGCGGGTCTGGGTCTGGGTCTGGCGGCGTGTTGTAAACTTCTGGTCGATGGCGACGTTGATGCGGCTTGACCGTGCCTGTAAACCAGCAAAAATGTAGGACTGGATCAGGGAGGCTTTCTTGAAGGAACTTCTTCGCGATGACTGGCTTATTATTGATTGTAGAAGAAACGAGGATTGTGTTGAAGTTGTCTGTGGCGAGGCAGCAGGGGCCAACGTGCGCCATTGGCCGGTCGCGAAAAAGATACTGTATCCAAGTCCGTCTACAACTTGAAGTTCGTATACTCGTATCACCACAACCGCGACGTGAACGACTATAAGATGACGCGGTGGAGGCATTCATTTATATTTCATTTCTGTTTGTATAGAAACATCTTCACCATTCAAGGCGGTCGTCGCAGACCAGTTTGATGTCGAATCTTTCGTCTCCCTTCCACACCTTCTTCCCGGAGTTACAGCTCGCAGTCGTCCTTCGGAGATCAGAAATCATCCCGCCAGGACCGCTTGCGAAGACGCTCGTTGCGCCTCGTACCGTGGAGCCTACAAACTCACGAACCAGCGCACTCAAGTCTGGATGCCTCAAGTTGGCATCCGCCCCCGGCACTCCGAGGTGCTGAATGGTATATAATCCCTCGCCTGAGCCTGTGCATTTATCTGCCGACGAGAGAGAGGAAGAGGATACCGTGCTCTGGCCTTCCAAGACATGGACTTGAGTATTGGCATGAGCTTTCGCACCAGCGCCGTGTTCAGGTGAGATTTGCCGGGTGACGAAGATCCGGATTCTCAAGTTATGCGTCGAAATCGCCCCGCGTAACGAGTCGAGCTCTTGCTGGATCCAGGATAGATCTGTTTCTCTGCGAATGACCCAGATGAGTTCAAGTTTTCTATCCTGAATAGCCTTTTCGTTGATAGCTTGGAGCAACACTGGAAGGACAAAGGTCACCCCCGTGCCCCCTGCCACGCAGAGGATATTGGTATCTGGCAACAAATGATCCACAATGGAGCCTCCATAGGGCCCGGCCAAGATCACCGAAGCAGTAGGCGCCACCCTCTCCTCGAGTTCTTTCGTCACGGTGGCAGCGCTACTCTTCTTGGTGGCTAGCTCGGCCAGAGATTTCGTGGCGCCCTGCTTCGCTCTTAGGATGTATGAATGTGCTTGACTCTTCGCCTGCGGCTTGGGAAGGCTGCATGGAGTAAAAGGATGAGACTGCCAGATACTGATCTCTGGAAAACAAAGGTAGAAATGTTGTCCCACGCTCCAGGGTTCTTGTGGGTGGTCGAAGTCAAGGCGCACCACATCACCATTGTCAGCATCTGGAAAATGCGTAATAGTGGCAGCGGTACTTCGAAACCCAAATCGGGCACCTTGAAGATAATTGTAATGTAGCAACCCAGTCCGAGCCAGGCGGACCCCGCGATCGAGGAACCATATTAGAAGCGACGGTAGGAGGAAGCAGTTGAGCTTGGCCCAATGACCCCAGCATGCGCCAATGTAGATCATGGCAAAGACATAATGCGTCTTACGGAAGAATTCATAGCCTGTTCTGCGGATGGCCCATGGCGTACTGAGAACCAGCATGACGGTCAGGAAGAACATTGCGATAACTCCCCAGATGATGTACTGTTGTGCAATCCACTCGAGACCGACTGTTGGCTGCGGCTGATAAAGTCTCAGTTCAACGACGCACCATCCTATTGTATGAAGTCCCGCCTGCACAAAGATGATGTATCCGAGCCAGCGGTGCAGGAAATTGAAATGCTGGTATGGCACGCCAGTGATCACAGACAAGATGGATTCCCGACTTGCCAACATCACCGACAAGGGCGTGAGACCGTAGGCAAGCACGCCAATTCGGTCCGACCACGGTCCAAGACTGGTGCGGGTGTTGTACACTCCGGGCATGTTCTTGACGGGCGTGACCCATTTCTTGTAGACGATACCGACGAATGTCCACACAGTGAGGTATCCGGTCAGGGTAAGCAGTATCAGCACCTGAAGGCGCGTCGTTCGACCAAAGACCGGTCTTAGGCAATCAGGGAGCAAGTATCGACGACCATAGGATGCGATCGTGTTCTTCAAGCGTATCAGGCTGCTCGTCGGTCGCGTCTGGCTGCCAGACAGTTGGAAGGATTGGTAGGAAGGCTGGTAAAGACGTTTCCCTATGCCCCAAAGAAACAGTATGCCTCCGATTGTGGCCCAGAGAATACCCGTGTACATCATTCCCAAGTCGTGCGAATGGTAAACAACGTCCAAATATTCGCAGGAGCCCACATCGTTGGTACAGGGGACTGCTCGATCCGGATATCCCCAATGATGTTGGAGGGATTTGGCATCACTCATATTCTGTATATGGCGCGCAGACAGCATGTTGAGAGTAGACGCCATGGCGAACAGGGACGATGACAAGCAGCGTCTTCGTGCAAACCACACCACTGCTTGCTCACCGTGTTGGACTTTGACCAACCGTTATATGCAAAACTCCTGTCCATGAGTGCCGCCGGCGAGGCGTGAGCGTGCAGGACCGCGCCGAACAGAGCATGCTGGACAGGGGTTGCAGTGTCCCACATCGGGCTTCTGGATATCTGCTCAGACATGCCGTCGCACGCTTGATTCCACCGTGAGAGTGGAAAGGAGACGTGGTCATGGTATGATGGCTGCAGGATGGATCCCCGGACGGCTTGGCAAGGCTGTTGAGCAAGTTCTTGACCCTGAGTTGAGCATGTTTCTGCAAACACCATGTCGTTCGCTTTCTTTTGTCGCTTCAATTAGTGGTTAGTCTCGAGTTAGACAATCCAAACCTACCTATGGATTTTACCGCGTTCGGTTGACGTTGACTGTCAGCCAATCCAATGGTGGGCTAGACTTTTGTGCTCGCGTGTCTGAGCAAGAATCCTCACGAGGCTGGCTAGCACGCAGATACATGCTCACACCGCGTCGATAGTGGTATACAGTCACCGGGGTTTGGATCGGGCCTCACCGATCAAAGTCCCCGGTCCGCGTGGCCACCCTCTTGATAGATTGCATATAACCCTTTAGGTCTGGAGCTGGCGATACTGTTGAAACTCGTTCCATCTGTAATCTGGACAACTGTGATAATCCCCTTTTCAGTAAACCTCAATACCCATAATGAGCGGCTCAATGTCGATGTCCATGTCTGACATGGCCAGCATGACCATGTCCACAGCCACCAGCACTGCCACAGCAGCAACGGCGACGTCGTCGGCCATGAGCATGAGCATGGGGTCGGCATCATCCTGCAAGATTTCTGTGAGCATGATTACTCTCATGACCCACGGTCCATCGGCTGATTTGAGCGATAGATGTTGTGGAATTGGAACGTCAAGAACGCCTGTGAGTGTCCCAGAAGGATGGCATCGTCCTGACTCCCGCAACAACGACTGACACGGAGACAAATCCAGGCTTCCTCTCGCGTAGCTGGCATATCACGAGCAATGGCATGTTTGCGGCATCCTGCATTGGAGTCGCGTTCCTTGTGGTCAGCTTGGAACTACTGCGTCGATTGAGTCGAGAATACGATGTCTTCATCCTGCGTCAGTTTCAACGGAACATCGCCGCTGCGTCGCCCGACTACAAACGCCCCAATTGTGCGGATTCATGTCGACCAGGGCCACAATACGCAACATTCCGACCGACTCCTCTTCAGCAGCTCGTCCGATCGGCACTCCATGCGGCGACATTTGGCGTGGCGTATATCGTGATGCTGTTGGCAATGTACTACAACGGGTACATCATCATCTCCATCTTTCTCGGCGCGTTTCTGGGCAAGTTTCTCTGTGACTGGACAGTGCACCACGTCCCGATTGCGGGCGTCTTGGACGACGCAAGGGGAGGGACGGTCGAGGAGCCGACCGTATGTTGCGGCTAAGAGGAGAATTGCCAGCACAGCAAAGTCAACGAGTGCTGCTGATAGGTACATGCAATGGCGGGCTCAAACGAAAATACATTGGTGCTGTCTCTGTTCCCTGGGACTCGCGGGGTCCATCCAGTTCATGGGCAGTCCGATTTGTATTTTTAGTCTCGGCCACGTCCAGACTCTCTTGAGAAAGCTCCCTTCTTCAAGACAACTTGAAACACCGAAAGCAATTCACAAATTAAAATCATGCATAGATTTTGCATCTAATGGTTTGATGTCGTTCCCTATATTATGGTATATTGTAGTTCACTGTCTATTCGTTTCATCGTATGCATCGTTATATACACTCGTGCATCGGAAAAAATGTACAAAGATAAAGTGGCGGCAGCAAGATAACGGCACGACTTCCCAGGCTGAGAACGGGCGAGTGTCGTTCTATCAGCCTCAAGACACGCCTTGGACGCCGGAGCTCTTGATGCAGAATTCCAGAATCAGCCTCTGCAAGTCCGCCAGCTTATATGGCTTGGTCATGAAGCCTTCCATCCCGGTCTTGGTCGCACGCTCAATGGCCTCTTCGGTAGCATCGGCGCTGACTGCCAACACAATTGGTGGTGCCGTGGTAGTGCGATGAGATCCTGGTCCGTTGTCCGATCCCCCATTCCGGAACATGCCCAGGATGCACTCGGTGGCCTGGTAACCATCCATCTCGGGCATCCACAAGTCCATCAGAATCACATCGACCTTTTTCTTGGGTTGCTTGCCATTCGAGCCAGCGCATCTGGTGTCCAATCCCTGGACTTCCCGCATGATTCTGACCGCTTCTTTGCCATCGTAGGCCTCATGGATGTCTTTGTAGCCTAGCTTGCCGAGCATGTTCACGAGCAACTTCCGGTTGATTTTGTTGTCTTCCGCAACCAGGAAGGTAAGCGGATGCTGCTCAGCCAGATTTCTATCGTAAGAGTCTTTGCGTATGGCAGGGTGACGAGGAGGAGAGATCCTGAAATCTTTCACTGTCTTCGTTGTGGCTGAAAGGTTCGGGATTCGCGGTGGCTTTGGAATGGTGCTCTGAACGGTTTCGGGCGTTGGGACCTGAGAAGGAGACTTGCCCGACGGAGTTGAGGCTGTTGACGGCCGTGCTACACTTTGCAATGCTTCCGCTGGCCGACCACTCGGACTCGGAGCACGGCTGATACCATCCGTGTTCAGTGGTACCTTGATTTCAAACTCAGACCCTTTGTCGGGGCCAACGACGGCCGATCTGACCAGATTGATGTCTCCACCAATCCGCCGTGCCAGCCCTTTGGCGACCAAAAGACCTAGTCCCAGTCCCTCTTTCGATCGGGTCAAAGAATCATCTTCACGGGAAAATGGCTTGAATAGCTCTGGTTGGAAAGCCTCCGGAATACCATCTCCCGTGTCTCTAACGTTGACGATCAGATGTCGCTGATTTTCCGACAGTCGAACCTTGATCGTAATATATCCATCCTCTGTGAACTTGACGGCGTTCAGAAAGACGGCCGATATCAACTTGGCCAGGTCGCGTTCATCCACAAGCAACGTCTCTGGGACACCTGGGCCCACCGCCCATTCTATCCTTCTTAGCGACACACTCCCATTCGACGAGCGAGACCTTGCCACGATCCTCTCCCCTAAACGCGTGGGTTCTCCAATGGCCGAATCCGGCCTACCACCAACCCGAAGCGACTCGTGAATCACGGTTGGAATTAGATCTCTAATCCTGCAGTTTTTGAGTCCCGGAGTTTGAAATACATCCAGTTCGCCAGATAATCTGGTGGAAGGAGTGGTCAAATCACTGGGCGTGACTCCTTCTTGCATCGGGGTAAACACCAACGGGCTGCAGTCCTCGGAGATTGACGTCTGGGGCGTCAGAGCAGGCGGTGGAACAAATTGATGCACGGCGCTTTGTGGGGAGACGTCCGCGCGGGCAGATGGACCAAGGTTGCGGATCTTGGGAGGGTTGCCAAACTGCCAGGCCGTAGGACTGCTTCGGCGACGCTTATAAGAGGTAATGTGGATATCACTGCCTTCGATTATCCTGGCAGGTTTATAGTCGAAGTATCCGCTCGTCGATGTAGAGTCGCGGTCGTGTTGAGGAGTGTCTGGGATTTGCATGTTCATGTCATATGCGTGAACCACGTTGTCGGCTGCCTCAACTGCTCGTTTTGCGCTGTCCTGGACCGTTTCGATGCTCTCTTTTAGCGTCTGGAATACACGCCGAATGGATGGATGAATGTGCCCTTCTATCTGCTCCTGCACCGTGGCATGCATGACATCCAGCATGCCTACAACACCCTGCATAGGAGTCCTCAGCTCGTGCGAAAGGCTTCGCGCAAATGGTTTGAGAGACTGGGTAGCCGGTGTGATGGCATCTTGAGGTATGACCTGGCTGATTCGGCCGCCGTTGGCAAATTCGGGTTTGGCAAAGCCCTTGCCGCTGACCAGACGCTCAGTTATGATATCTTCCAGGGAATGTAAGAGCATTTCAGTGTAGCCCCAGGACGTGTCACGCCGACCCAAACCCTCTTGCGTCCACATCATACCAAAATGGGCGAAACACTTCTCCTCATGAAACAGAGGAACCGCTAAATAACCCTCGGCAGGAAACGGTAAGGCGTTGGGGTTGTGTGGGATGAACGAGCTCATCTGATCCGGGATCAAGAAGACCTTGTCGTGCTTCATATACTCACAAGGCGCTCCCCAGGCCATGTACTTGTAATCGCGATGCATGGCTTTATGTTTGTCGCCATCATTGTAGTAGAAGGCCACTCCCAGCAAACAAGACCCTGGCTCTCCAATGGGCGGCATCTCAACCGCCGAATCATGATCATCAGTCAATATCCGTTTGGCGACGAAGCCATATTGTGCATGGCAGATCTCGGTCATCCCTTCCATGAGTCTTTTCCAGAACGCCTCCGTATCCGCATTCCTCAGTTCGCGCTTCAACTGCACTATCTTCTCGGCGACATTGTTCTCGCCCGGCTCAAAACACTTTTCTAGGTTCTGGAGGAAGCCCTCTTCATCGCAATGTAGTGGCACACCCGGATGATTGCCCGCGAGGCAGAGCGACCGTCGCTCGAGCATGGGCGGTTGGTCAGGGATCTTGGACGGGTCCGCCATCACCCTCCTCCGGCTTCGCGTCTCAACCGCTACCAGCAGTCTTGCGCTGGTGGTGCATAGGAGATGTTATGGCTTGTCAATCAGTCGAAGCAGGCTTTCAATTTCGTTTCCCGGGGCTGCACACAGCATCCCTCGGGACAATGGGCAGGCGCCGAGTGCAAGGGTTAGGGCAATGGACGTCGTGAACGTTCGATTCGGAGGAGGAAACGGTTCTTGGATGTCGACTGATAGGAGGTATGTAGTACTCAGGTTGGAAGTTGGATGGCCCACCGTGGACGATGAGCGAGGTTCTATGAGGCGAGATATCACGCCGTCGGCCGATATTCCGTGAGCGGGAGAAGGAAAGGAAGGTTCGATGAGCCCCGGGGAGCAGCAAGGATGCGGTGGATTGTATGTTCAAGGATTCTGGATAGGATAGTGTCGTTCAAGTCTATTAGCCGGAGTAAGAGTCGCCGTGGGATCAAGGATGAGTAGACAGGGGATTCCAGGGTTTGACCGGCGGACGTTGAACAAGCATAAAGGTCAGCACGGGGCGGGAACGTGCGCAGATTGAAGCCCAGGCCTGTGCGCGGCAAGCGACAATCAGGGAGCGGGTGCCGGCCAATAAGTTGCGTGCCACTGCTCAGAAAGCCTCCAGGAAATATGATGCTGGCTTTGACAGCCTGAGGGCGTCGATATGGTCAGTGTTGATGCACAGATTAGCCCAACGCACGGGAGTAATAGTACCACAGTACCCTAGATGGCAGCAGTGACCACACAGAAAAAGGGATCCTAGACACTGGAACTTGACCAACACCTTTACTGACCTCGGCGAGTACACAACTTCAAGTTGAACACCGCTGACTGCGCTTACAATAATGTACATTGTAGTTAGGCATCCACTGTGCAATGTTCGCGGGTCAAGTTAGCACAAGGGCCTGGGACGGCACAGCATCTAGACCCTTGAAGGCCCGTGTCTGCGATTGGAGCCTGAGCCCTACAATGTACTAGTCGGACGCAGGGATTTTCCACTGCCAGTACAACCAGTAGAGAGGGAACCATGCCTCTCGGCGTAGACACTTTGGGTGCTAGTACGTTCTTCAGGCAAGTTTCATCCTGGGCTGCTGATTTGATCGCTGAAGATTTCTCCGGATTCGACAGCCGTTCCCCATGCAATCTACCTACAATGTTGTATAATCAACGGTGGTCCCTGGGATGGAAAGTACTAAAACATAAAAGTCCAGTCTGAAGGCACCGCTATCCTCACTACCTAGATACCTAGGTAGGTAGCTACGAGCCCGACGCATACCTGTACTACTAGTAGTACCTGTAGCAGTGCCCTTTTTCCTGGGTACCTCAGTAGTACCTCAGGCATACTCTCAACCGTAAGACTCGTGGTTCCGGTCACTGCAGCAAATTGAGTAACATGCACGCCCATCGGAACAGGAAATTTTGACGCCAATCAAGTGTTCTAGACTCGGCGGTGAGAGCCTGGCATCGACGCCATTGACATCATTCTCGGTAAAGACGGCAGTGATCGCGCTACCGCGTCAGATGCAAAGAAATGATGCTTGCAGTGCCTGCAGCCCACGGGCCTCTCTTCGAGGGGCTGCCACTCGTGCTCCCACTGCAGTCGCGGGTTGTTAGTGGACGGCCGGTGATCGGATACCTACAACGTAGTGCTGTGCCCGTCTACTAGTACTGTCGTACCTACAATGTTAGGTAATGACAGCCCCAGGCACCTACCAGCACACACAGCCTGAGGCTGAGGTATCTGGCTTACTAACATAATCTCCGGGCAAATCGGGATCTGAGAGTACTAGCTCAAGGGCACCACTGCACATAAATGGTGTTCTGGGTCTCGCTACAGCTCGTCTTTGTTGTTGCGATCCGGACCGCTGCCTACCAGCTTGCGTGAATCTGCGTGGTTCAAGTTGCTGACCAGCGACGAAAACTTCAAGGTGCGGCTCAACAGGATGTGGAAGCACCAGGTAACAGGCGCCGGTTTCTGCCGGTAGCGGACGCTGCTTGCTTGTTTATCCTCCCACATTGCAGCTACTTTACATATATGCATGGCATACCTTATGTCAAAAAGAATGAAGCAGCGGCGCACTTGAGCAGGTACTCTGGAACTTGAAGGCCAGACAATCCATTATCTTTATCGTTGTCCGATAAGACACGGGGCACTTTTAAACAAGCGGGACGTCCACGGCACGGCCAAGTCCGTTTGACCCCAGGATACTAGTGGCAATAGTACACCGCAACAATGCAAAAGAGGTAGCACTCTGGGGTTCCTCCGACCCACTATGACCTCCTTCGACTTCAAGTTCCAAGGTGTGTTATCAAGACTCGTAGGGTTGGACTGGCTCTTATCATACCGATATCAATGGACAAAAGACTCGCTCACGTCTTTCATTCCGCCTGTTACTTGCGAGGCAATTGAAGCAGGTCCGAGTTCGTGGTTCGCTTCAATACCGCCTGGATCAGAGCTGTCCCGATCGGCATGCAGTGCAACACTGCAAACCACACTATCGCATAGTGACCGGGGCTTGTTCAAGCTGCAGCTGGTTGCGTCATCGCCATTGAATCGCACTTTCACGTTTCCACGATCCAGAGTGGTGCAAGCTGGCGTGCTTCTGCCTCTTCGTGACGGCAGAGGCTTTGGCGGGTTCCTGGATCATCTGCTGCTGACTGATGTGGGGGTGAATCCTGGCTGGGTTGGTGAGCTGGGAGCTTGAGCTGGGCGATCAAAACCCGCGCGATGTCGCCGACATTATCTCGACTGCCCATACGTCTCTTCTCCTGCTTGGCTGGTTCTACAGCATTGGTGTACACCTTGGCCATGTTGTCGTTGTTGCAGCTCGCGTGTGCCCTGGCGCTGCCGCCCTTGCTGAGCCAGGTTGCGGCGAACCCTGTGCCCGTCATCCACCAGAGGTATGCGCCCGACTCCCTGGGAGCTGTGGCCAGTGAAAGCAACATATGCAGTCATATCGGCATTGATTTATTGCGCCAGGGCGGAAATGCAGCGGATGCGGTGAGTGTGTGCACGTGGCCTCGAATGACGCGGTAGTAATGAGAGTCTCAGTTGGTCGGCACTGTCTTCTGCATTGGCGTCGTCGGAATGTACCACAGCGGAATCGGCGGTGGAGGTTTCATGATTGTCCGCAGTGCCAACGGCAGCTACGAGTTCATCGACTTCAGAGAAACTGCCCCTGCTGCTGCCTTCCAGGACATGTATAACAACAACACCAATGCCAGTATCTTTGGTGGGTTGGCCAGGTATGCGTTCATTCCGTCATGGACAGAGAGCAGTGCCACTGACTGGCGATAGTGGCGTTCCAGGTGAGGTTCGAGGCCTTGCTCATCTTCACGACAACTACGGGAAGCTTCCCTGGAAGCAGGTGATGCAAGGCGCAATCAAAACTGCACGGTATGGCTGGACGGTCAATGCAGACCTTGTGAGGTACATGAAGTCGGCCAATGCATCGGCCCTGGTCCCCAATTTCTTGGTGGACGACCCCAATTGGGCTATTGACTTTGCTCCCAATGGCACATTGGTCGGTCTGGGTGACACCATCACTCGCAAGAGGTATGCGGACACCCTTGAGGCCATAGCGGAGAGGGGTCCAGACGCCTTTTATGAGGGACCGATTGCAGAAGCCACCATCGCGGCCCTGCAGGCGCAGAACGGGACGATGACGCTTGAAGATCTGAAGAACTACACCGTGGCGATTCGACCGCCCGCCAATATCACCTATCGAGGGTATCGGCTGTTCAGTTGCAGTGCGCCGAGCTCAGGGGAGGTGGCTCTGTCAACGCTCAAAATCCTCGAAGGATATTCCGATTTCTTCGCTGATGGTCAGACCAATCTGAGCACACACCGCTTGGACGAGGCAATCAGGTTTGCCTATGGAGAACGGACGAATTTGGGTGATCCCTCATTCGTGGCCAACTTGTCCGAGTATCAGGCTGAGATGTTGACGGACGAGACGGCTGCTCAAATTCGAAGTAAGATATCTGATTATACGACCTTGAACGTGTCGTCATATGACCCCTCTGGCATTGAGTCCCTGGAAACTCCAGGCACCTCGCACGTGGTGGCAGCGGACGCATCGGGACTGGCCATTTCTTTGACCACGACAGTCAACCTACTCTTTGGATCGAACCTGTTGGTGCCCGAGACCGGTGTGATCATGAACAATGAAATGAACGATTTCTCCATTCCGGGATCGTCCAACGCTTTTGGGTTTGTTCCTAGCCCTAGCAACTACATTCGACCGGGGAAGAGGCCTCTTTCTTCCATATCCCCTACGATTGTGGAGTACCCGGACGGGTCATTGTACTACGTGATCGGAGCAGCCGGGGGATCCAGAATCATCACCGCGACCATTCAGAACCTGGTCCATGTGTTGGATCAAAACCTGACCGTGCCTGAAGCGCTCGCGCAGCCACGCCTGCATGACCAGCTCATTCCTAATCAGGTCTCTTTCGAGTATGCCTACAACAACGAGACGGTGGCTTTCATGAAGTCTCGGGGTCATAACGTTACGTGGATCGCCCCGGGCCAGAGCACCGCGCAGGGTCTGCGCCGTCTCTCCAACGGCACTTTTGAGGCGGCGGGAGAGCCTCGCCAGTTATCATCAGGGGGGTATGCCATATAACATCTACGGTAGACAAGATCGTATCCACCATTGCACATTTCATCCGCTCCCCGCGCGTGGACTGAACCGGCATCAAATGAAGTTTTCCTTGGCGTTGCGATACTACTTGTCCTGTTTCCGTGCCGACGGATGTAGGCTTGCCTCGTAAGGCGCACTTTTAGACCGTTCGTCTGGAACGCCCCGATCAACGTGATAGGAGGTGATCTTGTAGGGCGTCTCACATTATTGTCTACAATGGTATGCTCGCTAAAGCATCCCGACGAGGCTTGTGGTTGACCGGCTCATGGATAGCTACTGCTCTTATTGGCTCATGTGGATGCATGTCAAGGTTCAAGTTTCCATGACTGATCCATGCAATATTATTTCAACAGCTCGTGAGTCTTCTTGATACAATTCTGCGAAGTGCAGACCGAAGGTGGTGGATCCGGACTCCAAGGTTGAGGAGATTGGGGCCGGCAAGTCCACGGACTCGGAGCATCGCCGCGGAATCTCCTCGGAACCATGTAAGCACTCGACTAGACCGGATTAGGCAGAGTTTTGGCCGTCTTTCTCGCTTGCGGGTATAGACAGGGGCGGCGAACCAATCAGACCGGCCAGTCAGGCCTGCTGCTATGCTTGTCTGGCTTTGCGTGCTTTGCATACCGTGCACATCGCCCTTGTGAAAGATGCACAACTCGTGGGCCCAAGATTGTCCTCGCCATGTCCGGGGAGCCTCCATGCGATGGTGGATCCGTCCCGATCGACAACAGTCTCGAAAGGCCACTGCTTCACCCTGACCGACACGAGTATTGGCTTTGCAGTGGAGGCTATGGCGCGCAGTGACTGCTAGTGTGGTGCCATCTGTAGACTGTCACAGGGAGTGTTTTTGCCGGAGGGGACGTATAAAACGAAACAAAGCAGGCGACCAAGAGGGTGGAGCGGTCTTAGGGGTACAGTAGTAAGTACCGTGAGCAAACGACAAGCTATCTCTATATCAAATCCTCCCTTGGCTCGAAACCCCTTCAACGAGTACATCCATTCACCACATACTTTTTGCTTTGTCACAGTCACGGCCGACTCTTACCTCATTGACCGCGCGGTGTGTCTGTCTGCTTTGTCGACCGAGAGACTCGAGGGCACTTTTATTTACTTCACGTCTACCTAAGTACGTCCCTACCTCAGCCTGCTTCCTCCACAGTGAACATACCTTTCTGCAGTGCCTGGACCCAAGAGCTTCAGTCAAGATTAACAAAGTGTCTCTGTAGAGTCTATGGCGACTACACAGTCCACCAACGACCACAACACCAGACCCCTCGAACAAGACGATACTCATTCTTCGACAGCGACTATGACTTCGATATCGGAGAAGGAACGGAAGGGATACAACCCAGATCCAGACGTTGAACATGGGTTCCCCGTCATTGACCCCACAGAGGATGAAGACGAGAAACCATCCCGGATCGACACGCGTGATGACGACCCAAACATAGTCGACTGGGCTACGCCAGATGATCCAGAAAAGGCTCTCAACTGGACCACCAAGAAGAAATGGACCAACGCCGGCATCATCTCTTTCATCACATTGTTGACCCCGTTGGCCTCGTCCATTCTTGCTCCAGCCGTGCCACTGATCATGAAGGATTTCGGCGAGACCAGCGCGACTGTCGGCAGCTTGATCGTCTCGATCTATGTCCTTGGCTATGCAGTTGGTCCGCTGTTCCTCGCTCCTCTGTCCGAGGTCTATGGCCGTTTGCCAGTCTACCATGTGTGCAACTTTCTGTTCATTGTGTGGACCGTCGCCTGCGCCGTGGCGCCCTCGGTCGGCCCTCTGATGGTGTTTCGACTCTTTGCTGGTATCGCCGGGAGTTGCCCCATCACCATCGGTGCCGGTACTATTGCAGATCTCTTCATCCAGGAGCAAAGAGGTGGCGCGATGGCTTTGTTTGCGATGGGCCCGATCCTTGGTCCCGTCATAGGACCCGTTGCAGGCGGATATCTGGGAGAGGCTGCCGGATGGCGTTGGGTGTTTTGGCTCGTTGTTATTACCGTAAGTTCAGCGACTGTCCTCTCGCTTTGTCCAGTTCTAACCAGTCTTGTAGGCCGGTGTGGTCTTTCCCGTCTCTGTTGTCTTCCTGCGCGAGACCTATGAGCCAGTCTTGCTCCAGCGTCGCACCGAGCGACTTCGGAAGGAAACCGGAAATCAAGAACTACGTTCGAGATTGGATAAACAAATGTCGATGCGGCAATACTTCTGGCAAGCTATTGTGCGGCCGTCGAAAATGCTCATCTTCTCCCCGATCGTCCTGACCATGTCTTTGTACATGGCAGTTGTATATGGCTACCTCTATCTACTGTTCACCACCATTACGGAGGTCTTCGAAACGACCTACGGGTTCAGCCAGGGTTCCGTTGGACTCGCCTATTTGGGCATGGGCGTCGGTTCGTTGCTGGGTATCGTCATCTTTGGCATCGCTTCGGACCGCATCGTGAAGAAAATGTCGGCAAAGGGCGAAATGAAGCCCGAATATCGTCTCCCGCCGTTGATTCCCGGCAGTCTCATCATCCCCATCGGGCTTTTCTGGTACGGCTGGTCAGCAAAGGCCGGGATCCACTGGATGATGCCCATCATTGGCACCTCTTTTGTCGGTCTGGGCATGCTGGCCTGCTTCATGCCCATCCAGACCTATTTGGTCGATGCATACACTGTGCATGCGGCTTCAGCCATTGCAGCCAGCACGGTCATGAGAAGTTTGGCCGGCGCCTTCCTTCCTCTCGCAGGCCCAAGCATGTATGACGCCTTGGGTCTGGGTTGGGGTAACTCCACCCTTGGGTTCATTGCCATGGTTATGGCGCCTGTCAGCTTTCTCCTGTACAAATATGGCGAGACGATTCGCAAGCATCCAAGGTTCCAAGCGAGGTTTTGAGCCACGTTTCTCAAACAAAAAAGGGGGGCCGGCATGTGTTGATATTGACATGTCAGGCGGGTTAGAACAGGCGTTCTCCGAGCCGGTTTGTAAATTGGCACAGCATTTTATTGCAGCGTACCGAGCCCGGGTTTTGATTGGGAAGTCCGTCGTGCTTTAATAGACTCTCGCATTCTCTCAGTTTACTCTACTCATGAGGTTGAAAATATAAAAACTTCAACCATAAAACTTCAACTATAAAAATTTCAACTATAAAACTTCAACTATAAAACTTCAACTTGTCATGATGTCCTGCCAATGGCTGTAGTGACGCTCTCATAATCAACCATGCATGTGTCCTTGGGGAAATGTGACCAGGGTAGTCTCATGGCCACATGATGCGAATGTTGCAGGAATGGAGGGGCAAGGCGGCACGCTCGACGTGGCACTTGAATTTATGTTGCTATCTTTCCGTCTTGTCATATGGTTGTTTCGTCCACAACATCCCGCGACATCAGAAACTGACCACACTGCCCTATTCAACATCCACCATCTCCTGTTCACACATCCGCCAACTAAAATGTCTCACACTGGCTGCCCAAAATGTGGCGCGTCCATCACTGGAGGCAAGACCTGTGGCTCTTGCGGCGCGGTAAGTGTACTCAGAGGAGAGTGACGGTATGCTGTCAGTAATGAATGAGGTCGCGGCAATGACAGCAAATCCCTAGGTATTGGTCTTGCTGACAACGCCGGCTCCTTCAGACTTGTCCACGATAATTACGTCCCAACGTCGAAGGGCCCTATCGGATGCGTTAGTGGTGATGAGTGTTGACGAACCGTGATGATGACGAAGTTGAAAGGGGCTCGTGTGAAGGATTGCTCCTTAGCACCAAGGCTACGAGTATGAGACGACGCTAAGGATAACGATGTCAACGACGTGACGGCCATTGCTCAAGTTTGAAAATGAGAGTCTCTGCATCCCAAACATGATGTATGTCTTTTGATAGCTCTATGGAGGTACCACCCGGTCAAGAAAGCCCAGCAGATCCCGCAGCTCGGCCGTTGCAGTCGAGTGACCCATACCCGGGTAGAGATGCACCTCGATGTCCTCTTTGTCCACCCATTTGGCCAACTCTTCCATGCCCTGCGCGAACATTTTGGTCGGAATCAACATGTCCATTGTTCCATGGACGTAGAACCATTTCTTGCCGCCCTTCTCTGGCAACTCGGCTTCTTCTGGGCATCCTTCGGGCCGTCTCTCCCTACGCAACTGCGCAATTCGGTCTCTCAGAGGCATGTAACCGCTCAGACACACCATTCCTCCAACCTCGTTTTTGAACCGGCTCGTCAAACCCCAAACTAGACTGACGGCACACCCCTGGCTGAACCCACCGACGAGGATGCGCTTTGCTGGGGTGCCATTCTTGATCTCTTCCTCCACCAACTTGTCAATGATGTCCACGCTTTTCATGATGGCTACTTCGTCGTCAGGCGCAGTTTCGTCCTCCTCGTGGCCCGGTACGCGTGGCTTCATGGCATTTGGCAGGGCCTTGGGAACGTACCAGGCCCGTGACATTGCTTCGTGATTGTGAGGGGCATAGGGAAGGACCCATTTCAGGTATTCCAACTTGTTGTAGAACTGGAACTGCTGCGCAATCCCAAGAGGGAGGCCATCGGCGTCGTCGCCGTAGCCGTGTAGGAATATTAGCGTCGCCGCACGGTCGGGCGAGGATGAGGGTTTAGTAGGAGGAACAATGTACGGTGGCCTGTCAGACATAACGTTTCTTTTTTTCGAAGGTTGACAACGGTTTAAAGAGGTGCCTTGAACCTCGAATACGATATTGTAAGGACCGAAGGCTGGAGAAAGCGACCGTACCTTTAATATCACGGATTCCCAGCGTTTTTACGTGATTTGACCTAAGTATTCAACAACCTCATAATGCTCGACTCTGCAAGACCTTTGGACCTTTTGAGCAAAGTCCGAGTCGATTGCGACGGGTCAGCAACTCGCAGGATGTAACTCTGGCTGTCACCGGCATCGCAGTTTTAGTGTTGCAATCGACTGCAGTGCATAATAACTTATTGGTCGTTGGATTTGACTCTCCGCGTGTGGGGAAATCTTGGTGCAGACAATTCAATTCAATTCAATTCACATTTTTGCCAATTCACAACTCAAGTCGTCTGGATCCAAGGCGCGTTGCTCCATACGACGTATTCTCTTCAGCTGCGCCAGTCTCAAGCATGAAGAGCTTGAAACGAGGCCTTGCGGCCGATCCGAATGCCGTCAACATCTCCAGCAAAGTGTTCATCAGGTCCACCAAGAGCGGTCGGGTGCAGAAAGTGGTACGGGAACAGTATTTGAGAAAGGACATTCCTTGCTCCTCTCTGCTATGCTCGTCGTGCGCCTCCACAGCCGCGGCTGATGCCAACGGCGTTGGTGAGTTGTTGAAAACCAGTCGGCGTGATATGACTCTAATCGACGTGCAGTCCCCAAGTTCATTCTGTCCAAGCGACCGGCCGGCACAAAAGCGTTCCCAAATGGCCACTACCTCATCCCAGACACAAACGTCCTCCTCAGTGGAATGGATCTTTTTGAAGAGACGGGCAATTTTCATGATGTGATCATCCTGCAAACGGTTCTGGAAGAGCTGAAGAATAGAAGTCTTCCCCTCTACAACCGACTGATGGCCTTGACACGAAGCGAAGAGAAGCGCTTCTACCTCTTCTTCAACGAATTTCGCTCCGAAACTGCGGTCCGACGCGCAGATGGCGAATCTATTAACGACAGAAATGACCGCAGTGTCAGAAAAGCAGCCGCATGGTACACGAGCCATTTGGCCAAAACGACAAAGAAGCCTCCTGTGATTGTGGTTCTCACGAATGACCAAGAAAACCGCAATAAGGCCAAGAAGGAGGGCATAATCGCTTTGTCGCTCCGTGAGTACGTGGCTGGTCTGGACGATGCCGATCGCTTGCTCGACATGGTCAGTCAAGGCGCCGAGGAACATGAAGGCCGCACTTTGCAAGGAGAACTGTTCTACCCGGAGTACTATTCCATGTCCAGGATGATGACAGGAATCAAGGCTGGGACATTACATCAGGGTGTATTCAATGTATCGCCCTACAACTATCTGGAGGGCACAGTCAAGGTTCCCGCTTTTGACAAGCCGCTGTTAGTTCTTGGTCGAGAGGCCAGCAATCGATCGATATCCGGAGATGTTGTCGTCGTCGAAGTGCTGCCCAAGGACCAATGGAAAGCGCCGTCGACCCAAATCTTGGATGAGGACACGCTCAACCAGAACGATAACCCTGACAGTGAGGAACAAGAAGAGAGTGTTGTCACGGAGACTGAAAGACGTGCTCTTCAGGAAGAAGTTCGGCGCGCCCATTCTGCTGGCGCCGAAAATCGGGCACAGCCTACATGTCGCGTGGTCGGAATCATGAAACGCAACTGGAGACAGCTCGTTGGCACGATCGACCCCATTTCCGGTACTTCTGGTGGCAATCGCCAGACCACCGTCTTTCTGGTACCGATGGACAAGCGCATTCCCAAGATTCGCATTCAAACCCGTCAAGTGGCAGAACTCGTTGGTAAACGCATTGTGGCAACCATTGATTCTTGGGATCGTGATACGAGATACCCCGTTGGCCATTACATCCGATCCCTGGGTGAACTGGAAACCAAGGAGGCTGAAACCGAAGCTCTTCTTCTCGAATATGACGTCCAGTATCGACCCTTTCCAAAGACTGTGCTGGATTGTCTCCCGTCCGAAGGTCACAATTGGAAGGTCCCGACTGAGAGCTCCGATCCAGGCTGGAAGGGACGGAAGGATCTACGAAATCTTCTGGTGTGCTCAATCGATCCTCCTGGGTGTCAGGACATCGACGATGCTCTCCATGCTAGACCGCTTCCCAATGGAAATTTCGAGGTCGGCGTTCACATTGCAGATGTTTCACACTTTGTCAAGCCAAACAACGCCATGGACGCCGAGGCTTCTTCGCGCGGGACCACGGTGTATCTGGTAGACAAGCGAATTGACATGCTGCCACCGCTGCTCGGCACTGATTTGTGCTCATTGAAACCCTACGTTGAGCGGTATGCCTTTTCAACTTTGTGGGAGATCACGCCGGATGCAGATGTGGTTTCAGCCTCTTTCACAAAGTCAGTCATTCTGTCGAGGGAGGGATTCTCGTATGAGCAGGCACAAAAGAGAATCGATGACCCAACAGCTACAGATGAACTCACTCAGGGCATGCGAACCTTGTTGTCACTCTCGCAGAAACTTCGTCAAAAGCGAATGGATGCCGGTGCATTGAACCTGTCAAGTCCGGAAGTCAGAATCGAAGCGGATAGCGAATCCTCAGACTCGTTGGCCGACGTCAAGACAAAGGCACATCTCGCCACCAACTCTCTGGTGGAGGAATTTATGCTTCTCGCCAACATCACCGTGGCGAAGAAGATCCAATCCGTGTTTCCGCAAACTGCACTTCTCCGACGTCACGCCACACCTCCGGCGTCGAATTTTGCGGATCTTAGTGAACAGCTGAAGCGGATGCGTGGATTCGATTTGGACGTGTCGAGCTCCAAGGCGCTTGCAGATTCCTTGGATCGATGTGTTGATCCCAACCATCCATTTTTCAACACCCTGATCCGGATCATGGCTACGCGATGCATGACCTCAGCAGAGTACTTCTGTAGTGGATCTCATGCTGAACCAGAATACCGACATTACGGGCTGGCCAGCGAAATTTACACCCATTTCACCAGTCCGATCCGTCGGTACGCCGACTTGCTCGTCCACCGCCAACTAGCCTACGCCATTGGATACGAAGGTCAAGGAAGCGAGATCGCCGACGAAAGCCTTCGTAACAAGGGCAAATTGGAAAGAGTGTGTCAGAATCTTAATTTCAGACATCGCAACGCGCAGCTGGCTGGCCGAGCAAGCATTGAATACTATGTCGGACAGGCCTTGAAGGCTCGAGCGGAGAAGACGCCTGGAACAGCCATTGATGTCGATGGCTATGTCATGCGGGTGTTCGAGAACGGCATTGTGGTGTTTGTCCCCCAGTTTGGCATTGAAGGTTTGGTCCGCCTAGAGGACTTCCAACTGAAGAACGACGAAGGCGCGAAAAGGGAGAGCACTTTTGATGCGGACAATTATCGTCTCACCGTCTTTGAGAAGGGTCGTCAACATCATGGTGTCACGACTGAGCTGTTCCAGCAGTTGAAGGTCAGAGTAAGCTCCGAGGAAAAGGGCGGTGCCAGAGAAAAGGGAAAGAGAAGAGTGCGCATTGTGGTCTTGTCTACTTAGATAGCAAGCTTCATTCAGCTACATAGTAGTTAACGAGTAGATGTTTCTTGAATGGTGCACATCGTGCTAGAGCTCTTGTCCTCTTCGTGGACGGGGGTTGTTGAGAGGTAGTAATGGACATATCATTCCATGATCCCATGTCTCTGTCCTTGCTTGAACCGGCCCGAATCCCATTGCTTCCCCATATCTGTTCATATTAAGTCAGGATTGTATCATGGTTTCTCTGCGGCTTGTAAGCTACCTACCGAAACATGGGAGGTGCTCTTGGTGAAGTACCTACCTCTCCTCGTCAACCTTGATGCCAAAGGCAGTGTGTAGCGCTGCTTTAACATGAACGCCAAGTGACGGAGGATTCTTTATCCGGAGCCGATTCTGCAGTTCCAGTTTCCACTCAAACTTGAACCAGCACAGCAGGACTCGGACCAACAAAGGACCACGGTACAATCTATATCTCTGACGGAGCACCCCAAGCATGACGACTTGCTAATCTGGCAGTATTACCGACTATGGCTGGCCCTCCGAATAAGCGCCAGAAGCGCGAAGAGTACAAGAAGCACCAGGAAAGCTTCAAGGCAGGTGGTGACGCCCCGGCGAGCCGCAAGATCGCACTGCCCAAGAAAAAGTTCTACCGCCAACGCGCCCATGCCAATCCCTTTTCAGATCATGCGTTGAAATAGTAAGTTATACACACAGTCAATTCTGTGGTGCACAGACTAATGTACTGCGTGGTAAAGTCCTGCCAGTCCGTCCGAAATGGACTGGGCGGAGCACTACCCTGCATTTGTGCAGACCGGAGGAGAGAACGGCGAGCCCAGCATTATGACCGAAGAGGTCGAAATTGCAGATATTGGGTGCGGATTCGGCGGTCTGCTGGTGGCATTGTCGCCAGTATTTCCGGATTCCCTCATATTGGGTAAGTCAATACCTTACTCTCGCTGAACCCGATCATTTCGGGATGTTTGACTGATCGTTGCAAAGGAATGGAGCTTCGGTCGCAGGTGACCGACTACGTGGTCAACCGGGTCGCAGCATTGCGTGCGCAGAATGAGGGCAAGTCACTGTCTACCACGGGTGGACCGTCTCTCTACCAGAATGTATCCGCTCTGCGTACGAACAGCATGAAATTTCTGCCCAACTATTTCCGGAAAAGTCAACTGTCCAAAATCTTCTTGTGTTTTCCGGATCCGCATTTCAAGCAGAGGAAACACAAGGCCCGCATAGTGTCTACGCAGCTTAACGCCGAATATGCTTACGTTCTCAAACCCGGTGGGCTGGTGTATACCATCACTGACGTCGAGGAGCTGCATCAGTGGATGGTGAGGCACTTTGAGGGCGAGGAAGCTGGAGATGCCCGGGAACTGTGGGAACGAGTTTCCGACCTCGACGGAGACCCGTGCGTCAGGATCATGAGCGAGGAGACGGAGGAATCGAAGAAGGTCACCAGGAATGGAGGACAGAAGTTCGTCGCCGTCTTCAGACGCAAAGAAAACCCTGAGTGGCCAGATTGAATGCTATGTTCATGGGCGGCATGACAAGCTTTCCAGCTGATCAATCATGTCCAATACGGGCGGCTTACAAAATCATTTCTCATCCTCGTCAAGGATTGCCCTTGTCCGCTTTCTTATGATCTCCGAACAATGTATCGTCGCTCTGTTTCTCCGTGTTGGTCTCCACAGGGGCCATACCAACAACAGCGCCAGCTCTCAGCGCATCGACATCGATCTGCGGGCCGGTGAAATTCTTCCGGCCATCGACGATCCACTGAATAATGGATATGACCAGGACGATTCCGAATGCCGCCACACAATAGTTCATATTGCTGCCTGTCACCGGAGTGAAGGGCGGAAACATGAACAACACCGTGGTGAGAATTGTGTAGGCGATTCCGATCTGTGGTGCTGTCAGCTTAGCCCGGTCTGTGTTTCCAGCAGAGCATATTTACCAGGTTACACGCCCAACCGAGCACGCTGGGCAGGACAAACGGACGAGATTCGGGAAACATCCTCCTCCCGCGAAGGCAGTTGATTGCCGGCGGAATGGCATACGTGACGCCCAGCGCCACCACAGATGCCGATATAATAGCGTTGAACGCACTTGTGGAACCCAGGAAAATGCAGCCGAAAATGACAACAAGAATCACTGTCAACCACAGCGCATTCAGCGGGACATCGAGAGTGGGATGCACCTTGGCGAAAACACGGGAGAAAGGAAGACCACGGTCTCGGGCAAAGGCATAGACCATCCGGCTGCTGGTGGTCATGATGCTAATACCGGCGAACTGGATGGAGATCAGCTTCAGCTTCAACAGAGACTCGAATGATACTCACCAGCAAGCAGATCAGTGGGAACATGAGCAAACAAACGGAGCCCGCCTTGTTGTTGGTCGCGTCATAAAAGATTTGCAGCATCGGCCCGGCCGCAGAGCTGATGACGGCGTCCACGTCCTTGGAAACAAACAAAAGCACGCTCAGATACACGAAGCCGGTCAACATGCCAATGACGACGCAAGCGATCATAATCCGGGGGCCAACATAGGTAGGATCGTGTAGCTCTTCGATACAATGGGACACCGCGTCAAAGCCGGTCAAACTGAGCATGGATGAGATGATTTCCTATTTAAAAAAATGCGGCAAACTTACCCCAAACCTCCCTGCAGCAGACCCAAAAGCCATGCAAGGCCGTCTGGCCAACCAGTTTCGTTGATAAAAGTTCGATAGACAAAGTCGCCGGATTGGTAGTTTGGCGATGAGCACGCAAGCACCGTGATGGAGATAACCAGCCAGCCCGTGATCGACCATATCAAAGCAGACTTGGTAACCCATGGGAGAAGCCTGGTCATGAAAGCGTTGACCAGAAAAGCAACGATGTTGTATCCGATGTAGATGAGGAACTGGTGCCAACGATGTGGCTCGTAGGCCGGGTTGAAGAGGGAGATGACTCCGAGGATGAGTTGACTGCCCAAGAGTCCCGCGGTAGCCGTCAACGCCACCCAGCCGGCGGTGTTGATCCAGCCCGTGATCCAGGAAAGAATGGCGACCCAACCTTTCCAGCTGATGACGGCAACCCAATGATACTGGCCGCCAGCCGTGGGATAGGCCGAGAGAAATTCGGCTAGGGACGAGGCTAGACATAAATTACAGATGCCGGCGACAATGAGGCCCCAAATGACGGCGTCGGGGCCTCCCGAAGGCAAGGCCAGGGACATACTGGCTCCCAGAGCGGTCCATGAGTTGAGAATGGCAAAGGCCAATCCAAGCATGGAAAACAACGAGAAGTTGCGCTTCAACTCTTGCTTGACTCCCAAGTGAGCCAAGACGGCCGCATCTTCCTGCACGCTTGTCCTGCGGTGTGGCGTTCTCGACGACCGACGTCGTCCTTCCATGGTGATGGTGTGTAGCAAAAAGCAATATAGCTGTAAATGATGCGAAATAAACACTCCTTGTGTGACTTATGGAGTGAGATACAACTTGAACAGTACCTATGGGAGGACAGCAGCAGCAAGCAATTGAGTCACGTTGAGCGACAGAACTTGAAGCCAGCACCGACGTCAGCTTTTGAATGGGGAGCACGGGGCCATTTTGTTCAGGGCACTGGCAGGGTTGCTGTGTGGCTCGTCGTTACGAGTGGCCACTCTGGAGATGAGCGAGGGGGTGTCAAAACTATACTTGGGCTCAAAGGAGCAAGTAGAAGCAGATAAGACGAAGCATCGACAGGTTCGGCTCCAGTCGTCCAGACTCCAGACAGGGGTGCAACGCCCCAGGAAACTTGAGCATCTCAACTCAGGTGTACCTTGTGCCTTGAAGCTATCCCCGCGCCACTACTAACAGTGTTCGCCTGGAAAATTCGTCTCCTTACCAAAAATCAACACTCTTGTGCTCATGCTTTGCACCATGGGTTGACAGTTCGCTTGTTAGGATGCTCCAGAGAGCTTGTCCGGACAGAAGAAGGTTTGACAGAAAACCGAAGGTGGCCGTTGTGGGCACACATTGCGCCATCCACTTTTGCCGGTTTCAGGATACATCTCCGTTGCCGCTACACGCCTTACGGCACCCACATGCAGATTGAGATACAGCCGGGGAGGACTTATCATTATTATGGAACATAATATCCACACCTAATTGTTTCTAGTCCGATTCGATGTCTTCCAGAAGAGACATCCACACATGGCCGGAGTACCATTGAGCTCCGACCATGGACCCTGCCGGCTTGAAAGGCTCCACCACGGTCCACGAATTCCTCGCCGTTGAGGACGACAATGGATCGCCGACATTCCTCCAAGAGGCTGTATTCAGCCTTGTACACATCCTCCTTTGGCCAGAAGGCTGTGGCTGCAATGCTGCCTCCCTGCCTGGCACAATGAAATCCGGTCAAAGACCGTACTGTTTACAACTCGGTTGAGACAACGGATGTCTTGATTGCAACAAAGGATTCAGCATGTAGCGCCTTTGTATGCCAGGCCCTGTCTCTGGGCTATTTTGGGTATATCACTCAGAGCAAGAAGCCCCTTTCGCTGGCCTTCATCAAACCATTTCAGTAGTTCAGCGCATCAGCAAAAGAAGGCCTCGATACAACCGCGAAAATGTGCGAATCACATATAATATATCAACTCTGTGGCCATGTCAAAGTCAAGGTCATCGTCCAATGCGCTGACATGATTGACAGACTCATCGCTTCACATCCCAAGGGCAGCTTTTCGACTCATCAGTGCGGTAGCCAGAGCGACGACCTACATATTTTCCCAGATATATGCGACACTTGCAAGCAGAACGGGGTCGTCGCAGAGTATATTGACCGGCCTGGCGGGAAGGTGGAAGTGCTGCAAGCCTGGAGGAAGGAGGACCAAAAGCAGTCTGCCCAAGAGCAGAAGTCAGCCGCTCGGGATGATACGAATGGCAACGAGAGTCAGGGTTCCAATGATGCCGACTCAGGCGAAACACTCTCGATTATATCCTTCTCGGAAAGTGCGGATGAGTCCTGCGCCGAAACACTAAGTCCGGTAGAACCCTCATCTGTGTCCAGCGTGACATCCAGCCAAACTTCCCATGAAGCAAAAAGTTCAGATCTCAGCGGTCTGAAGGCCCGCGTCGCTGGGTTGACCGCGCGAACCGACCGGCTTCTCTTGCAGATTCGTGCGCACAAAACGACCTCGACGCGGCGAACCAACATTTGAAAAGCGTGTGATCCATACCTGCCGATAGGGATCATTGTTTTGTCCTTTTGTCTGGTTAGCGATTCATTGCGGAGGCAGGATAGCATTGGCGTTGGAGGATCCAGGGATTCAATTATACGGTTGCTCTAAGCATTCTGCGTAAAGCTTCAAGCCTTTTGTGGCCGCAACCAAGCTTTTTCGCTTGGATTAAGCCTGTTTTGGATGCGACGGGGGGAAAAGTGGAAAAGTGCCGTAATAATGGAAAATGCCAGATCGGGCCGATGAAGATGCCGTCATCGACTGCCACAACTTGAACTTGAACTTGGACGTGGACTTGGAATCGAGCGATCGACGCAGCCAGAACTTGGAGCGAGCAAGGAACATGGCATGACAGTCGCGTGCCGGTCTCGCTTCACACGGCCAGTGTACATCCAGATCCCAATTCGTTTGTTTTTTCATCATTAGTAGCTGTCGTGCTCTGTTCATTTGTTTCTGTCCAGCGCTTATTCCAGACTTAAAGCTTGTCCTGCTCGTACTTGTACCCTGCTAACCGAGAAACATCGTTGTCCTGTCCGCCCTCCGTCGTCGCTACCCTCCGCTAACCTCCTCGTTGTCACAACACCCTCATGGTCGGGAAGCGAGCATTCAACAAACCTATAAGCCACAAGCGAGATGCCTCGGAAGACCGAGACCTCGAGTCCGGCCACAAGCACCGACGGTTCAACGGGTTCAGAGATGCGGTCGAATATGCCATGGACCGGCGGATCACGGCCACCCTGAAAGAAGAATTGCGGAAAGGAGTTGCACGAGGCGAATTTGAGCACGCCAGAAAGAGTGATGAAGAGGTAAGGAACTCTGAACACGAACACCGCTCGCTTGAGACCCGCCAACTGAGCTCGGTGGTTGTAGTTAAAAGCCATCAAGAACAAAAAGCTCCGCAAGTTCTACGAGACACAGAATGCGACTTTAGACAACTGGGCCGAGGTGGATAACATCGTCCTCGCGGTGGCCGACGAGGTCATCGACAGTATGAACACGGACGCAGACAACGATGGGATCCGAGAACGTGAAGGCAGACTACAGCATGTCGAGGAACACGTTGAAGAGATGCTGCCATTCGAGCTACAGGAGAAGAGAAGGAAGGCAAAGAGATATGCACGATGGGCTATCAACATCAATGTCATTGCCAATATTCTTCTCGTCGTCGGCAAAGGAGTTGCAGCGTTGAAGTCTTCTTCTTTGTCCCTCATCGCCTCTCTACTGGACTCGGCCCTCGACCTCTTGTGCACTGCCATAGTCTGGACCACCAACCGGCTCGTTTCTTGGAGGTTGTCGGCGCTGTCCAAAAAGTTCCCTGTCGGTCGCCGGCGGTTCGAGCCCGTCGGAATTTTGGTTTTCTCCATCATCATGGTTATTTCTTTTCTACAAGTGCTTCAAGAATCCGTGCAGAAGCTCCTTCCAAATGGCGATCATGAGATTGCCACTCTTCCTGCGCTCGCCATTGCGTCTATGGCCGGCACCGTCGGGCTGAAAGGACTGATCGGATTGGGTTGCGTGAAGATCAAGACCACCCAAGTGCAAGCCCTGGTGCAGGATTGCAAGACGGATGTCTACTTCAACACTCTGTCGTTGCTGTTCCCACTCATTGGCAGACAAGCTGGTGTCTGGTGGTTGGATCCTCTTGGGGCCGCCCTACTGTCGCTATACATTATCTACGACTGGGCAGACACCTGTGTTGAGAACGTGACTCGGCTTTGTGGGCTGACGGTGGACGATGCCCTGCACAAGAAACTCATCTATCTTGCATTTCGGTTTAGTAATCTGGTGTCCGGTTTCAAGTCCGTGACCGCCTATCATGCTGGAGATGGAGTCTGGGCGGAATATGACATTCTGCTGGATGAATCCATGCCTCTACGGCGTACCCACGATATTGCAGAGACGCTGCAGTATTGTGCTGAAGCTTTGAGTGAGGTGGATCGGGCCTTTGTGACCGCCGATTGTGAGTGTTTGACAAACGTGTTATTGACATTGCTAACTTGTTGCAGATTCCGTGCAGAATCCTGGCGGGCATACGCGGGATGTCAGATAGTATGTGCTTTTAAAAGATAGAGTTCTTGAGGCTGCTACGCGGGCGGGTACTGGAGGGGTGGTGAATGATATAGAATTGTATTCATTAATAGTGATAAACTGGCAGAAACTTCCCAAATTTTCGAATCAGTGTCAGCCGGGTATTATGGTACTCCTAAAGTAGACTGGAATTCCAAGCCTTGTTCTTTGTCGGCTTGGACAGATAGTTATTATAGTAGAAGCGCGAGGAAACAATATTGTATTCAGCCGAAACCACATGTTTATTATTTTCGCGGGGTCTGGGGAAAACGCGCCGGCGAACTTTCCCTGCGCTGACGTATCAACTGCGCAAACATTCCATGACAATCGACAGACATTCAATGCACATCGCCACCTCTATCTGCGCGCTCGTATTCATCGTTTGAGTCTATACCACTCGTTATTTTCGGTCGCCTTCTGCCGTTACCACCGCCAGTCAATATGCCGTCAAGGATCCCCCTCGACGACGTAAAGCGTTACGCTTGGGATGGCGCTGCGTACAGAACAGGCCGTAAGTTCAGCAGGGGATTGCGGAAACCCTCGACAAAACCCTCGACCAAATCCTCGTCCAGCGTACAGTCGCGAGCAGAACGGATCCGGAGGCAGTTGGAAGGTGACACACTGGAGGCGACGAGGAGGTTACAAACGGGAGCGCCGCAGTCGACCGAGCAAGACACCTCATCTTATCTTTCGAGTACACCCAGCAGGACACAGACACAAAGAAGACGTCCAACCGCCGAGAGCGGCGAAGAGAAGCGGCTACGCAGGTTCCGGCCGAAACCACCACAGTCCTTCCTGGTCAAGCTGGAGCGGGCGAGAACACAACGCATGATTGTGCTCGGACGTAAGAGGGGGACGGACGCCGACGGGGTGCCATACCAAGAAATCGACATTGTGGGCTCGACGGGCAACGTCTACCAAGTCACAATCTCGCGGGTGCCGCGCTGCACCTGTCCGGACTCGGGCAAGGGCAACGAATGCAAGCACAAGGTCTACGCGCTACACACGGTCCTCAAGGCGCCCGAACATCTCCAGTATCAACTCGCCCTGCTATCTTCGGAACTCCACGAGATCTTCGCCAATGCTCCGCCCATACCGACCGATGTCCCTACAGACAAGGACGGCGATGCCGACGGCAAGCGGAAACCCACCGATGGCGAGTGTCCTATCTGCTACATGGACCTCGATGAAGAACATAACCGTCTCGTGTGGTGCAAGGCTCAGTGTGGCCACAACATGCACAAGTCCTGTTTTGATCAATGGCTTGCAAGCCAGGAGGGAAGACAAGTCCGCTGTGTCTATTGTCGAACGCCGTGGGAATTGGATATTGGTGACATTGCCGCCGTCAAGGCCGCTGGCGAACAAACTGCCGAAGGGTACATCAATGTGGCGGACCAGTTCGGCCTGTCGAGGGCACGCGACTATTCGGGTTACTATCAACCTTGGGCAAGGCAGTTCGAACCGTACAGCTTCAGTCCTTATCCTTGGTGAACTTGGACATTCTTGTCCTTGCTTTGGCGTTGTTCGGGCTTCAGCGATTTGGGTAGGAGATACTGGAAAACAGAGCTCTGCTTTTCGCTTTAATCTGATCACGTGTACGAGTGTCCTATGTGCCCCTTTTCATTACAGCCCATCACCGTGTCATCCGCCGATGTTGCATGCCCGACTGTCACAGTACACAGAGAAACATGAGACCTAGCCGACCCGCCAACAAGAACACTGTACACTGACATGTTGGTACATATAACACAAGAATGGAAATGTAGGCCAATTTCTCTTATCCCAGTACATTGCCAGATACGTGCAAGGAACCAGCAGAAAACACTGCACGCATTTAACAGCTTCTATCGTCCAATTCACCAGATCCAGAAGGTTAGTATAACAAACAAACAAAGTCGTGAGGGTATCGTAAAATCGTAAAACCGCCTGCGAACGAGAACTGTACATCTGAAAATAGCGCGTCATTCCATAATGGATCGCGCCGCTTGGGTCGTCGTCCTCGTTTCGTGTCAACTGGAGACGGAAACGGACTTCTCTCTTGGAAGTAGATGCGTCCATTGTAGAAAGTCGAATTTTTCCCGCTCCTTGTTGGACTGCTGTGCTTCTGGGTTTGGACTTTTGTTCGGTTCACGCGGCTCCAAGACCAGGGACCGCCGATAGTGCATTTGAAAACTCTTTTCCCCCACGGATCGTACTCGTACCAATTGGTCTCGCATCCAGGCCTGTAACTCGGATATCTCGGAGAACCTGTAAGGAACCTGGAACCGTTGGAGTTCGGAAATAATCTTGGTCGTCTTGATGTGTTTGTCTAGGTTGATCACAGAGATCTCACCGGCATCCGTGGACAGGGGCCGGGTAGCTGGATTGGCGGAGTCGACCATGGTGAGATCTGTCAAGTAGACCCCGATAAAAGGAAGACAGGGTGGCACATGCGACTGAACGCGATGACGAAGCACAGAGTAATTCTTGGACACGTCCACCACTTTGCAAAGCTCATCGAACACCAGTTTCGTTTTCTGTGGGACAAACTCCCAAGTTTTCTTCATGCGTTTGATGTTGGTCGAATCCAGGGCGCATACAATTGCCATGACGGTGTCGTAATTGTGCAATTCCAGGCACTTGTTCGCAATCTTCACCCATTGTTTGATGATGACAGCACGCTTCTTGGGCTCTTCCAGCTGGAGCACAGAATCTGACACCAGATTCGAAACATCTGTAGAGAGTGTCGACATGGCCCTTACGTTGACGGCCAACGAGCTCGTTCGTTTAGTCCATTCCGTCCCCAGCAACTCCTCTGGTAAGATGGAGCAGAAAATCTTCGAAGTTTTCAATGTAATCTGGCGCGCAAGCTCAAGGGGATCAAAATCGAGGATGCTGACATTACCGCCGCCCATTTTCCATGTCCTCAGGGCGGTCAGCTGGCTCTTGGATATGATCGGGGATGGTAGAGGGCCAGGTGAATCGGTATATGATGTATTTGGCCTTGGCAGGATCGGGCTCTGAGCGGAAGACACTATGTCGGCCAATTCGAGGATTCTCTGACATGCCATTGGGAGCACTGGCCTGAGCTGCTCTCTTGCAAAGCCAACGATGACGGGGAAGGCCGTGTCGTCGCAATCGTGCCTCCAGTAAGACTCCATCCAAGCCGTGAGCACATTGTACACACGAAGTCGTACCGCACTGGCAATATTTGGGTTCGCCCCAACATATTCAAACCGATACGCCAAAGCCTGAGCAAATTCTTCGGGTGTGGTAAATTGCCGAAATGTCAGATAGATCGTGCTGCTGAGAACGGGGTCCGAGGTGGAATCGTGTGTTGTCAATCGTTCCACCAGCGCATTCAAAGTCCCTCCAACGACTGCACCCTCCCGATTGAAAACCAGTTCCTGGGCAAACGTGACGACTAGTATTTCTGCTTCGGCGTCTTCATCCGAGAAAGATCCACCAAGTGTGGGTGTGGTTGCCCATGACTCAGCCGGTGGATCGGCTTCATAGACTGAATTGATACGGGTTGAAGCTGTGGATGGGCGGGTACATGATAGTCGGCGATGCCTGTCAGAGCCGCTGGTAACTTGTAGTCTTGAAGATTGCGCATGGGCGTCGGACTGTGATACTCCAACGGCCTTGTCACGATGTGAGACAGGAAGATGCCTGGGTTGGACGTTATCATTGGGCTTAGACGTTCGAGAAGTGTCGACGGCGGTCGGTGGTGATCCGGCACTGTTGAACGAAAGTGGAGGACTCAGCATTCCTTGGGAGATTGAAAATCCTGCTTTTTTGTTCTCGGAAACTTCCTCCACGGGCCCTTTCTCGGGAGCACATCTAGGGGCGGTAACGGTCTCGGGTTGAGCAGAGTCTCGCGTATTCGACCCATCTGACGCCCTCCCAAACAATTGGGCAAGATCCTCGATTTCAAAGTCGCCAATCTCCTCCAGTGTGGCCTTGGTCCTCGCAACACATCGACCCGCCGCACTCACACAGGCAGTGGCCGCCTGCAGGAGGTTGTGAGCCTCGTCCGGTAGGTAGGCTATATCTTCGTCCGCAGTGTGGAAAGGCTTGAACACTTCTCGTGCAGAGTGCACCAGTTCAGTGATCGCGTCGTACAAGGCATCCTTTGCCTGCACCAATGGTCGGGAGGTGTTATGATCTCGCTCGATGACAGTTTCGACAATCACGAATAGTTGACGGCATGAGCGCACGGCGTTTTGAGTCGTGGCCAACAGCTCGGAAGACGAGCGGGATTGTAAATGAGAACCCAGGAAGGATGCCAGAACGGTCAGAAAGTCGTCATAAGTTCGGTGAAGACATTCCGAAATGAGCTTTGAGTTCTTCGGAGTAGTATAAGACATTCGATGGGTGAGTGAAGAGTGGCGGCGCATCACAGCAGGCTTTGGAGAGATGGGGGTGGTGTCGGCAGCCACCGACTCTCTTCGGTATCGGCCATCATCAGTCTCCTGTGAAGCCGATAGAGCTGATGATTCTGCCCTTGTCCAAGCGTCCACTGGATCGCTTGTAGTCTGCTCTATCCACGCGTCAAAGAAAAGAGCAGCCCGCATCACGATCTTGAACGCCTTCAGAAGCATATCATCTAACCTAATGTCAAGATCCCTGTGGGGAGATTGTCCGCCAACCTTTTGCTGCAACAGTCGGGCGGCTTTGACGAGCCATGCAAGATCCGACAGGAGGTTCTTGCGAGTCCTCCTGATACCTTCATGTTCTTTCACCAGGGCCGCATTCCGCGCGAGGCACTGGCACCTTTCTAGCAAAGCACGAACTCCGGCAACCAATCCTCTCATATAGTCTTGATTTCGAAACACATTCAGGTTGGAGTCACCGCCACATCGTACCAAATCCCAGAAGTCGGTCAATGCCTTGAGGAGGGGTCGCATGGCGGCATGGTCGTAGGCTTCACAATAGTTGGTTGGCAGCCAACCGCGCGCACCAGTGTCCAACAAAGTGCCGTCAGCCCAGCCATTGACATGCACAGAGTGTACCAAGATCAAATCGCCAGCATTGAGAGGCAGTGTGACCGTGGTAGACACCTGCGAAGCGGCTGGCTGGAAAGGATACAACGCTCGGAGGTAGTTGTGGAATCGGGCACGAGGAGCGCGCGTTTCGTCGAGGACTGCCGAGTCAAGCAACCGTGCCGTGCTCATTCTGTTTGCATTGCTGCTGGTTGTTGCGCCGTAAGACTCTTCATTACCATCCTGGAATATCCTAAGGCGACTTGCGTAAACGCTTGAGGGTCGGGTGTTGCGCATATTGCGTCCTGCCGTTCATTTCGATCAAGATCTTTGGAGGGTCGCGTGCATTGTATCCATTCTCTGAAAGAGGGAGGATCGGTACGAGGAGGGTGGCAGAGGATTCGACGAGAGCAGCGGTGCAATCCGATCAGCGAGAGTGAAACGGAACAGTCGAGCGTGAGCAGAAGCGTTGCTTCACCACATGTGTCCAATGCCAATGCAACAAGGGGCAGAAGAAACCCGAGGGCAGTCTGAGGTGTCGAGACCGAGACGAGGGGCGTGTTTCTCTCCGCCGCGCAGCAGTGCTTCAACTTTTGACAGACGCAAGGACCAAAAGGAGGTTGCGGCACGCGTCATAACACAACAAAATAAGGATGAAGAGAAGACACACGACAGAACACGCGACTCTGTTGGATTGTATGTGAGAATGGACTACAATTAGGATATGTAGCTCCAATAATGATTCCAACTCGAGGAAATATACAACGGCGACAAATTTCCTTTTTGTCCTTCCGCGAGATACTAGTAAGCAGCACGTGCAGGATAGACAATCGTCAACAATCAGTATTAATATGTCAAAGTCAATTACATATACAGGTAGTATCCCTGTCTGGGCTTGCTGGGTCAAACGATATCGGCTGAGCTGGACCTCTCCCTCATTCGAGAGCGATTGCTTCTCTGGATTCCCATGGCGTAGTACAAATCTCCACATGCTTAGGTATCAATCACAGTACTACAATAGGATGTTTTCCGAGTTCAAAATGTTCCTTTCACGTGCAACTACAATGAAAAACAAATCGGGGCGATTGACGGACTACGTGAGGCTCCCTAGGGAGTCTCTCGAAGTGGCTTGAGGCCGAAAGGCATTGTGCACCAATCCATCCTTTCAAGGCGAGGCACAATGACAGGGTATATCCTTTGAAATGTGCTTAAGGATTAAGGCATACTGTTGGTATCCAGAGGCCACTCGTTCAAAAGTAACCACATCGCTGGTAGTCTTCCCAAAATCATATCATCATTAAAAAACTTGAAAAATTGCACTATAGTCGCCGACCAGTGGCAGCGCACTGTGTCTGGAACTCTCCCAGAGAATCACGCACTATGGCGAATGGCTCTACGGTGGCGCCTCTTCCAATGGTCACGCCGGGGTAGACAACAGCGCCCTTCCCTATAATAACCTCAGAGGCAATGGAGACCTGCTGTGCAATCCAGGGTGCTCCGGTGCCTTTGCGATCCACGAGGTCTTTGCCGACGCTCTGAGTGAAGATGGTGACTCCTGACCCAATGAAAGTCCGTGGCCCAATGTCCACTTTGCCGCAATCGTCTATTTCACAATTCTCTCCAATGAAAACATCCTCCATGATTTTGATGTTGTATCCGTACGTGCATTTGAAAGGCGCCTCGATCCGAGAACCGTGACCGATCGTGCCTTTCTCGGGCGGATGCGAGATGAACTTGTGGGTCGTATCTTTGCTGGGGTCAACCACTTTTAGTAGTTTGTTGCGGATTTCTTCCTCGCTGGCGTCATGGTCTAGAGCGCAGGCCTGGTTGTATCGGGCCAAAGCTTGCTTGCAACGTTGACGTTCATTGACCAAGGTTGGATCATGGTGATTGTAACTCGTGTGTCTCAGCATCTTGGAACGTTCAACATCCTCCTTCGTGAATGTCTTGGATCCGGACTTTGGATTTTCCAAGCCGGACGACGGCAATCGAACATGTCCACGGTCATGACTTTCTCCGGGCAGGTTGCCATAAGGCGAACGGTAATCAGATGGCGGTTGTGAAGGCCAGTGAGGGGTCTGTTGCTGGGCAGGTGCAGCAGCAGCAGCAGGAGGAGGAGGAGGAGGAGGAAGAGGAAGAGGAGGGGGACGAGAAAGGCTGGCTGGGCTTGCTTGTATGGTCGGATGCTGGGGGGACATTTGCGGTTGAGGTTGCGAAAGGGGTGGCGGGGGATGCGGAGGGTGTTGGGAATGTATTGGAACCTGAGTAGATGGTCGGGACATATCTCTGCTCGGGGCGTTCGAATGGTGTTCAGAACGATTGACCTCGGAGAGGGGAGGGAGGTGATCAGATGTATAAAGCGGTTGTGTTTGGGCCGGCTGTGACTGTTGTTGTGCCGGTTGGATTTGTTGGATTTGTTGTGTCTGTTGTATCTGTGGTTGTGCCTGGGGCGGTGGCCCTTGTGTCCATTGTTGTTGTGAAAGGTAGGGTGGGTGGATTCGCGTTTCCTTGTGAGAACTTGAAGGACTAGTTGTGTATTGTTGTTGGCGCTGGCCGTTGGGGTCATCAACTTGGCCTGGCCGTATATGACCGGCATCGTACGGCCCAGAAGCCCGGCTGCTGGTCGGGGAGTCTACATTGGTACGAACTGGGGTGGTCGGTACATCACTCTGCGCATCCTTGGACTGTAAAGGCATCACCGGCCTCACTGACCCGCCGTTGGCTGGCCACATATTGCGACGCGTGGTGCGTGTGTAGCCTTTACATTCGAAGCCTCCTCGGATGCAGTTCGCACCTAGCCGGTCAGTCGACGGTCAGCCTCGCCACATGACAGAAAACAAGCCGTTCTTACACGTTGGATGTTGCTCGTCGCATTTTTTCTTCCTCGCCCTGCATGTCAAGCAGCCAGTCTTTGTCCTGTTGCTGAAGTTACGTTTTCGCTTTGGACCACCCGTGTTGGTCTCGCCATTGGTGCTGTGTTCAGTATCCCACGACCCTCGCTGGGCTTCTTGTCCATTTGTTTCCTGCTGCAGAGCTTCAGCCAGCCGAGTCTCTGCGGTGGTAGGTCGGTTAGGGTTTGAGGGACTTGACGACCATGTCTGAGCGGTCTGGTTGCCTGCGCTGCCGTTCTGATAGTAGCCTCCGCCGTTTTGATCAGCAGAAACCAAAACATGTAGTGCCCTATTTGCCAAGTGCTGAGGTCCAGGCCGCTGCGAGGGACTGTATTCGTACGAATGTTGTTCACCATATCTTTCCTGCTCCTCGGATTGCGACCTTTTGCGTTTGTGGCCGGCGGTTTCCTTGCTTTGTAAGGGAGGATATGTGCTACTTGGGGTTTGGGAGGATAATTCACTACCCCGTCGAGGGTTGTCTTGGGGAGATGACAGGCGACTGGGAGAATCACTTTCTGCTGACCGTCAGTGCGTTTCCTTTCGAGTATATGAGAGACAAACCGTTGCTGGAGGTGTGATTGACTGCGACGAACCCGCGAGCGCCAGCCTCGGGGCTTGAAGCCAAGTCATTCTCGGCTGCCATTGTCCCAGCGCAGCCAGTATTTCCAACACAGCTTCCCGGTGGTGGTTTGATGTTGCGATGGCAATTTATAAGTGGACGAGCTGCCTCCGTATAGGCCAGCAACTCCTGAAGTCAAAGAAGCGACAAGGGGTGGGCAATGCATGAGATACCGAGACGACTCGGGCGCTTCCACAGTCCACAGCACTACTGCTGGGAAGGTGAAATGACGTCTGCGCAGGTCGATCGCGGTTAAAACATTTGGAAGAAGCACGCGCACAGTGCTGGGCGGTTAGGTGTGTGATAATCGGATAGGAACAGTGTCCTACGAGCAGTGTTCTTTCTCTTCCAGCGACAGTATGAATGAACGTCCCAAATCCCGGGTATGGAGGGAGGTCATCTCTCATATGTTGTGCATTGGCAGTAAGCGGGAGCCGCCAGAAGCGCAGGCGGAGCAGGTTAGACTCGGAGGTGGGTTGCTTCCGCTGTTGGAGCGAATGAAGTTGTGGAAAACGTCGACGAACCGGCCCGGGAAGATGTGGTCCCTGGAGAAGTCGAGCTTGGAGCGGGTGTGGGACGGTGTTTCTATCCATCAACCCAGACGAGAACAGAGCATCAGTTGACCAGAAGAGGCGGAGAAAACGAAACAGGTAGTAGGTCGGCGAGAAGCGAGGATAATAAGACGCACTGCAGGTAAAAGAGAGGTCACCACCTAGTACCCATTTCACGCCGCAGCCGCAGGCAAGGTCCGTGGTAGGGGGGGGAGGTAGGTACCCCACTACTAGTAATCCTACACCACTGCCAAAACATTGTGCTAGCACTGCAGTACCTCAGGTTGTAGAGTCATAGGAGAGCATCCCTAGTGGCGCTCGACTGAAAGAGTGATGGAAGAAACAGCAAATGCACCACTGCCGTGCAGTGCGTCCCGCTGCCAGTGCATCTTGCTGCAGTGTATTGCTAGTACTAGTCCAAGACATGACCGGGGACAGCGTCCGGCGCTTGAGTCAGGCGCTTGCCGTCTGCCGCTCGTTGGTCCAAGTTCGGATGTAGGACTCGAGTAGGTCCCCTCTCGCTGAAGCGTCCGCGGTAGGACCTGAAGTAGAGATACCTCCAGTAGGCTGTATCACAACTGCAGTCCGGTCCTCAAGCTGCCGCCTACAGTGTAACCTCAATCCCTGCCACGGCAAGTCTGCACGTCACACGGCGAGAGTGGCGGGCGTCAGGCGTATCGGACCTGGGTTGTTGGAGCAGTGTATCCAGTGACTGGCGAGATGTGCTTTGGAGGATACATCGGCTGGAGCGTCTGACTTCAGGGCCGCCGTGCCGCGATGGTGAGCAGTCATGCCGCCATGCCGCCTCATTCTTACACGCCCCGGGTTCGAGCGGGTCGATGGCCAGGGTCGATTGTCGTATCAACACCGACCATGGCTCCAGACCAAACTGTCAGTGCTCGGGGAAGGGAGCTTAGCCCGCCTAGTAGTGCGCTCCTACATCCGGAGCGTGAACGACTGGGTGAGAGTGCTTCTTGCTTTGCGCCAGCTCCGGCATCTTATTGGTGCAGTTTGCATACATTGTTTCTTGGACTGTGACGAAGGATGCTGCGCGCGTATATCACCTCGCTTGCGTGTCAGCTAAGTCAAGCGTCACGTGAAGTCGCGGTAAGTGAAACCACACTAACAAATTGCCGACCTGGTTGAACCAGACGGAGCCGCGAGAGAAAACTTTCTGGTGGTCATCATGGATAGCACGGTGATGGTGGACCAAACACTTGGTAAGATGAACAACATATATAAGGGTGAACAGCAATATATTAAAGTACCTCTTGCGAGTATCCAGTGCAAGAATGTGCCAACTCTCCTAATTGTCCGTCCATGTATTCCACTGGCTTCGAAATCCAACTTCGTTGTGGTGATGGTGGGCTTCCTCCACAGGATATATCGAGGCAAAGTCGGCGTCAGTACCAGTTAGACTGCCGAGGACTGCGAGTGTGGGCCGGCCGTGTGCACATTGAAAAGGAAACACACAATGGGCCAGGCCCCGGACCAGCTGACAGCTCTCCTCGAAACCCAGCCTGTCGTTGAACATGATGGCTGTACGACATGCGCGAGACTTGAGCAAGTCAATGACACCGCTTGGGCAGGTGGCGATATCAGACACCCAGCGTGTAGCGTGGTGACAAGATTCTTGATTGAAACCGTCCCCGACTGGATGCGACTTCTGAGATTGCTTTGACCACACCTCGTTGCGGAGAATATCGATCAGGACTTTTGGCTCAGCACGACAGCGAGCTGCAATAAGATCTGGTAATGTGATGACACTGATCCGGCTATGATTGCTGCGTTTTGACGTATAGTCCATCTGTTGATCACTCGTCTTTACCTTGTAGTCGAAACACCAGTTCTTGAAATAGTCCCGCTGTTCTTCAAATAGTCTTGCTTCCATTTTATCAACCTCGAAATCTACTGGATTTTCCAGGTTGCAACTTTTGCGTTCACACAACTGCAGATATAGGTTCTCCAGCTTGATCCGCTCATCCGCCGCGTGTTGATCAACAAGAACAAGGAGCTCTTTCCGTGAAGTGTCACCCGCCATTGGAACAACAGCAAGGACAAACTTTTCGTCCACCTGTCGGATGATGGTAGCGCAGCTGAGAGAGCTTTTTGTGACTTGCCCAATGCCGTCAGCGACTCCCCTCAACTTGCCGTTACCACAAGACATCATTGGGTGTTCCACAGTCTGGAGTGACTGGATTGCTGGTTCTGTTTGGTGGAAAGGTTTTGTTTTGCAGTATTTCGTCAGGTGAGAAGGAAGCCGGGTTGTCTTTGAACGACTCCCAAGCGCGGCCAGTTTCGGTCGCTCAGTCTGAGAAGTTGTTGTAGGGAATCGGATGCTAGTGTCAGAAACAATTGCTCCTGTTCGCGGGTCGAGGTGAGTAATTCGGCCATTCCGCGGATTCGTCCATGAAAGCACGGCAGGTTTCTCATGCTGCTCTCGTCCACAATCCGAAGGGTTGAGAGTATGATGAGCTTCATCTAGCGCAGTTGAAGCATCCGACCGATCATGTTCACGCAGTTGGATCAGTCGAGCGGCATCTGTGGGCGCATGTAGTTGATCAGGCTCATGGGGAGCACTCTTCGGTGGATTTGGATTTCTGGCATGTCGTCCACTCTTCACACGATGCCAACTGTTCAGATGTGATGCTTGGCGAATACTTGGAGAGAACGCTTCCTTGTTCTCAGATTCAATCGTGGTAATGCTATTCGGTTGTCTTGAGCCACGCTCGAACCCATGCGACCGCAGGAAGTTAGACACCAAAAACTCCAAAGCCTTGATCAAACGTTCAACGGCAGGCCGAAGCTCCGCAGGAGCATCGTCAAGGTTGGTAAGCGATGTTGCATTGTCAGACAACAAGGCCACTTTAATGTAGAACATTGGCCACCTATCCACGCCTTTTCCTCCGCTTTCGGACCTGTTTGCCTTGGCTGCCATATCGGTGCCGAAAGTAGAACGTTGAAAAGCCTTATTGACAGCAAGAAAGATTTCATTTGCTCCCTCGGACCCAGTTACTGGATATTGGCCAAGAGATATGAACTGGACATCTTTCGAAGGACAAGGTTCCAATGAGAAGATCCCATAGATTGAAAATTCGTCTGACCGCACCGTCGCTGCTCGCCATGAACGGGATTCGCGACGAGCCATAAGCCTGGCTTGGAAAAGTATTGAAACCGTCGAGTCGATCGTGATTTCATTTTTGTTCTGTCGTCTCGAGTCGATATGGACAAATCGCTGCCTACCATGTTTGAGAAACAATCGCAATTCCAAGCCTTGCGGATGTGCAAGCAAATATCCAACCAAGGTCTTCTTCACCCGATCAAAACCTCTACTCGATTCTGCAGTCGAAGTAAAATGCTCGAAGATGTGTCGGGATCGCACGGGGATATCGCCAAAGAGATTATGGACGACCACTGCTGTTCCATGCTCCGTGATCGCAGTTCCTTCATCTTCCAGATTCAATTGCCGGCAAATGACATTTCCTCGGTGCAGAATTACTCGGTCCGTGTGGTGTTTCGAACGATGTCGAGAGGTGATAGACAGGAGTGCAAGAAAGGACAAGCTGGACAAAAAGCGCCCATATCTACCGAACACGGGTCTGGAAGGATTGAGCTTCGACGTACCTAATCAAAGTATTAGTACATTCCAGGGCGTGGTGAAAAGAGGCGCACAGTGAGGTCTTGCCAATTGTCCGTCGTCAGTAAACTCGGTGCTTGGTATGCCTGCCCCGTCGTCGCGGACAGAGATGTAGCCTTTTGCAAAGTCCACCTCCACGGAGACCGAACGTGCCTCGGCGTCTAGCGCATTTTCGACCAAACCCTCGATCACATCTTCGTGAGACGTGATCAGTTGAGACGATGAGAGGGTCAGACGAGTGTTCTCTGGAAGTGGCGCAATTCGATGGGAGATACCAGCCATGGTAGTAAGACAACTGCATCACGGCGGCGCCCCGAGTTGTGGTCGGCGAGGGACGAAGGCCTCTGGGAACATTGCCATCAGGACGTTTGTATTTGGAGTTTTACCTCGCAAGCGCAAGGCACTGAAGTACCTTACCTAGGTAGAAGGCACGTTTGTGAATGCATCAATGTTTGTTGATGTGCGGATTTGGATGACTTTACGCCAAGCATTCACCCTTTGGACCGTTGAGATCCCAACCTTTGGACGAACAAGTGTTGTATGATAACACGCTACATACCTATATACATTGGCGGCATGCAAATTTGGACCTATATTTTTCGACGGCATTGGCTTGCTGAAGCCTGGTGTATACGATGACGGTGACCAAATGGGTGACTCTTGCTCGCCAGTGCCTCCTAAGGCGTATATCTGTGCCCGAATTTGATGCCGCTTTGCGCGAGCTTGACAAGGTTGATGGCAAAGAACTGTTTGGCGCTTTCATCGAGTGCCGGGCCACATTTTGTGTTCCTGGTGACCCCCTTGTTTCCTTATATCTCGACCACTTGGGCAGTTCAGGTCTTGTCAGCATTTCCGATGCGCTTCTAGTTCTCATCGGCAAGTGGAACAGCGCGCCAAAGCTGTTTTCTCGTTATTCGCCGGAATGCTATAGCCAGACATTGCAGGACCTAACCATGGTGGCTGTTTCACCAAAGTACAAGGTAACAGCTACGGAATCCAGAAAGTCACTCCTGCTGGCCTCACGATGGCTCTCATCCATGGCCCGTACTCTGCCGAACTTACTTGGAGAGTCACCAAACGCCAACAATGTCATCGAAGCACTGGGGTTTCTTGTTGCCTCGATTGCAGCAAGTGATGGTGGTTTGGAAGCACTTTCGCCTGGAGGGGATCCGGCTAGAAATGAACTGCGGGAGTCCATCCGACATGCTTTTGAGCTCTGTCTGCCCTTGTACTCTGTACTCTCTGCCCAGCTGATGGAACGGCTCAACACTGTTCTGAAGCATATCAACCTTTTGGATAATGGTAGCTCTCAGCAGGGAGCTGGTCAACCATCTGCGATGCAGATTCTACAGTTTCAGGTTTCAATTCCAGAGTCTGAAATGGTGGCCTCCAAGCTTGCAACGTCGTTGTATCTTGAAGCGTTGCTTATGACAGGTGCAACGATTGATGATGCTGCGACAGTCAACTATATGTGCTCTCGCCATCAGAATGACTACCAGTCTGCGTTCATGGACTTGGTGGCTGCCTCTTTTCACATTCTCAAAACGCAGCAGAGCAAGAGCATATATTACCAGCAATGTCAGTTATTCGTCCAGAATAAACTGCCTATACTGCTTTCAATGATCTCGGGCTCTTCTTTTAATAGTTTCAACACCGAGCAAGCAATCATTGATGGTTGGGCCTACCAAGATTTGGGCGCCGTCGCCTCTCGATTTCTTCACACTTGCTCCCTACACCATCTGCTCACAGCGCAGGCCGTCTCGCAGTTGTTGGGGAGTGAAGAGAACAACACCACCAAATTGTACGCAAAAGATGATTTGGTGAGTCAAGTTCGTGCCAGTCACACACGCGGCCCAAAACTGGTCGATGAGCTCGTGCGGAGTGACGGAAGTGCTGGATCTATCAGTCAGGCTTTGGTTGAGATCATGCATAGCTATTGCCAGAGCAAGGAAACGCAGTACCTCAAAGACTTGGTGAATGCCATTCTTCGAAAGCCCGCGGCTATCAATTGTATTTGTCTGTTCATTCGGCCCGCGTTTTGGCTTGGACCGCTTTGCACCCTTTTGGATGAGTGGCGCTGGGATGAGATTCATGGGGAAGCACAACCGGTATATGACGAATTTGGCGCAGTTTTCCTTCTGGTGTTGGTTACTAAGACACGATTGAGGTTATCAAATGCGAACGTTGGCGTCCGAAAGAAGGATGGGTTCTTGGCCCGATACTTCGACCGAGAGAATCTCGAGGAGAGTCTAGAAAAGCTGCCTGAAGCAACAACATCACATCTTGGAAATTGGGTCAATGCTTTGTATCTTGCCGAAGGTCTCAGCGATGAATTATTCACCAGTTGCTCTCCACACGATTTCTACTTGTTGATTCCCACACTTTTAAGACAGTCAATTGTTGCCTATCAGCAAGGAAAGTTGACACAAGAGTCGTTGAAAGCTGGACTGGATTGTAAGTGATCATACTTGTCGCTGTTTTTCCTTCTGACTCGTCGCAGATTTGCTCGAACCTTTCTTGTTGCCCTCACTGATTCCTGCTTTGGACTGGGTTGGGAATCTGGTCAAAGAGGACCAGATGTCTGCGGAAATTGTTCTCCAGGCGCTTCTCAAATCACCCAGCGGTTCCGAATCTCGAGACATACACCAAACCATTTTGGGGGTCTGTGCTCCAGAGCTTGAGATGAACATTCGGGCTTCTCAGTCTGACAAGTTTGGGTTTGCGCTCAAAGTTGTCGAGCAACTTCCCGAGTCTTCATTTTCTGTCGCGAAACTGCAAGATGGGCCTGTGGACGAGGTTCAACCGCATATCGTTGCTCTGATCATGCAACAGTCTTCCACGGTTGGCATCCCGGCAATGGTGCGGCGGCTGATTGAGATTCAAGGTGCCGAGCTCGCTTTGAAATCGTTGCTCGGTGTTTTACTGCAACTCAGTGGTAGTCCTGACTTTTTGCTGTGTCTGGACGTGATTGCCACGCTTGTGTCTGTCGTTCACAATGGTCTCCGTGAAGCCCTGCGTCTCCAGTCAGGCACTCTTGGGACGTTGTTGAAAAAGGGCGATACTCTTTCGGCTGAGGCGGTGGTACGTCTCCATCGTCTGGTAGAAGCTTATACCAATTTTTTGACTCCTCATGACATGGGATTGGACTCTTTTGATTTTACCAACATTGATACGACCAATCCCAACCTGGATGAGAATGCCCCTACATCTGGAGATGTGGAGAAGGAACCATCGCAAGCAGATGGGATCGATCAAGTTTTGGATGAAGTTGCCGCAATGGGCAACATGGATTCGAATGATGCCGACATGAATTTTGACGCTCTTTATGGTTTACAAGGTGGTGATATGGATCTGAATGATCTGGACTTGGATATGTTTTAGTGGAGTTTGTCTTTGTCCGATTGATATTGTTAGTATTGAATATATAGTCTCGACTCGTGGTATGTTGAGAAGGCATTCTCCAGTGGCATCCTCGAGCCTCCCTCTTTGAGCAGAAGTCAGCACGATTGAGTTGAGGGCCTTGAGGCCCCCCAATGATAGAGAACTCCTAACTTTGACACATAAGGGTACTGGTCCACTTGGATTTTATTGGCTTGCTCGCAAAGCTTGAATTTTGATTTGCTGGTAGTGAATCTAGCGTCAGCCAGCAGCAATATGAACCGAAAGAGATAAAGCTGTGTTCGTTAATGTCCAATGGTCAGTCATGACAGCTTTTGGAAGTATTCAAGCAGTGCGGCGTAAATTTCTCTCAACACTGCTGTTACCTTGAAATGTCGTGGCTGGCAAGTCTGGTGAATCCCGAGTATGGATAAGCAGAACAAATCTACTGCTAGCCTCCCCAAGACTGTCAAGCGTGCTGGAAAAGTCAAAACAGGGTGTTTGACATGCAAGTAAGTGCAACTCACAATCATGGAGGCTGTCAGACCTTTCTCATGACCTGATAGGATACGTAAAGTCAAATGCGATGAAGCTCGCCCATCATGCCATCGCTGTCTGTCTACTGGTCGCGTCTGTGATGGTTACGGGATTTGGGGAGGTGGCAACCGCCCTGTTCGACATAATACAACTTCCTCCAATGCATCGGTCATCACTGCGGGTACAATTTCAAGTCCGCCACTTTACGTCGTGTCGGCAAACGAGCAAGCATGTATGGAATGGTTCATTCTCAGGACAACCACCAAACTACCTGGTCCTTGGAAGTTGGCTTTTTGGACCACTCTTTTGCCTCAAGCATGCACCACGACGAATGCAGTTTTCAGAGCAGTCCTGGCGCTCAGTTCAGTCCATAAAGTACAGGCACTCGATATCCGAGATGGTACCATGGAGCTTTTTATGTTGCAACAATACAATCGTGCGACAAATGACCTTCGTAGCCTGATAGGCAGGGGGAAGGACTCTATACGAGCGACATTGATTACTTGCGCGATCTTCATCCATCTGGAATACCTACGAGGCTGCTACAGAACTGCAACAATCCATCTTCGACATGGTCTTGCTATATTGGAGCACATATCAAGTGTTGATATGGTCGACGAATGGATCGTGGATACTTTTACCACATTCTTTATTCAAGCGAAACTCGCCGGACAAGACGTTGCTTTTCCTCAACATCTGCAGAGAAAGCCGGGACTTCGGTTCAGTACACTGTATCAGGGAAGGCAAGCCCTCGAACATATTCTGCTCCGTATAATCGGAGTTGGCGACGCCTCCGAAATATTCCTGGACTGTGAAGCTGTCCACAACGAACTGAATCTCTGGCTCGAGGCTTCTGAAATTTGTGTCTGCACATCTACCCTGGTTGACCAGTTTTCCTGGAAGCTTCTGCGCATATATAACACTATGGCTCTGATCATGGTTAAACGTCTACGGCCGGCTAACAGCGAGTTGCAAACCACTATGGAGAATCCTTTTCGTTCCATCTTGAACCAATGCCAACCACTCTTTGACTTTGTGCGCAATAACTCGGCTCGAGCCGATGACGCCTCAGAAGTGATAGCTGATATCGGCTGGATCCCGCCTATCTACTACACGGCACTGCATAGCTGTGATCAGCGCACAAGAAAAAGGGCCGTTGGTCTGCTGCGTCTTGTCCCGCATCGTGAGGGTGTCTGGAATTCTGTTTCAGCTGCGATGGTAGCGGAAGAACGTCTGCTAGACAATAAATGACTCGAAGAGGTCGAAGAGGACGACGGAGTAATATTTGAGCTGGTGGTAGTGAGATCAAAAGAGGCGTTTCTGAGTCTGAAGTGATGCGGCTGCCGTGGAGCTGATTCGGACCAGAGTGAGGTGTCGGTGAGGTATTATAGAAGTGCAGTCCTGTTCCTCTTCACTAATACCTGCGGGGTTTCCCTATAGTCTGCAAACGCCCACCCTCTCCCTCTTTCACATTACACTTTACACAATCTTGTTCACAAGCCATGATGGCTTATATCAAATGATCCTTGATCGGCTTGATGCCGAGATGGGGCGGATTGATACCGTGAAAATGGTGCCCGAAGACATACAAACCTCAAAGAATATATCTCAGCATCTCGCACTATACATGCCCTCAGTGCTCCATCATTTGGAAAAGTTGTTCACCGCACTTCGAGAGCGAAAGGAATGGAGGAGCGGCACCGCAGGTAGATGGAAGAAAGCCGGAAAAGAGGGGCCGGCTCCGCAGGAAGAATGATCGATTGAAGAGCGAAATTAAGCGTTTCCAAGAAGAATGCACACAACAACCGAGTCGGAGTCAGTGGTTGGACATGATGCCCGAGGTGATCCAAGAAAAACGCTCACGGCAGTCTTTGGATTTGGGCGGATCTACCGCCGCTTGGTGTTGTGATCTTATCGAACCTATGCTGAAACTGGTGACACTCCTAGTCAGTATATGTGAGAGGAAACCCCTAATTGAGGACTGCTAAATAAACCGGCTGGAAATGAACTGGAGTGGGGGCATACCAGGTAGGTTGTCTTCGGAGACATAAGATGGTCGGAGACTTTGGTAGCAAGGACCGTGGTACCAAATACATAACAATTGCGGATGCCAGAATCATTTCCCGTCAACGGTCTTACCTTTACTCTGAGATACCGCGGTGCATACGGTTTCATGCATGAAACTTTGAAGACGCCCATATCTGTCCCGGTGTTGAGATGGCGAAGTTACCTTATTCCGAATACAAGGATGCTGGCTTTTTACGATGGCTAGTGCTGGGCATTGCCTGTGTTGCAAACTTTGCGGACTTATTCCAGAGCTCCATGGTTCTATTTGGATTGCCTGCCATCGCTGCTGACTCGAGCATGAATTTTTCTCCGACCGACATCAACTGGGTTATCGTTGCTTACACCGTCACCTTCGCTACGTTTTTAGGAATTGGAGGCCAGTGCGCCGATCGGACTGGACCACGAAATACCTTTATCGTCGGGCTATGCTTTTTGGTCTGGACCAATATCCTATGTGCATGGGCACCGAATCAATCCGCCTTCCTGGCAGGAAGGGCCCTGGCGGGTGTCGGGGCTGCCCTAACGGTAGCTATAACCTTCCCTTGACCTCCGATGACCCCTTACTAACCTCTCCAGGCTGCGACTGGAATACCTATCATAACGAGACTTTTCCCTGAGGAAAAAGAACGTACAACCGGTCTCTCTATCTACATATCCTGTGCGCCTCTAGGTACCATTCTCGGGGTTGTGATTGGTGCCGCTCTATCTATCTCGAGCGTGGGTTGGCGCTCATTATTCTGGGTAACGATGATTCTGGCCGTGATAGCATTGGTCTTCGCGTTCCTGTTTGTTCCAGCATTCGAAATAGCTTCCTCAGATAAGCCGCCAATCGACTACCTTGGCCTCACCATGTTCACTCTCGGTACTTGTCTCTTGGTGTATGGGCTCAACGACGCCGAAAACAGGGGCTGGAAGAGTGCTCCAGTCATCACTACAATTGTACTTGGGGCTCTCACGCTTATCGGGTTCCCTTTTGTGGAGGCAAGGTTGCAAGCACCATTTATTCCGCGGACGATTCTCTTCAATCGTCACGCCATGGTACCTGCCTGCTCCTTCATGTTCACTGGTGGTGGCTGGTAAGTAACCCTAGGATGGGCAAAGCCTTTTGATCCTGTGCTAGTGTTGACATCCACCTAGGATCACCTGGCTCTTTCTCGCCACTCAGATATGTCTCAACTCCCTCAAATACTCGACGATACTAGCGGCCTGTTACTTTCTGGTATGACCCCTCAGAGAAAGTGTGAGGTTGTGGAAGTTGACAACTTGTTAGCCAGCTGCTTTTGCTTCAGTGATCGGTGGTGGTATCGCCAATACACTGGTCAACATGAAACAAACCAGCTTGCTCATCGTCGGCGGATACACTCTCAGCGTAGGCGCCCTTATTCCATGGGGTGTCATCGGCCCTCAGTATGGGATCTGGTACGTGATTGTGTTCTCTGCCCTATACCTATTTTCGTCGCCAATCGTGACTGTGGGAGCACAAGCACTTGTATTGCAAGAGGTTCCGGTCGAGGATCATGGGAGAGCTGCTGCGCTGACATACGTGCTGTACCAATTTGGCAGCTCACTCTTTCTAGCGGTTGCAAACATCCTCATTGGAAGCACGTCGAAAGGAGAAACTCCTCAAGGCCTCCTGGTTGGCTATCGCAACGCGATATGGTCTCTTGTTGGCTTCACCTCAGTTGGTCTAGCATCTTTTGTCGTGCTGTACCTGCCAGGCCAGTCTAAGAAGGTGGTGGAATCTCAAGCAGCGGGGACAGTGAATGAGCCAGGCTCAAACAAACCGGAACCCCTTGGAGAGCTTTGAAGGAAAAGAGAGTCGATTTCAGCCTTCTCAACAAAGCTTGAGATCCGGAAAGTCAAAGATAGGACTTGAGGAGTTGTTGGCATGTAGAGCATATTTGGACATGTTCATGCAACGATGGTGGACACAGGCGTGGAACTTGAGACTTTGAATCTCGGCCATATTCAACCTGGCCAAGAATATACTGGGATAGTATAAGCCGTTGTGATTTCACATACCTACCTATGTGATTTCATAAGGCCCGGAGCCTCCTTAGACCTATATACTTTGTAGAGGTTATACGATCCCGTAGGACGCCGCTTGGCACCCAAGGGGCGCGATTAGTCATACCTGGGAATCGACGTGCGACTGAACTTGAATCTGAACTGAGGTTCGCAGTCCAAAACACTGGCTGTGATTTGATGACCACTCAACCAGCACTCCCTCAGACCCGGAGTCTTGCTTTTTTTGCGAATGGCACCATAACGAGTCAAGCTGCTGGGATCATTAGTGCCGCTTGCGGCCTGGGAGCATTCTCAGCTTTCTGTGCCATTGTACTGCGCATGGACACTGCGCGCCATTCCTGCAGTCTGTGAACCTGACAATCCTGCGTGCAACTCGTCCTTCGCCCCGCAGGGATCCATCACTACTTTGCAGGATGATTACAACCTCACCTGGTGCGGCGCGGTCTCAAAGAAATTATGGAAGAGCAATTCGTGACAAGCACGGCGAATTGATGGGTGACAACATCATTGGAATCTACCTCTCTGAAAGACCTTTCCATTCCTCATTCCCGAGCGAGGCCGTTGTTGACGAAGCCGAGACCATCGACGAACTCCATGACGCCACCGCCGCCGAACTCGGGCGCTTTGTCGATCATCAAGACAAATTTCAGAACCCACTGCTGCTTGGGGCCGGCTTGCATGGTGTCGTGGTTCTGGCAGATATCAAGGGTGTAAAATATGCTCTGAAAGTGGTGAGTGTCGCACCTAGTCGTTGCTTGCCGTAGTGACAAGTTGCCCAGTTCAAGAAATGGAAGCAACCCGGCCCCGTCTTCTACCGATACGAGGATGCAGTCAGAATGACGCCACTCGCGAACGAATGCCGCGCATTTGCACGTCTAAACTCGCACAATGAAAATGGCACTTGGGCTGCCAGATGTTATGGATGGATGAAATTGTCCGATACACAATTCGAGGTGATAAGTCGTGTTGTCGATTCTCACGGTCTGAGTCGTTGGGCTGTTGTCAAGGAATATCTGCCGATGCCCACAGAAGGGTGTCATTTTGATGAAATGCGCGACAAGCTGAAAATTCCAGGGAGGCTGCGGATATATCCTCAAGATCTTCGTCTCGAAAATTGCAGAGGCGCAAAGGTTGTCGACCTCTCTTCAACCTTGACTGCCCCCTGTGCAGAATGGTCGGAGTTTGAATTCAACTTCTTTTTTTCTGAGATTGCTCCCTGGATGTTTACAAACGTACAGCTATGAGGAAACGCATTTCAAGACTTTTCATTACTGGCAGCTCGGATCTAAATATGTCTAGCACTGCCACCATTTTCCACCTCGAGTTGCAGGCCCTTTTTGCATGACTTCAGCCTCAAGATTGCGATCTTTCCTCCACGCACACGATGATTCTTCACCCAGAGAGAGGTGTATGTGTCCTTCACAATGTGTCCTGCGGATTTGTCGCACCACTGACTGGCACATCATCTGCAGCAATATGGTGTTGGAGTGTGTGCCCTCCTGGTGATGGGTTTTTGTCAGCTTCGGCAAGAAGTCGCTGTGTCCGACTTATTTCATCCTCCAACTCGTCTAGTCTTGTCATGTCTCGACAACTCTCATCGTAATCCTCTTTCAACAGCAACTCTATGTCATTTTCAACCTCCTCTCGTAGCGCTGAGACAATGTCAATCCCTGCAGACTGGAAGCCAGGGGCAGTTTGTGGGTGCTCATAGAAGAAATTCGTGAAGGCCTGGATCAAAGCAGCTTCCGTCTCGGCTGAGTGCGTCTGCTATGGATGCGATTTGGAGAGCTTTTATCCAGGTGGCAGTGCTGCATACAGCTGCGGCGATTGCACCTCCCTTGTGCCATTGCAGCTCTACTTTGTGTCTGTGACAGCTTCAAGCACCCGACAATTGCGGCGACGGGAGCGCAGATCGGCCAACATGGAAATACGACGACCGCTGCGCAGTTCGACTTCGAAGTCATGAACGACACGCGGTTCTAGCTCTCCCTTGTGCCTGTGACAACTTCAAGCACCTTGAAATTGCGGCGACTGCCACACAGTTCGGCATCGAAAGCCTGAAAGACAAGCGGTTCCGGCTCTCCCTTATGCTTGTAACAGTCCTAAGTATTTAACCAGCGGCGACCGCCAGGCGATTCGACTTCGAGACCCTAAGAGATAAGCGGCTCCAGCTCTCCATTGTGCCTATGAAGCACTGTCCGCCAACAAACAGCGGAGATACCAAGGTAAGGGAAAACAGACGCACACAGCGGACGGTAAGCAAGCACAGGCAATAAATTATCGCCCGGTTTATTGAAGCCGGCGGCAACTGTAAGGACATTTTCCCGTTCCTCATCCGAATCTCCAGTTCTCTGCTCTGCCATCGGAACCCATACTGCGAAGGCTAATAGGTATGAAGATGGCACCATGAAAGTTCAGTTGTGCCGCTTCGATTGAGACCTCCTGTCGGGTCGCAGCGCGAGTCAGGTGCAGTGCATTCCAACACATCTTTGACTCGCTGCTCCATGGTACTGCGACCATGGAACCCTTGTTCAACGTCACTTGGTTAGTAGCTCGAGGCGTTGCGCAAATCCTCTGCTCCTTTCCGGTCTGACCTCAATTAGCGCATGCAAATTGCTCAGGATCGTGGATACGGTTTCTAGCGCGCTGAAAGTTGCAACGCCTAACTCCTCTCCAAACTGTGGACTGGGCAATTGTGGCTGAGGCGGATTGCTCATTAACTTTGCCTATCGATCTCATCGCTGTACTTCATCTAGCCTCAAACCCTCGACAAGTTATATGCGGCAGGAATAGCGCGAATGACACCTACCTGACGTTCAGTCGATGGTAGGCGGAGTTCCGCTCTGACTCTTGTGGAATGATGAGAGCCACTTGACTCTTGTCTCCCTCCTCCTCTCGATCCTCCTCTCTGATGCGCCTTTGATGCGCCTTTCGATCCTCTCCTACCACAAGATGCAGGGAAACAAGCACTGCAAAGAGATTGGAATTCTACACACAAACTTCAGGCTTCACTGGCTAGACAAGAGCTCGGACGAGATTCGCTGAGGTACCTCGATACTACATTGTACCCAGGGGCCCTGTTATGTCGTGGCAGTGTTTGTCTCGCTGGCAGCATGTTGACAATGCCCCAGAGACCTATGCCTTCTCGGGGACGGCACTCCTGGTCTCAAACCACTGTTCCCTACCAATCTGAACACATGTATTAGCTCGGATATCGATGCCCGTTGTTCCGCGGCTGCTCTGCGGGGTGCTCTCGTGTTCGATCTTAGTCGGCGCCCGCCGTTTCCAACGTTCCGCAACGGCTATCCGGGAATTGAAAGTTGACCTGGAGGTCTCGTTGCGCGGGAACTCGGCAATGCTGTGTGCCCACAGGACGCCAGCTCTGAATGCGCGCCGCGTACGCTTGGGATTACAGTCCCAATTCACTTTGCCGCCATCCTGAAACTTTCATATCTCGGGCTCATGGGCAGCTAGGGCCAATGATTGCCTCATCCGCATCAATGCCACCGTGCATCATGTGCGTTAACTGCGAAGCGGTACGGCATCCGTTATGGCCCTCGCTGTCATCCATTCACTGCTCGGTGTCCAAGGATTCCTACAAGCAGGGTAGCGACAGGAATTTCCTTCTCCATTACAACCAATCTTTCCAAGCAGCGTCTTGTGATGCCAGGACCGCATCGCCTTGCTGTATGCGTACTATCATCACCAGTCTCACTGGACCGAGTTTCCTCTCTGTTCGCCGGTCGGACATACCACCATCATCGTTGGAAGTGGGAACCGGTGCTGAGGGAGGCGAACCGGAATATGTACATGGACACTGTTGAGACGATGCGCTCGTTGTGTGCGAGCAGTTGATGGTGACTGTATGGAAGTGCTGATGACGAGCAAAACTGGCGGAAAGAACAAACTAGCTGTGCACTTGCAACCGAGTACTCGCGATCGAGCATAGTGCTGCATTGTCGCGACTTGACGATCAGAGCTGCCTTGACTTCCGTGGAAGAGATATTGAGTGGCGAGAGTCTTGCGTATTCACGTTAATCCAGTGTGTTCTCCGGGAGCGCTCGCCAATGGCACATTAAGCATCATATTGGGTTGCTTGATGCTGGGGGCAAGGGCGAGTGTATCGGCATCCTCTTCGTCCAAGGCACGGATGCCGATAGCCATGTTTACGATGCATAATGCAATTGGCGTAGAGCTTCGCCATTGTTGCCCATGCACCAACGTCAAACTTTACCGGATCTACTGTGTGCTGATCACCACCCTCGGGGAGGATTTTGGCGTCAATGCTTCACCATCAATGTTCAAGAATTCAGAATTGGCGCCAGGTTGCAAGGTCCGTGTAACAGTCCGGTAGGTGTTCCGAGTCTAGCGGTCGCAGGACTTGAGCATTGGCTCCAGCACATCAATGCGGGAGACTCTGTGTGCGAATGGCTCTGTGGCTGCTTATCAAGCACGTTGCACCCTGCACGGTGCTGCAGACGCGCTTGATGTCTCAACCAATCTGCTTGTCACCATAAAGACATTGATAAGATGCAACTTCACACTCGCAAACATGGACTTGATCATAGCTTATAGCAGTGTCGGAATCAGGCTGGGCTGTGACAGTGTTCTTGTACACGTACTGTGGAAATAGTGGAAGTTGACAATGCTCTTGGGGTTGCTCCTGTTCGCTTGGATACCAGGTATGTTGTAGAGCTCGTCGCTGATGGAGACGCCGCCCAGTACGCAGTCAGCAGCTACAGCCGAGGTGCTCCAGACCGCTTCTTTGAAAAAGGTCACAACCCCGCGCCTACAGGGTCGCTTTGAACACATTTCCAAAGCTCACACATTATCGCAGGTATATTGGTCGAGATAGGTGCACTGTCGTTTGTGCATACTATTGTACGACCAGATGGATCATCTGTATGAGCTCTTCGCCAAGGGAGGAACTGGCAATGGCCTACCCAGAGTGCCATATCTCTGCAAGCAAGAATATGACAGTCAATGCAGCTTCGCAGAGTACCCTAGTAAGCAGGGATTTGATAAAGCACGGTTTATTCAGCAAGACTTCGGCGAGCGTGATTCCATCGCCACTGCAGCTTTCCTCCAAACATGGTTATATTTCGGGCTTCTGAACCGTGTCCTGCGTCTCCCGATCATTGTTGATGACTTCGTGGATCGTTCTCAGGCAACCCCGGTGGTCACAACGGCCAAGAGCTGGCCCTCGTACCTGGATCGATGGTCAAGAAAAGTGGAGGCAAAATACGTGGATGAGATGTTGGCTGATATCGATGAAGCACGGTCACATGTTCTAGCCATGCTGCGTGCCGGGTCATCCTGTCCGTTGCCAGAGGAGGTTATCCTTTCGATCATGGTCCTTGGCTCTTCTCTTACCTGCGCCATTGCGTTGAAGATCCCGGCGTATCCTCCAGAAAGCCACACTTCAATTGACGAGTGGGGTGTTTCCTCTTTATTAACGAAGCGGTTGCTAAATGCTGGCTGGTGTATCAATGACGCCCACCGGCTGTTTCGTACGGTCACCACGCCCACCGCAATAGTGGCCTCGTCCATTCGAAGATGTGAAGTTATTTCGAGTGCTCAACACCAAGGATGCTCTCCAGATAAATGTATTGCCAGGAACTTCATCGAGGGCACATACAAAACAAAACATACTGAGCCCGCGTGCAGTTGCAAAACAGTCCCGGTGCCTATGGACGAAGTGAAAGAGACACTAGATCGCGGTGGTGTTCCAGTCATAATCTTCAGAGATAACACAAGTGGCGAAGGGGAAGTCCAACTGGAGGTTTCATCCGATCGGAAGACAAAGTATGTGGCTATCTCGCATGTCTGGGCCGATGGTTTAGGATGTACGGAGAATTCTTTGCCTTTATGTCAGCTTCGGCGCCTTCAAGGGCTATGCAATGAAATTTCCGCGGGCCCATCGAGCATAGCATTGAAAATACTTCGGAAGCCGGAAGGGCGAAATGCCCTCTGGATCGACACGCTCTGTGTACCACGGGAGAAGGCCCACCGTCGGCTGGCGATATCACGAATGAACGCCACATATGCGAAAGCACAGAAAGTGATAATACTGGATTCCGAGTTACTCTCTTTGGGTAAAGCGATCCCCGAGACACTCCTATTGCTGCGTATGATCGGCACAGGCTGGATGCGAAGGGTATGGACGATGCAGGAAGGAGCTTTGGGATCAAAGAATCTGCACGTTAGACTTCGAGACGGATTCTCGGACATTTCTGCTATCTTCGCCAAACTGCGCAAATCTCTGGAATCCACGAATCTCGCCACGACGATAGTCGACAGAGACGCCACAATCTTCTATGAAGAATTTGACAATCTTCGCAGAGCCCACAGCCAGAGCTACTGGCGTGACGGGGTTCCTGCCATCGCTGCATCATTGAGGATCCTCAATGGTCGCTCTACAAGTAAAGAAGGTGATGCATACATTTGCCTGGCGGGAATGATGGGCTTGAAAGCCGATATCATCAAGGATCTAGATGCAGCTCCGCTTCAAGATCGGACAATGATGATGCTGTCACAGCTGCACTATCTTCCGAAACACATCATATTTTCTCCTGGGACAAAGCTCACGGCCCAATACTACCGTTGGGCATGTTCCTCGTTTTGGACCTCGAAGTTTAGCTACAAGAATTGGGACGAAGTGGGTAAATTCTACGACGGGGTTGGACTTCGGGTAGAGTTTCAAGGCCTTGTGCTGGAGCCCTTGATTCTACCTCCTGAGTACATTGTTCTCCAATCTGTACACACCAAGATGTGGTTTAAGGCCACGTACGATACAGCTATGCGTTCGCAGCCGGGAGGGTCTGGCCCGCAGACGTACGGAGTCATTTTTCCTGAACGGAAGTTCCTCATCAAAGGCCTTGGAGGGTTCCAAGTTCCTGCAGCCTTGGTTTTGATCCCGCCCAGGAAGACCAGTTTGAAGGAAAAGTTTTCGGAAGCAAGAAATATTGTCCATTGCGAGTATGTTTGCCAGCTTGTGTTGTCCACACCAACGCCTTCTGACTTGAAACGGGTGGCGCCATATGGTAAAGCGAGGCGACCTTTTGGGACACAAGAGCCACCGGGAATGAGTATCGTATACACGCCACAAACATGGATCATTTCGTAGTTCGATAGAAGAGTTCGAGAAACATGACGGCTATAATAGGCATGAAACAATTTGCATCCTATAGTGTTTTTTTGGCAACCCAAAATTGCGCCTTATATGCATTCTGGGTCCAAGCCCTCTGATCATACCCTTAGAGGGCAGATTAGCCTCTAATCATTCTCCCTTCCAGCGTCACCTCCCCAAAATCCCCCTTTGGGTCCATAAACTCAAAACCTAACTTCTCCGCCAAATACAGAATCTCATTAACAAACAGTGCCCAAATGGAGATAAAGGAAAGAAATTCCCCAATCTCGGCATACAAGCCTATTTTGCAACTAAGTCATGAATATCTGCGGCCCCCATCATCACACAAAGCTTCAAGTAGAATAGTGTGGGCATCAGGCGCAATTATGCCCCTGCGCTGTGGCCTTTGATGTAAGAGAATATAGCAAAAAGGCGCAAAGGTTCTTAGTGTCACCACAGTTCGCCATGCGATCGACGAAAGATTCTGATGACCGATTCATTTTCAATCTCAATGGCTATTCGGATAGACTTAGAGGACGGTCTATACAAGCTGGTATTCCAAGTATAGCTAGTCCTGCTGTCTATAATCTTACTCCGGTGTACTGGATGTACCTGATGAGTGTCTGACATCCCACGCCGAAAATGAAGCATCGTCGTAAATAGCAGATCAACGACTTGTGTTGGCGGACAACTTAGGGCAGCGCAATGGCCTCAATCTCCACCTCGACGTTCTTAGGCAGCTGCTTGACAGCCACGCAGCTGCGGGCTGGTTTGTGAGTGAACCACTTTGCGTATTCCTCATTCATGCCCTATGACGCGCTCGTTAGTACATATCCTCAGAACGTGTACGTGTGTCTAGGCAAGTGATTCATCTCGGCCCCAAAACGCCCTTTTACATGAGATGATAGTGTCCAATTCGTGTTGCAAGACGGGGACACAGTATGGGTAAATGGCAAGCTTACAGCAAAGTTGCCCATATCGGTAAGGAAGATGTTGACCTTGACTACCTTCGCAATGGAGGAACCAGCCTCCTCAAGAATGGTCTGGAGTTGCTTGATACACGCCGCAGTCTTTTCTTGAATCGATCCTTCGACCAGGTTGCCCTGCGAATCGGCAGGAAGCTGACCGGAACAGTAGATGCTGGTTGGGGTCTTGACAGCGTGGGACTATACCAACCAATCATTAGTGCTGCCCTGATGGACTCGGTCAAGAGGGGGAGAAATGATATAATGGTAACTTACGTAGGGTCCAGCAGCTATGGTTGTCTTGTTAGCCCAGATGATGGGAAATGAGTCGACGGTCTGGGCTCTAACTTACCAGGCGCTGCGTTTTTCGCTACAATGGGCGTCAATGTTAGCCATTGTGATGCTTCCATGTTGTATGAGAAGAGGTAGTGGAAGCAAAAGTAAATATAGAGATGTCAGGTGGTTTCCAGCTGTTTGCTATTGTAAGGTGGACCACTGCTGACTCTACGAGAATCACTGAGTACCATCTTTGTTTATATCTTGTCCAATCGGCCTGTCAAGAAAGTGCGAGGTCGGTGCCTGTGTGGTCTCCGTCCAACGCTGCATGCAGGCTGTTCCAGTCGATGCAGGTACCGGCGAGCTCAAAGATCGGCATCAAGAACGCGCCTTTCACTGGCGAATCACAAAGCTCGAGGTAAAGGGGCTGTGGGCCTGTCTACTTCGGAGCGGACGAGGCTCTGTCTCGGAACAATTTGAGTTTACCCCGAGGTTTACGCCGACGACGCTTTCCGTTATCAGACCCAGTCTCTTGTACGTCTTCACATTACGTATCAACGTTCGATTCCGCAAGGCCTATACCCGTTTGCAGGCGTCTAGAGATAAGCACGGTGTCACTGATATGTGAGAGGTCGATAATGAAACTTTAACAGGATAAAACGAGTAATACAAACGTTGAAACTACCAACATGCAACATGCATCATAGCCGGATGATAGATACATGTATCAATAGGGACCAAGAGATTCAATGAGATGAAAGCACAATTGAAATTCGCCAGATGTTGACGGCTCTGAGATCAATACGCCTAATTCTGCTTGCTTAGCTTTCCCCTCGCCTGTCCATCTAACGAGACCCCCTCCCCCATAACAGATAGTTCGGCTCCTGAAAGCTGCAATCGAATGTTTCCGCAGAAGACTAACTTTCACACGAATAACATCCAAACCATTCGTTTCCAGAACGGGAACGCAGCGATTTTTTCCCGTCGGTCATTGATTTCATCCCAGTTATGCACCGCCCGATGGGTATCAACATCAATCTTAGCGATCGTCAGAAGCCCTTGGCGATGCCAGATGAGACCGCAGGTAAAGAAAAACAACACAACTGGCAAGCCAAGGTAATCCTCAAAGAACCCCTCGGCCGTACCCATGCCATGCTCTCCAGGTGGTGCGACGATGGCTGTGTAAAACTATTTGCTTGTCAGTGCGTGGGTTAGGAAGAAGGGCACATGGGAGACTCTTACCTGAGCAGCTAAAGCAAGGATGATGAGAATCAGACCCAGCCATGAACCGTAGATGCCCCCAGCGGCTTTGAATGGAATCTCGTCGAGGGCGTGCCCCTGGTGCTTCCATGCTTGGCGGAAGCGAATGTGAGCGAAGCAGATCGACCCCCATATAAGGAAGGTGGAGAGACCGGAGATGGCTTGGAGCCACTCGAAGACGACAGGGCCTTTGGCGTCCAAGTTGACAAAGGCAATCAGACTGAAGAAGAAGATGGTTCCCACCGAGATAACAGGTCTGCCGCTCTTGTCAATGTAGGTGAAGACCTTGGGGGCGTAGCCTTGCTGAGCCAGAGCAGTCAATGTTCGGGAGCCTCCAAACACGGTAGCGACACCAATGGACAGGACGGAGACGAGGATAATGGCATTCATAAAGTGGTCAAGTCCATTCAGTCCCGCGTACTTGGCGATCAGCACAAAAGGAGATGTCTTGGCGTCGGAGTAGGCGCTGGTAGAAAGCAGAGAAGGATCGTCGCTTTTGATGAGAAGACCAATGAGGAAGAGGCCAAGGATATAAAAGATGCTGATACGCCAGAAGACCTGCTTGATGGCGCCGGGCATAGAGAGGGCGGGGTTCTTTGCCTCAGCAGCAGCAAATCCAACGAGCTCCGTGCCGGAGAAGGAGAAGGCGGCCGTAACGAAGACAGAGCAGAAGCCCTTGAAGCCGTTCTTGAAAGCCCCAGGTGACTCATGCCACAGACGAGCGCCCCAGTAGTGATCGTACTGACCGCTTGATGGGCCGCCGCCGCAAACGAGGACAATGGCGATGATAAGGAAGATGACGACGGAGCTCAGTTTCAGAAGGGAGGCCCAGAATTCTTCCTCAGCATAGCCGATGGCGCCAAAGATGTTGACAATCATGACAAGAGCGAGGAATACAGCGATCCAGACCCCGGGATTTGTATTCATGTCCCAGAATTGCATGGTGATGGCGCAGACGGTAAGTTCAAGGGCGAAAGTCGACGTGTTGGAGACGACATAGTTCCAGCCAACGGCAAAGCCCCATGAGGGATCGATAAACCGAGTCGCGTAAGTGTAGGGTCCTCCGGAAATAGGATACATAATGCAGAGTTCACCAAGCGCTTGGACTGCGACACATGATCACATATTAGCTTGAAGATTACCTTTAGCAAAGGATAGAGACAGACAGGATGGACCGTGGATCCATTTGGAGTCTTCGATGACACATGACAACGGAACGGTAGGAAATGATGGACGTACCGACGTTGAAAACCATAACTCCGACGATGATAAAGTCAATCAAGAGCGACGCGGGTCCCTGTGATTGCTCTGTTAGTTGCCAACCATAACAGAAACAGGAGCAATAACATCACATACGCCCTTGTGCAGAGCCGAGCCGCAGCCGACAAAGAACCCAGAACCAATGGAGCCGCCAATCGCAATCATCTGAACATGACGCCGCTTCATAGGCCGGTCAAACTCAGCAATTCCGTTGCCATAGTCTCGCTTCTTGAACGACTCCAGGGTCAGACCGGCTTGAGTCCACTTGCTGAGCGGCTCCCGAGGAGGAGCTGGGTAGGTATAAGAGGATGCGAGATGGATCTCCTTCCAGTCCACCGGCGGCTCGTTCATGGGTTTGGCTCGACCATCTTCTAACTCCATGCTTGTCGGCTTGTCTAACATTGCGTGCCTCGCTTTGATTTTGTTCTGGTGATGGTGAGAAGGCTGATGGATATAGCCTTTCAGTAGTTCCGCGTGGGGTTGGTGGTTGGCAGTACTCCCACGGCTCTGGAGACTTCAACGTATCTTAACACAGTCCCAAAATGGAATAGGTGATGGGAAAAATTGAATGAAAGAATATCTTTCCTGGCCGACAAGACAAGAGTCGGAAGGAAGTAGAAGCAATGGGGGAGGAGGGCGCGTTTATAGGCAACCAGCCCGTAGCTACGCTCGCATCTCGATACTCTTCGAAAGCTTGAGACCCGGTATCACTGGCAGATAAGCAGGGCAAAGGGACATGGAGATTCCATTTGCCAACCCTATCTTTATCACCCCTATCTTACCTTCCCGCCAGCTTAGTTCAGGCAAAAGCTCCTCCCCGCATTATTCCTAATCTTCCCCAGAAGTTGCTTGAGCATGGATCCGCAAAGCGAGTTATGATTGGGGGTGACTGGGAAGGCAGACGATCATCGGGGTGTGAACCCCGATGGTGGTTGGACCGCAAACTGTCACAACACTCCGAGACAGTACTCCGAGCCAAGGCTGCCTAAGCCGAAAGCTAAACGTGTGGGCTACATCAGGATAGCTTATCTATCTTATTGCTTGCGAGCTAAAAGCCAGTCCTAGGTTCCAGATCCAGTGTACTCCCTTTGCTTGCTGACTTCAGACGTGCTGATTGACACTATGTGACAACATAGAGTGACAGTGTAGACAGACCTAGCAGAGGAGCACAGTATGCAAGAGCAATGAACGGCATATTGTGTTGGATATAGTAATGTTATTCTCCAGCAGGAGACCATTATAAGAGTATAACTGCCTACGATGCATCGTTGATTTTTTACATGTTAAATGTGCCCCAAGTGTTATAAATGCCCGGCATCTACAACAGTAGAATGTATGTAGAAATTTACATGAAACATGCCAGAATAGACTCCAATCCTAAGTGTGCCCAGATCATCCTGATCAAGCTTTGTCCGCACAATAGAAATCATTTACCATTGGTACAACAGCCATTGGTCGCCTCGATGCTCACTTGGGTGTTCAACTTGGGTGTCTGCGACGTATCGAGTCGGCAGAAGCAGGATGCCTCAACCGGCACATCTGCTCCGGCCCGAGCAAGCACGAGTAAAGACTCGATAATAGACGCTTCCTCCCTCCTGTCAAGGCGAACGAGACACTCGTAGTAGCCCTGTAGAGCCCATACATTGTTGGGATGGCGGCGCGCCCTGATCAGTGTGTTGTCGAAACCAAGGTCAGCCCTGTACACAGCCGCAGCCTTTTCCACGTGTCCCTGCTCCAGCATCAGAGCAGCGTACGCGTGGCGGGGTGGCTGCATCCAGGGCCATGGCTCGTTATAGGGAAGGGAGTCGTCGAGTTTGATGCAATCGCGCAGGCTCTGGAAGGCATCGTCGTACTCGCCTCGTCGATATTGGATCTCGCCGTCGAGCATCTTGGTGGCCACGGCCATGATTTCCTTAGCCGTACTCAGGTAGGCTCGCCGGGTTGATGGCACGTCGGCGGCAGCTTTCAAGAAGGTCTCGCGCTGCTCCTCAGCAGCCTTGACATTGCCGCTAGCGGCGTGGGCCACACCCTTGGCGTAGTGAAACATCGCCGTGGTGAAGGCGAACAGCTTCTGATCCTGAGGGAGTGGTAGGTCAATGATATCCTGCCACATGCCGAAGCGGATCATGACGTGGGCGCGAACCGAGATGAAGTGCTCCATCCAGTCGGCCATTGGCGGGGACTCAATACGTAGAAGCTCCTCGGGCAGGGTTGATTCGAGGCGGTCGACGGTTTCCAGAGCTGTCTTGGACTGGCCAGCCATCATGGCTGCGTAGATGAGAGCATGGTAGTTGTGCAGGCGATAGAAGGTATAGAAATTCAGAGCGCCGTTTCGCTTGTAGTAGAGCTCGTCGGCTTTTGTAGCAGCCCGGTTGGACGCGATGGAGCGGCGCCAGTCGCCAATTTGGGCGTCTAGGTGGGTAGGCATATGAAGGGCGTGGCCGCTGTGTGGCATGAGTGGGCGCAGTCGGTCGGCGTGTATAATGCCCTGCTCCGGATGGGGCGACATCTCAATATAGTGTACATAGAGATGTAGCAGGCCCGCGTGGTCCCAGGCGCCCTGAACGTGCTGAAATGTATCCTCCAGGACCTTTTGGATCTGGCCGGTGCGCGCGTATGGCTGTGGCTTGCCAGTAAAGAGGTTCCACAGGTCCCAGTTGTTCAGCTGCATCATGGAATCAGCGTAGAGGCTGGCAACCTCGAGATCGTCCTTATGGTTGACGTAGACCTTTGCCATGGCATCGGCATAGTTCTTATTTTGTAGCTCGAGTGTTTCGAGGTCAGCATCCTTGTTCTCGAACCGGTACATGATGGCGTCGAGTAGCTCCCGCTCCAGGTCGATCACATCGTTGCTTTGCGCCAGTTCACAGCCCTTGCGAAGCGCATGATGACCTCGGCTCACGCAACTTGCAAGATCTTTGGCATCGAATCGCTTCCAGGGCTTGTTGTAGTTGGGTCCCAGCGAGTAGGCCAGGCCCCAGTAGGCCATGACGCAGTTGACGTCGTGCGCAATAGCCTGTCGGAAGCAGTAGTTGCCCTCGTCATGGTTGAATGTGTAGACCCAGGCGAGGCCCCGGTCGAACCAGATCTGTGCTTCCTCTGATGAAGTTGTCACCTTGCGGCTGTATGTTCCAAGATCGTAGTACTCCTCCTTTGTCGATACGGGTGCAATGTCGATCCACGCGGTCTGGCCCATCTTGCCTGTGCGTGCGATACAATGTCGGGTTAGTTATGAGGTGAGCTCAAGGGTGGAAGTGAGTAAATGAAGTGTGTCAGGACTCTGAGGAATTTGTGGGGTTGGAGCTGAAGTTATATGAGAATTGCAAATGGCCATGGCCAGGAGCTTTCATCCAGCAAAGTAGCAGCATTCTTATCTGGAGGTATTCCGCCACAATGTTCAAAGGCCGCCATCATACCGCAAGCTCACGCCACGATGCCGCCAGCCAGCGACCATTTTCTTGATTTTGTGGAGTACTGGTTTCAACTACTCCGGTCATTACGCCGAACGCCCCGACGAGGCTGCAATCTTGCCCCACTTCGGAGTCGACCCTGTTTACCTAGGTAGGTATAGCCTGGTGGATAGTACCCTTGCATGCATAGTGCTTTTCCAATCCATTGGTCTACTGGCTAACAGTTGAGATAGCCGAAGAGTGTCCACCGTAATGGGGTCACAGTTCCCCGCGGTAGAAACGCGAACAGGTTATGATCGGCGCCTTCGGGGTCTTCGCGCTGCTGGGCGGACCACCCCTTGCGTAAGTACTAGACCTGGTGTTCCCCGAGGTGGCCAGTCATCCAACCTTTGGAGGATGATAACATGGTAAACATACTACCAGAAGGCAGATAAGAGAATTAGTGACGATATAAAAAATTGTCTTGCATATGACCAAGTCCAGTTGTGAATCCAGAACAACCTTTGTCGTTGCTGCACTTACCCTGATTCACAGCGGTTAATATCCCAGCCAAACATACAGCATCAGATTTATCCTCTCACAATGGGTTCCATGTCGGAATCACTGGACCAGCAGGCCGTGGCCAAGTATCACCTATCGAGACGAGGTGCATACAACTCGTGCTTTCGCGATGTCTGGGGACCACGCGAGAAGTTTGGCCTCAACATATACTCTCCCACCCACCCAGAAGGCTTGTAAGTCACCGCAGCAGAAGACAAACACAATGACAGTGCACGGTCAACTCACCATATGGTTGCTTCTAATCACAGGATCCTCTTGCGCCTGGCTGAAAATAGTCTATTACACAAGGACATTGCCGAATTCTTCCGTGAACAGGTAATAACGACCTCATCCCGGCAGAATCTTTGCACAGCGAAAATAAGAAACACGCTCTCAGCTCACCATTTCTCCTATCTTCGCAGTTGACCATTCTCCCCACCGAGCACCTCACATACAGCACAGGTCCCCGCGGCTCGTTCCGCCTTCGCAAAACCCTGGCCCGATACCTTGAGAAAGAGTTCGAGTCGACCACCCCCATCACAGTCGAGGACCTGTTCATTACTCCTGGCCTGACTAGTGCCATCGACTCTGTCGTGTTTGCCCTCTGCGACCAAGGCGAGGGCGTCATGGTCCCAGAGCCGTTATACAATGGCTTCAAGATTGACATTACGCACCGAGCTGACGCGAACATCGTCAGCGTTCGCTACGAAGAGTTGGATGGCTACACGGGTTTTGACGACATGTTCAAGCCCGAATTTACACGCAAGGCGCTCGAGTCAGCCTTGACCAGATCACGGGCTCAGGGTATCAATGCTCGAGCTGTGCTCGTTTCCAAGTGAGTCCCGTCCCTTCTCGAGCGATGAAGAATTTTTAAAAGGCCTCTCGGAACCCAGTGCTGACGGCAGATTGCTTATAGCCCACACAACCCTCTGGGACGGTGCTACGTACGTGAATCCCAGTCCACCCCGCGGAGCTAGAGAATATTCATGTCTACATGCTAACTTTGTCTCCAGCCGTCCGAGACTATGACGGAGTTTATCAAGTTCTGCGCCGCCAATGACCTTCACTTCATCTCGGACGAGATCTACGCGAAGTCGGTCTTTGAGAACCCCGCCATCCCCGCTGAGTGCCAGAAGTTCACTTCGGCGCTATCTCTCGACTGGCAGCGCTTGATCTCTCCGATGTGCTTCCATGTCCTCTACGGTGCCAGCAAAGACTTTTGTGCCAATGGCCTGCGACTCGGTGTCGTATACACGAAGAACACCGGCGTCTTAGCATCTATGTCCAGCATTGGGTAAGTCGGCGACGGAGTGCTCGACGATGTTACTTGTTGCTTGTTTTCCTAACACGATGTCGTGGCAGTGCTTTCTCGTGGGCCCCTCATGCTCTTCAAGACGTCTGGGCCGCCATGTTGGACGACCACGAGTGGCGGAGACGAATGCACAAGAAGAACATTACGCTCATGAAAGAAAATTACGAGATCATCACCAAATTCATGCGTGAGCACGACATTGGGTACTATGAGATGTAAGCACTGGTCAAGACTCCCAAAATCTACTCCGCAAAAGTAGCACTGCTAAGTAGAATAATTCCAGGAACGCCGGTTTGTACATCTGGGCAGACTTTCGACGCTTCCTTTTCCCTCAGACCGAGCGGGCTGGAGCCAATTTCAGCACACTGAAAGTGGGCGGTCCACAGGCACAAACATTCGAGAAGCGAGAATTGCGCATCGCCGACATCTGTATCGACAAGGGTGTCATGATATCCCCGGGAACCTCCTACATGTCAAGCGAGTATGGCTGGTTCCGTATCACATTCACGGCCGAGAAGTCACTGCTAGAAGAGGGCCTCCGACGGATCTGGAAGGCTCTGCAAGATCCGGAAGTAGCGGGCTGGAGATAGGCTGATCGAGAATTGTTTCGGACACCAGGGATGTATCTTATATTGGCTTTTCGCAAGGTTACAAAGATATGCGCAGGATAGCAATGTCGAGCCACGCCTCTCAACCGCAGATGCACACGAGTGAATTACACTGTTCTGGGATAAAGTTCAACCCTTCAGACCCCTCTGGATACCATCCTCAGCCTCGTTCACGGGATATCATGAACAGTAGATGTTAGAGACGAGTATATGGAGCGTTGGCAGAATACATATAGCTAGTGAAAATGACGTGAGCTGGGGTTATCTATACTATTCGCAATGACGTTGAAATGCTCCTTTGAGAACAAAACTTGATAATCATACGAGACTTGATGTGAACGCTATCTAAACGCCGGTATCATGATCATATCTTTGCTAACATGCAACAACGACGGAGGTACGGTACAGCAGAAGACCGTGATTGTTTGTCCTCATCGCTGAGGCTGAATGATGGGAAGACCCTCTTGTTGGCAACCTCGGGGTCGTGAGCTGGAGCATCAGACGTTTCCGTCATTGGAGGTGCAGATGTGACAATGTCCTGTCCAATCTTCCAACCCCGTAGCAACCACAAACACGCGGCGGCGGCAATGTACGTGAATCCGGTAAACAGTTCGGTTCCCAGATATGAATCGGTATCTTTGACGATAGACAGGGCAATCCCCTCACTAAATATGGAAGGAATGACAAGCGTGAGCCACAGCAGGCTTAGGGCGGAGGAAGCGTCTTGAAGCCCTACGACCTCGGCCACGACAGGCGCAATAGTGGCCCAAAAGGTCCCGGCAAAAAGCCCCTCAATTGTGGCAAAGGTAATAAGGACACCATAGCAGCGGGAAGGCACCCACAGGCCGAGGGGGAATATGCCTGCGAGAAAGGTCATTGACGCGGCCATATTGATGCGACCAGCCCGGTCACTAAAGTATCCAGCCAATGGCCGGCCAACCGCCTGTCCGAGGTTGAAGACGGCACTGCTGACGGAAGCCTGAGAAGAATTTAGGCCAATGTGATTGGCGTAGTTGGCCAGGCTGAAGATGAGGATGAAGTAGCCCAACATCGTTAAGACACTGAACCCAATGACGAGGCAGTACTCCAACCTTTTGAAGAGGGCAATATGAAAGGCGCGTTGAGTAGAACCGATAGCTGCGTGACGATCTCGAATGACAATAACGCAAGCCGTGTTGACCACAAAGGCGATGATGCCTAGGGTGCGAAACGCCCAGGCCAGCCCTATTGTACGTATCATGGCGCCCGTCGCCAAAGAATACACTGCGCCGCCAATGGCTGCACCGCTGACAGCCACGCCGCTGGCCAGCGACCGCTTCGATGTGAACCATTGCGGGACAACAGCGGCTGTGGGGATGAAGAGAAGTCCTAGGCCAAAGCCGAACAGGACTCCCTGCGTCAACAAGATGTGCCAGATGCGCGAGGCAAAGCTTGCACAGATGAGACTAACCGCCTCGCATACGGCGCCGGCGAACATGGTCGGCCGGATGCCGTACTTGCGCGTCGCGATGGTGGTGATGGGAGAGATGAGAAAGAGGCAGCCTATACTGAGGCCGCCGACAAATGCGTATTCAAGCGACGTCGTGCCGGGAAAAGTGTTTTCCTTGAGATAATGTGCGAGGAAGACGGCGTATGCAGAACTGAACCCCCAGGAGTGCATGTTGACAATGGCTGCGGCGACGGTGCAAATCCAGCCGTAGCCGCCGTCGGGCGGTGGCTCTGGATTCGTCATGAGGTTCTCGCGAGGCGGTGGTCTCGTGCGGATCTGTATAGGTGAATATCAAAAATGCCGGCTGCTAGTTGTGAACAACATGCAAGTTGACCATTACTGGAAGGGGAGCATTGATATAGATAGAGAGAAAATGCACGGTATCGGATTGCAAGAGGTCCGATATAAACCCAAAAAGCCAATAATGGTGGCATTATATTTCCCCAGGAAGTATATTTCACATTCTGCAATGAGTGGGTTCGTGCACACTGAAACCTGGTATGGCTAGCATCAGTAATAGGGTCTACTGTGTGCCGGTGCCCCGACTCAGGTAATGTCCACAGATGGCTCTTCATGCACCGATAATACCAGGTAGGTGAGCAGAATTCTCCACTGCTTTCCGTAGATTTGGGTAGCGGGAGCGCTCTGTTCCCGAAATAGGGTTGGTTTCATTCGGAATCTTTCCATTTGTCTACTCCGGGCACCAGACCTAAGAGAGTAAGGAGCTCGGCTCGGAGTGTTGGTGACCCAACCCAATTGAGAACTGTAGCTTCTCTCCATTACCAGAGGCCTCGAAACACGCGTTTTCGCCGAGGCAAATCTGGGAGATAAGGGTCCAGTTTCAGGAGTCGAACAAGCCAGTCACGCGCAAGACTCGAATTGATCTTTGCTGGGTAGTTGCAACGTCATTTGAATGGATCTTTATGGGTCGAGAAGACGAAGTAGAAGGAGCGCCCCGCTCGGGGATAGGAAGACGGAGACATATAATAAGTCTCCGCGGCTAATCTCCACATGGAATATTTCGCTCCGCGGCTCATCCCTGTATCTGACAGTGTTAGCGAGCTACGTAGGCATAGCAGGATAGAGATTCATTAGTGATGGCTGGTCTCGGTTCCAACAAATAAAGATTGAATGTGGTCGCTGTTGGGGACGTGACACCGATATGCGGATCATTTCCATGGGCTACACGGTCATGGACATTTTCCAACACGGTGCTAATAATTTGAGAGGCGTAGATAGCACTAGACGAATGCAAAGACATTCTCTTCAATGACAAGGGTATCTGGAGTCCAGGACGGTATGCATGAGTACAAGGCTGGTCACCGACATGTAGCCAAAAAAGGCTTGCTTACCCCTTCTCGAATCCCACGTCGGTCGATATACCTACTAGGCAGGCAGATCTCAATTTGCGAGAAATGGATGATCCGCTAGATTGAGCCAAAAGTTGAGCTCAAAGTCCTGCCCGTTGAACCTCTCCCAGGGATCCCAAAAATCTGGGGCAATGGCTGGTCCAAGCTGTGGATCTACGAAGGACTGTTGATAATCATGCGGTTGCTCTTGCTGTTGCTGCTGCATCGTGACTGGTGCCATGGCCGAGGTGTATGAGATGGCGAATAGCCGATTGAGTAGGCTCTGAATCGTCTTGGTAGCTCGTGAGAGGAGCGCGTAATTGGGATGCTCAACATAGACGAGCGTGCCTCTTTCGACTTCAGCAACTAGGATGCTCAGGTCTTGAAAGACTTTGGGAACGCTTTCTTGTAGGACAGAAGGCAGGGTCGGCCGGCTGATGAGCGTCAGGCAGAGAACGCCAGCAGCAGCGAGTCCATAGTACACAACCTAGTAACGTCACGTAAGTAAGCAGATGATATTATATCAGGGGCTCTTCATACCTACCTTCCAAACAAGGGATGTACCGGAGTTCACCAGTTGGTCCTTTAGCATGACTGCTTCAACAACAAGAGCCAACATATCCACTGAGAGACCTAGCAGCTGCGGATCTGGTTCTGACGTCTGACGAAGGAGTGCACTTCGCAGAAGAAAGTGAGTGTGTAGGTAGTTTAGTTTGGCTCCAACCATGAAGTCTCGCTCAAGTGGCCGCCGGTGGCATGACTTGAGATTGCAGTCGAGGCGATAAGACGGCGGAAGGCTGGACCAGTGAGCTTCAATGTCGTCATAAATCAATCTATGTGAATTGTGCATTAGCAAATCGTCTTGGTTTCTGTCTAAGCGGCTGGCGAGTTAAGAAACGGGGAGACGGGACTGACTTGGCTTCTCGCGATCTTATTTCCGTATCATCCAGATTAAACAGACCTAAGATTCTTTCCTTGAGAACAGCACATATAAGGAACCACCGACTATCAGCGACATAGTCGAAAGCTTTAGTCGGTCCAAAAACATCCGCCGTCGCCTTTGAGACTTGTCCAGCTAGGCAAACGATGTTGTTTGGATGGCAAAATTTCCGCAAAATCCGTGGAGGCCGCCCCAGAAAGATGGAAACATTCTTATCCGCCGAGTACGCGCGGCTAAGTGCCGTCCGCCGGAGGGTCAGAAGGAAGGTCGGGCAGTCATCTGAGCCTATCTCCTGGTGATATCCAAGAGCATACAGCGAGCTGGCTACATCTCCAAGCTTCCGCCAAGATCGATAGCCTGTACAATCAGTGTCAGCCGGATTCAAGGACAATGCAGAGGGTGGCATAGACAAGGGTTGGATAGCGGACAGAACAAACTTTGATCACCATCTATCTGGGTATGTGATATAAAATTCTCGTACTGGAGAAATAGCTGGAAGTCGTTGAGGCAGTCGAGAGAAAGAGCCAAATCTAGGCAACGGTCTGAAAAGTTTAGAGACAGTCTCTGAAGCTTGCAACGCTGGCTTTGGCTGTCGTATAGAGGTTCAAAATAGGCCACGTCCGTGGTAGCCCGACATAAAGCTGTGAGGAACAGCCCGAGAGTCTCCCATCGGGCGCCTGGGGAGGTCAGGTTACGCCGATAGTCATCGAGTGTAGTCGACGCAATTGTCATGACTTTGCGACGGGACTGCGCAAAAAGCGACTGTGAGATTGCCCTCGCTGGGGTGTACGTCTTGTTAAATCCGGTGAGTGCTGCCACTGTCGCTCTAATGCAGCATTCGGTCACATCTGCAGCCAAGGCAAGATTTGCGCCCTTGTTGATCCAGCCCTGGACAAGGTCGGCGTACCTGGCGAGCGGCGCCGGCAGCCTGCCCAGCTCCATAATGAAACGTGCTCCCGCATCAATGTCATCCTCGTCGACGGTGGGTTCTTGCTCTGTCGGCGGGCCAGTATCAAGCGGCGGGGCAGATCCAGGCTCAGTTGGCTGTTGCGGCGACGAACCAGTCGGATGGTGAAGTTCCGGGTAGATGCTCTCAAGCCGTACTTGGTTGAATAATGTGGTGTGACTGGACGGCCCCAGATATCCGGGGTTAGGGTAGTGGATGGGCCGTGTATGGTAGTGATGCTGGTGATGATACGGCGGATGTGGATCCCAGCTTTGCCCCGTATCACCTACAGGGCGCCACCCGACGCCATTACCATTGCCATCAATAACTTCGCTCTCCTGTGTCTGCGATGTGTCTGATGTCAGGCCTGCTTCGGCCGAGCTCGCTGGCACGACAACTTGGGTAGACGTAGCAGCGGGAGTAGTCGAGGGGCACTGCCGCTGGCGCCTCGCGGCGGACCTCTTGAAAGGTCTGGGCCTGTACGTGCAGCTGTCGGGCTCACCTCTTTCGAGGCACCGCCGGCAGACAGGTCGGGCGTGGTCGCATGCTAGCTTTTGCGTGCGGCAGGGTTCGCAGGCTGGTTGTTTCTTGAGCATCCCTCAGTCGGAGTAACCTTCTTACTCTGCACGCGTCTCTTTCTCAGGCCCCGATTTAGGGGTGTTGGGCAAGGTGCATGGAATTGCCTCGATGGATCCAACTCCAGTGGCTCAGCCCCGAGTACTGCAAAATTTCGGCGTAGGAAGACAAAATTGTTGAACGATTTCGGGATAAACTTTGGAGTCAAGGGAAGCTGGAAGTGGGTTATAACCGTGCCAAGGACTTGGTTAGAGGGACCGGACCTACCCCTCCCTAGTTAGCGACCGCATTCCGCGGCGCTACACTTGCTTTCTAAGCAAGTTGCCTGTCGGTAAGCCATATCACGCTGCAGTAGATCTACAGTAGAATAGCTACGGTAGATGTACGGTAGATATATTTCTACCGTATACAAGTAGATACAGTATAGTAGTACTAGATAGCAGCTTATACTTTAACCAGATATAAAAAGCTATGAGTTCCTTCGGTTAATTCTCAGTAGTATTCCATTAAATTTGATAAGAAATAGTACCTAAACCTAACCTTCAGGCACTTTATAAAAGGAGGAAAACGCTTCATACAAAACGAATTATCATGATCACCCATGACGTATTGCAAAAGCGATGGCCAAACTGTTCTCATCAAGAATTTTTGCCGGTTTCTTTCTTGTTCCTAATTGTCCTGCGAATAGTGGTCCCGAAACTACCACACATTTATCAGGCCAGAAACTGGTGCGGAGATGGCTGAAGAAGTGAGCCGTGGACCAGCCGCCATATCCGCAACAAAGCCGATTGGATTTTGCCGGGCCTCTCCCTTATTGCCATACACCTTTACCCAGGGTCTTTGAAAACAGCATGTCAATATATCATGCCATCCTTTTACTGTTCTGCGTGCGCTGCGGATGACCTAAGTGACCAGAGAAGAATGTTTTCTCAACCTGATACACTGAGGCCGGGCCTCGCCTGCGATTTATCTCAGAAAGCGAGTTCAGAGCATGCTGAATATCCCCCGCTACCCAAGGATCTACCGGACCATGAACTGCCTTATATTCTGCCAGCGGAAGTGGCGCGAAGGGATGGAAAGAAAGATCCTGCTTTGTGTAAGAACGCACCCTGCTTGTCTTCGGTGGTAAGCCTTTGCCTGAAGCTGAGCATTGTCTTTCAATCAGGGCTTGTCATAGACGAGATTGTCTATGATTGTACCAGTTTCGTGGACAGGCATCCTGGTGGTGACGCCGTCATAAAGAATTTCGCTGGCAAGGACTGCTCATGTGAGTCCAAGATTACTTTTATAATATGCTATTCAATGACCCACGGGACGTAGGGCAATTCCACAAGATTCACAACCTGCAAAAGATACAAAACTGGCTTCCTTATTTGCGTGTGGGTAGGACGAAGGGTGTACGGAACCCATACCCAGAGCCCAAAGCTGGTTTCAGAAAGGGTTTCTGACAATAACCCGTTCATTCCTATGAGATCTCGTTGACGTCAAGAGCAAAGGCGCCGTTTATGGAGGTGGAACACGGGACACTCAGCACAGCGCCAACCTGCAACCAAGCATGTCGAAACATGCTTGGGTGAACTGCCCTGGTTCTAGTCGTTCGAGGTGATCCCATAGGTGGGCTGCCTAGAACCTGTCCTGTTCGAGGTCACTGCCAAATGGGCTATTGTGGTCAACTAAGTAGACGCCTGTGTGGTATCGACTTTGAGAGAGCTTCAGAGAGTCGGCTCCCTGGATTGTCATTGCAGCAATGCTTGGGCGAGGGCCGTAGAGGTGATGCCGGGTATGGCGAGTTGGCCTGGCAGCCCCTAGGACACAGGAATTAGGCTAGGGCTTGGTGCGAAAAATGATAGTGGGTTATCACCAACACTTCTCTCCTTTCTATCTTCCTTCACACCTCGGCTTTTTTACTATTACTGTAAAATTTAGTGTAGAGAGGAAGGCCGTCTTCTCGCATAGTGATATCTCTTACAGAATCTAGTATATAGCTGATATATTTGTCGATATAGCTTATGTACTGAAGTAGGTGTGATGTTAGGGGATAACCCGCCATCGTTTTTCGCGGGGAGCCCTAAGTAGGCTACTCCTCCGGGCTAGGCTTCAGTTTGAGGGGTTTCCTTACAGCCACCATCTTAGAAATTGTGGGGTGTAAGCGGGGGACACTGCGGGGGATCATTCTGCAACTCCAAGCATGGTTTAGTCCTTCAAGCCCGGCGAGATCCCGACCTTTTCCACTGGTCTTCCCACCTCGATGCCACTTCTTACCATTTGACTCAAGGTTGATCTGAAAGCCGCTCTTCCCATCCTTTCCGACCTTCCACATCCGACGTGTGCGACACTGCAATGGGAGATCAGGGTGACCTCCAGACTCCACCCTCCGCTGCCGTCGAAGCTGGCGTGAGACGTCGAGCGAAACGGGCGTGCGAGCCCTGCAAGCTCCGGAAAAGAAAGTGCAACGGCTGTGAACCTTGCAATGCATGTATACGCTACGACTATGAATGCTACTTTCCTCAGCCTCGCCGAAAGAAGTCGGCAAAGCTCAGCAACCATGGTGTTCAACACCTTGCGGCCGCGTCACGGTCTCTTCAGTCTGTAAATGCCAGTGCTGGCCCCATCTCACCGACGAATCTCAGATCAGGCAATCACGATGAACGCTCCATGGAAGCCAACTCAGGAGTGCTCTTTCCCCACGTCCTTGGACTCAAGCTCAATCCCTCCAATGCCCCGAAAGTGCAGGGCTTTGGCTGGAATCTAGGCATCCATTATCAACACCCCCGGTCCGAAAAAAGTATGGTCTGGATCATATCCAAAGAGGAATGGCAAAGCCTGTTCGATGTCTACCTCCAGAAGATACACTGCGTGTACGGTTTCCTTGACGCTCGTATCGTCTTGTCCAAGAGTTCACGGAGGTGGGAGGATCCTTGTGCCACCAATGCTTACGACCACGTATTGTGTGGCATTGCAGCGTTGGCCTGCTTTTTCTGCCCTGAAAGGACCGATGATCGAGAACGTCTTCTCGTCGAATGTGCAAAGGACATCTTGGACTCGACGAGTCTGGTCAGAGATCCAACCATTCATGATGCACAGGCATGGTTGTTGAGGACTCTCTACTTGAGATGCAACAATCCTCCTCATGCGGCATGGGTGGCAAGCTGCACGACCATGCACATTATCGAAGCGACTGGCTTGCACCATGAATCCACAGACGTGTCATTGGTCTATACCGACATAAGTACCACGGACATTGACGTCGAACGCAAGAGGAGGACTTTCTGGCTCGCCAAGCTGCTTAACACGTGGATCAGTTTCGAATACGGACGGTCCAGAGTTGTACCGCAACGCGCATCATGTCAGCTTCCATCACCAATCCCTGAGGATTTTACAACAGACCTTATATCCTTGTTCATGGTATCAGAAATCCTCGACCCGGACAAGATTGGAGAGCCGACCGATTTGGAAGAGGCTCTTTTACGAACAGAGGATTTTAGCTTTGATCTCGACCCCCTGGTGCTGTCTCAGAGCAACCTATGCTTCACATTCTACAGACGCCTCAGGCAAATTACACCCAATGTCAAACCTAACATTCTGGAAAAAGTGATTGCAGTCGGACGCAAAGGCCTGGAAGCCTCACTCCGAGCAACCCGAGCCGGATCCCCGTGGTGGCACGTATCCAATGTGCCATTTCAATTTGCTTGTATATTGCTTGCGATGGACACCAAAGAGTCTCTTATGCACATTCAACAAGCCATTTCCACCTTGAGGATCGTGGCGGACAACTTCAAAACTCCCATAGTCCAAAAAGCACTTTCCACGGTCGAGTCATTAATTCAATTCTCCCAAAAACGCAAGGAACAGGACAATAGGATCCTGCAGAATTCGTTGGTACAGCAGACATCACCACAGTCATGGCAGCAGCAGCCTCCTACGGATCCCATCCAAATTCCTGACCAAGAGTTTGAACTGGCTTGGTCGAATGATTTATTATGGAATACTCCAGCTTTGGGGAATGTGAATTGGGATCAATTTTGGACCGAACCTTACGACTTTGCCCCTACGGCACTTCCAAACAATTGAAATCCTTTATCTGTGTTACCTTAACTGCAACAATTGTGGAACTAGTGTCTATCCGGTATGAAGGGTGCGGTCCATAGACGGCATCTGTGCGGATGTTGTGCGGATAGAACGGCATCGGCGGTTGTTGCAACCCCAGACTGGGGACGTTCGGGGGTTGTTGCAACCCCAGACTGGGACGTCCCTGGCAATATTTGCGGGGAATTTATGACTATTGGTCCGGCACGTGTATGTTCCCTCGAACTACACATCTGGCTGGGGATCAAGATGTAGAGATTCGGCAGGAGGCCAGACCCTGCCGCGACTCCCGCGAGTTCACCGGTTAATGCGGCTGACGTTCGGACCTTACGAGACACCATGCCGTTCCAGCAGGATAGTATTTAAATACAGCTTCAGCCGGGAATGCTCAGGTTAGGTTCTGTTTCCTTCCAAGACCGAGTTTCTCAGTACACGCACGTTACAATGGCTCCCGGCATATTGACGAATGGTTGGAACGGCGATGTGTCAGTGCGGACGAAGGCCTCTCGGAAGAGCTTTCCATACGAGAACCTTCGCTTTGATCCAAAGCTACAGCCCAAGAAGTATGAGATTGCAGGTATGAAGATATCGTTGCCTTCCAATGCCTTTCTAACACGTCAAAGGGACGCCAAGATCTTCCAAGGTCCTTTTCCTGGATGTGAATATGTAGGTGCAAAGTGACTCGTTGGGATCTGCCGCTAACGTCAAGCAGTCTGGACTCCACTGGAGATGAACCATACAGAGGAGATGTGTACATTGAAGGTACACCTTGTGCTGTTCTCGTCTTTGAAATTGTCACTAACATATACAGGCGAACGTATTGTCGCTGTGGGTAAGGTGCCTCAGGTTGACAAGCTACGAAAAAGCACCGATGTGAAAGTCATCAACGGACACGGTCGAACCTTGATGTCAGGTCTAGGTGATGCTCATGCCCATCTAACCTGGAATGACAACGCCCTTGAACTCCTGGGCGACGTGAGTGTAGAAGAGCATACTCTGATCACCATCAAATCGGCGAAATGCTACCTTGACTCGGGATATACTATGTATGTGCAGCCTGAATGACCATTTGGCCTGCCCTGACTCTAACACTCGGAAGGGCCTATGGAGCGGCTTCAGCAAAAGACAGGCTCGACGTGGTGATTCGAGATGCAATCAACAATGGGGACATTCCCGGGCCTCGATATCTGGCAAATGGCAGAGAAATCGCGAGGAGAGATGGCGAACTTGCGGCTGGTATAACGGCATTCGCCGATGGTTAGTTTTACCTATTGTCGGAAAGTTGTCGTCTGACCCTGTCTAGGCCCTCTGGAGATGCGTGAACTCATCAGACATCACGCCAAACTCGGTGTTGATCAAATAAAATTGAGTATGTCAGGAGAAGCAGTAAGTACAGTTGGCTTGGAATCGTTCAATCCAGCTTATATGTCATCTAGATCACCGAGGTGCGGTCTGCAGAAGAATGTTTCTTCACCGACGAAGAGACAGCTGCATGTGTTGACGAAGGTGAGTTTCTTATCCACAATGTTCAAATTCAGCAAACTGATCAATTGAAGCACATCGTCATGGCTTGCGGGTATGCTCACATGCTCGAGCTCGTGATTCTGTTATCCAATGTGTCAAGCACGGTGTTGACGTGATCTACCACGGTACGTCGCTGATTTATTCCGATGTGTGCGCAGCTGACAGGAAGAAGCCTCCTACACCGATGCGGTTGGCATGGACATGCTCGAAAAGGCAAAACACAAACATGTTGTGGCGCCCGCTATCAACTGGTTATATACGACTGTTCATGAAGCAGAACCATTCGGATATACTTTCGAGAAAGCAGAACAAGTGGGCTACAAGCGCGAACTTGACATTGCGATAGATGCCTTGAAGGAGATGCACAAGCGAGGAATCACCGTTCTTCCGTGAGTTCTTACCAGGAGGCCAGACTTGGAAGACCATGCTAACCCAGACGTAGTGGCGGTGACTACGGATTTGCGTGGTGTCCTCACGGCACGTACGCTCGTGACCTTGAACACTTCGTCAAACTGTTGGACTTTACGCCCATGGAATCCATCATTGCCGCCACCGCTGGTATGGCCAAGCTATTCATGCAGGAGAACGAATTGGGCAAGATCCAGCCGGGGTTTTATGCTGATTGTATCCTTGTCGACGGCGACCCATTGAAAGACATTGCAGTCCTACAGGATCACGACAAACTCAATGTGATCATGATCAATGGCCGGCTTCACAAGTCTGCAGCGTCGGACTTTGCGCAGCCAGAAGAGCCACTTTCGACGCCCGTTCAACCAAAGGTGCATTACAATTTCGTGACATTCCAGGACAGCCTGGGCAGACCACGAGTGGGCCATCTCGATTTCGAAACCTCCACCATCTGCAGTCTAACCATGTCCTCGGGTTCTGCCTTAAGCAGTCTACAGCAGGTGATTGAGCTGGACAACGATGTTGTGCGGACGGAGGAGTCGTTCCCGCTGGCCACGACTAAACTGCTAGCACCGATCTACGATCGCGATATTCTTTGCGTTGGCAGCAATTACTCGGACCATGCCAAAGAGTTTCGCGAGAGCGGGTATGACAGGACTGGCCTGCAGCAAAAAGGTACCTTACTTTCTTCAAGTTAAACATTTTGTGACATTGGGGCTGATTAGAATTGCAGCGGAGTTCCCGACTATCTTCACCAAACGCAAGACAAGCATAATTGGGGCTGACGAGGATATCTACGCACATCCTGGATTTACCGAGTCACTGGATTACGAAGGTGAGGTTGGAATCATCATCGGCAAGACTGGATTTGCCATCAGCGAGGCAAATGCCATGGATTATGTATGGGGATATACGATCATCAATGGTATGTTCGTCATTCGTCATCTTTTTCTACCGGCGGTTACTTACGAGTTGTGTGGTGTAGATGTGACGGCGCGCGAGAAACAGCGCGATCATGGCCAATTTTTCATGGGCAAATCGCCCGACACTTTTTGTCCCATGGTAAGTTACTTTTATCTCTGTGTTTCTGTTCGTTGTGCTGATACCGTATGCTTGTAGGGCCCCGTCGCTGTACCAGCATCCGCGCTGCCCGAAACACTCCGTGTGCAAACATACGTCAATGGAGAGAAACGCCAGGACGGAACGACGGATATGCTCATCACGTCGATCCCCAAGCTCATTGAGATCATTTCGGCGGGCTTGACGCTCCAACCGGGCGACGTGATCGCGACAGGAACGCCGGCCGGTGTGGGCGTCGGTATGAAACCTGAGCCCAAGTTCCTCAAGGCTGGTGATCTCGTTGAGATTTCTGTGACAGGTCTGGGGACGCTGAGTAATCGCGTGTCCGATAAGAAGCCGGCCACACTCACGACGCAACCCACGTCGAGTCTGCCGCAGTACAATCTTGAGCGAAGTTGGGGTGGAGCGGGTCTGAGTCGGGTCGGCGAGAAACTCGTCAATGTGCGCGAACTTGGCAATAGCAAGGGTCCTGAGACTGTGGTATTTGTGCACGGTCTAGGGTCGTCGATGGAGTATTACATGCCCTTGGTGCAGGCGATGAAACTTGATGAGAAGTATCGGGTTGTTCTGTACGACTTTGAGGGTCATGGGTTGACGCCGACGGCGGGCGCCGCCAGCACGACGATTGAAAGTCTGGTGGAAGACCTGGAGAATCTGTTTGTCGCGAAAAGCATAACCAAGGCGGTGGTGGTGGGATGGTCTATTGGAGGACTGATCGCGATGCTCTTTGCTCAGCATAACCCTTCGGCCGTGGAGAAATTGGTGTTGCTTGGTCCGGGACCGAATCCGTTTCCTGATCCGGCTGTGGAAGTCTTCACGAAGCGCGCTGCTGCTGTGAGGGCGCAAGGGATGGACGCTTCGGGTGTGGCGAGTGCTGTGGTCGGGGCTGCGACGTCGCCGCGGACGCAGAGTGAACGGCCCGTTGCTTTGGCTGCAGTGAGACAGGCTTTGGTGGCGACGCATCCTGAGGGATATGCGAAGGGATGTTTAGCTCTTGCTAGGTCGAAGAATACGACTATTCGGGTCGAACAGCTCAGGATGCCCGTGTTGTTGGTGGCTGGGATGGATGATAAGATTTCGCCGATGGGGTTGAATGAGGCGTACCTCAAGAGGTTGTCGGACGGAAGACTGGAGAAGGTTGAGGGGGTGGGGCATTGGCATGTTCTTGAGGATGTACATGCTACTGCGAGGGCGGTTGGGAGGTTTCTGTGAGGGAAAGGGCTTACAACGAGGAGAAAGAAGGTCACATACAGTATCGTCTGCTTGAGGCGAGGGGCTCGCAGGAGGAAGCATGGAGGGGAGAAAGGGTATAGGACAAGGGAGTGTTCTTCTGGTAGGACCAGCCGGGTAGATGGCCCGCAGTCTTTTTGCTGTGGCAGAGGCCACCATGGGCACAAGAGAAATCAACAGACCCGGCCAGTGTCGTGTGTACATATCTCCTCCTGGCCGGTCTTGTCCCATGACCGATGCGAGTGAACCTTGAGACAGTGTCTGGGGTACTGTACCATGCCAAGCGGCAGAATCATGCTATCCAGTTGACCTCAAGGTATGAGTCTGCTGTCGCCAAGGGCACGCAAGGGCTTGTATGATGCCATAGGAGAAGGTAGGTACAGTATCTTGGGTTTTTGCCGTGTTCAACTTTAAGAACAGGCCCCCCACGGATGTATGAATAACTTTGTCTAGTAGTACTTTACCGCTTAGGTTTAGACCTTTTTCTACATAATAATTTTTATTTTATAGTACTACTAGAAAGCCCTTCTCTTATTAATTCTAAAAGTACTTTTGTTTTTTTATATCTTATTATATACGTATAGAAAAAGTCTCTAAAGTATATATATTCTAATACCTTTTAATAAAAAATACTTATATAAGTCTCTATTATTACTAAGATCGTAATAATTCCTACTCTAATATAGAATAGTCTAGTATAGCGTAATAATTCCTATTCTATTATAGAATAGCCTATTTATAGCGTAATAATTCCCGTTCTATTATAGAATAGTCTATCTCTAGCGTAATAATTCGTAATCTTCGTAATAATTCGTAATCTCGTAATAATTCGTAATCTCGTAATAATTCGTAATCTCGTAATAATTCGTAATCTTATAATAATTCGTAACTTTTCGTAATAATTTATAATACTATAATAATTCGTAATCTCGTAATAATTCGTAATCTCGTAATAATTCGTAACCTTATAATAATTCGTAACTCCGTAATAATTTATAATCTCGTAATAATTTATTATCACGGAGCAGTAGCAAGAGATATGCGAACGTTAATATCTGTAAGTTGATGAAATTCCTATACAGAGAGTGCTAAGTACATTGAAGGCAGGAGGCGCAGAAGTAGACTACGCCTTACCAAGCCTTCTAGGTTTAAGCCCTAAGTTACGTAACGAAAGGGCACGTAACCACATAAAGTAGTGTTATTATATAGTAAGGGCAAGGGTAAGGCCGTAATATCACCCCCCCCTAATAAAGTTATAAGTCCTCTTATAAGTGTGCATTTCCGGTAGAATTAAGCGTAACTTTCCATCATACTAAACCGCCTATTATTAGGTATACTTTATTCTCAGTACTATCTTCGAGTTCGAGAAGTAATTATAGTTAATATCACGGAGTACTGCTACGAGAGACTTGTTGCAAACGTATGTGCTGTTTATGATATGAATTCTAAGACGAAGGACTATGAAGAGTAGTGCTCGGTTGCGCGAGTAAGTAGTCAGCAACCGAGGTACGCCAAGCCTTCGTCATGATCACGTGCTAGTCACGTGCCAGTAGGCATCACGTGGTGTCATATGATGGGAAGTTGGCATATTAATCCGTAACATTACCCCCTCTTAAACCCGTCTACTCAGCCCTCTAAGTTTATATTATAGCTAACCAGTCAGCGTAGAAGCTAATCCAAATAAGATACTCGATGTCGATAGTCGCTCGTATTCTGGCCTTATCGACGTTGCCTAAGGTTCCGGGACGGTAGCTATTAACTATAGGGTGTAGAGTAACGTCCTCTATCGACTCTATTGGTGAACCTACCAGGAAGGCCGATATCCGGATTCTTATAGGGCGTCTACTCGTAACGCAGGATAAGTCGGTCACTTCCGTCGAGATCTCGTTTGTCTTAGTGTCCGAGGCTCTAGTAGTATCTTTTGCTGCTCGAAGTTGTACCTTTCCGGTAGACCAGGCTTTCTTAGGTAGCGTTTGTGGAATTGTTGTATAATCTCGTCGCATCTCTAGTAGTCATTCACCGCTTAGGTTTAGACCTTTTTCTATATAATAATTTTTATTTCATAGTACTACTAGAAAGCCTTTCTCTTACTAATTCTAAAAGTACTTTCCTTTTTTTTATATCTTATTATATACGTATAGGAAAAGTCTCTAAAGTATACGTATTCTAGTACCTTTTAATAGAGAATACTTATATAAGTCTCTACTATTACTAAAACCGTAATAATTCCCACCCTAATATAGAATAGTCTAGTATAGCGTAATAATTCCCGTTCTATTATAGAATAGTCTATATCTAGCGTAATAATTCCCGTCCTATTATAGAATAGTCTATATCTAGCGTAATAATTCCCGTCCTATTATAGAATAGTCTATATCTAGCGTAATAATTC